CACTTTCCGCCCGCCGGCAAAGCGGAAAGGGTGTGGCGCAGTCGGCGGGCGCGGAGGAGGGCAGCGAAGTCTTCTCTCGTCCCGCCGGAGCTTTTGTTTTGCTCGCGCGTTTGAGTTTAGCCTAAAGTCAGCCCTCTCCTCTCCGCCGCCGCCGCCGCCGCCCTCCCCCCCGGGGCTGGAGGCGCAGCCTAAGAAACGGAAGGGTGGTGGAAAAACAAGAGCGACGAGGGCAAAAAACTGGCCGGGCTTTACTTTTTCCCCGCGACCCTGTTTTAGCATCGATGGCGCAATCTTCTGGCGTGGATCGGGGGGGAAGATGGAGGTGGAGGGGGAGGGGGGAGCGCCGGCCGGGGCTGGCTGCCGTCGGTGTCCTTTGCTTGATGAAAATGACAGCAAACACCTTTTCTGCCCAACCACACGTCGACAACCACATGCTCCCACCCGCAGTCCAACCGAACCGGGCAGGGGGATGGGCAATGGTAATGCGGCAGTCTGATGATGGTAGCCCACTGTTTCGGGCCAGGCAGATAAACTCCAAATGTCCTTCGCCCCAGCTTCTTGATCTCCCATGGTTCCCGCGAAGGGGAAAAAGGAGGGCAGTTCCCCCGAATCCAACGCCTGCCATTTCCCCGTTTCTCCCCATTCCGCCGGCGCTACGTGTAGAGGTCACGGAGCGCTAAAAAGCTTCTCTATACGGTGTGGTCATGGTGGCGGTCCTTCTTGTTCTTCGCCGCCTCGTCACATGCGCTAGGAGGGCGAGAGAGACAGCTACCTAGCTAATACCCGCGGATTGTACCCAGTGATGTGGGCACGCGGGTAGCGGTTCGGAAGATAGCGGCCAGCCGGGTCGGACGGCGGGGTGGGCGGCGCGGGCACTGTGACTGGCAGCGATAACGAAAGGTTGTTAGGTCGTTCCTGCGCCAGTAGTGCGCTGGCCGCGGCGCTTTCACATGCTCGTGGCTCGTGACGGAGCTCGTCAGTCATGATGCTCGTCTCCTCCCTCACTATTGCCAATACTCCTTCTTTTATTTTTTTTCCGGGGGGGAGGGAAAGGGCCCATGGGGACTCCGCCGCTTGGTCGTGGGACAAAGCGCTTTCACATGCTCCCCTGGCCAGCGACAAAAAGCGCCGTTTGCAGAAACGTGCTCTCTGTCTGACTATTGCCCCGCAATTGTCAAATTTCCACACGACTACGGAGACTTGAAAAATTTTCTTTGCTCCTTCGTTGGGTGCTGAGAGAAGGGCCGCCTGATAACGAAGGGCTTGCTGACGAGTCGGAAATTTTTTCTTTCTTGTTGAAGGCTCCACTCCAGTCGCAACGTGCGGTAGGCAGCTATGGTAGCATTTGATTGTGTCCCCACCTCACCAACGAGCCGTGAAAACGACGGCGTGCTCGACGGCATCAGTGCACGGGGACGAACGCATGCACGCCCGCATGCACGCCCGCCCGCACGCACGCACGCACGCACACACGCAATGCGACGCACGTCTCTCATGCTTGATCACCACCGAACCCTCATCCCAAGGCCGCCAACGCTTCCAGAAGACACTGACCGCACGTTAGGGCGCCCAGTTTAGTTTCGGGAGGATTTGATCGGGTCCCAAAGAGCTAGCCAAGCCAGGTGCCAGCCAGTGTCGCGCCAGCACCCGCAGCCTTACGCAGCAGTCCCCCGTCTAGTGCAGGTTCACAGGTTGCGAGGTGGTGTGGGCGTTGTTGTTTGCTTGCTCGGCACACGTCAGGGTGTTCGGGAACAAAAAAAAAAGGGACAGCAGTCGACAATCAGGCACCCGATGTTTCCTGCCTGATGAACCACCTTCCACGCGCGGCAGTTCCATCGGGCGAGCAGAGATTTGCGTGGACCGGTTGGTGTCGTCATCGCAGGCGGCACTGGGGGGAGGTTGGGTAATGGGCAGATATGTGGGTATGGAACGTGGAGGGATGGAGTGGCGGCGTTGCAAACAGGGGGCGCGCAATGCTCTCTCTCTGTCTCACTCTCTCTCCTTCTCCTTCGCTTCGCGCCTGAGATTTTTCAAAATCTTATCTCCGTCGCGCGAAGTGTGGTAAGTTCCGATCAGTGAAGCGAAGGGTGAGGATTTTCTCGGGCTTTGCTCGCAGCACAAGTGCCGGTAGGTACCGTTGCGAAGCGAGCAGCGTTTGCGATGCTTGCGATGCTCGCGATCCTCGGCGCCATCGAAACCACCATGGTTGCGGCGTGGGGAGGAGGCTTGCCTCGGGAAGCGAGGCGTCGCAGCCCATGACGCCGCCGATGCCTTCTTCACGCGGCTGTCGGTAGGATGGACAGGGGACGTCATCGTAATCGACCAGCGAAGTTTCGGTGACGGGATGGATTTGCAGAACAACGTCAGCCATTGATTCACGCGATGCGGATGCGCGGATGCGGCTGTCAGCAAGCGGTCGATCGGAACCTGGTTAGCTCGGTCCGTTCTCCATCCGTCCATCCCCCTATTGTATCATCTCACAGTCTGGAGTTGACGTGGGGAGCTCCCCGGCTCTTTTTTTGGGCTATGACGAAGCGGCCGTCGATCCCAGACGATCAGCACGCGCAAGATTGGCACACTGGGCTGGATGCCGACGTCGATAGACAAAGGGAAAAGAAAGTCACAGAGTCATGAGCGTTGTCGACGGACAAGGCTCCGATCCCATACAGAGCAGTCGGACAGGGTGCGCTATCATGACCCATGATGGAAGGTTGAATGGATAATGCTGCCATGAGTCAATGGGTCAGAGTGCGATTGGCTTGACGAATGGGTGTTTCAGTGCGTGCAGCGTGACGACATGCTAGTGCCTCAACAGCGCAGGAGCGGAAGCGAGGGGGCAGACACTCGTGCGATGCAAGCTCTAGTGTGACATGTGCTGTGGAGTCGAGCGAGGAGGAATGCGGGGACCCCACACTCTGGCCCGAATAGTAAGGCAGTCGCCCGACTTTCCTTGCATCCTGCGCCCTTCCCCACGCTCACTTCCATTTCCTTGCCCCGTATCATGCACGGCGGAAGGCCTTCCCGCAGTGCTTATCTTCATCTTCGATTCCGCCGAACGTGGCTTGCAGCTTGACATGACAACTCCGAGGGGAGGCGGCCAGCCGGCCTGCGCCTCGCCGTTTCGGGACAAGCTGTGCTGAAGCCGTGCTGAGCTCATGGGTGACCGGTCCATGCAAGCTGCCGAGTAAGCGGCCTGGAATCCAAGACATGTGATGGCAACCGAGCTTCAATAATAATGCTTCAATACCGCGGTGCGGAGAGCTTTCCTATCCCATCGCTGGGCTAGACGGGCGGCCCTGTTAGCCTGCTTGACGGGCAGCGAGACTTCCAGATGGCCGAAGCGGGGGCGCGCAAACAGCACTGATGGCGATGGCGCGCCATCCTCCGCCGGGCAGTCGCTATAACCTGAATTCCGTCGTCATCTTTTTCCTGGCTGAAGTGACAGCGCTGTACCTTGGAACTCGGCTATGCCTTCGGTTACACGAGCATACCCGTCCGCATCCGCGGCCGCGCGTATGCACTATCAGTTCCGGAGACACAAAGACGCAGCCGGCTAATCATAGAAAGTCATTGTGGTCGAGACTCTGTGATTCAGACACTGCATAATCATGCCTTGCTTTTCGTCCCGACTGCCTTGCGGGATGCGGGGGAGAGTAAAAAGAAGGTACGGGAAGAAAAAGGAAGACGGGATATCACAGGACTTGGTCCACAGTCACACCACGATCTGCCCACCATCTCCACGATGTCCCAGAGGAATGGGGGAAAAAAAAAGAATATACCTCGATGCGAGTCTGACACACCCATTCTCTCCGACCTCCATCCCCCGATCTCCGACATCTCAGTCAGCAATTGCTCGCCTCCCCCTTCCTAATCTTGCCACAACAGCAAACCTAAATACGCAAAAGAAAAAATAGATCCTCGCCCAAAACGAACCTGGCCGTATCCAAACTCCCCACGCACACCTTCCACCACTCTCCCAACACTCCGGCCTCCCCCTCTCTGACCGGTCAAACCTCACAAATCAGCCCATTCCCCAATATTCTTGGCGCTGGCCGGCCGGCAGCCGCGCATACACAGTAATGCTGTGTCACCGGTCCACCATCCATCCATCCTTCCACCGCAACCACCCCCCGGTTTATGCGACGAAGGAAAGGGGAAAAGGAGGGAGCGAGCTGCGTTAGTTTGTTTGCATGAGTGCGTGCGTGCGTGCGCGCGCGTGTGTGTGTAACCCTCTACCATGCATGATTATACAACTGCAACGCCCCCCCTCGCCCCGCCTGGGTAGGCTGGGGGGGGGGGGGGGGGGGGCTCCGCCAGGAAGGGGAATCCGGCGGGTCGACTCGCTCCCTGCAACCGCGATATGTAGTATCCGTGCGTGACCGGTGAGAGAGGGAGAGGCTGCTGCCTGCTCATGCTGGCTGCTGATGAATGATGGCGTGGTGTTTGTGGTAGGTGGGTGTTGCTTTTTTTTTTGCTGTGCGGTGGGGAAACAGAGTGGTGTGCGATGCGCATGTTGCAGATCTGCCGCACCACACCGCTTCGTGTTGAAGGAGGGGTGAGGGGTGGGGAGGGGTCGTTTTTTTTTTGTGGAGAGTGATGGGGAAGGTGTGGCGGGGCACACGTAGAAAAAAAGGGTAGGTGATATGTCATATTTGCTATTTTCCCCTTGGCTTTTGTACTTCTTTCGTTTCCCTTATCTCGATCTGGAGTTCTGTTGTGTGTGCGGGGCATGCGGCATCTGTATGTTCTGCTGCCCTTTGCGTTGGCTGTGTTGCACTGTGCTTTTGCTGACTGAGTAGCTGCTGCTGCTGGGGTGAGGCGCATGAAGAGTGAGCAGGCTTGACTGCCCTTTCGTTGTCCCTTTTCACTCTATTTCTGAGAGGTGGGCCTGCTGGTTGGAACCGTGTATCGCTTTTGTTTATTGCTTATTGATACCGTACATCTGAAGACGCCAAATGCATGTGTACGACAGTATCATCAATGAAAGGGTCATCCGGGTATCAGATCACGTTCTGCAACCCCGGTGGCCACGCAAACGTAACGTCCATTTCTGCTTCCCGGCTGAAGAAGCAGAGTCCGTTGAGCCAGCGATTAGTGCGTAGTACCGGGATGCCGTTGGCCCTCTCCTCGTCTACTTCGACTGCCAACGAGACATACTTGTCGATCTGACTCTCTTCAATGTTTCGATCGTCGTCTTGAGATCTCCCGCTCCACGCCGTGAAGGCAACGGCTGGTAGTGATGGGCTGGGCACAGTCTCCTGCGTTAAGGGTGGCATTGCAGGAGATTCTGAGCAGCTTTCTCTTGCACAAGAGGCCCCTCGCCCCGAGCTCTTGGTGCTGGCGACAGATCCATCTCGTTCTTGCACCTCGCGTCCGCCGATGAAAATGGCCGTATACGGCTCCGATGTTTGCTTGTCGTCGTCGCGCTGCCCATCCCACAAGCGCCCAAGGAACAGCGTGTGGCCTTTGACGATGCTGCGGCCCAGGTTTTGCGCCGTCATGCGTAGATAAGTGTCTGCAGGTGAATCACATCCAGTCCTCTCGTCCTCCTCGTGCTCTTTGACATGGCGGAAGTATCCATTGGATTCCAGCAATCCTGCCAGCTCCTCAAAGCCCAGACGTCGCAGCTCAACACCGAGGGCTCGGAACGGATCCGGTCCGCGAAACTTGGGGTCCTTTGTGGAAACTTGCCGGTCCAGCTTCCACAGCCAGCCGCTTGTCAGGACTCCATTCTCTGAGAGCCGTACATCGACGAAGCGGCATGACTTCAGGAACGTGAGCTGGCCCTTCTGCAGCGGCGGGGAGAAGCTGTCCAGCGATATGGCCTTCAAGTATTCGAAGATGTTCATGGCCTCCAACTCGGCCAGCGTCGCCCGAACGCGACTTTTGTAGATCTCGCCGTTGAGCAGCCACAGCGCAAGGATGCAAGCCGCGAGACTGACGTCCGCTTTGCTCAACCGGTTGGTGTCCAGCCGGACGCCGTACTGGCAGCAGTTCGACGCGATCGGCAGCAAATCCGCACGAAACCTAGCGTTCCGATGCGCAATGTCCTCGAGAATCCTCGTCGTCATGGACCGAGAGTAGTCCATCGTCGCGCCGGCGGCGGCGGCGGCGGCGGCGGCGGCGGCAACCGCGCCATCATATAAGATGGTGTACGAATACCGGCCCGCCTTGCGCACCACCTCGCGACACGCCTCCCTCTCCTCCGCGCCGGCCACGAACCCGCTCCTCGAGTACGCCAAGCAGAAGCGCGTCGCCGCCTTGTGGAACTCGACGGAGCTGACCATCAGCTCGCCGGGCACGTCGCCCGTCCGCCAGAAGCGCTCGTACCGCCTCCGCGGCCTCCACCCGGCCCCCTCCGCCACCGGAATCAGCAAGCTCATCCGCGCCCCGGCGCAGTGGTCCTCCTGAAACGTCCACGCCCGCTCCCACCACGGATCCGCCGTGACGGCCCGCAGCACCCCCAGCGCGCCCCGCGCCGTCGCCGCGTCCACGCTGCCCTTCAACTCGTCCGCCCCCTTGCCGCTGCCTTTCGCTCTCAGCAGCTTCCGCATCATCACCCGCTCAAACAGCTCCAGATCCCGCTCCGTCCCGATCGCCCCCGCGAACAGCAGCGCCACCGGGTGCGCGCTCAGCCGGTACACCAGGTCCATCGAGTGCAGCGCCCGCTCCTTTTCCTGCTCTTGCTCCGACGTCAACTGCTGCTGCTGCTGCTGCTGCTGCTGCGTCGTCGTCGTCGTCGTCGTCGTCGTCGTCAAATCGGCACCGCCCCCCTGCGGCACGCACTCGCGGTCGATCCACAGGCGGGGGCAATCCAGCGCCGCGGCGCAGCGGGCGGCGCGGGCGAGGACGGCGTCGCGGACGGTGGAGGCGGCGGTGGTGCGGGAGGAAGAAGAGGAAAAAGAAGAAGAGGGGGCGGGATTAGAAAGCGTGCCGCGGATGCGCCAGGCGCCGGTGGTGGCGGGGCTGTCGAGGGTGCCGGGCTGGGTGCTGGCGGTCCAGGGGTAGGAGATGGCGATATAGTCGCCGGTGCGGCCGTTGACGGTGGTGCGGGTGAGGGTTTTGTGGGTGGAGGATGTTGTGAGGTCAGAGTGTTTGCGCTTGCGCGCAAAGGGGTCTTCGGTTGTGAGGCATTGGAGGTGGGTGATCCAGGCGAGGGACTTGAGGTTGTGGAGAGGGTATTGGTCCTGGATGTGCAGGAGCTGGGCGATGAGGCTGTTGTCGTCGTCGTCCGTTTTGGGATGTTTGGGGCCGGTGCTGGCGTTGCGGTTGTGGTTGAGGTCCCGGAGCGAGAGGCTGAGGTCTGTGTTCATACGGAAAGAATGGTTGCGGCGGCGAAAGATAAGGGATACCTGGTGGGCCGTGCAATCGAATATGTTGCCTAGCAGTGGTCGCGAAGAAGGATGGGAAAAGAAGGTTGATTTGCGTCGTCATGCAGGTTCAGCTGCAGAGGCGGGCGCTAAACCTCTTCGTAGCGATCCTTTTGGCCCCCACCGTGGCTTGGGCCAGTAATCAAGGTCTTGCTAAAGCACGGGGCTCGCTTCAGCATACAAGGTTTGGAACACATGCATCTACCTCGAACACATCTTTCATCTCACGCCGGAGCCATGGCCCGCACAACAACGGCGGCACGACGACGTGCTGCATGCTTCGAGAATGATATCAACGAACACACCATAAAGTCCACCCCATCCTTACAACTCCAACCAAATCCGAACCACCCCGCCCACCCACCTACCGACCTACCTACCTCATATACGCCTCAATCTCCCTATCCCCAACCCAATGCGTCCCGCCCGCGCACCTATACCCGCCGCTCTGCTTCAACCACCTAAACCCCGCCACACAAACCCCCATCTTCCGCAAACACACCTGCCTCTTCTCCTCCTCCCTCCTCTCCTCGCGCTTCCGCTCAATCTTCGCGAGCTCCTCATCGCGCCGCCTCTGCGCCACAACCTTCTCTATGCGCCTGCGCTCGCGCTCAGCAATCTCTTCCACGCGCCTGCGCTCGCGCTCCGCCTTCTCCGGGTCATCGCCATCGCCATCATCGCCATCATCCGGCGGTTCCTCTCCCGCGAGCGCTGCTTCTTTGTCTTCTTTTTCTTCTGCAGCTGCTTCCTTTTCCTTCTCCTCCTTGAGCGCCCTCTCCCGCTCCTCCATGCGCCGGTACTCGCGCTCGTCCGCCTCGGCCTGCGCCTTGTCTCGCCGCAGCTGCTCCCAGACGGCGTCGCTGACGCCCGCGTCGCGAGCCTCGGCGGCCACGTCCTGATCCGCGGCAGCTTCGAGAGGGGCGGGAGGAGGAGAAGGAGGAGTGGGGGGAGGAGTCATGTGTTTCTGCTGCGCAGCCTTGGCCGCGGCGGTGCTCGCTCTCGACGGCAACGACGTGCTTGGTGGGTCGAGAGTCGCTGGGGTAGGAGGGGGATGAGACGCGGTCTGTCGGCGTCGCTGTTGCTGTTGCTGCGACGACGACGACGACGACGACGACGACAACCCCCTGTTCTCGCGCTCGCGCAGCATCCGCTCCACCTCCTCCACGACGCAGCGCTCGTCGAGGACCGCATTCGAACCCATCGACCGCACCGCCCGGCCGAAGACGTTCTTCGCGAGCGTCTTGACGTCGCGGGCGCTGGCCCAGCTGGGCAGGGCCGCGAGGGCCGCGAACAGGGCCAGCAGGCGCTCGCGCAGCGGCGGCGACGGGGGGTCCAGCAAGGGGGCGAAGTCGATGGCGCTCATCGTCTTCTTCTTTTTCCCCTTGCTGCTCTGGAGCAGCGACTGCGTGAAGAGGTCGAGGCACTCGTCGGGCCGCAGCGCGCGGAACGACACCGTCTCGGGGAAGCGCGAGGTGAGGCCCGGGTTGACCTGCATGAGGCGGTTGATGTCGGCGTCGTAGCCGGCGAGGATGACGACGAGGCGGCCGGCGAAGCGGGGCTTGGTGATGCAGTCGACCATCTCGTCCATGGCCTCGGCCGCGAAGTGGCCCTCGGCGAGCCGGTACGCCTCGTCGATGAACAGCACCTTGCCGAGCGCGCGCTCGAACAGCTTCTGCGTCTTGGGCCCCGTCTGGCCGACGTACGAGCCGACGAGGTCGGTGACGGAGCACTCGAGCACCTCGGCCGTGGACAGGAAGCCCATGTCGTAGTAGACCTTGCCCATGCGGCGCGCCGTCGACGTCTTGCCCGTGCCGGGCGGCCCGCGGAACAGGAAGGAGAAGGGGATGTGCTCCGTGGGATCCATGTCCAGCGCGCGCATGTTGGCGACGGTGGTCTGGTAGCCTTGCAGCTGGTTGACGATGTCGTCGCAGCCGACGACGCCTTCGAAGAGCTTCGCGACGTTGGTAGTGGCCTTTTGGCCGCGGTCGAAGTCCGGGTCGAAATCTTGCGCTTCGAACGAGGCGGGTCCGGACGCCGCCGCTTGCCTGCCCTTGGTCGAAATCCGTTGCTGGTGCTTGAGCTTGGCGGCGTTGAGCAGGATGTCAATCTCGCCGGCATTGCCAAAGTGCGGCCTGTTGCGTGCGCGGCTGAGCATGTCCAACGCCGTCTTCTTAGCCTGGACGCTGGCCGTGAAGCCTTGTTGCTTCAGCTTCAGATCGAAGATGGCTTCCAGCTCTGCCGCGGAGAAGTCTTCGAACGTAAAGGCAGAGTCGAGGGGAAATCGCCGGGTGAGACCTGGATTGACATTTTGGAACATGTCCTCCATTTGCTCTTTGTAACCCAGGAGCAGTACACAACGGTCATCCCCAGGCACACTCTGGACTTCAGCAACGATGGTGTCGATGACCGAGGTCTTGTACGGATCAGCTGCGCCGCCCGTGTTTCCCCCGTAGAGGCCGTATGCTTCGTCGATGACCAAAACCTTCCCGACCGTTGCAGCCAAGATACCTTTGGTGTTGGCCTCGGATGCTCCGATGACGCTGCCGACGAAGTCCGCAGGCGTCTTTACGACCACTTGAATGTCACCATCGTTAGCGTGTCACACAAGGAGAAGAGGGACCAACACAAAGCTCACCTTCACCGCTCGAAAGAAGACCGATATCAGCAAGAATCTGCCCATAGAGCTTCGCAACGGTGGTTTTTCCCGTCCCAGGATTCCCAAGAAAGACCTTGTTCAGAGTGAAATCAACCAGCGGTTCCTCATCGAGTTCGCGGGAATAGTTGTACTGGATGCTGTCAAAGAGGGCCTTGACCGAATTCTTGACAGAGGAGAGGCCGATGAGCTGCTGAAGTTTGTTCCAGGACGCGTTGTCCTTGAGCACATCGGTAGGCTCCGGACCCAGTAGGTCTTCCTGAGTTAGCAACAAGTCATCAGGCGTGTTGCCCGCTTTCCGCTCGCGCCGTAGCCGCCTCGCCTGGCGATCCGTCATCCCGGCCAGCGCATTCTCAACCGCTCGTGCGTTCCCGAAGCCGTCGCGCCCTCTGCCGCGGCCGATGCGACGAGCGACGATACGAGCGTAGAGTCCGTCAACACCGAGCTCGACTTTCATGCGGCCCCCGTACCGCTTGCCCAGGCCGTACTTCAGAATCTCTAGTAGCTCCGCATCTTCATAGTCTTTGAACTGCATTTCGCGGGGAAAGCGGCTGGGGATGCCAGGATTGTGCGCGAAGAAGGCTTCCATCTGCTTGTTGTAGCCAGCCAGGATGAAAACGATTTTGCCGGTGAGGTTTTCCACCTCAGCCAGGAGGAAATCGAGAACTTGCGATCCGCCTGCGCTGGAGCCGGAAACAAGCTGGTATGCTTCGTCGATGAACATGGCGCCGCCGTCGTTATTCAGGATCTCCTCTATGTGCTTCTTGCATCCAGAAACGCCATCGTTTGCGAGCCGTGAACCTGTAGTTTCCACGAAGAAATTCCCTGGCAGCGCCCCCACTGACGCAAGGAACTTCGCGTAGAGGCGAGCCACGGTCGTCTTTCCTGCAGAACAGTTAATTTGCCAATCGAGAATGATTAATGTGGAAATTCACGAACCTGTGCCGGGGTTACCTAGTAACGCAGCACCGAAGCGCTCTTTTTTCATGTCAAGGTCCTGGCGGACGGCAACGTCAATCTTTCCCTTGATGGAGAGGAACTGGTCCTTGACGTTCTCCAAACCGATCATCTTCATCAAGTCATCCAGAGCTGCATTTGAAGCACCTTCAAATTTCTTCTGATCCTCCCATTCCTGTGCTGCACAAGAATCGGGCAGCTTCCAAGTCCCTTTTCCTTCCCGCTTATGGTTGTCTGCGCGTCTTACGGGGTCTTCTGGCGTAGACTCGGTAGGTTTCGGCTTCGGTAGAGAAGGAGTTTGTGGTGGCTTCGATAGGCTCTCGGTTTGAGGCTTCGAGGTGGTATGCGTGCTCGCGCTTTGCCGACTACCCGCCTGCCTAAGCTCAGCAAGATCTCTTCGATGTTGGCGGAGGACCCTGTCTCGCTCTTGCTGCTCGGAGTCATCTCGACGTAACCTGCGCTCGTAATCGAGCTGATCTTGGATTTCGGCAAGCTCCTTCGCGTAAGCTCTTTGCTTGGCTTTCCGCCTTTCTTCGATATCAAGATCTCTTTGGAGCTTCTTCGCCTTATCTCGCGCCTCGTCATCACAGGCTCGACAGAAGGAAGGGCGACCAGCGAAGCAACGCCAGGAGAGCTTGTGCTTTTGAGGGCACATATCGCTCATGACGACACGGCAATTGATCTTCGAGTGATCGGAGAGTTGATGGCATCTCGAAGGACAAGCGTGAAGTCCGCAATTCAATTTCGCTCCGCTGAGGAAATGTCAACAGAGCTCACAATTGTAGGAGGCATGGATTCCTCGAAAAAATAAAAACTAACGCGGGTGAAGGGCGATCTTCAAGGAATGACGTACCAAGGAGCAGAACATCCGCCATCGGGACAATGTTCATTAAAGTCAGTCTTCTGCTTCAAAATCATCTTCTTGCCTGGATGCTGTTGGCACTTGACGGGTAGTCCCTCGTAGATGTGCCCTTTCTTACTCAGGTAATCCATAAAAGGGCCCCACGTAGCTTTCCCCTTCCTACTCTGCTGAAAGGTTTCGGAGTTTCCAATGATAACGAGACCGATGCGTGCACGAGACAACAGGACATTGAGCCTCTCCGGAGATGACATGAAGCCGATGTCTCCCGCCGAGTTTCCTCGGGTAAGTGACACAATGACAATGTCGCTTTCCTCCCCCTGGTAGTTGTCTGAAATCCTTGTCAGCCGGGCTCATACCATGGGCACGATTGCCAAGATCTTACCTATAGTGGATATCTTGATTCGGCGCTTGTTCTGGTTTGCAGTAGCCGGAGACAATAGTCCCGCCTTGACGAGATCAAATGAATCTGGATCGTTCAAGACCGGATCGTTCTCCTCGCTCAAGCGCTGTCGCAGGAGGCTCAGCTGACCCAGATACGGCGTCAAAACCACCTGGTCCGAAGTGCCATATCCCTGTTGCGCCAGGTACCGCACGATTTGGAGGACCATTTCCGCCTCGAACAAGTTTTTCTTGCTAACGCCGGAGCCTTGGTCACGACGGTCTGCGATAGCGTCCTCGGAAAACTCGGAGTAATGATGATTGAAAAAGACGACTCGATCTTGCATGCCTCGGAGTGATGGCTTGTTCTGCGTCTTCGGTGCGTCCCGAAGATTTGGGTACGTGAGATGCCGCACAAGAGCAGAGATCTCGGGGCACATGCGGTGCTGCTCGGCCAAGGTCGTATGAGGAAACCTTGCGAGAATGAGGCGTTCAAAAAGAGAGCGGTTCAGATCATAGCCGTTGCCTTTCTCCACAGTGAGCTCGTAGTTGTTGACTTTGGGGCGTAGCTGCTGATGGTCGCCAATAAGGATTAGCTGCTTCGTTTGTGGGGTCATTGCCGTCAGGACGTGGCTTTCAAGAATCTCTCCAGCTTCTTCCACCAAGATGATGTCAGGGGAGGCATTTTGTAGTAGCTGGGTATACTTGGCGGCTGCTGTTGTCGTACATGCAATGATACGCTTTTCACGAAGGATTTGGAGCTTTTGTTGATCGAGTGTGGACTGAAGTTGCCGCTGGGAAGCATCGAGAGCCTCCACCAAGCTTGAGATGCTTGCAACTCTCTCTTCAAGAAGGTGTTGCGTCCATTTATTGTTAATCTCTTGTCGCTCCGTAGGGCTGAGTCCCCAAATCTCGGAATGAGCGGGAGCGATGGTATCCTTGAAGACCCCAGGATCCTCTCCTCTGCGCCATCGATCGTAAAGGTATGTCTCGTCCACGGCATGCCCGCTTTCGTCGACGACCTTAAAGTCGTCTTCGCTTTCTGGGAGCTGGAAAGCGTCGAAGAAGCTTGAATGGTCATCAGAAAATTCCAAATACTCCATGATTTCGGTCTTCTTGAGACTAAAGTTCACGTAAGAGGCGACAAGGTCCTTCAGATTCCTCTCGGAACTGTCCACTTCGTCATTCAACTTGCGGATAACGTTCCAGGTGTCTTGACTACGTCGGTAGCCGCTTGTCTGCTGGAACAAGCTGAGGTGTTCTGTCCTCGGGCGAGACTGCGCTCCCAAGCGCACCATGCTGCTGCCCGGAATGCCAGTGTCAAGAAGATCTTCCAAGAATTGGTCGAGGGCATGGTTCGTGTAGCAGATGACCATGATCTTTTGTGAAGTGTGATCGTGGAAGGCCTTCGCGAGAAGGGCGCCGATAAAAGACTTTCCAGTACCTGGTAAGGTCAACCAAATAATTCAACAACATGTGCTGAAATTCCTGTAAACTCACCTGGTGGTCCTTGGATCAGACTGACAGCTTGTCTCAGACCTGCGAGTAGTGATGCTGTTTGGGAACGGTCAAGATCTACAGGCATCGGCAGTGTCAGGATACGATCTAGTCCTCCGCCCTCTGCATCCTCGACATAATCAGCAACATTCGTAGGGCAGATCTGTGATGATCTGCATGGAGCACCTGTCTCTCTTCCATCCAGGGAGAGAAGCTCCTCAGCAAGAGGAAGCTCGACTTTCGCCTGCAGGCACTGCAAGACAGGTTCGTACGCGAACATTGCTGTGTCGACGAGTACAAAGTCAACATTTTTGGACACCTTCAGAGTCAACAGTGCCCTTTCCAGGGCCCTGGTATCGGGGATGCGCAAAGTGACGGCGGGGGGATCTTGAAGAAGCTTCTCCTCGACTCTCTCTAATGTGGCAAATGCAACCACCTGGTTGTTTTCCAGCATGCATCCAAAGGATTGGTGCTTCAAGAACTTGCGATCTTCTTTGAGAAAGCTCTTGCGATTCTTGTGGGGAAGGTCGGTTAGTCGCTCCAGCCCGGAAGTGCACGTCACGGTGATGGAGAAGGCCTGGCGGCGCTTCTCAGCTCCACAATGAAAGCCGGCAAGCAACAGTCCACGTAGCCTGAGATTCTTGCGCCTTCCTTTCTTCGACTGCGAAATCTTCAGATCTTCTCGAAGCTCGGCAAGCATGTCCTCCCGCAGAAGCCTGAATTGATTGTCGAGATGTACGCCGGCTCGTTCCTCGGGCTGCGCCTCATGCACAGCATCCGCCCGACGATAGAATGGTCTCTCTGTTGAAACAAGCTCGTGCTCGGTGGGATAGATGGCAATCTTGCGGAAGTCTGAGAAGTCGTTGTCATGGCGTCCGCCGGGGCCAGAAATAGCAGAGACCGAAGGAAAGGCAACTGATCGGGTGCGAAGGACATGTTTGATGCGGTAGCCGAGAGTACGTAGGTCGCTGTTGTCCGACTTGGTAAAGCGTTCGGTCGCAACTGCATGCTCGGCGACGTCTTCGGTATTGAGAGGGGCATTCGAGCCCCAAGACAAAATTTCCAACAGAAGCCATGCAAAGCTCTGTTCCGATTGCGGGATTAGACGTCGTCCATCGAAGGCCTCGACCATGGCATTCCACAGAGAAGGTGGATCCACGACGAGGATGAGAAGTCTTCTCAGAAAGTCTCCGTTGCACAGTTGCTTCACAAGCGGATCGCTCAGGTATGACAACAGATGGTGCAATTCGTTATTGATGAAAGCATCCGAAATATTGAATCGCAAACCTGCACGGAGTGCATCGGAGGCTGCATCGCTTGCGACGAGCCTTTCAACGCAGGCCGAGTGGTCGGGCTGATCGCAGATTGCTTCGACCAGGAGGCATGCGTCGCGGGCTGTGTTGACCGCTCGCTTGCCCTTGACCACGGAATTGAAAAAGCTGGCCAAGCGGGCAGTACGCACATGGGCCGGGGCTGCAGGAGCCACCATAATGGATCGAAGTATGCTTTGGGTAGACCTTTGACTTGAAACTGATGGATCTTTGATTGCGTGGATAGAGTTGTTGAGGTGGAAGGTTTATAAGGCTTGCGAGGTGGGGTTGTCGGAGACTGTGGGCAAGGCTGGTGATACAAACGCACATGCGCCGCTGAAGGCTACCGCACGAGAGTAGGCGGTGACTGCATAAAGCGGGGCCAATGGATTTGTCAGTCAACAAACAAGGGTTGCGGTAGGCAACTATCCAAACGAGCTTGAATGAATGAAGTCGCATGAGGGGAAGTACTCAGCCTTGCAGCGGCGAAAGGCACAGCCTCCTGCACAAGCGCCCATTTTATTTGCTTGAGATATGATGCATGATTGGTCTTTCGGATCTGGATTGTCTACGTCGCACCAGGCGACAAGGCAGACAACCGATGTGCTGCCTTCTGCTGTGCCCCACCTTTGCCGCTCAGAGGACGACACGAACATCAAAACAAATACGACTCTCCAGACGCTTCAATCCCCAAGCGACTGACCATGGAGTACCGACGCGGAACGTGGCGTGGCCGAAACCGTGGTCGCGGCCGAGGTTCCTGGAGGAGTGACGGCTTCAGCAAGGCGGCGACATGCCAACAGCCTCGAACGCCATCCCCGCCGGTTGGAGAGGTCCTGAAAGAAGTGAGGATGAAAGATTTGGTTGCGTCACCAGCAAAGGAAAGCAACGTTCCAGTCATCAGCAACTGCGAGTTCCTTGGCTCGTACAACTGGATGGGTAGTATCGAGAGGCCGGCAATGCTTATTCCAGGTACGCAATCCGCCCACGAATGCATCCTCGGCTAACCAGGACATACAGGAGGGCCGCCGAGGTGGACGCCTCGTGAGGCTCCGACACAGCTGGTGGAGGATTCTGGCGTGTTCTATCGCGACGAGAATGCCGTAAGACAGCCGGAGCATCCCATGGAACCAGCAGTACGCGCTTTCGCGGCACACAACATGGCAGCTCGCGCTCAAGACGTGGATATCTTTGCATGCGGTAGCACACTCGGGAACCTCGTTCGTTTCGTTCGCAAGGTCGACAGGCCTTTTCGGTTCACGGTCGAGGCGGTGGGAGACACGGTCTTCTTCGTCAGGAAGGAGAAGTCTCCCAGCGAAACAATTGAGGGAGTGCGGGGCTACGGACATAGTTTCCCAGAGGCGTACACGACGTGGGATGAGAGTTGCGCAGGATCAAAGTCGCACCAGCGTCTCATCGGCTACGACTTTGCGGGACTGAATTGCGTTGTGCGGTTTGAGGGCGACGGATACCTCAAGCACCTCGACCCGGATCCCAGGAGTGGAGCGGCCACGGTTGGCACGGCGCCGTCGACAACCAAGCTGGACATGCGGTACGGAGGATACATGGTGAGTCAAGATGCTGTCTTCGACCTGAAAACTCGGTCGGTCAAGAGGATGGACCATGACGTGCTGGGCGAAGAGATTCCACGCCTCTGGGTGGCACAGATAGCGAATTTCGTACTGGCGTACCACAATCGCGGCGTGTTTGAGGAGATTCGCGTCCAGAACGTGCGCAGAGATGTCGACAAGTGGGAGAGCGAGAACGAAGAGACTCTCGGTCAGCTTGCGAAGCTTATCCGGGAAATCGCAACCATGGCGAAGAGCAGGACAGATGGGCGGCTAGAGGTATGCCGCAAAGCCGTGGATGTGCTGGAGATTCGAGAGCAATGTGCAGGCACTCCAGGAGCGCTTCCCGATGACTTGAAGGCATGGTGGACTGATGACCGAAACAATCATGAGGACGAGTCGAGCGACGACGACGACGACGACGACGACGACGTTGAAGATCGATACTTCTCAGCCAACTCGGACTTGGGTGACGGCGGAGTGCTGCTTGGTAGCGACGACGAATCCGAGCCGGACTACACGGCGTGCTCAGCGGAGGACTGTGGCTACTGTGGACACTGTCGCTATTGATGGATGCCAAGGTTGGAAGGGTTCGAGGGCCATGTTGAGATGGCAGCGAAGGGGTGTTGGTCGGGTAGGTTGGCTGCGGAGCGTAGTTTGAATCTGGCTGTGTGCGTCTCGGGTGCGCTAGCCCTGAACAAGCTCCGCCAATCAATGACCGCTTGACTTTTCCGGCGCCTTCTCTTTGCTCTCAAATTAAAAAAAAAAAAGATGAAAGGATGGGAAAAGAAGCAAAAGATTGAAATTGCTAGCTCTAGTTCGCCCGAAATGTTAAACAACCCATCCCCCCTCCCCTACGTGACCCAGAAAACACTGCAGTGTTTCCGATGTTTGCAGGACCCTCGCAAATATTCATTCCAAGACAAAGCTGGTCCCCAAGTTGGCCTTGGCCTCTTCCAAAAGCCTGACCGCCCGTTGCCTCTCATAGCTGTCGTACCCGGCATATGCCTTCGCCTGCTCAAGCGCCCTCTCAATCTCCATCAGGTTTCCCGATAGCTCCTCATGCCCCAAGAGGAACTCGACAACGTCCCCGCCCGTTCGAGTCCCTGCTGCCATGGAAAGCGGCGTGAGCCCGTACTTGTTGGGTGGTGGCGCTGCGCATACTCGGCCAGTGGACATCAGCAACTGACACGCCGCCAACATGGCTCGGCGTGCCGCCTCGAAGAGCGGCGTTTCCCCAATCTTGTTCGGAACGTCCGGATCAGTCCGCTCGCCATGCGCAAGCAGAGTTTCAACAGCCTCCGTGCTACCGCCCTCAATCGCCATGTGTAGAGCCGTACTCCCAGTGCCCACGTCCTTTCGGTTGATCTTGGTACGCTCGTCCTGCAGAAGTCTGCACATGAGATCGACTGCACCGACTTTGGCCGCTGCGTGCAACGGACTCTCTTGGTCAAGCGCAGGATCGGGGTCGATGGACCCAGAAGCCAATAACTGGCTGGCAAACTCGGTGTAGCGTATGGAGAGTGCGACCGCGAATGTCAGATTGGCGTCATCGGTGGTCGCCTGAAGTACTGAGAGAACCAGCTTTTCGTATCCACGATCTGCTGCCGTCTTTATAGATTTCTTGCCTGAGCTCGATTGGAGATCGGGGAGGAATCCGGATTCAAGAAGCAAATCGACCGCCCATTTCTCCCCCAGTCTGACTGCTAGCAACAATGGACTCTCCCCGGCCAGTCTGCGAGGAATGTCAACTTTGCTCATCTGGAGCAACGTCGACAGCACTCTTTGGTCGTTGCAGGTGACGCAAGCATGCAGAGGAGTCTTCTCGTCCTCGTTGGCAGCTGATGAATCAACACCAACCGCAAGTAACTCTTGCACAATATCCATGTTGTCTGCGTCATTTGCCGATACTGCGTGAAAAAGCGGAGTCATGCCGGTAAGGTCTCTAGAATCCACGGCCAAGCCTGAGTTAAGGGCGCACTGGAGGAGTGCCAGATCGTTCTCGCGGACGGCGTAGTGCACGAGAGTGCCCCCACGTGCATAAGTCTCACGCTGACCGGCCCCAGCCGCGAGCAGAGCGAAGACGATATCCATGTCTCCGTGTTCGAGAGCGAGTGACATTGGAGTCTGCTGCTCGCTATTCTTGTTGTCTGGATCTAATCCCATGGCCGCAAATTGCCGGATCAGCCCCACATCCTGTCTTTCCACGGCAATGTGGAATGGCGTTGTAGAAGAGTGAATTGGCCCGATGAACTCCTTCTCGACTCCTTCCAGAGCCAAAAGTTGCTGAACAATCTCATCCTGGCTCCGTTCGAACGCATAGTACAATGGCCTCCGACTATAAGCGTCTTCTGGATCAAGGAGTTTCGTCTGTTGCAACTTCCGGCGAGTTGAGAATGGCATTGAATGCGCTTGTGATGCCAATTTCGCAGATCAAATGTATCAGCCTCGAGCCCTCGACAGGCCAATCAAACCGCCATTCGTTGTTCAGGAAGTCGATCACATCAGCCATTTGGGCCAGTTTCTCAACCATCTCTCCGTCGTTAGGCCAGCAAAAGTCCTGGAGAAGGTCAACCTGAGCAAGTCCACTGGCCTCGACCTGTGCAATGTGCCATGGCAAAGAAAAAATGGCGTAGCGTAAAAGCGGAAATCTTGTCTCCAAGTCTTGTTCGGCTTGGAAGCCTTCCTCTCGCGATTGTTGCCGTGGGAAATCAGGATACGGATATGCCATGATCTCCTGCAGTTTAAGGTACCTGATACAGGACCGAGATATATCGAAATGTCCGTGACCTCTGATATGTCTGTCAGAAGATCCTTCGTATCTTGGTAGCCCACTCTGGAGCTTCCGAAAACCATCTTCGAGTAGGTAGTCGGTGACCGACTCATGAATAAACTGCGCTCGGTTGTTGATGATCTGTGCGAGTCCTCTCGAAAAATTGATTACCTTGACCTCCAGTTGTCGTGCGTCATCCGCAAATTGATCTCCATTCTGATATTCGGCAACGGATTTGTGGGGCATTGCTGCATCTATCGCTAATGCATGCTGCAGTTGATGTGCTGACAAAGGGTTGCGTGAGAAGCAAAGCCATTGAAAGAGCTTCAGAGTATGTGCGCGATCCTCGGCCGAGGAGAAGGTGCTCAGGAGCTTACCATACAGCTGATGCAGCTCTGGCGGTATTTCGTCGATGCGTCTCTTTATGACCTGAACCCGTTCTCCGCCCATATGCAGTTGCATGACTTGTGATGCAACCAACACTGCCCATTGAAAAACCCCGCGCGCTTTCTGAGAGATTTTCTCAACGAGCTCATCTTTTGCTTCGGTAGAGAGGTCCTCTGGCAGATGCGTTGACACTACAGAGTGGATGTCGAGAGAATTCTCTTCTTCAACCCAGATTGTGAAGTTGGTGCACAGATTGAGCCTTGGATAACGTCTACATGCGAAGCAGATTTTGAGACTGCCGCCGACGCTGCTGGCTTGTGCAAGGAGGTCTTTTGCGTAGGCGACAAGTCGAATTGCTGCTTCTTTCCCGCACTCGTCCAACGCATCCACGCAGACAGTGATCGGCCGTTCTCGTGACAGCTTTGGAAGCTTCTCCTTGATGAATTGGTGGAGCTCTCCTTCACCCCAGTTCCAGTCTTTGCCCGGTCTTCCCATTTGATCGCATCGTTCTTGGAACGTTTTTGTGAGTTCGGAAAGAAGACCCGGTGCCTTTGCAAGCAGCTGATTCAATAAAGACCGGTACAAGCCGATTACTGATTTCTGAATTGAAGCTCCGCGGCCATGGAAAAAGAAAGATATGACGAGATGTGAGGTGACTCGCGATCTCGCTTTGACGTCATCAACAATGAACTTCATGGCCGTCGACTTGCCAACACCAGGGTTTCCCTGGATCCAGAGCAACCCTTGGCGCTTTGCAAGCCACTCCAGATAGTCGTGGTGAGTGAGAAGCCATCTGCATGTGCCGTTGAGCTTTGCAGTCAGGACTTCATCCTGGCGCTGCAGCTGTTCTGCGAAAGCAAGCGATTCCAAACACGCTATTGAAAAGTCAGTAGCTGCCATAGTAATGATTAATGAGATGAAGCCCAAGTCAATGGATGGCACGGGAGAATCTTTAGATATCTCACCTTGATGTTGATAAGGACGTTCTGTGTTATTGGCAAGATCTACAAATATGCGTTAGCAGAGAGTCTTCCTCTTGACAGCAAGTTTCGAGAATCAAGACTCATACCAGGTGTAGCTGCATTGTGTCGGGCGTGTACAATGGTCTGCGCCTCGTGATCAAGCTCCCGCAGTCTACTCAAAACTGCTTGGTAGTCGATGCTGTCTCGACTGGTGAACTTGACAATTGCGGAATGGCTCTGATTGATGGCGTAGATGAAGGGTTCTTTTTTCTCTGCCGGGAATCGGCCATGAATAGCTGACTCTGTGCAGACTAAGACGGCAGGAGGCCCCTTCATGGCCCACTTTCCATCGCTCTGTTGGGAATATAGTGTTAGTTTGTCGAGTTTCCGCTGGAGGATCTGAACGCTTTCCGTACCTTTTTTGCGGTGGGTGACCGCATTGTCTCGAAAAATGAGTACACTTTTGAATCAGTCCAAGGAAATGCAAACGGAAATTGCTCGCTCTGGCATCGAAGTACTTCAGAATTTTCCTCAAGCGTACGAAGTAATGCCTCATTGGGGTTGTGTTTGGCCATGGGCAGTAAGGATTCAATAGCCATTCCTTTTCTGGGAACCCCAAAAAGAAGGACCCCGACGATGGATCGCAAATTTGTAATGTCGAATCCATGTGCGTTTTTATCTGCCATTTGGATTATGGCCTGTAGGAAAGATCAGTACCTCTTTTGCAAGTTACACGAAGGCTGAGTTGTACCTCTTTCGCAACAAGACCACCCAAGCTGTGACAAACGAGCACCAAAGGCCGCTCTAGGCTAGAATTCTGTTGCGAATTAATTTCCAGTCATACTTTGAGACGAAGAAACCGGAGAATGTTACCCGCGGACTATTCCTGATACAGCGCAACGCTTCTCGAAACTTCATACCGAGGTGAGAGATAGACTGGAAAGATTGACTATCCAGAATAGAAGTGTCGTACCCGTACGTGAATATACGCGCACGGGGAAGGTCCACTGGCAGAGCGTCTCTAATCCACATGAATGAGCCATTCCGCTCTTTGAAGGACCCAAAGGCATGGCCATTGAGGCCAGAAAGGGCGATAACGCTGTTGGAGTAAGTGACTGTGCAATGACAAGCTTCTGTTCATCTGTTCAACTCACTCAATCGAATAACTTGAGTCCTCTCGGTTGTGATAAGGGGTGATGTCCAGGAAATGAGTGTCGAAAGTAAGATTGACATTACCATCCCAGGCAACCTCGGTCCGCTCAATTCTCCATTCGTTCCCCTTCTGACCTTGGCTGGCTGCCACGGAAAGAAGCTCTGGGATCTTTTGGAAGGATATTGTAGCAACAAGCTCCTCGGGACTAATCGGATTCGATGCGATAGACGCAATGTGAAGAAGATTGGAGCAATTGAGATGTAGTACACGGCTGAGGACGTCGTGTAGAACTGCTTCCTTCATGCACCAATAAGGAACGTGTCGAACCCGGAAGGTCTTCGGCTGTCCTGATGACTTAACGATGGGAAGATCAGGACAAGAAAGACGTGGTGACTTGGGCGTAACGTTGTCGTCCGAGTCGTCCCGGTGACGCTTTACACCGCTACTGCCAGACACCTGGAGCGTACTTTCCATGGCTGCCTGGAGCCTTGAAGGAATGGACTTTGTCTACCTGATCGTTTGTAAGTTGATTAGTAGCACGGGCTGGACACCGCCGCGAAGAGGAACGTCAAGCTCGCGATCTCATGGTGTACATGAACCTCGACGAGGAAGCTGTATCATCTCCCAGAAGAACTCTGAACTAGTTTGTTAATTTGTTCCGCCGTCGAAGTAGGCCGGGCGAAGAATTGTTTGCGTGGTCGTGTTCAAGAGTAGTTGAGGAGCAAGGCTGCAGCCGCGGGGTCCACAGCCTCATCTGCCGCATATCACGTGCGTTCTAAAAATAGATAGCCTGCATGCTGGAGGTACATCCGATCTTTTCGTCACACCGTTCTCTGCCTCTTCGAAACCTCCCCATATGTTCTCACCCACCACGCCGTATCGAGCCCACCATACCCTCCACGGTGTCCAATCTGATACTGCACTGGTCGCAACGCATCGCCCAGTTGATACCCGCTGCTCCTGAAGTAATCCTGCATCTTCCCCATCCGAACCGGGTTGTCCGACGGCGGCGCGTCGCCTTCGTATGTCGACGGGGTAGTGATATCCGTCAGTGCCACACTGGAGCGTCTACTACTGCTCGTCTCAGACCCGCAAGACTCATAAGAGGCGGTGGATGAAGAAGACGAAGATAGCCGCGGAGAAGTCCCGGAACTGGCGTAAGAAATGGAAGAGAAAGCAGACGAAGAAGAAACAACAGACTGCCGCTTCCGCGAAGCGGACGACGACGACCGCCGCGCTCTCGGCGGCGGATCCGTCTGCACGCCCGCATCGACGTACGCTGGCCGCGGCGGCTCGGGTTCGGGCTCGGGCTCCGCCTCCGCCTCCACCGGCGGCACCATCTTCACCTGCGTGCCCGCCGTCGCATACGGCAGGCGTTCTGTCGCCGGCTGCACAGCACCAGCACCAGCACCAGCACCGTGGCACCCGCACCGACAGCACGCCGCCGGGCCCGGCCCCTGATTCTGACCCTGTTCCTGCACTTCCCCTATCACGACCGCCGGCGGGGGCGGCAACGACCCGCGTCTCGCGCTACTGTCGCTGCGAAGGCCTCCCTCGGGCACACGCAGCAACTCCCCCTCCCCGAACGCGATGCTCTTGGGCCGTCTCTGTCTCTCCCAGTCCATGTTCCTGCGGGCGAGGCCGAACGGTCTCGGCGTTGGTGTCGTCACCGGTCTCAAGCCACCTCCGCTCAGTCTCTGCCCGGCAGGAGCAGCAGAAGCAGCATCACTGCCTCCACGTCTTCGTCGACCGCCCCATGGGAGCTCATTGATCGGACTGACCGCCGCCGACGGCGCGGCGTGTTGGCTGAGGCGGAATACGGGCGGGGCGACCATGGACATTGTCCTGGGCCTGCGTCGAGAGGCGGATGGGGTGTGATCGAGTTGTTTGGTGCTGGTGGAGGCCGGTGAGGGAGAGCGTCGGTCGGTGGATGGTTGCGGAGATGTCGTGCGGTGCGGTGTTGTCGATGAGGAGGAGGAGCTGCTGCTGGTGGCTTTGCGCTCGATCTTGCCGTCGCGGTCGGCGGCGAAGAAATCGTCGCCGTGGCCGAGGACGACTTGGAGCGTGGCGAAGTCGCGTGTCGCCTTGTCGTTGTCTTCGGGGAAGAGCCATTGTTGTAGGAGAGTAGGGAGGCCGGAGCTTTCTGAGTGAGGATGTCAGTATGGGTAGTTGGTGGGGTGTGGATAGAAATGGTCGACGACGAGACTGTCGGAAAGAAATGGTAGGTAATGGAAGCTTGCTGACCTTGCCTGTATTCGCCCGAACGCGTCTTCCAGCAGATGTAGTAACGCCCGAAGGACCCCAGTGCTGCGACAACTAGCTCTGTCATACCATCCGGGCTGCTTGAGTCCGAGCCAATCGCGCTCAAGCGCTCGTAAAAACTACTTGACATTATCTTTATAGCAGTAGCAATTCACAGAATGCTACTTTATGTCGGGCCGGGAGGGACTATAGAGGGGGTGGAGCCAAGGGGGATACTCGTCAACGAGTTCCGAAAGACATCCATTTCGAAGCGAGACAAAAGCGAAGGGGAGTACAGCTGCTGCGAAGTGTTTAACTCTCTGCCGACGTGCATGTAATCAACTCTGGGCGCTGGATAAGCGGCACTGTGCTGCGTCTGAGGCTGGCGGTGAGACGGTGTCGAGCAGAAATGCATAGAGCAACTCAGGTGATGGTCAGCCTGAGTTTCAAAATTCCCCAGGCGCTCCGTCAGATGAAGCGCGAACTGTCAAGGAATGGCGGGTGATCGCCCAATAGAGCAACGTGGTTGCGGGGATCGGTCCCACTTGATTCGGTTGATGCCGTGTACTGTGTAGGACTGAGTAGTCAGCCTGCTGTTGATTCAGGAAAGTCAAAAGGAGATGCGAGTCAGATAAAATATAGCTCGATAAGAGTGACACTTTGCTCAGGCAAAGAAAAATCAGGGATTTTTCCGATCGCATAGCAAACAAGACGGTCGCCTACCAAAACATACACGGAGATTGGAAATCGAGTAAGGTGATATTTAGAGAGGAAATTAAGATGCGGATGCAATTATCAGCTTACTCGTCCTCAACATGTGGCTTTTTGTACTTTTGCCATAGAAGCGGAGGGGCGCCTACGGCATCATTTTGTCTGAAGACGGCTTCTACAGCGGCAATCTCATCATCACCCTGGACAGAGCTGTCTGGAGTGGCATGGAAAACGGCCGAATCATCTTTCACAGACTTTGAGATCTCGTGCGTTGACCATATGGATGCCCCGCAATTTGTATCTGTGGGAGTGGTGGCTGTTTCCTCTGCATGATCTGCGAGTGCGTCTGAATCCGCCCCGGTGCTGATCTTGAGCCCTGCCAAATCTGTTTCGCCAACGTGATTTTGGGAGACATTGCCAGAATGCTTCCTGTTGTCGCTTTGGTGTTGTGTCGCGCAGGCATCCAGCGCGTGCTCTGTATCTGGCGGGACCTGAGGGGAAACTGCAGGTGTACCATCATAAGCATCTATAACCTGAGACTCGGCATCGGCATCTTCCTCCAGAGTTTGCTGTACGGGCTGTTCTGTTCTTTCGAAATCCAGTTGCGTCTCTTGTTGTGGAGCGAATTCCTGCTGTTGTCGATTCTGCTCCATCTGCAACCTGAACAATTCCTGTTCCCGCCTAGCCTCACGCATGACCTCGGGAGTGACTTTCTTTTCCCTCCGCTGCAGCTCAATCTCCAGCACTCTCGTCCCAAAAGGGATCTTCCCCTTCAGCCCATCATCATCTCTGTCGAAATAGATGGCCCAGACGGCTGGGTACTCCTCGACCGCGACGAAGCCCTCCCACCCCTCAAGCATCAATCGGCGATCCAGATGTGTGCAGTCAAAAGGCCCTGTTACGTGCGGCTGCGAGTCGGCGCGTACGCCGTATTTGACCTCGCCGGTGTCCTTGTCGACGTAAATCCAGTTGAGGATAGGTGCAACGTCGGTAATGGTGCTGACGAGACCCTCAAACTCGGCATCTGGGTACGGGAGGAAGTAGCCAGCGAAGGGGTGGCCGTGTTGGCGCTCATTCTCTTCCGTGTTGGGATGGTTGTCTTCAGAGGAGGTGCCAGCGTCAATGTACAGCTTGTTGTCGCGCAAGACGACCTGCCGTCCGTTGATCTCGCGACTGCGGATAGATGGCTTGACGCACGTCGCGATCAAGTTACACCGCCGGGCGCGATGCTCCTCGCGCTTTTCTTTGGATTGCGATTGACGGATCGCTTCTTGTGTGCCCATCAATGCTGGGGCAGCGTTGAGGGCCAGGAGCATGGAGAGAACCATGTTTGCGTGGCTGTGGTTGGTATTGGTGGCGACAGCGATGGAACTGGTGGTGTCATCTCCACGGACTGTTGTTGCATAATTTTCGCGTTGAGAAAACAAGTACACGTCGTTTTGCAGATCCCAGGCCCAGAAAATGACGGTGCGTAGGACCGTGACAGCGTGCAAGGGCAGGGTGTCGCGGAAGTGTCTTGGGTGTAGTCGATCTCTACCCAGGGCCACCAAGGCCAGTAAAAGTAGTAAAGAACATCGCGACGACATTTCGCTCAAGACTCCGTTTTGGACAAAGGTGCAGAAAATCGCATGATGCTCAGATCAGGCGTCAGAGGCGCCCCAAGGCGTGCGACCCTGTTCGTTTCAGAAATCCGGGGCCAGCTTCGTGGTCCAAGCTCGGTTCCTGTCAGAAGGCCGGTCGATCTGCTTCAGCCTTGCATGAGCTGCAAGACGTCACCAAAATTCCCCTTTACAGCGCGTTTGCTGGTGTGCCGTGGGCGGCCCCGTCGAACGATGCTGCCCCAGGTGGAGAATAAGGGGTTTCATGCCTGCTGAACTTAGCGAACGGAGCGTGAAAGACGCGAAGATGGCGTAAAGCCTGTATATAAAATCAATAGAGGCGGGAAGTAACGGGTCCATCAGCAAGCAGCCTTCTCTACCAACACCTCCTCCTCGTTCAAAAAGCCGGCCGGTTCCGACTTCCCATTCTAGTCCAAAGTATTCTTAATCCACAACAGCCAGCATGTCTACTACGTATGCCACACGCAGCTATAGTTCGTTGCATGTTTGACTCACCATGGTTGTTCACAGCGCCACCACCACCGCTCCCCTCAGCAACACCACCGGTCAGGCGGCCAACAGCGACACCGAGTCGGACGGCCAGGCACGCGGCGGGCGTCGCGCCCTGGCGAACACCAAGGACGGCAATCAGCAGCAGCAGCAGCAAGGCTCGATCCTGCCTTCTCTGCCGTCATCTTCCACGCTTACGCAACCTGCGGGTGAGTTTCGCCAAAGATGGCGATGATGACGCTGACGAACAAAAACAGGCCAGCTGCTCAAGGGCGCGCACGACAAGGAGGGCAACCAGAAAGAGGCGTCGTTTCTCATCGGCATCAAGCTTGACATAGAGGCCGAGGTTCACCTCACTGCGAGGGTGAGAGGTGACATCAGCATTGGCCTATACTAGTTGGCCGGCGGGGGCTCAGGAACGGAGAAGGGTGTAGGAGACGATGGCCAGGCTGCCAGAAGTAGCCATGGAGGGCAGTTGTGCGTTCTGTTCTGATGGGGGATCATCTTCAAGAGCTGGCTTGGACGCAAGAGATTAGTCGAGTTGTTGAGAGGCGCATAGCGGGCCCGTTGACAAATACCCAGAGGTTTTGAATGCTGCATTTGGCATGAGCGTGGACAGTCGAGCGGTCAAGTTCCGTGGAAAGTTATATACGAACCAGAGCCAATCGATGGTGTTGGCATGGAAGCACCGCAAACTTGCGACGTGGCATCGTCATCGCGAATCGATGGTGCACGACCATCACAGCTGACGCGACATGGTTGTTGTTGTCAATCAGAACAGGCTCAAGACGTCGATGCAGGGACTCGGATTCGCTGAGCAGCGGCAGGTGGGGGATGGTGTTGAGGCTAGGCTGATAAGCTCATGATTTAAGATTGCGGGGCGGAGATTTGGTCGAGGCTCCGGCGCTGGTTCCTGGACGCGACCCTGGCCGCCCGCCCAGCGCGAAGCGCGCGCGAGCCCTGAACCAAGGCAAACTGCGCGCCGCTTCCCTGTTCCATTCTCTCGCACCTTCACCGCAATCGAGCTCTTTACCCGTCCGCTCTTCTTCACCAGCATGTTCCCCCACCGTTGATCATTTTTGCTGCCTTCTGCCTCGAGTCCACCCAGCCATCACGAGAGACAACGAACCATCATGGCCGCCGCCAAAGAAGGAGCATCGCTGCCCACCACGGAGCCGACGCGTGCCACCCAGGTCCCCGACTGGGAGCCCGCAGCGCAGGCGCACGCAGGCAGCAACGTCAAACCTTCGCTGCCCGACACTCTGCGCCAGAAGTTCGACCAAGCATGCCCGCCGCACCGCAAATGTCTGGGCCTCACCCGTCGCGTGTTCCTGCTCGTTCTGCTGGCCGTCATCCTCGCCATAATCGCATTGGCCGTGGGTCTCGGCGTGGGCCTATCGAAAAAAAGGTGCGCATCTTTTTTTTCTCTCTTCAATTGCAAAGTCGAGTTCCTGACAGCTATTGCAGCGGCAGCGAGAACCTGCCCCTCCCTGATAGCTCCGAAGCGCATACCGGCGATCTCACCTTTTACGCCCCTGGGCTCGGTGCTTGCGGCGAGACGTCTACCGATGACGATGATATCGTGTCGCTGTCGTGGAAGATCTGGGATGAGGTGCAGACGGGCACGGATCCGAATCAGGTGGTGCTGTGCGGGAAGAAGATTAGGGCCCGAAGGTTCAACGAGGACGTCAGTGCCGAACGCAGCGTGGACTTGACCGTCGTGGACAGATGTGAGTTGGCCCATGCCCATTGTTCTTTTAGCTGGAGCCAGACTAATCCGAGAGCTATCCAGGCACCGGCTGCGAGCCCACCGACATCGATGTCAGCCCCGGCGCCTTCGAGAAGCTGGCCCCTGTTGCCAGCGGAAGAGTGACCGTCACCTGGGCGTGGCTGGACGCAGCGCCGACGGCGAAGTAGAAGCTCGTGTTGATTTCCCTCCGTTTTCAAGATACCCAAGCCAATTGGCCTTCCTGTCAAATACATGCCCCCGAAACGTTTGCGTTTTTCCAATCAATCCAGCACTCCTCCAATCGAGCCGCTACCCCAATTACATTGTCCGTCCCTTTCACCGCAGCCCTCAAGCCTCCCTGAACTCCTCCGGTGTATCCTCCTGCCGCCTCCAATGCGCCGCCTTGACCTCCTCCAACGTCTCCATATGCCTGAACACGCTCATGATCCTCGGCCACCTCTCCAAATCACACTCCCACCTCTGCGCCGCCCACCTACACGCACCACTCATCAGCCCCCTTCCAAGACCAAAAAAAAAAAGAACAAGGGGATTCATCACAAAAAAAAAGAAAAAAAAAGAAAAGAACACACTCACACAGCAGGCACCAAACACACATCCGCAGCGCTCACCCCCCTCCCAACGCACCACCTCGCCCCTCCCTCCTCCCCACCCACCATCGTCCTCCCCAAATACGCCTCCACCGCATCCAACCCCCTCACCGTCCACGCCCTCGCCCACTCCCTCCCATCCCCGCCCAGCCCCTCCACCGCTTTGATCGCCGCGCTGTTCGTCAACGGCTGCGTGTCGCACGCCACCATCGCCACCAGCGTGCGGACGTGCGCGCGACTTTCGGCGTCGCCCTCCTCACCCCCGCTGAACAGCGCCGGCCCCGCGTCCGGGAACGCCTCGTCGAGGTATTCGAGCGCGGCGGTCGACTGCGTTATCGTCACCGTTTTTGGCGGCTGGGCCGTCGGCGGGGAGTGGTTGACGATGGTGTGGGTGAGGGTCGGGACCGTGCCGGAGGGGTTGAGCGACTTGTAGGCTGGGAGCGTCTGTTCGCGGCGGAGGAGGTGGACGGGCGTGGTGGTGTGGGGGAGGCGTTTGAGGCGGAGGGCGATGCGGAGGCGGGCGGAGCAGGAGGAGCGGAAGTAGGTGTGGAGGTGGAGGGTGGAGGAGGGGGGAGATGAGGAGGAGGAGGTGGTGGTGGTGGTGGTGGCCATTGTTTGCGTGGATGTGGTTGGTGGGGAGGAGGGAGCGGGTGGTGGAGGAGAGGTGTGTGGCTCTCTTTTTTTTTTCTTTCCCCTTTATGTCGGTTTCGCTTTTGCTCAAGGCTATGCCGATTTGCTGGAGCTGGAGACACGTTTGGTTTGCATGCCACGAGGTGAAGCCGACAGGTTTCGTTTCTTATATACTAGAAGAGCATTACCGTGGTTATGGCTGTTCAGCCCTATGCCGCTGCCAACCGCGGATGCATTCCGCTATGGTTTGCTGGTGCGGTGCGGGGCGCGGGGTCAGCCGCGTAGTCGCGGATATTCAAGGAGGGGTGATTGTGAGCATCACGGGCGTTGTTCTATAGAATTTATAGACTACGGATCCGAGGATGTCGAGGTCGCCGTCGCCGTTCGAAATGTAGGTTGTGGCTGGCTCTCGACTTGGTGGGAGGCTTGACACGACGTTGGCAGCATCGCCGTATGTTACCCATACGCGGAAGAATCCATCCTCCAAAGCAATAATAGCAATCTCATGAACAGTTCATAACTCATTGGTCATTAAAGCAGTGTTAATCAGGAAATAGGCAGAGCATTTTAATATACAATTGCCCATTCACCAGTACGTCGCCCACTTGCTCGTGCCGTCGATAACATTGACAAACTCACGCGCGATGACGCGGTCGGTCTGCTCGCTCGGGTGCAGGGCGTCGTACCACATGTAACTATCGCGGTCGCTAAGTGACAACGTCTCGTTTTCTGCGATGTAACTCTGCACGTTTAGCGGCGCTGTACCATTGAGGTAGTCGGCCGGGTTCTCGTAGATGTCCGTGAACTGTGCACTTCATCAACCAATCATCACCAAGGCAGTCAAGCGAGACGCAAGTGGGAGTAATGCTTACCAGGCTGTACATGTCGAAGATGGCGATGTGCGCGCCGGGGTAGCGGTCGGCGATGAGTTGCTCGTAGGGCGTCTGGTACTTATAAACGGCGTTGGCGAGGTTGACTTGCTCCTTCATGCGGTAGCTCGTTTCCGTCTGGTTCTGTACTTCGCCGACACCGCCGTTCTCGGGCGTCGCGTAGACAGGGGCCAGCTGAAGAGCTCCGAGGTTCATGAGCACAAAGTATCGAGCGCCGTTCTCATAGAGCTGCACCTGCGAGTCAGCTTCGCTGTTTTGTCTACTTGAAATTGTACGAGGTGTACCGTGTCGAATTGCTTGTAAACGCAGTCGATATAGTCCACAATGGTAAGATCAGGAGCTTGAGACTCGGTCAAGAAAGCGTTGCTCCCGACATCGTTCGTGCCGATCCACATGCTGTAGACGGTCTCGGTGTCAGGGACGGTGAATACCGACGTGCCGTTGCTAGCATAGTACGCCTTATCGGCGAGGAATGTCGGGATCTCGTATCCTTCAACGTCGGGAAAAGGGGCATTGATCGAGTCGAGATAGCGATTGACCTGCTTGTTGGAACAGACGGCACCGGATACGGCATAATCGTACAGGTTTGCGCCTGTGTAGTCTGCCACATATCGAGGCCAGATCCGGCCACCGGTAGACGTCTCGTTGCTCTATGGCGCGAAAGTAAGCAGGCTTGTTCTCCGGGATGTTTGAACAGCCATTACCTCAGGAACAATCCACCCCAGTGGCGGGGCTTGGCCCTCGGTAGATATGAAATAAGCTAACCGACCCTCGTCCGTGTAGCTATCGCCCAAGGCAACCAGACTCGTGAACTTTTGCAGATCCCAGGACCCAGATGATGGAGAGTAGTCTTGCGGGGTAGGTATAGCCGAAACTGTGCCCACTAGGAGAGCGAGCAGGGGTGCAACGACATGTGAGTAAATCATGGCGATCAAGCGAGCAAAACGGAGAATTTTGATTTAGATGTATGGGAAGCTATGACAAGCTTTCGATCGTGTAAGAGAGGGAATCAACGGGTCTTCGCAAGATGTCGCGCCCATTTATACCTCCACATCTCACCCCGCAACTGAGGCCTGCTAGTTGCTGAGCCTCCGCGGCATGACATAGCAGCGCTGCTTGAGATGACATTACAGGCACGGATGACACGCTCCGGTCATACATTGGTGCATTTTAAGTGCGGACGCCTTCTGCACGGGTTATTTGGTCCCGTGGTTGACTTGCGCAAGCGGTGCAGAGCGGAGAAACACACCAGAATGCACGAAACAACAGGCACCAAAGAGGCCTTAAGCGAGCTCGGCCGTATGTCCGGCGGTGGCGGCGGCGCACAACAGGCTAAAAGGGAAGATCAGGGACCCCGAGGAGAGGGGCGCACCAACAGCGCGTGCTGGAGAGGCTGTTGCCGCAAGACTACCTGGAGCAGCAGACGTCGATCCGTGGGAGATGATGACTGCGTGGCTGCGGTCAGGGCCCGGAAAGGAAGACGACGGCTGACTTCGGTCAGCCGAGAGTGCGGGGTGGAGAGGATGGAGGCTGAGAAGTCGGGGCGGGTCGGAGAAGGGGAGCGGTGTCGAGGTGTGGTTCTACAGCGGCAATGGCAAGAATGGTAGCTGCGCTGGGGAGGGCCTGATAAGGGCAGGCGCTGCGGACACGTCAAGCTGCGGTGCCAAAGCTAATAATGCGCTCACCACCTGCTATGCCGTCGACGTGCATGCCGATCCGGCACGGCCGCTGCGAAGCGCGCGCGGCTTCACGTGACGGTGGCTGTTACGAGAAGTGGACCCCAGCCATCCGCAAGGCCCGTTTCGTTTTCGAAAGGATGGCTTGCAGCCCCTGCAGCCCTGGCGACGGGGAAGCGGATTTACCGCGGAATTGCGTTCTCTTGAGATGGCGGGAGCAGCGCGAGTCAGGGGCCGGGACAAGCCTGCCACTGCCAGGGCGGGCGCGACGACTATCCACCAGCGTCAACCGCAGCTTGGGACGCGGTGCTAGCTGGCTAGCACGCCGTCTGATGATGGATCGCCGTCGGGTCGGGCTGCTGTTCCGGCCGTGGTCGGGCAGGGCGGTGTCGAGGCCAGGTGGTGCGAGAGGCAGGCGGTGCCGTGATGCGCTGTGCGGCGCAGGCTCACCGTGATGCTGATGGCGATGCTGATGGCGATGCTGCTGCCAACCCGGTGGCCGTAGAGCTCTTGAGAGGCGCAGAGACGGCTCCAGCCGGCGCCGCCGGGCGCAAGAGCGCGCGCAACGCCCGGCGGCTGGCGGCTGGCGGCTGGCGGCTGGCCGCACGTGCTTGCAGGCGCATGCGGCCCTAACAGCGAGCCGGCTTCCGCGAAAGCTAGGACGATGCCGAGTCGAGAGTCCCGCTGCCGCGGCTGGGTGTTGGAGGTCGGATCAACCGGGATGTGGATCCACGGCTGCAGCTGGGCAGGCCATGCCTCTGTGCTCCCGGACGTCGTGGCCGTGATCGTGCAGCGAAGCCGGCCTCCGCATGCGCGCGATGCGGTGAGGACTCGATCCTCCGCATCCCCAGAGCGCTGCCAGCGGCTGCAGCAGATCGATCTCCGGGCCGGTCTGCGCTGTTCCTTCGGCCATGCCCGAGTCATGGCGCTGGATGACGGCCGTGGATGCGCCTTGAAATTGAGCCGACCAGGAGCCACATCTCCAGCATTGCTCAACATGTCATGTCGGAACCACTGTGCTGGGTGGCCCACCGCTCTCGTCCTCCTTTTCCTGCCGTGCCCGAGAGCCCTCAGACGGAGCCTCCATCCCCCGGGCCTGCGCGTTTCAGCATGGCTGGTGAAGTGCTGCTGTCCCTGCTCTTGCCCTGTGTCATCACGCCTGCCGTTCTGCCATCCGCCAGCCTCCTCGCCGGGCAGTGACGACGCCTTGCCGCCGTGCACGGCCTCAGCCCTCTGGGTCCCGCCTGCCCTCCCCGAACCCGCGTCCTCGGCGGCCGGCCGGTACACTAGGTATCCTCTCCCTAAACTTTAACTGCACTCCACCCCGTGCTTGCCCTCCGCCGCTCTCGCCTGTTCTCGCCTGCTCTTGCCGCCCAAGGGGACTCCGTGGCTGTCGGGTATCAGAACGCTCCGCTCCGCCGGCCGGCCCTGCTGCTCTGGTCCGTCCCTTCCCTGGTCGAGGTCGGGCCGCCGCTGCCTTCACTGCTGCACTCGTCAATCCACCGCCCTCACCAACTCACCCGCGCCTCAAGCACCATCACCACCCACCTGCTCCCTGCGTGGCCCTTCGCCAACCGCCGTCCGGGCCCGGGCCGCGCTCTCACCGTACACCCACGCCTCGCCAATTGGCAGCGCAGCAAGCGAAAAAGGTTTCATTGTGTTTGCTAGCAAGAACGCCCCGTCACATATGCCGCGCCAAAACAATCTGGTGTGTGCTCTTCCCGCTGTCGTGTGGTTGGTCCAGTCTCGCACCTCAGTCCCGCGCATCCGACGCGCAGTGCCAGGCCTGTCTCGTGGCTAACCGCCGACGCAGAAGACCCACTTCTTCCCCGCAAAGGATTTACGTTCGCTTCCGGCCCCAAGCCACGGTCCTGTGTCGAACGTCAATGCTTGGTCACACAGCAGTGGTGAAGCCGTCTCACAGCGGAATGTATAGCTTCAACAGCGGATCGGCGGCCTCCGCCCGGGCTCGGTCCGTCAGCGCCGCCACCTGATCCCTGGTCCAGCCCATGCGCGTTGTGAAGGGCCATATCGCGAGCGAGTCGAGCATGGCGCCGATGTTCTCGAGGTTCTGTTGGCCAACCCACTGCAGTCTCGGATCTACGACGAGGATGCCCGTTAGCCGAGTGTTACACAAACCAGGCACCAAGGCGGAAGGTCGATTCCGCATGCCCCCAGGTCCGTTCCGTGTGGGGACCACGCAATTGAAGCGCCTTACCCGTCGGCCATCCTCCAATCGGCATTCGATACGTGACCTCTTGCACGTCGGATAAGCCTGCCGAGCGCATCAACTGTCCTAGGTGTCGGCCTACACGAGGATCCCGGTCCTGCTCCATCGTGCGTCGGTAACAGTTGGACCATTGCATCAACGCGTGCTCGTCGGTCAGCAGTCCGCTGTCTGACTGGATGATGTAGTAGAACTCAGCCATTTGGACCCAGCCGCCGCGCTTGAGCAGCCGGACCATGTCTCGGACGTATCGCGGCCACCGGTCTTGCTTTATTCCAGGCGCCACAAGCCTCGAGTGGATCAAATCGTACTCGTTTGGTTTATAGGTCGGTGTGAGCGTCTGGTTCAAGTCCCATGCTTCAATCTCCAGGTTGTCCGGCTGGTCGTCAGGAAGCTCGTTTGTGGGATACACATCGATGGCTGTTACCTACAACATCATCTGTCAGTAAAGAGTTTTCGCGCCGCCGTAGCGTCAGGGCCGCCTTTCGAGCAGGACGACCCCGGACCGGCATCTCTGCCTCTCTTGACCCGTTCGAAAAATCGCATCTTCAGTCTCCTTCTGGCCCTCTATCGCTCATCCCTTACTCGAGCCAGAACGAGACGCGCCACTCAAGGACATACCTCGCTGTCCGGATAGTTCTGCGCCATCTCCAGAGCCCAGTTTCCTCGGCCGTACCCGCAGTCGAGGACCTTTTTCGGGTTCTTGATGGGCGGGAAAAAGAGCCGGCCTTCAAAAAGATATCGCAGGATCTGGTGCTGGTTTACGAGCCGCTGCTCTTCTTCCTGTTGTCGCCTTAGCCCACGTCTGCTTGACCGTCACACACACCCTGGCCGCCGTAATCCCAACCGGGTCTTCCAAGCTGAGACCGGAACAATAGGCTGCACCCCATCTGTGACGCTGGAAAGAGCACGCCGCACTTACCTCATCCACCGGAACGCAGTATATTTGGTTGTCAAGGGAGAATTTCTGGAATTCTCGGTCGTGCAGCTCCACGATCTCCCTGTACTCATCAGACACAGACTCAGTCATCCTGTCGCCCTCCGTTTACGATGCGCTGCCTGATTGTTTGGGTGCTGAAGTTTGTTCTTGTACGACGTGGGTGACGTGCATTACCATGGGCAAGGTTGGATGCTCGGGGCTCTACCAGCTGCCCGGGATAGCGTGGGTGCGCGCAGCGTGGGCACACGATGCCTGACGCAGCGGAAGCCGGCCAGCCCCGCAAGAGCGCCAGTAGGCCCCCTTCCGCCAAACAAGAACGCGTCTGTCATGTGCGTCATGTCACAGGAACAGCAGCATGAAGGGGCCTGCGCAAGCCTCACGATCTTCTTCATTTCATCCGGAGCTTTCTCCTCGCGCAATAAGGACGAGACGGGACCCCAAAAAGCGCGGACTCACGGGCGAACCAGTTTGTGCTGCCGCATGGGGCGAAGAACACCCGCGCCATCGACGGACACAGCCGCAAATTGGTGAAACATGATACGCACACCGGTCCTCACCTGACAAGCGACCAAGACGCATACCAGCCTCAACAGAAAGTGACGGAAAAGAGCCAAGGTGGTTAAGCAAAGCCTTTCGCCCCAAAAGACGGTGAAGCGGCCGCAACCACAGCAACAGCGGGATTACTATGCAAGCAATGCAAAACATGCCGCGAGTTCTAGACTCCGAGAGCGTCGGAGCCACGGGCAAGGCTTGATGCGGGCGCCCGCCATTACGAAATCCCGGCTAGTCCAGGCTTCACCATTCGGTCATTATCTGCCGCCTGCGTGGGAGTGCATTGAGACCTGCAGGCTGATCGGAGAGCAGTCGCTCGGCACAGTACACGCTCCCTAACCAAGCCTCCCTTTCCCTGGTACCTCCTCCTCGATGCCCGGAGATGCCAGCTTCGTCACGGCAAAGCGCCCTCCACGCGAGCTCGGCCGATTGGATCACATTGGCTTGTTGGCCGTCTCCACCTGTTTTAGCACCGGTGGGCCCCCGCTCGGCAGCGGCGGGCTGGGGATCTTCTGGCAAGGCAGCGTCATTTTGGTCACAGGTCGTAGTGATTCCCAATCACACTGCCGAAGCGCCCAAGTCGCTGCAGGTTTTGGGGTGTGGCCAAGGGCAGCTGAAGGGCTGCATCAGGCCGCCATCATCGAGCCAGGTGAGTACATCGTCCACTCCTCGACGCAGTAGCTGGGCTGGCCGCACACTCCCTACCAGCGTCCTATCGATGCACCCACCGCTGTTGTTTGTCATTTCCATTCAGAGTGAGGCTACCTTCAATTACCGAGAGCACCGCGATCCGAAATGACGCGGTGACGGCCGCCGGGCAGGGCAACGTCCGCCACCGGCAGGGCCCGATAAGGCTTGGTGACGGGAGTTTTCCCGAGGACATGGCCTTGGGACGGGCAACCGTGTGCCCTCTCTCGCTCCTCACTTTGCGATATTCAGGGTCACGGCGTTTGGCAGGCCGATGCGGACGCTACAAGATTGAAGGGAACGGACTGTGTAGGGCCGTGATTTGCCCGCGGGCTAAGTGCGTTTGGGGCGAAGACAAGGCTCCTGGTTTGCGCTCTCCTTTCGCTTATTTAGGCGGTGGCCACGTGGGCGCCAGTCCGCCCAGGCTGCGGCCTGTCTCCTGTACGAAACCATCTGTGTCACTCAGTCCTGACCTCGATTCTCGCAATCAGGAGATGGCTATAGCTGGGCCGCAGACTCAAGGTGCGAATGCGATAGATCTTATGCCGACTTTTGAACACTTGGTGGGCAGCCTGTCGGATCCGCCTCCGTCTCAGCTTCTTACCCGGCGTTCATCAAATAAACAACGAAATCCGGATAGGTCGGTCTTTTCGAAGAAGTCGGAGAACCGCCGAAGAACAATCGCCGACTGTTCTCTTGGGTCCTCCCTTTGGCTGGGGATCGGGGCCGAGTCGTTTCGTTTGCGGCAAAGTCTGCAAGGCCTGAACGAATCAATATAACGCCCGATAGCACCACATTTTCCCTTCTCGGAGGAACACTGCAGCTGACCTGCGTCGGCTTGGAAGATGGCTTCCAGGGCTCGCACAATGCACCCGTCCAGGAAGTTCCACGGCTTTCCAGAAGATGGGCTCCGCTGATGGGCACGGCTGGAGGCAGGGAAGATTACATCTGGGGCTTTTGAGGGGCAGCACGTCCTAGCTTCGCTAACAACCATGCGTTCCATGGCCGTATCTTACCGTTTCCATGGTGCTGCAGTTCCCTGGGCTCGGTCGTCCGCTGAGCGGCTTGCCCCTCGTCCGTCTCGGCGGTTCTCCCCCTCAGAGGACGAAGATCGCAACTGCACACTGTGTGAGGGAAACCCATGCTGCATACATCTATATTGGAGACCACGTGCCAATGCGGAGACAAAACAGCTGAGGGCTGCCCCTTCGATTTGTTTCAGACAGAGGCTACTGTAGGTTCCAACGCACCAATGACAGCAGGATGACAACGATGGACAGACAACTCCCAGCTCGTCACTCCCTACAGGCAACGGGAGTAGCAGGGGTTTGATGTACTGATACCTCATGATCACTTCTTCAATAGGTAGAAATTGTGCACATCCTCCGCTGCCAGTGAAGAGGCCTGGCCCCCTCGCCTTCTCCTCTTCCGCCTCCACCAACTGGCCGTTCCCTTGGCCCTCCACTCCGCGCACACGCCGAGCGCGGGTACAGCTGCCTGACCGGTCAAGGAAAATATTTTTCCTGCGGACTTTGGTTAGTGGGGTAGCCACAGCGTCTTCTGATAGCCGCATCGCACGATTCAGTCGTGCTCGGCAAAACCGACCACAGGGGCTAGCGCACATAGCCTCCGGTAACAAGCAATGATTGAGATGTAGTCTGCTAACCGTTCAAGGGCCCAGGTAAGTAAGTAAGCCACTTGCTCAGGAGAGATCGATAACTGGAGGGTGTATGCTGGATGACCATTCCCGCACGCGGGCAGACTTGTCTTGTGCGTGCACCTGTCACACACTGCTTCATTCACCTCCTTTCTCTTGAGAGTCTGAAGCTAACAGTCAGGCTAGCACGACCGCCTTCAGCTACTATTCCAGAAGGCACCTCCCTCCTATACCAGCAATCGAGCTTCAACACCGCCTGCCAACGACACAACCAGTCACTACGGCCGCCGCTACCACAACCACCGACCGAGCCTTCAACACCAATGTTTTCAACTCGCCCATCGAACAGAAAATCTGAAACCGGGTAAAAGCGCCAACGATTCCACACATAACACGCTTGAGCAAGTCCTGTGTATACATACATCCCAGCAAGATGCAAAGCTCTCGCAAGGTCTCATTAATGGCTGCTCACGTATCGAGGTAGGCTGAGATATGTGCTTTTGGATGGCATTGCCTACTCGCCACTTGATGGTTTCGCAGGACCTGCCAGCGGTCGAGTCGGAATTGACGAACCTCCTATTCCTACACTTCATTGGGCTCGATGCTTCGTTCGAAAGGATTCATTGCGCAATTCTGAAATCATTGGTAGAGAACTCGAAGGACTGCTGAACTAGCAAGCGGCGGTGAGAGAGTCACCGATCAGGAGATAGCGATGCGGTTGCGGGCCGAGCCGTGGCTCGTGGCGAAGCAAGTACCATAACCGATGTCGGTTCTTCTTCGCACGTCCGGCATATCTACCAAAGGCGCTACTGAAGCGGTGTCGATGGGTTCGCCTATCGTGCCGCCATAACGAGTAGGCGGGATGATGGAAAGGGGGCGGAGCTGTCGCCACGCGGTACTGACATCACAGATCTGACAGTTGCGAACTGTCCAACGCCACCACCACACCGAAACCCCTCTTCCTACCGCGACACGAAACCGATTCATGAGCGGTTCCGGACATCGAAAATGGACGGCTGAGAGGCCGGATCGCGCAGTCAAATGAACCTACTATCCACCGCCTTCCGCAAAAGCGCCGTCGCCCATGCACCCGAACGAACAAAGCACTACGGCCACCTTCACATACGTCCGAAGCCACCGAGCTTTCCTTCAAACTTACGAGCGTCGTTCCGTCTCAAAGTTGTCCCAGGCTCAACGATGAGAGTCGGTTTTCTCGTTCAATATTCTACACCGCGCGTATCCACAAATATCCCACCATCGATTACCTGATCCGCAGAACGTCGACGGCGGATGTTAGAATAAGGTGTAGGAACTCCACACTCGAAGTGTAGGTTACGACAAGGGTAACCTTGAAGGAGCACTATGCTGCGGCATCATACCCGCGCGTCCATATGATACGCATACTTGTGCGAATACGGTAGGTCGTACTTTGCTTACTCATTTCGTGAATACCACAGCACTTTGATGCGCTTCAAAGTTTATCCAGCCCTCTGTCTCCTATCTTTAGGCACGATTACGCAACGAATGAACGGTGGTAATACCAATGGAGTCGAGGCTCCGTGATGTGTCGTTCGCCGATCGGGGCCGGCTGTTCGTTGTTTTCTCGCTTCAACGATCACCCGATCAAGCATATTGGTACACAAGCTCACAGTTCTAATAATAGTGTTTCGCATGTCTTGTCATATTCTAATCTCGATATACGGGGAATCTATCTACCCACTTGCCACTTCTGCGCGTGTTTATTATTGGAATGCGGCAGCGCCGGAATGGGGATCACCAATCCGCGTCCCTCATCGACGGTGCATGTGAAGGACCGACCAGACAGCTGGGCCTAGGTACCATCATCGAGTCTGAGCTTCTTTGTCAAAGCTTCGTTCGCCTCATTCATGTATGCATGGAGATGATCATCTTCCTTGAAGCGGACGTGGGCATTGTGGGACCAGTGTTCCGACTTCTTGAGTCGCTCTCTCACACACTCTCTCGCTCTTGCACTCTCTTCCTCGCTTTTTGACTAATTCCAAGCCTTTGCGCATGATTACCCCTGACGATTCTCATTTACAGTGGGAGTACGGGTTGCCTATCCACAACAATGGCACAATGCTAAGTTTTCTTACCTTGCGCGACGTGTTCGGTTCTCTGTTGCTGTATTGCATGCACACGCGTCTGGTCTACAGCTTCTCGACGGACTTGACGCGGCGGTCCTTGCCGACGACGAGGCGGAGCTGTTTGCCCTTTTCGTTATTGAAGATGCCGGCGCGCAGGGAGTTTGTGTAGAGCTCGTAGGCGGGGTAATCTTTGAATCCAATTTTCGTGAATTAGTATTGGTATGTCCCGCAGACGTATTGCTTTTGATCTTTCGTGAATCAAGAGAGATATGGCAGAAAGACGAAAGATGGCAAGAGCAGGGTAGAAGGACAACCGCCGCGAGGGCGCGCGCGTGTGCGGGGAGAACTTACAGCCGTTCACAAAGTTGATGACCTGTGCATCCGTCATGCCAGTTCCTTTGGCAGCGCGCATGGCGGCTTCTTGCTGCAGGCGCCAGTCGTAGACGTACTGTGTCTTCTCGGCATCGATGTGCGCGAAGGCGTCGAGCATGCTGAATTTCCGGTTTCCGCGCGAGGGGCAAGGCGCGGAAGCCATATCAGCACGATACCGAGCAAACCACCCACGCCTCAATTATCACCCGGGTGAGCGGCCCAGGCTCCCCGCCCCTCACCACCATTTTTGTGCCAAGTAGCCAAAAGTGGGGTAGTTTGAAGAGCATGCTCTTGGGCAAGCAATGGGGACAGAAAGAGAGAGAGAGAGAGATAGAGAAGGGATGAAGGCAGCCACTCACTCAGTCAGCGCGTCGTACTCGCGCAGCTTGTCGTTCACGAAGCGCAGGTGCGCGAGCTCGTGCCGCGCCAGCTGTCCGTCGTAGCTCTCGCCCGCGTCGACGCGGCGCCTCGCGTCGGCCCAGCGCGCCTCCAGCGCCTCGTCCGGCAGCGCGCGGAAGCCGACGCACCAGCCCTCGAAGATGACGACCTCGACCGGCGGCCGGCCGGGCCTGTTCACCTCCTCCCACGCCTCGGCCGGCGCGCGGTCGCCCGCGCCCGCGAAGCGCGACTTGTCGTAGACGGGGATCTTGGTCGGTCGTTTGTGCAGGAGCGAGGCGAAGACGGCGCGGCCGAGCGCGAGGTCGTGCGTGCCGGGCTCGCCGCGGTGCTGGATGAGCGGGTTGGTCGGGTCGGTCGAGGCGAGGGCGATCTGGTCGGCGTGCGTGAGGTAGAGGTCGTCGATGCTGAGGACAGCGGTGGGGAGCGAGTGCGGCGGGGAACGGAGCGTGGCGCAGAGGGTCGTGACCTGTGAGGAATGGAGAGGTTGGCTATCAGTGGTCGGCGCTTTTTCTTTTTTTTTGGTTTGTTGTGGGAGGGACTGCATTTCTCACCAGGGTCGTCTTGCCGGCGCCCTGCACGCCGTTCAGGCCCAGGAAGAAGGGCCGCGCATTCTCGCCGTGGAGAGCGCGGTGGGCGTTGATGCGGTCGAGGATGAAGGGGATGCAGTGCTCGGACTTGTCGTCGATGATGGCGGACATGTCTGCGGTTCCTGGTAGGCGGGTTCAAGCTCGAGCTCGTGCTTGGGCCGAAAGTCGAGTGGGTTGGTGGGAGCCAGAGTTTACGGACGGTAGCGTCATCGTCAGGGCTCCCAGTGCTCCCAGGGCTCCCAGGGCCACTGGCATGTGAATGCAGCTTGCTCTGGATTCGTGGGGTGCCGTCTAGCGCCCCCACAAAATGCCTTGGGTGCTGCTCCCCCGCCAATGGCGGCGTCGGTTGCAGCACAGCCGAGGCTGTGACGACGATTGCCGTGAGCAGCTCGGCTTCGTCCACGCGCGCGTTCCCTGCGAAGCTACTTTATTCCTATCCCGCACCGTGACGGCCCCCCTTCTCCGCAGCACCCTTCGCCCTTCTCCAGCTTTACCCTTCTCCTCCTCCACACTTCTCCACACGAGAGCTTCGCAGAGCTTCCGTCGATCGGCTCGTTGTTTCTCTCTTCTTTGTACTGCCCCTCCACACTGCTTCCATCATGGCCGAACAGCTGCGCTTCGATGGCCAGACCGTCGTCGTGACGGGTGCTGGCGGTGGCCTGGGTAAGGCCTATGCCACCTTCTTCGGCTCGCGCGGCGCAAACGTCGTTGTCAACGACCTGGGCGGTTCCTTCAAGGGCGAGGGCAACTCGACAAAGGTGCGTCTCCGAAGCTCCCAAAGCTTCCCCGGACAGCTCCCCGAAGCTGACTTTCACATGTGAAAACCGACAGGCAGCGGATGTCGTCGTCGACGAGATCAAGAAGGCCGGCGGCAAGGCCGTCGCCAACTACGACAGCGTCGAGAACGGCGACCGCATCATCGACACTGCGGTCAAGGCCTTCGGCCGCATCGATATCCTCATCAACAACGCCGGTATCCTCCGCGATGTCAGCTTTAAGAATATGAAGGATGCGGACTGGGACTTGATCAACTCTGTCCACGTCAAGGGTGCATACAAGGTGTGTATACTCCAGAGCGCCTGGCCTATTCAAGGGACGGATGGAAGCTGATGTTGGGTGTAGTGCGCAAGAGCAGCATGGCCACACTTTAGGAAACAAAAGTATGGTCGCGTCATCAACACCGCGTCCGCAGCAGGCCTCTTCGGCAACTTTGGCCAGACCAATTACTCCTGTAAGCACTTTCGTAGCTCTACGACAAGCAGCTGCTAATACGAGCACAGCTGCCAAGTTGGCCCAGGTCGGTTTCACTGAGACCCTGGCAAAGGAGGGTCTCAAGTACAACATTCTCGCCAACGTCATTGCTCCTATCGCAGCAAGCCGCATGACCGAGACCATCATGCCTCCAGATGTCCTGGAGAACCTCAAGCCCGACTGGATCGTTCCGCTCGTTGCCGTCCTGGTTCACTCCTCTAACACCGAGGAGACTGGCTCGATCTTTGAAGTGGGCGGTGGCCACGTTGCGAAGCTGAGATGGGAGCGTGCCAAGGGTGGTCTCCTCAAGGCGGACAGCACAATGACCCCCGGCGCTGTTCTATCCAAGTGGAATGATATCAACGATTTCTCCAAGCCCGAGTACCCCACTGGCCCGGCCAATTTCCTCGAGCTGCTCGAGGAGGCCCAGAAGCTTCCCGGCAACCCTCCGGCACAAAACCCCGACTTCAAGGGCAAGGTTGCGCTCATCACTGGTGGCGGTGCTGGTCTTGGTCGCGCATATGCTCTGCTCTTCGCGAAATACGGCGCCAAGATTGTCATCAACGACCTGGCTGACCCTGATACTGTTGTTCAGGAGATTCAGAAGCTAGGCGGCGAGGCTGTTGGCGTCAAAGCCTCGGCCGAGGAGGGCGATACTGTCGTGAAGGCCGCAATTGATGCCTTCGGCCGCATTGACATTATCATCAACAACGCCGGTATCCTCCGCGATAAGGCTTTCGCCAACATGGACGACAGCCAGTGGGACTCGGTCATGAATGTCCACCTCCGTGGCACGTACAAGGTTTCCAAGGCCGCCTGGCCTTACATGCTCAAGCAGAAGTACGGTCGCATCGTCAACACTACCTCCACCAGCGGTATCTACGGCAACTTTGGCCAGGCCAACTACGCTGCGGCCAAGTGTGGTATCCTCGGTTTCTCTCGTGCTCTTGCCCGCGAGGGTGCCAAGAACAACATCTTCGTGAACACCATCGCTCCCAACGCCGGTACCAACATGACCCGCACCATTATGCCTGAGGAGCTTGTCCAGGCATTCAAGCCTGACTACGTCGCTCCTCTCGTTGTTGCCCTCTGCTCGGACAATGTCCCTGAGCCCACTGGTGGCCTTTACGAGGTCGGCAGCGGCTGGCAGGGCGCCACAAGATGGCAGCGTTCCGGCGGCCACGGCTTCCCGATCGACGTCAAGCTTACCCCCGAGGCTGTCAAGAAGGTGTGGCCCAAGATCATCGACTTCGACGACGGCCGTGCCGATCACCCTACGGAGCCCAACGACAGTGCTGGCAAGATCATGGCGAACTTCCAAAACAGAAGTGGTTCGGCGGGCGGTAAGTCCAAGCTCTAGATTAGCCATTCAAATTTCGTCCTTGTAAAGTCTCGCATAGAGAAATCTTTTTGTATAATGAAAGAAATGTATACCCTATTCATCATCAATCCTGAACCCACCCACTCTTTTCTTGTGATAGTTGCTCGGCTGTGTCCCACTGTCTTCTTGGCATTATATTGACTGATTGGTTTAGAATCCTCCGACGGCGACAACGAGTACCTCAAAAATATTGAGGAGGCGAAGAAGGCAAAGGCTGACGGAACCGAGTTCACTTATGATGACCGTGATGTCATCCTCTACAGTGAGTGAATTGGCACCCAATGAAACAACGGTCGTGTAGCTAATGTTTCCTCACCAGATCTTGGTATTGGCGCGAAACGTACCGACCTACCTCTCGTCTTCGAGAGCGACGAAAACTTCCAGGTCGTCCCGACTTTTGGTGTCATTCCTCCCTTCAATGCCACCGTTCCCTTCAGCATGGCCGACGTGGTCCCCAACTTCTCGCCCATGATGCTTCTCCACGGCGAACAGTACCTCGAGATCCGCAAGTTCCCCATCCCGACGTCTGCCACGCTCGTCTCGTACCCGTCGTTGGTCGAGGTCGTCGACAAGGGCAAGTCGGGCATCATCGTGACGGGCACGGTGACCAAGGACAAGGCCACGGGCGAGGACCTCTTCTACAACGAATCCACCGTCTTCATCCGCGGCGCGGGCGGCTTCGGCGGGCCCAAGAAGGGCGCGGACCGCGGGCCGGCGACCAAGGTGCACGCGCCGCCCAAGCGCGCGCCCGACGCGGTGGTCGAGGAGCAGACAACGGAGGAGCAGGCGGCCGTGTACCGCCTCAGCGGCGACCGCAACCCGCTGCACATCGACCCCGAGTTCAGCAAGGTCGGCGGCTTCGACACGCCCATCCTGCACGGCCTGTGCTTCTTCGGCATCGCCGGCAAGCACATCCTAAAGACGTTTGGCGCCTTCCGCAACATCAAGGTCCGCTTCGCGGGCACGGTGCTGCCCGGCCAGACGCTGCGGACGGAGATGTGGAAGGCCGGCAACACGGTCGTGTTCCAGGTCGTCGTGAAGGAGACGGGGAAGCTGGCGATTGCGGGGGCGGGCGCGGAGTTGCTGGGCGCGGAGAAGGCGAAGTTGTAAAGTAGATTGTGTCATATGATTGAGGGGGGTAACTTGACGAAAGGGAATTTTTGGGATATGTGGACGGGATGGTATCGGCTTTTCTTCCCCCTCATATGCATCCTTCCATGTATGATTCAAAATGAACATAGGGTTTTCGGGGATTCTTCATCTGGTATGGCTGCCAGCTGTCCTATTTTGAGTTGTGCTTGTCATCGTTTCAATGATGCAAGTCATCTACATAGCCATTTGTGGACGTCCCTCTCCCCACGAGGGTCCTCGAGGGTAGATGGGGTATTCGTGCCTCTCTTGGAGCTAAGCCGATAATGATGCTGTCCCTGTCATCCTTGCGAGTCGAGAACCTCTCAATCTCCGTCGTAGAGGCCATCCGCTTCTACCGGCACTCTATCAGGGCCGACGATATGGGACTCCTGAGAGTATGCGGGACTGCAGTCGCCCCATGTGCAATTTGCAACCGTCGGTGCAGAGCGCTTGTAGAGAAAAGGGGTAAGGGGGCGCGGTGGAGAGGTTGGAGAAGTGGCGGTTTAGGAGGAGGTTGCGGATTTGGTCGTACATCTTGTAGTCTCCATTCTTCAAATCCAAGTACCTAAATTCATTTGGATCTGAAGGTCTTCTCAGGAATGTCGCTATCAGTTCTCGGTCCACTCAAGGTCCGGTTGGTTGATTATTTCCGGATCATAGCTGTTCTCTTCATGATCGATCCCCCAGTCGTAATCTTCCTCGCTATCGGGTTGCTCCGATTCCATATGCTGGAGCCGTTTATGACTTGATGGAGATCTGATCCGGACAGTGCGCAATGCGGCCGTCCCAAATGGCGCGGAACCCGTCAAACCTGCCCATGTCTATGTGCCTGGATGCCTCAACGATCGGACGGGGAAGGTGCGTTTAAGCGGCCCAAATTGCATACATGAGGCTCAAGTGCTTCTTATGGCCTGATAGATTGGTAAAACACATACTGCGAGCTCAGGCAGACTATTGGCATTCGCGTAAGACGCCATATCCATGTCCACGCCCTCACTCATTGAGGAACAATGACCATGCGATCCCCACCCTTCTGGCCCCAAGCCTCCTCAATGTCCTCCAGCTTCACTTCCCGAAACTTGTACGGCCTGATCTTCCCCGCCACAATCGCCTCCACCATCTTCGGCGCCTCGGCCGCAAACGCTTCCATCTGCCAGGCGCCGGGCCCAGCCCCTCTCATTGTGATATCCTTGCTCCTCAAAACATCCCCCGGCAACGCCATATCCCTCTGCACCACCGTCCCAATCTGCACGTACTGGCAGCCATTGGGGCGCTTCGGCCTCAGCGCCCTCAGCAGCCCCAACGCCGGCGGACCGTACAAGAAATCCAGCACCACGTCCGCCTCAGCCGCGACGCCGTAATCCGTATGAGCAGCAGCGCCGTCCCCGTCCCCGTCCCCGTCCCCGCCCTGCAGCACGACCACCGCATCCAGCCCCAGCCCGCCGTCCATCAGCCTGGCGGCGTCGCGCCCCACGCCGACGACCCTGCCCGCGCCCCACTCCCGCGCCACGCCCACGGCCGCCGCCCCCGCCAGCCCCGTCGCCCCGACCACGACCGCCGTCCACCCGGCCGGGGGCTCCGCCGCCGGGACGACCGGCCGCACCCGCGCCGCCAGCGCCATCCACGACGCCATCACCGCGTTCATCTGGCCCGCGACTTGCACCGCGACCGACCTGATCCGCACGTTGTTGTCGTCGTCGTCGTCGTTGACCCCCGCAGACGAAGACGAGAACGGCAACGAAACCGGCACCGGCACCGTCGCCGCGCGCGGGACGTTGACCACCTCTGCGAAGCTGCCGCTGCTGCCACTACTGCCGCCGCCGCCCCCACCACCGCCGGGGGCCGCCGCCTGCTGCACCATCAAGGTCGAGAAGTAGACGAGGCGCCCGTCCGGGACGGTGGTGCCCACGCCGTCGACGCCCGGGACGTGCGGCAGCGCCCGCGGCGTCGACGCGGTGCTGTAGTGCGTCCCCGCGGCGCGGGAGCGGACGAGGGTGGGGAGGCCGGCGGCTAGGACGCGGATCTGGACCATCGTGTCGTCCGAGGTGGTGGTGGTTGACGAGGCCGGGGAGGAGGAGGAGGAGGAGGAGGAGGATGGGCCGGCGGGGAGGGCGGGGATGGGGACGGTGGTGCAGGTGGGGGGTTGGCCCCAGGCGGAGACTTGGGCTTGCTTCATTGTTGTGGCGGGCATGGTCGGTGGGGGTGGTGTAGGGACGGGGGAGTGGGTGGGGAGAGAGTGAGGTTGAGTGGTGGCGTTTGCAGGTTGGTCTCGCAGCGTGTCTGGTTGCGAATCGGAGGATATGGAGAATGGAGGGTTGGTTCATGTGAGAGCGAATGGAGGTGTGGGGTAGAGTAGGCTCTGTCTACTTATATACTTTTGCTTTGCGTGCTTATGCATCCGTCCTGGTGCCTTGAGATGCTGGGTAAGGTAGGATTGGTACTTCAGCCCCACTTTCCTGTTCAGAATTAGATGAAGGCAACACGGTCGCGCTAGAGCTTGCAAAGGTATGAACCATTGGCTTGTTGCGTTGGACTGTCGAGATGATTTGAATTGTGCATTCTTCCTCGGTGGGGGCTATGCAGCAGACATGCGAAACGGATAATTGCACGATGATCAATAAAGAAGAAATGAGCGTCTTACCTTGTACAAGACGCGACAGGTCTTCGTTGGAAGTACCTGCTTCGTCATGAATGCATGCTGACTACACAGCTGACTCACAAACAGCAGGTTGATGGTAGTCGATTCGCTCTGACAAGCGAATGGCTCGGATCCGGCGCTATTGGACACGCGAGACCGTTGCATAATTTGCATAACCTGTGCCGCCTCTTCAGGACCATCCATATTAAGCACACCATGAGTATGCAAACATTTCGCAACACCTTTTATAGAGTGGCATGATGGCTTTGGGCTTCACTGGTAAAGTGGCAGCTTGTGCAAGGTCATATACTTAATAAAGGCGGTATTTTCACATTGGAGAAAATCCTACCCGGCGATATCTTTGCCCTCCAGCCTCGAGACACAATGTGACCAAGCCGCATGCATTAGCTTCGTACAACGCGGCATCGAACCAATAATGAAGCATCCTGCAGTCCATCGACGGCTTTTCAATAAGCGAGGTGTCGGCGGGGGCGGCCCAGCCTTCCCTCCTCCATCCCATCTCACCTCTCATCCCCACTCCACCAACATGACTGCGCCTTCATGAACTCGGCACCTTCCCTCGCTGCTTTCAATTTCCGCCACAGCTGCTGCGTTTTTCATGTCCAGCGGGTCCTTATGTTCGACATCCTTGGATAACGAGGCTGTGTTGCGCGCAAGATGCCTCGCGATCAACGAGCTCTTACTTATCGCGTCCGTCAGCTCCCACCCGACATCAACAAGGCTAGCCTCGTTCATTTTCTACTACGGGTATTGGCCACAGATGATGTCGTGCCGACCATCGAAGTCTTTTCGCTTGCCCGAAGCTTGACTTCTCCCGACGCCGCCAACTCGAAAGATGCGACAATCGCCATCTATCCGCTTCCTCCACTGCTGGAAAATGGCAAACAGTGGTCCTTTCCCGCCGAGCATGGCAATTCCCAGTATCGCATTGTTGTCGACCTCCACTTCTTGGACTTTACAGTCTTGAACGAAGTCCATGATGACGACCATGTGCTCAAGTCAGTCTACGATTCCCCTTCTGCCAACTTCTCATTCATCTGACCAAAATCCAGCTGCATAGCCATTAGTGGCCTCGCAAGTCATCCTTTTGGGTCCTGGCAATGCCGTTCGAATGAGCACAACTTCATGTGGCTCAGGGACGGGCTCCCAAAAGCGATCCCCGGCATCAGAGCAATCACCTACGGCTACGATACCCACCTGAACGACAGTACATCCTTCAAGTCGATCCCGGATATTGCCTTAGAGCTCGTCAACCGTCTGACAGCCGTGGGCTTAGGATGGCTTTCTTCCAAGCCAACCGTCTTCATCGCACATAGTATGGGCGGCATCATCTTGAAAGAGGCCTTGGTTGTCTTGGCGCCCACCTGTGGCGAGGAGCCTTCGATCTTGGGAAAGCTCGAGGCAATACTCTTCTTTGGTGTTCCAAATGGCGGCATGGAAACCGATCAGCTGATTTCGATGGTGAACGGGAATCCAACAGAGGAGCTGATATCGAAACTGTCTCCGGCGTCGGATTATCTGAAAACACTCGATTCGTATTTCAGCAACCTTCAATACACCAGAAAATTCCCGGTAATCTCATGTTACGAGACAAAAACTACCCAGACTGTCATGGTAAGTCGTACAAAGCAACTGCTGGAATGCAAAAAGCTTACTCCGCTCTCAGCAATCCGCTGACGGCAAATGGAGCCGGAGTGGACCGAGAAAGGTAATGGTGAAGAAGGAATCGGCTATTCAAAACTGCTCTCGTGCCCCATTGGGCGAGGTGCGGCCCATTGATCAAGATCATTCAGCCATGGTCAAGTTTGCTCCTGGTGACATCCACTATACTGTAGTCTTGGACTGTCTCAGAAAAATAACTGGCCAGGCGACTTCACTCGGGAGTGCGACCTCCGATCCAAAGACGGCAGGCAATGAGAGCTTCGAACATGGGAACAGGTATAAGGACGAAAGGGGGAGGCCGAATACAAAACAGCCGAGAGATTATTCTACCGCAGGTAGGTATCCGCTGTGGGCTTTGTCTCACCACTGCTAACGAAAGTTTTCCAGAGATTCTGCACTCTCTTTGGATGGATGTGTTCGACCACCGATTGGACGACATTTCTCCTCGTTTTCAATCCACTTTTGAGTGGATGTTCAGTGACGAGTCTCTGGATTTCGCTCCTTGGTTGCTCGATGGAACTGGAGCCTACTGGATTGAGGGGAAGCCTGGTGCCGGCAAGTCAACACTTATGAAATTCGCCTTTCAGGACTCAAGGACGAGAGAACTTTTGGAAAACTGGGATCAACCAGGATCATTCGTGAAGGCCGGCTTCTTCTTCCACCACCGAGGCTCAAAGGCTCAGAAATCTTTCGAAGGAATGTTACGAAGTCTTCTGCACCAGATCCTCAGGGATGTCCCGAGTCTTTGTCAAGAAATCCCAAAGGCTTGCCTGCCTGCCACCGAGAAAGAGAGCTTTGACTGGAGTTTGACCAACTTAAGGCATGCATTTTTCTCTATCTTGGAGCAAAAGCACACACAGCTGAAGCTGTGTTTATTCATTGATGCTCTTGATGAGCTTGATGGGCATCTCGAACTCATTTCTGCGTTCATGAAGAACTTGATTCAACACAAGCCCGGATCAGCAGTGCGCTGTAAGGTTTTCTTTTCGACCCGGCCGCGGCAAATAATCCAAACACATTTCGAACAGTACACGCACTTCAGAATCCAAGACAAAACAGAGAAAGATGTCCGAACTTATACGGAAGGAAGACTGGCAGAATGTTTGGAACGTTTCTCGGTTACAGAGTCATTGCACGCAGCACTAGAAGAGGCCGCCTATCTGGTCGAGTCCATTCTCGCCAAAGCCGACGGCGTTTTCCTTTGGGTAAAACTTGCCATGCAAGACATCAACTTGGCTCTACGTCAAAGTAATGATCCGACTGTGCGCAATCTAGAAGTGCTTCTAGAACGGGTCCCACGAGAGCTAGACGAATTCTACCACTCGATCGTTGAGAGAATCCCTCAGGACTTCAGATGGGAAGCATACCTTGTCCTGGAAGTAATCCTTCGTGCTGAGGGAGAAATTGGGCTCAAAGACATTTACAGCATTGTCCGCTGTTCACCCTGCAAGACTGCGCAGGAATGTCATGAGCGACTGAAGCACCCCGCAGATGCGAAAGCGGTGTCTAATTGGCTCGAAACACTCAAAGATAGGTGCGGAGGCCTCCTGGAGCTCAACGTCAAGAATGACCACATTCAACTCATGCATGAGACGGTACGCGCTTTCCTAAGCCAGCCGGGGCTTCGCCAGCTTTTCTTCCGCCAGTCCATTGTGTCTCGGCCTCAGAATGGATATACTGAGCTTGCCAAATTAATGCTCACCCGCGCTCTGTATCCGTACATCGACCCATTGCAAATCCAGCGTTCTTACTATCATTTCTCCCCCAAATGCATGGAGTACTGCTTCATGGCTGAAAAAACCACTCTGACCTGTCAGTACGAGCTGATAGACATGATTCGACCTATAGCTGTACCACGGTCACTCGTGATTGATCCTCGACATCAGTCAGGCTTGGAACAACTATCTTGTATCGCAAATTCTGGAATGTCTTTCGCCGTGGTCTCCAAACTCCAGCTATACATGCGGCGAAAACTTGAATCATCGTCAGAAGCTCCGATTGTCAATTCAAATCCAGAAAAATCTCTACTGGTCTGCCTCTGTCAAGCGGTGAGAATCCTTTCAGATTTCTATCTTTGGGAAAGCTTAGCAGTCAGTACCGATTATACTTCGATGGCTCATTTGCTACTGGACCACGGCGCTGATATAAATGCCCAATTTATGGGCCTCGTGCCATTCCAGTGGCTTTTTGGGATATTCGATTTCGAGCTGGGTTCTTTCATGCCGGCCCAACTAAGCTTTGGTGAAGTCAGTAACGAACTGATTGAAGTTGCCCGAGCTCTCATCAAACATGGACAAAACCCCGACTGTGATGTATGGAGGTTCCATGGAACTCGACGCATACTGAGGGTGCGACGTTATAAGCCAATCCACTTGTCTAACCCGGCCATGGCGAATCTATTATTGGAGTCAAACGCAGATGTGAATTCAAGGGACTTCAAAGGTCTTACGGGGCTCGATAGATCAATCATTTCAGTATGTGATATGAGACTGTGGGAATTCAGGACGCCGTCTGGGCTCTATAGTAAGGCTCTTATGATAAAGATACTTACTGAAAATGGTGGGTTAATTTCTCGGGCGGGTCTTTCTTGGCTACCAACATGCGTGTCGAGACTCAAGGCTAATGGATACGAGGTCCACCATTTACTTTCTTTACCAGAGAAGTCTAAAACCTCAAAATTCTTGTCATCATCTGATTTTCTATTGGTTCCACTTTTACGAGTTAGAAATAACGGTAAAAGATGGCTCTCTACCCAAATAGATTGACTACTATAAAATAGTGGCACTGGATTATAAGTTATAAGAGAAATTACGGAGATTATAATAGAATTTTATTTTACTCTTTTATAAACCTACTAAATAATCGTTAAAAGAAGGTCGCGCTGTATACTTAGTAGTTAGTGCTTCTATCTAATATAAATCCGGGTAAATAAAATCTATTTTAAAGTAATTTACGTAGTTTAGTTCTAATTTATAATTTGGCATTGTATTATTGTGAAAGTGATACGTACTTTAGATGATTTAGGCCACTATCTATTAGCTTAGATTCTAACACCCCATATGGTCGTCGACTGTCACGCGCGGAGTATTTCGGCAACTCCAAACCCCAAGCCAGCAAACAGCCACCACCGAACCAACAACCGCAACAAGCAAGACACTCCCACATCACCCCACCCAACGGCTCTCTGCCCCCTCCCACACCATCATCCCTCGCAAAAACTTCCCAAACCGACCCACCCACCCAACTCCCTTCCACCCAGCCACTACCGCATACCCCCTCCGCCGCACAAAGTCCGCCACCACCCACTCCCCTCCCCTCCCCTCCCGCAGACCGCAAACCCCACAACAAACCTCGCCACCAGACGAGCCGGCAGCCCACCCACATCTACCACCCCACTCACAGCAGCGCCCTTACACATGCGCGGCGCACTCCCTCTTCCCTCTCACCCGCATCGGCATCGTCCCTTACATCACACACACGGCGGACGGCGGACGACGGGCGGCGAGCGAGCGAGCGAACGGGACCGAAGGAAGTCGCGGGAGCAGCTGCCAAAAAAAAAAGGCAACGCCATTGGGAAGAAGCGGGCGGGTGGCGAGCCAGAAGAGGGGGGGGAGGAGGGGGGATTCCGTCGTGTAGCTCTCCGTTTTTGCTGTCGTTTGACTTGCTGTTGTTTTGGGCTATTCGTGGCGGATGACGGGCGGGAGCGGATCGAAGAGAGGTGGGTGTGGTAGAGGGGGGGAGCAGAGACGGGGGTGACGTGAGTGAGGTAGGTTGTTGTCAGTTGAGGTGATGGGGCAGCGGCGGGACGGTCGAGATTGGGTGGGCGGGGTGGGTGAAGAGGAGGAGGAGGAGGGAGCTTGGGGCCTGGGGCTGTCTTGGGTGAGGGTTCAGGGTTGGGGTAGATAGGGTGAAGGTGGGGGTGAGGGTGAGGGTGAGGGTGAGGGGGGTCCGCTGGTGCGGTCGGGGTTTCTGCTAGGTACGGGCTCTGGTGTGTGTTGCGATGGAGGAGATGGGTTTGATGAGAGACACAGAATGAAAGGAGCTCATGATTAAGGGTTCTATCCGCTACCCGCCTAGTCTTCGCTCTCTCACTCATCACTTCACCTGGCCACTCGGCCACCGAGAACTACTCTTCGCCCCGCGACTGCTCTCAGCGTACCATGCCTTGATATGAATACTTACTTCCGCCTGCTCGACGTATTTGCGTTCTTCGTCAGGATGCAAACCTGTTCGCCTTCCATACCCGTTGTCGCCATGAACTCACCTCAAATACCGAACATCCATCTGACCCGTGACACAAAAACCCTCCAAGGCCATATCAAAATACGGTATAGCATCGAGTTATATGAGTGAAGTTACTGAATTTCATAAAGTATTGAAGCTAATACTCCAAGAATCTCCGAATGCACTTTTTGCCTTTTTGACCATATTATATAACCTTAGTCCCCTCCCCTGCTCCCCCCAATTTTTGTGGCCATGCAACGCATGTCCTCAGCAGTTAGCCATTTTTTTTTTGTTGGCTCCTCTCACGCAAAATGAGTTTCTGCGCTGGCTAAAAGATCCAAGCTGAAAAATCCACGAAAGCAGCTGCTTTTCATCCAACTCAGGCTCAAGGCCTCAATCATCAGATAAATCGATGACGACCGGAGCCGATCCACAGGTGCGCTCACGCTTCACCGGTCTTGTCTCAACAACCTCTAACTCAGACTGATCGTAGGCCCTCTTGGGCCCGCTGGAGCCGGCATTTTCCTCCGACTTGATTTCATTTTTGACGGCAGAGGCCGCTGCATCTCGCTCCTACAGCAATTCCTGTTAGCTACTGTTTGTCACAAGGACTCAAGGAGACTAGTTGATAGAAATCGTGTTGAAAATTGGTGGTGGCTGTACCCTCTGACGACGCACAAGCTCCCGAAGCTCATCTGGGTCTAGCTCCTCGAGCGGACGCTCTTCAAGTGGCTTGAGTGAGGGCGTCCTGGGTATGATGCACTCGGCTTGAAGTGCAGCCCTTGATCGGTATCGGAAGGTGAACTTAGCGAATGGGTCGTCTTCTTTGCTGCCGGCGATGAAAGTTTGTGTGTACATCTTGGCCTTTCGCTTATAGGGTGCTTGAAGCCTATGACCCTTTCAGCGATAGGAAACAGCTTAGTACGAAAGAACATCTGCTTACTTGACCTGATGAGATAGCGGCTTTCCTTTGAGATCTTTCTCTGAGACCTTGCCAATTCCATCCATCGTGATAGTTCTATTGCGGCGATCCTGGGTTTTGGCTAACCCTCTGTGCAGCCTTACGCAGATAGTCCCAACAGATCTAAGATGTTTTTGCATCTCTTCGCTCAAGGTGGCTGTCTCCTGCTTGTCTAGACAGAGAAAACGTAAAGTCAGATAGTCATACATTGAACAGCCCCAGCTCTACGTCTCCCGTATGTCCTCCAGGCAACAGCGTAAATTTTAAATGGAACTCACCAATATCGATGTCTGAAAAAATCATCGGCGATATGGTTGACTTTCCATCCTGAAAAGAAGAAGCACCATTGATAGTCACTGTTTTTCGCAAGTTGTTGTGTTTTTTACAAAGCAGCATCTTTCCATCAACTTTTTCACCATCCACGTAAACTCTGACTCGAACATCCTTCCCTTGACCGAAGCAAGCAGATGGAATAGTGTAGTGGACAGTGAATCTGGCACCTGATATGGCCTCGATGTATCTTGTCGTTGTGTTGTCCGTATCAACCTGACTGCTGTCCACGTACTCTTCGGCTCGTTCACCATTGACTCTCACCTCAGCTTCAACCCCAGGAAGTGATGAGATGACAGCCATGGTGAGCTTTGGCTTCTTGTTTGAGGTGCAGGCGTAGGATGCCGACAGCTTGGTGAGCTATCCAGGTGAAGCGGATTTCTTGATCAGAGCATGGAAACTGCCTACAGAACCGATGGTGAGGTTGTGAGATGTGAGCCTGGGTGGCTCGAGGTGGCTGAAAAGTCAGGTTGTCAAAGTCGAGGACCGGTGAGCGTCGAAATGTGAGTGCGGATGGGTGAGAAAGTGAGCAGTAACGGGGGTGTAGGCAGCCTAGATCCTGTAGGCTGTGATAGGTGCCAACTCTGGCTCCAGCGGGAGCAGCGCTCGAAGACCTTCGTAAAATCAGGCGAGTGTGGTGTTAATGTCACGGTGTTGAAGTGAGAAGGTGACGGGCTGGTGTGGAATATATTTCAGTTGGCCAGCCACGCTAACCTCATCGGGCGGAGGTGGAAGTCCAGGGCCCAACCATGGGTTCATGACACTCAGAGTGCAACCGCATTGGCAAGCCCAAGCGGCACACGTAGCTATCTTGATTGTCTGCGCCGTAGCATAGAAGAGACAACACATCTGCGCTTTCGCTCAATTGGAATTTGCTGCTACATGATCATGCCTTGCCGCTAAGGCAATACTTAACTTTCCGCCAGCCCCATGATTACGAAACTCTCTCCCAAGCGCCTTCAGAGCGACCTTTATCCTGTCGTCACGCATGAGTAGTACGAACTCCAAATAACACCGAATGGATACTAGAATGACCCACACCCAGTTCAGGGAAATCCAGGTCCATAAACCATACCTCAGAGGTCTTCGACTGGCGTGCGATCTTTCTTATTCATCGCTCAAGTCAATGATCTCGATGGGTCCGGAAATGCGTCGACGCTTTCGAAGTCGGACGCTGGTAATCTCGACATCGGAATCCTCGCTTCCCAAGTCAATGACATCGGCGTCACTCAGACGCTCTCCCCGGCCCGGCTCGTCTTTGACCTCTTGCTTGACCTCTCGCTTGAACCTCGGCGGCAGGCTCCGGCGTGCGCCCTGTTGGTCCTGATATCGTGAAATTAGCAGCCACAAGCAAACCAAAATCCCTGGGTGAGAGGCCTACCTTGAGGCGACGAACGAGCTCACGGGCCTCTTCAGCGGTTAAAGTCTCGATTGGGCGGTCCTCGAGCAGCTCAGGCGAGGCGGTCCTCGAGATGATGCACTCGGCCTTCAACGCATCCCTGGAGCGGTAACGGAAAATGAAGGTAGCGAAAGGCTCGGCATCGATTCTCTTACAGTGTTTCCGCTTGGTGAGGCTGTACGGTTGCGGTATCGCCTCCCCAAGCCTGAGAAAATTGGCGTTGGTCTAATAGTGTCATAATTTGGAGGGGGTGTGCACACTCACTTGACCTGATGGCTAATTGCTCGGCCCTTGAGCTTTTTTTCTGGAACGCTGTCGATGATGGTGAAGTTGTGGTTTGATATACTAGTTGAGCTACGTGGAGTTGTAGGTTGCAACTTGGCCCGTAGGACGGTAACTTTGATCTCTCCCAGAGACCGGATGGCCTCAATCTCGGCAGCCGGATGAGCAACCCGATCGTTCTCATCGACTTTTCAAGATAGAGTCATCATTAGCTTGAGGCTTTGGGAGGTGCGAGCACCCGAGCTTACAACAGGGACGAGGGCAGACGTACCGACGTTGACTTCTGAAAAGGCCATAGTCCGATGGACCCACTGCCCATTTTCGATAAGGCGAAATCCAGTGAAGTGGTAGTTTGTTCCATGCCGGCCTATCCATTTTGCCCTCTCGAGGGTGCACTTGCCGGCCTTGTGGCCGTCAACGAACAGCTCCATGTAGAGGTCCGAGGCCTTGTACGCCGGGTCAAGCGACTCGTCGCAGGTGATGGCGACGATGAAGTTAAGGCCTGAAATTGCCTCGACATATCGCGTAACGGTGTCTGAAGTGTCGGGTTCATTGTCGCTAGGAAACTCGTCGAGTGGCAGACCATGCACCATTACCTTGGCATTCAGGCCAGGAACATCAGAGATGATTGCCATGCCGAGGGGTTGGCGTCTTGTGACATGCGAGTGGCCAGTGGCACGGAAGTTCAAGGGCGATTGCCGGGGCCCGGAATGTGGGTGAGAGCGGCGCTGGGTGAAAAGCTTGTCGACGGAATGAAGGCGATTAGCGAGCGAGCTCAGCCTTACGCGGTGGCACGAAACGAGCCCAGTCGAAGAGGCTGCAAGGGCGTGTAGAGCGAGGGTTGGCTGTAAGCAGAGCTGCGCGGGCACGATCGGCAGCCGACGATGGGTAGCGTTGGAGCGTTGGAGCCGTTGGAGCCGAGTAGGCCGTGGTCAAGGTGGAGAGAGGAAGGAGCGCGTCGACGTGCCAGCAAATCAGGTGGGCCCGCCGTGTCATTGGTTACGCGTGGGCAGGCAGTCACGCCAGGCAGCACCGCCAGGCAGCACCGCAACTCGAAAAAAGCAAACAAGCAGGGTCGTATACATTTCAAGCGCTACTGCAATTCTGCTTCTCGTTATTGGTTCGCGTTGCGCCTTCACGTGACTACTCCTCAACAGCAAACACCCGCCTCTCGGCGTGCGGCGTGGGACTTGCAGTATCCGGGAGAAGAGGAAAGGTTAGCTTGTCCGGCCTTGTCTGGATCAGGCGCTCCGCCAGATCGACGCGGCTGCCGTTGTCATGGTTGCGTTTGGGCTTGCTGCTTCGACTCTCGCCGGCATCCGTCTCCCTGCTCGCTTGTTGCCTCATGCCGACCGGCGCTTTTATATGCAGCAGCACTTTGAGCCGCGATCCCCTTTGGCTAGTGGCATGGCAAGTCTGCACCCCGGTGCGCCCTTGTATTCTCTTGACCCTTGGTCCCTCATCAGTTCAGAAAGTCGAACGTCGTGGCCGGCGGGGGCGACTTTGGTGGAATTCCCTCCTCTTCCAGCGCCTCCCAGGACCGATATCTGAACGTGAATTCCGCCCACGGCTCGTCCGTCGGGTCGATCTGCTCCGTTAAGACCCTTCCGCATCTGCCAAACGTTCTCTTGACATTTCCCGTCCTGTTACACCGTCAGCAACCTTCCTCCTCACGTGCTCCTACCCCGACACCATTTTCTGCGTGCCCACTTACGTCGCTTGAAGATCAATCGCCTTTTCCTTCAACGCCCTTTCCGCCACCTTGTTAAACTTGACCAATCCCGTCGGGCTGGTCGGGCTGGGGCAGTCCCTGTGCGGAATCCTCCCCACCTCTTGCACGCGATAAAACCGTGCTTTGATCTCGCCCAAGCACTGCGCCCGCTCAAACTGCGTCTGGTACAAACTCTCCCGCGCATTCCTATCTGCATCGGCACCAAAAAGGAATCAGCTCCATCACGCTCCATCGTCACAGGAAAGAAAAAAAAAGAACGGGGACAGGAGAACACCGCGAGCAGAAAAGTAGAACCGCAAAAACAAAAAACAAAAAACACCAGTACTCACCGACCACCAGCCCCTCGAACCTCAAGCTCCTCTGCACCCACCTCCCGCCCTCCCACCCCATGGCCCCATCGCACACGTACCAGCACGCGCGCTGGCTGGCGTGGCTCTTGAGGTCGATGACGCTGCCCTGGACGCGCATGCCGTCGACGTAGATGCACAGCCCGAGGCTGTACCCTTCGAGCTCGGCGTTGCGCGCGGTGAACTTGATGACGATGGAGAAGTCGGCGTCGGGGATGGCCTCGATGTAGCGCGTGCTCGAGTTGGCGCGGTCCTTGTGCGCCGGCGACGGGTACTCGACCGCGTCCGGCGGCGGGCTGGGCGTCTTGGGCCGGTCCGACGCGATCGATGCGAGGCCGCCGCCGGGCGGCGTGCCCGCCGGGTCGTGGATCCGGACCGTGACTTCGATGCCTGGGCGGTCGGGGAGGATGGCCATGGTTCCTGTCGGGGTTGTTTGGTTGCGTGCCTTTTTTTTTCGTTTTTGGTTGTTGATGAAGGGCGTTCCTGTCGAAAAAAAGGACAAGAGACTGGCGAATGGGAACGAATGAAGAATGGAAGAGGGAACGGTGAGATGAAAGAACGGACGAACGAACGAACGAACGGAATGAAGAAAGAATGAATCAGAAAAGAACTGTGAGAATAGTGAGGAAAGGAAAGCGATAGAAATAAACTCTCCGTCAAGGCTTCTGTTGGCCAAGAAGGGGAAGAAGATCGTAGGCGAAAGGACGAATGACACGAAGATCACCTTTGCTCATGGAAAGCAACCAAACGCACAGTGCGAGGCACGAAGGAAAACGAACAAGGTAATGAACGACAGTGGAGCACAACGGCTAGCCAACGTTGACCAGCTCACGGAGAGCGGACGGAGAGAAATAAATAAAAAAGAAGGAACGCGCGGCAAAGGTAATGAGTGGACGGGGTTGCTGTAAGATACCCGAGAGGAGCACTGCAGTCGTTAGTACCGAGGAGATCTTTCCGGACGCCAGGTCATGACGTTTAGTCGTCTTCGTTCTTGTCCAGCAATATGGGCACGGAAAAGACTCGAAGTCGAGAAGGCACGAAGATCGGAGGCGTCGACAATATTTAGAGTCCTGGCCACGATAAAAGCCCGGCCTCTTCGCTTGCGGGTCAGGGGGCGCAACCGCCCACGCGAGGCGCTCGCGATCATTGACTTCTCACCTTAGTTAAATTATGTACCCCTAAACCCTATCTTGGAACGCCATCCCGCTCCGCACAGGTTGGAGTTGCTGCAACTTGCACCTCGATAGCCCCGGCACCGGCCGGACCCGGCACTTAGCCGTGGTCTTTTGAGGCCGAGACCCAAGGCCGCCCGTCATAGGCGCATCCGGCGATATCACAACGGCAGCTCTGCACTGGCTAAGTTGAGAGGAGAATTTTCATTACACGTCATTTGGATCCTACAGAGCACTCACTAATCTCCTGCGTCTTTTCGGCGCAGCCATGTATGCCATGCGCCCAAATGACCCAAAAAGCGAACAAAGAACCATCACGACTTTTAGTCGCTCCCGGAAGCCCTAACCCTTACTCCACCCTCCTAACGTTCCCGAAAAGGTGAGCTTTTTTTGCCGGCGTCAACAGAGGATATGACAGACTTAATACAGAAAAGATGAAAGAGGATATTCTACATGAGCGCAGCGTATAAGGCAAAACGCTTACTGAACCCGACCCGAGGTATGCAAGATCGCTTTTTCTACATGCAAACAGACAGCTGATGAAGGAGGACGAAGAAAGGTGTAAATCTCAGAAGAACATTTACTCCTTCTTCTCGCCCTCACCCTGCTGCTGCTGCTGCTGCTGCTCACCCTGCTGCTCAGAGCGGGCCTTGTGCATCTGGTCGAAGAGAGAGAGGGAGGCGGACTGGAGCTCGTCCGTCTTCTCCTTGAGATCCTGGGCGGTGGCGGTGCCCTCACCAGCCTGAGACTTGGTGACGAACTCACGGAGGGACTCGATCTTCTCGCGGATCTTGCCAGCCTCGGTCTTGTCAAGGCGGTCCTCGAACTCCTTCAGCGCCTTCTCCGTGTCGTTCAGGACAGAATCGGCGCGGTTGGCGGCCTCGATGGCAGCCTTGCGCTCCTTGTCCTGCTCCTGGTAACGCTCAGCATCCTGAACCATGTTCTCGATCTCGTTGTCCGAAAGACCAGAGCCAGAGGCGATGGTGATGGACTGGTCCTTGTTGGTGGACTTGTCCTTGGCGTGGACGTGGACGATGGAATCGGCGTCGATGTCGAACGTGACCTCGATCTGAGGAACACCACGGTGGGCGGGAGGAATGCCAACAAGCTGGAAGTTGCCCAGAAGCTTGTTGTCGCGGACGAGCTCACGCTCACCCTGGTAGACCTTGATCTCGACAGCGGACTGGAAGTCGGCAGCGGTGGAGAAGACCTGGGACTTCTTGGTGGGGATGGTGGTGTTGCGGTTGATCAGACGGGTGAAGACACCGCCAAGGGTCTCGATACCGAGGGAGAGAGGAGTGACATCGAGCAGGAGGACATCAGTGACCTCGCCAGACAGAACGGCACCCTGGATAGCAGCACCGATGGCGACAGCCTCATCGGGGTTGACAGACTTTGCGGGGTCACGGCCGAAGATGCTCTTGACAGACTCGGTAACCTTGGGCATACGGGTCATGCCACCAACAAGGATGACCTCCTGGATGTCCTTGGACTGGAGGTTGGCGTCCTTGAGGGCCTTGCGAACGGGCTCGACAGTGCGGCTGATCAGAGGGTCAACGAGACCCTCGAGCTGAGCACGAGTGAGCTTGGTGTTGATGTGCTTGGGGCCGGAAGCGTCGGCGGTGATGAAGGGAAGGTTGATGTCGGTGGAGAGAGAAGAAGACAGCTCGATCTTAGCCTTCTCAGCGGCCTCACGGATACGCTGGATGGCCATGCGGTCGCCGGAGAGATCAATGCCCTGCTCCTTCTTGAACTGCTGGACGAGGTGGCGGACGAGGGTGATATCGAAGTCCTCACCACCAAGGTGGGTGTCACCGTTGGTGGACTTGACCTCGAAAACGCCGTTCTGGATCTCGAGAACGGAGATATCGAAGGTACCACCACCAAGATCATAGACAGCAATGACGCGGTCAGACTCCTTCTCAAGACCGTAGGCGAGAGCGGCGGCAGTGGGCTCGTTGACGACACGGAGTACGTTCAGGCCAGAAATCTGACCGGCGTCCTTGGTAGCCTGACGCTGAGAGTCGTTGAAGTATGCGGGGACGGTGACAACGGCGTTCTTCACGTTCTTGCCAAGGTAAGCCTCGGCGGTCTCCTTCATCTTGCCGAGAACGAAACCACCGATCTGAGAGGGCGAGTACTTCTGGCCCTGGGCCTCGAGCCAGGCATCGCCGTTGGTGTGCTGAACGATCTTGTAGGGCACCTGGGAGATATCACGCTGGACCTCGGCGTCGGTGAACTTGCGGCCGATCAAACGCTTGGTGGCGAAGAGGGTGTTCTCGGGGTTGACGACAGCCTGGCGCTTGGCGGCGACACCAACCAGACGCTCGCCGTCCTTGCTGAAGGCAACGACGGAGGGAGTGGTACGGGTACCTGAGGCGCGATTGTGAGCAGGGTTGACGGGCAAAAGGCGCGTGAGGAAATTGATGACATACCCTCGGAGTTCTCAATGATGCGCGGCTGCTTGCCCTCCAACACAGCGACGGCCGAGTTGGTGGTACCAAGGTCAATACCGATGACCTGGCCCTTCACCTTCTCTTGAGCCTCGTCCGCATACCGTCTCACGAACGATGAGCCGAGAGGAGACCTGGAGATGGGAGAGGCGCGGGCGAAGGCAGTAGCCCGGGGCAGGAACTGGCGCAAAGGTTAACTTTTGGTCGCGCGCGTCATGAGCTGCGCGGGCTTACGGTTCTGGATAGTCTTGAGGACAGCATTGTGGACGGGAGCGCTCAGCGAAGAGGTCGTCGCAAGCAGCGGGCAGTGACGAAGGGAACACGGGGATGGAGGACGACGGGCAGGGTATAAATGGGATGGTGGTGATGGTGGAGGAAGGCGAGGTCGAGAGAAAAAGTTGAGCATTCGAAGCTCTTCTACGCCGCGCTAGTCAGTGCGCCAATCCTTGTGCACGCGCAGCTCCGGGATGCCGAGTGGCCAATTGCCGCGGAACGGAAAAGCGACCAATGGATGATGCAATGACGAGGACCGGCGCCGTACGGTACAGCGCAGCGCAACCCCGGCGCGTCCGAGAAATCTTCGTGCGCAACGAAGCGCGCACGCCTGCCGCGTCGCCGCTCGCGACTGCACACTGCGCAAAACATGCCACCGTCACGTGCGCGCACCGTGCAGCCGGTGCGAGTCGTGCGGCGGCGACAGAGCCCAGATGCGCTCGGCCCATTCACCACACCTCGCTCGCCCCGTCTGATCTAGAGCTCCCGTCCTGCGTGAACACTACATCATCGCTCTCCGCACTGCCTGAAACCCCGCTGCTCTCTACTCTGCTCGCGCCTGCCCGCGCCTGCCCCAGCCGCACCCCGCGCCACTCGTGACTCGTCTTGCACCTCTCCGTCCGGCTTCTGCTACTCGCTCACCGAGCCGGGTGACGTATGAGCGCTCGCCGGTTCATGCGTGCCTGATGCAAGTACTGAAGCCTCGCAGCTCTTCCACGACAATGTTGTACGCCTGCATCGATTAAACCACTAGCAGTTGATAATGGCTGTTGACGAGTACCTGTGAGTGGGCGTGCTGCTCCTGAGCGCTCAGCACCCGCGCTGATAGCTCCTTGCACAGCTTCCGCGAGACAGATTCCCTCGTCCTCCCGCTCAAAACCCTCTACCCTCTGACAATTCCCGTCGCCCACTACCAGCTCCGCCACTACATCAGCTGCGAAGGCCAAGACGTGCTCTACTACGCCAGCGGCGCCGACATATTCGCCCTCAACACCTCCACCCAGAAGCGCACCCACCTTGCAACTCTCCCGTTCGAGACGCGATGCACGGCATCCGGACATGGCTGGCTATGCTGCGGCGGCGAAGATGATGGCCACTTTGCTGCGATTAAGCTCAACGGCGGTTCTTCCCTGGCTGCAGACGTCGACGCTCTCCTGCCACTGGCTCTGGGCAATCGCCCCCTTGGGCGCCCGGCTGCTTCTACAACTCCAATCGTGAAACTGGAAAGGATCGGAGAGGAGATTGTCAACTCGATCTCAATCCACAAGCTGGCCAGCGCAGAGGAAGGGGGAGAAGATGAGGTAGTCGCAGTCCTCACGAACAACGACAAGACTGTCCGTGTATACTGTCTAACACATGGATTAGAGGAAGCTGTGCTGGATCTGCCCTTCCCCATGAACCATGCTACGATTTCGCCCGACGGAAACCTGATGGTTGCCGTCGGTGACTACCACCAAGCCTTCTTCTTCGAGCGCTCCGGGTCGAGGCAAAGGTCGCAATCCACCAAAGCGGACACGGCAGCGGGGGGAGGCCCTTCCGAGTGGACAAACATATGTGTTGCGCAGCTGCACGTTCCGGCGAACTCGGCGACAACAGGCTATTTCACAACTGCATGGTCTCCGTCGGGAAAGCTTTGTGCGGTTGGCTCGGAGTGTGGCTATATCACAGTATTCGACACGGATCTCCTGAGATCCAACGAATTTGGCGAAGATGCGATCGTCCAAGTCATTCGCTCAACCCGCCCCGACACCACGCACGGTCCAGGCGCAGTGCGCACCATGTGCTTCTCGCCCCAGCCGTGGGATCTCTTGATCTGGGCCGAAGACCAGGCGAGAGTTTGTGTTGCAGATCTCAGAGAGGGGCTTCTCGCGCGACAGGTCTTGTCGTTGGATCCGAAAGAAGACAGCGTCATCAGGATTGAGACTCTGTTGGTCGACGTGGAAGAACCTGCGTCGAGCAATGATCGAAATCGGGAATTTGCGCGGGTGGAGTCGGAGTTGAATCAGGAACAAGACCTTATCAACAGGCACAGACGAGCGTTGGCTTCGGCGGCGAACGATACTTCGGCAGCGCTTGAAGTTGTTGGTGAGTTCATGAGCGCGGTTCTCCAGCGTAGAAGACATGCTGGAGTCGTCGAGTCAGATAATGACCCGAACGGCCTGACAGCACAAGAGCGCTCCATCCTTGATGCGATACGAACCAGAGAGCACCGAGACATAGTGCAGCGCGAACGTGAGAGGATTGCCTCAATCCCTCGCAGCATCAACTATTCAAGTACATCTGGCGAGTCGCGGGAACGCAGGTCGGAGCTCGCGACGGATAACTTTCCGTCTCTGACTGGGAACCGAAGCAACGAAGGTAGAAACGTAGCTCTCCCATCTCTCGGCTCCCTCAGAGACTTCCTCCGCGACCGCAGCGAGCGTGAACGAGAGAGCGGCTCGTACGTCCCCCCACATCCGCCGCGTCGGCAAGCGTCGGTAATCCTCACTGTTGGCAGCAGCCCAAACAACAACATGGACCGGTTCCCACCCGACCCGTATCAAAGCTCAGGTGCGCGAAGTTTTAGCTCTTCTGAGGCGTGGCGCACAATTGAGCAGGCTTTAGCAACAGGCCCCGAGCCACCAGCAGCGGCTCGCCCGGGCAACGCCAACACCACATCGGCCCCGCGGTCAATGGAGCCTTCGGCCGAAATGAGTCGGTTGAGGCAGCTGGCTCGAGCACGCGAACGCGTTCGCAACATGCAGACTGCATCTCGTGGTTTCGATGATTACGGCGTGATCGGCCGGCGCGTCGGCATGTCTGGCCGCTGGAACCCAGCCTTTGGTGTGAGGACGGCAGGGTTGGCAATGAGCGAAGATGGGCGGAAGCTGTACGTCGGTACTGAGGAGGGCATCTTCGAATTCGAAATTGACGTCCGCGGCCGCAAGGGATGGGGCGCCGTGCAACCAAGATGATTTCACGTTGACGTTTCCGAGAGCGCCTTCCGGCGCTCTTCTTTCCATATGCTCCTGTCCACCGTACATGGGCATGACATATTTTTTTTCTTTGTCTACAGGCTTTTGATGGAGCGCTAGCAGGATCGGCGCATTTGGGTACATCGAACACACGGTGGATATGGAGTTTATAGGGATTATGTTGCAATAAACTATGACTCACGGTTTACTAAGCCACGCAGCCGTGATTGAAAGTGCCGGCATTTGTGCAATTTTAGCTATAGCGGTCGTGGGAACGAACTTCTCAGGCAAGGTGTAACACGAACGATAAAAAAAAATGGTTTAGACTAAGTCTACGGTGGTTCACGGAGTCTACTTATTGAGATCTAAGATTAATAGAGTTTGCCATGAAAGACAAGCTATGTCACGCCTTTACCCGGGGCACTACCTAATTTACTTGGATAAATTTCGTGTTTGCCATAGATCGGAGGGACTAAGAATTTCTGTTGAGACAAGTATTGATCTTACAAACACTGAACTCTGGATCCGGAACAAAGACTTAAAGCAAGCAACGTTAATGTAATGCTTTAATGCTCTTAATACTACTTAACAATATCTCGGCCAAAGTACTTCCCGCCATTCAATAATCTTTATTTCTCAGGCATGTCTGTCCGCTAGGTATTGCATGCAGCTCAAGTATTTCATTCCTCGATATTTGGTCAGATGAGGTGAATACTTTTTTTATGGGGGTGTGGGGGGTGCGGCCTGTGAAGCACGGCCTGCTATACTTTTCGGTAACGCCGGGCCAGCCATTAATTTTTACGCGCCAACTAGCAGCTTTTAAGAAGAATAAACGCTGTTAACTACTGTTTACAGTCGGCCGATATAAGCCAAAAAATCGCCCTACGAAGCTTGGAAAAATATCTAAAGCGAATGTAATGCCAGGATGACTGTTATGTTGGATTGGAACGTTACGGTACCCTTAGCCGAAATCTGGATGTCGCGCCCTACGCGTGACAAGACGACAGGTTCCACCGACTTATGTAGCCACATCCATCCGTCATCATTTGAAAGTCAAGCATCAAGCCGCTCATCTTCATCTCCCTCAATTGCCTAGAAATCATCAAAAATGACTGTCGCCGAGTCCAACGAACTGCCTACCGACCGGCGGCCATGGCGCACCACTCCGCTGGTCGAATCCGTCGCTCTCTCCAATGCGGCTGGATGGTATGTACATTCACTCTCTCTCCCAATCTCTCAACCCTCATCAGACCGTACTGACCCGCAACGAACAAGCCGAGTCTTCCTGAAACTCGAAAACCTCCAGCCCTCTGGCTCTTTCAAATCGAGGTGAGTGAGCAAAAGAGATGAAAGAAACAAGGAAGAAAAAAAAAAGAGCTTACACAGAACCTTGTCCCGTGCCATCCCATCATATGTCATCCCCATCCCACCACCAAGTTCCAAAGCCAAACACCCCGCACCATCCACCAATAAACCCCCCCCCCTCCATCTCTCTCCTTCTCTCCGCCCGCCAAAAAAAAATAGAAAAAAAAAGAAACAAAAAAGAAACAAACCCAAAACCCAAAACCCAACCCCAAACCCAACCCCAAACCCAAGACACACGAGCTAACCCAAACACACACACACAGAGGCATCGGCAACCTGATGACGCAAGCCCTCCTGCGCGCCGGCGCCGGCTCCGGCTCCGCCGCCAACGTGCACTTCTACTCCTCCTCCGGCGGCAACGCCGGGCTGGCAGCCGTCCACGCCTCGGCGGCGGGCGCGCTGGGCCGGCCCTGCACCGTCGTGGTGCCGGTGTCGACGCCGGCGCGCATGGTGGCCAAGCTGCGCGCGGCGGGGGCGCGCGACGTGGTGCGGGCGGGCGCGACGTGGGCGGAGGCGGACGCGCACTTGCGGGGGGTGGTGATGGTGGAGGGCGGTGCGGGCGGGGTGTACGTGCCGCCGTTTGACCATGTGGATGTTTGGGAGGGGAACAAGGGGGTTGTTGGGGAGGTGGTGGGGCAGTTGCGGGGGATGGGGATGGGGATGGGCGGGGTGGAGCAGGAGGAGGGAGGAGGAGGAGGAGGAGGGAGGCCGGCGGCGGTGGTGTGTAGTGTCGGTGGGGGTGGGCTGCTCAACGGGGTGTGTATGGGGGTGGAGGAGGCTGGGTGGGCGGAGCGGGGGACCAAGGTTGTTGCGGTGGAGACGGAGGGGGCGGCGAGCTTGAATGAGAGTGTGAGGGCCGGGCGGTTGGTGACGTTGCCGGGGATTACGAGTTTGGCGATGAGTTTGGGGGCGACGAGGGTGAGTGAGGTGGCGTTCGCGAACGGGCTGAAGGACTATGTCAAGAGCGTCGTGTACAGCGATGGCGAGGCGGCGATGGGGTGCTTGAAATTGGCGGATGAGGAGAGGTTGCTGGTGGAATTGGCGTGTGGTGTCTCTGCAGCTGTCTGTTTTGGTGGGCGGCTAGAAAAAGCAGTGGGAAGGAAGTTAAGGAAAGAGGAGGCGGTTGTGATTGTGGTTTGTGGAGGAAGTCATGTTACGGTGGAAATGCTGGCGGAGTGGCGGAAAAAGTTCGAAGACGTGGAGTAAGTAGAACAGTAATATTAGTGATACTACATATATGAAGGAGGCAGTATTGCAGGTAAAATGATATAGTTCAGGGACGGTCTGACAGTAGACTCCGTAGACATGAAGTTACCGTATTTGGCGAAAATGGGACAAGATTCTTAGACCAAGAAGCTCAGGAACCTAGCATGACGTTGTGCCATCCTAGGTCTCCTACAGCCCATAGACTTGCACCACCTGACTCTTACGAATCACCGCCTACGACAACTCGCAGAGCTGTGACTTTACCGGACGGTCGAGCGAAGCTCGCACAAACGCCCCTGGAGCGCACATCACTCTTTCCTTTTCCTATTGCTACGCAGTATCGTACACCGGCCAGAGTTAGGTCGGCATGTCCAGTTCTTCTGTCTACATGGCTTCAGCAACCATCAACACGAATCGAGGCTCTTGCCTCTGCTGTCACCAGCTGACACATCAACCATCCGGTCTATGTTGCGCAGCCTAAACATATCCAGCTCCAGCAAAGTCGAGCAGTGGAGAGGCGAGGGCGAGGGATATTGTGGTGGAGAAGGTTGTTGTTGTTGCTGGACGCTGTGCCGCGACCGATGATGGATGGCCGGAAGAGGATCGGAGGCGGTTTCGGGAGGGTTGTGAGACGAAGGGAGTGGTAGCAGAGTTTGTGGTCGAAGAGCAAGGGGTGTTTGTTGCAAACTGACGCGGGCTTGGTTGAAGAGTTGGTGATGCGGTTCAGAGCTGAGGGCCAACTGACGCCGTGATACTGTCTAGGAAAAGCAGGCGTGACAAGTAGCATTTTGAGTGATATTCTTTCATGCTTCAGATAGTCCGACGTCGACTTGCGTCAGCACAGGAGGACCTAGCATGGGTGAAGCCTCGATTTGACGCCGAGATGTTTCTGATTACATGGCTTAGCAGTCTCAGTACACGGCTTCTTCCTCCTTATCCTGGAAGGGTCTGAAGACTAGTAACGAGAAGGTCTCTTGGAGTTTTCTCGCCTTCTAGTGCGGATTATGTTTCCGATCTCTTTACTGGTCGGCCGTCTTCAAAATCTCACAGTACATCTTTTCGTGCTTCGCCCACGAGTATTGGTGTACAGCTGGGTCGTATAATCCGAGATTGCCTCTGGTCTTTCGCCCTGTCACCATATAAGTCGTCCATCCAAGCTCTCCATTGTCACCGCTAGCTCAATTGGTAGAGCGGCGTCCGGCTGTGGTCGAAAAGATTCACGATAGTCTCATGGCAAGCAAACCCCACCTCAATAACGCCAGCCAAGATCGGCTTGAGGACTTGACGCTGCACGGTATCCCCCAGCACCGCTGCGAAGTATCATGAAAGTCATTAACCGACGTTGTATTTCTTCCGTGATCCCCGAACCCGATTTCATCGCCTTGTCTTCCTTCTACAATGATATTTCCTGCTCATTGAGCTTCCAACACCCGTCACTCTTCCCCGTGAACAACATCTTAGGCCGAGCCAACAACCTCGCCGATGAGGAACACGGGCGTCTGGTTCGAGAAGTTGGTGATGTCGGCCATGACGGGGCCGGTGGCGTTTTTGAGCGCGTCGTCGACCTGGTCCTTGGAGCCGAACTCGAGGACGCACTGGACGCTGTAGGGGGGTTTGTCGCTCCCTGGGGTGCCGAGGATGCTACATTGTGCAATCATGCGATGGTCAGCGAGGGTAAGTCGGGGTAGTGCCCAACGGCGATCGATGCTGTGTGTAACTGGGGACGGCGGCGGTGGAGGGGTTCGGAATCGGGTTCGTGCGGGCCGCGCGCGGATGCCAACGGATGGGCGATTACGACGGAGAGGCAACAGGGGGGTGAGGTGGGAGGGGCAGCTATAGCTGGGGTCGACTGACTCACCGGGAGACTTTGTAGCCCTTCAGGCCGTGGGGACCGAAGTTCTTCTGGGCCAGCGGCATGTGGGTCTTGAGGTAATACTCGAGGTCGAACGTGGCATCGGAGACATTGGGGTAGAGAACGGTGACGGTGGCCATGATGGCGGCTTGGGGGTGGGTTGGATCGGTGATGAAGGCGGTGGTGTTGGTGGAAGATGGGCGTGGTGAGGCGGGGCAGCAGCGGGGTTTTGAGGTGGCAGGCAGTGGCAGGCAGTGGCGCGAGGGCTCGGGCGACAATCAGAAGAGATGAAGTCAGTCAGGGTTGTGAAGCTGTGGGTGGATACGCCGCAGAATGACCGCGGGCACCTCAGGCGAAGCGGGGCTGGCTCAGTGAGTCAGGGTCCCTGCGGGGTAGAGGCGCCATTCTAGACGCAACAGCTCAGTTCTTCGGCGGAGCAACGGAAGTGCCTGGAGACACGTTAGACCCGTCATCCACCAGCTTGATGGAATGCGAAGCGGAAGTTCAGCGGGGATGCGCCGCTGCGGCCACCGTAGCGGGGGTTGCCAGCCCGCTGGGTATTTTTGGGGTGGGCCTGGTCGTAGGGCTCGCGTGTGAAGGATTGGGATCAAGGCACAACACTTCAACTACTCCCGCCATGTTGCTCAGCCCTTGACCGCTTGCTATTTCCACGTGCGGCTTACTGGCCGTTTTCTCCTCTCTTCGACTTCTGGTCTCATTACGGCCGAAGCGAGAGCAGACGGGCAGACGGGCAGACGGGCAGACCTTGGAGCCGTCGCCAAGATCCCTGCTGACACATCAACTCAACCTCAACCTCAACAGAAGCTACACCGTGCTCTTTCGATGTCCGAGTGCGCTGACAGGCATTTCCAACTTCCCCTTCGCCATGGCTCTTGGGAACGAACTGATCATGCCATAAGAGCCGAAGTCGTTGGTGAAGATGCTCAATTGTCGGTTCGATGATTAAGCAATTGCCTCTCGTCTTCCCTGTCTCTTCGACAACACAGCCGAGGAGAGCTGTTTGGCATACCGCTCGATCTTGCACATGGACAAAGAGCGTATTTCATTCGTGCGGTCCCAATCATACGCTCAAACGGCAAGCTTCTCGACCTTCCAGGCGTACACTTCGACACGACATCGATGAGAGGCGTCGACTACATAAGCCTTTTTGTTGCTTCAAGACCATACTAAACGGCGCAAGCGCGGGCTTCTTCGGGCGAACGGCGTCGGGCCCGACAAGAAACGGTGGAAGTGTTGCCGAAATGGATTTCGTACCCAAGGAAACGTGTGGAGCCCAGAACGCGTGCCGAAGGATCATTCAAGGTGTGGCGTAAGTCGGCAATGGAGCAGGTCGTCCACGAGGACAAGAGTCGTAACCAAAAGAAGTGTGATGGTGAAACGGAGCGAGGCGGACGCTGACAAGGCAATAGCGGTCGCACTAGTGTTGAAATTGAGGTTGGCGGGGCCACCGGGCAGGATTCGCTGCAGCTCCCCACTTGTGTCTATGACGCATCCGTTTATGCCTGTACCACCACAAGATCATGTCTTCCATGTCTGTGTGAGAGGCAGGTGGGACGTTTGCATGGATCCCGAACAAATACCTATGTCAAATCAAGGAACCACGCATTATTGTTCTTAGCGCGGGTGCTAGCCTTGCGCCAATCGCCATGCTGTTGTTCTAGCCTTCTGCCTCGCCTACAGCCCTCGACCGCCACTAGCACGCCCGACGCCTGGCAAGCGCCTTCTCCATTTCCACCACCACCAAAGTGCCACAACGTCCAAGGCCCGCAGCCGTCCGGACGGGCCCGCCAAGCCACCTACGCGCCCACCGCCCCCAAACAAAATCCGTCGGGAATAAACAGTCGGTCATACGCTACGCCAAGCTGTGTGCCATCTGATTACAGCTGCACTGCACATGCACGTTGCCCGGGACGACGCCTGAAACCAATCCCAGAGTCCAGCTGCACTCGACAAATCATCAGCACCATCATCTGCGCCCCCAAACCCGGGCGCAGCGGCAACGTCATGGTGCCGTCCGTTCCGTTCGAAGCCGTTTTATCCGTTCCCGGAAGCACGCAGCCTGAAAGAGAATGCCTTCTATTCGCCTCCCCTCCCTTCGCCGTGCCACTGTGGCTGCAGTCAATCGCGTTTTGCATAGCCGCTGTCGTGCACTCCCTTCCCCGCTATATTCGCAGAAACGAGAACGGAACTGCGCCTCGGAGTCCGGGCAACCTCACGCGTCGCCAATGCTTGGACGAAAATGAAACCACAAAGACAAAATAAAAATAGAGGCTGAGAGCATGACGACCACCCAGCCAGCCAGCCAGCCATCCAGCCATCCAGCCGTTCCAGCCGTTCCAGCCGTCCAGCCGTCCCGTCCCCTCTCGCCCCCCTTCGCTCGCCCAATAAACTCACCGACTGATGATGACCCCAAACGGAAAGAGCAGAAGCGAAACGTAGACGGGCATTCCTCGCTAGCTCCGCAAAGTCGACTCACCCGCTCCCTTAGCCCCGCCCTCTCTCACCCTTTACCACGGGTTGGAGCCAGAAGTCCTACATACTTCTCCACACAGTAGCAGCTATCCCTCCCTCTCCCCAACCCGCTTGCAACGACCCTGCCCGTACCCACCCTCCCCCCCTCGTATCCTCTTACCAGCTTCAGCTCGTACTCCCTCCCCCTTTCTTTTCTCGCGGATCCTTTTTCACGCCTGCATCACAGCCACCCGACGGCTGCGGGAGGCGGAGGGGCGGAGGGAGATGACGGGAAGACAGACGGGGGCTGTAGGGGTTTTTTTTTTTTTTTACCTCCATCCGTCGGGAAAACATGTGTGCAGCCACCATCTCGACGGTCTCAGCCCTTCGTGCTGACTGCCGCGTGCAGATCTCCCTCTCCCCCGTCGTCGCGTCGAGACTCACGTCCCGTTCGGGGGCGCGCGCGGCGGCAAGAGCGTTGGCGGACTCGTGCACATGTACGAATTACGTGAGGGAATGTAAAAATAAAAAGGTTGAGTAATGTGAGATTATGACAGTCGATCAAGGGCGTAAAGAAAGCAGCGAGGAGAAAGGAAAGAAAAACAAAAAAGGAATGGGAAAGTGAAATTCATGAACGGTCGAAAAGAATGGGTAGGTGGTGTTTGATGTGCAGGCTGGCTGGCTGGCTGGCGCCGGCGGGGGCGTGTGGAATTATTATTATATCGATCGCGCATTCCACACAAAGGTTTCCGCGCTAGCCAGCCATACCGTCTCGGTGAAGCATTATTCTGTCAGAGGAACGGACCCAGGCGGGGTCGGAAAATGTGGATACTTGCCTTCTGCTTTTGCTCTTTTGCCTCGTGACCCGCTAATGGCTGTTGATCAGTGGTGGGGAAGGGGCCGCACGCGCGCGCGCGCACAGCGCGGATGCGGGGCGGCGGGCTGGGGGAGACGAGGTGCGTCTCAGGAATGTCCCAAGGCCGAAAGTAGAGCGAGAACGGATCACCATCACCAACCAACACCATGCCGAAGCTGCTTTGGCGACAATGCAGACGCGCGAGCTCCGTATCCAGACATTAGCACTGTCCACATGCGTGTTCTTGATTCCACAGCGGGACTGTTCTTGCCACTTTTATTCAAGCAAAGTGAGATGTACATGGTGTGATTGTTTGGTGTATGATTAGAAATTACAAGGCAAGAGCCTACTGACACTATTGATCGTGCCCCATTTCTACATCGAGTACATCTCTTCCACTACACAGTTGTGACATGGAGAAAGAAGAGTCGCATGAAATGATTTACTTTGGGTATCCGTAATAACAGTTGAGAGAGGAAACGTGTGTTCCTCTCTCTAAAAGAGATCTTTCTCTTTACTTTCCTTTTGATGCTGGAGATGAATGATGATACCCAGGACTTGATCTCCTCCTTCGTCCTGGCTGATACTATGTCGTTGATGGTGGTAGCCCTCCCTTGCGTAGGAATACGCGGTTGGTCTTTTCGCTGTGCTTGTTCGCATGAAAATGGATTTCCCCCCCAGAACTCCCCGGGATGCATTCCGAAGAAAAGAAAAGAAACAAATGAAATCCCTGATAGGTTCCAAGTGAACCGTTGAGCTCATAAACGCCTTGGCACCGTATGCGCTGTGCAGAGTTCAAAGACTGGAACAGCCGTAACCCATGTTCTTATCCATTACCCGTCTTCGCTCCTAAACAAGGGGAATGGACTTCTCTTCATCCTCGAACACCCACTTCTCCAGGCGTTGTGTCAGTTGGGCGCAGTAGTTGTCCACGTACGAGGTCCAGAAGTGCGCGCAAGTGTACACAATGACGAGCCAGATGGGAATGGCGATGGCGAATCCAAGCGGGCCGGGGCGCTCTATCCAGTTGCCGATGACAACGCCCTCCTCGTCACGCACCTCTTCGAACGGCTCGCCGGTGATGCCGTACAGCATCCAAATCAGCACGGTGCGCAGGAGCGTGCCGTGAATCAGGTAGACGGCGAAGCTGTTGCGGCCGAGCCACATGAAGTACCTGTTGGACAGAATCTCCTTGGCGCCCGACGAGAAGAACAGGCCGATGATGACGATGTCCAAGCCGAGCGCAGAGAAGCGGCGCGCGATGTCGGCTCCTTCAGGGAAGAGCCACTGACCCATCTCCATCAGCTGGCGGGACCAGGTCAACCACTCCGGGCCGTCGGCGGGGTAGGAGCCGAGGTAGAGGCCGAAGATGACGAGGAAGGGCGAGATCATGTTGAGAGCGAAGCGGTTGTTGGCCATGAAAGCTTGGCCGGTGGGGTGCAGCGAAAGGTCGCAGAGGAGCATGGCGAAGTAGAGCTGCTGCGCGAAGGTCTCTGCTCTGGGTTAACATCGTGGGGACATCCAAATCAAGGGAGTGGCTGATTCCTTACCAACAAGCGGGTGGCTATCCTGGAAGAAGTAGCAGAACATGACGAAGTACGTGATGGTGCGGTACTTGTACTTCATGAAGATGGTGGCCGCCAGACCAACGTAAGCCAGCATGGATTCCTTCAGAAGCGGCAGCATAGCCCATTGGTGATCGTCGTACGGCATGTAGCCGCTAGTCCAGACGGAACGGAAGGCATTCCAGAGGTCCGCGAAAGCTTCGTAGAGCGAGTCGGCGGCCTGGGGGCTGGCCTCGCGGAGCCAGACCTCGTCAGCGCGGTGGGCGACGTGGAAGGCACCCATCTGAGCGAGCAGCCAGGCGATGATCATAGCAATGGTGGAGGGCAGGATGAGCCTAGGAATGCGGCGGAAAGCACTCTTGGCGATTGAGGTGAGGGCATCGCTGTGCTGGCCAGCACGGGCTTGGCGGAGCGGCTTCAGAGCGCAGACGAATCCGGTGAGGAAGCCGAAAATGGTGACTCCAATGCGGCCCTGAGGGATAACGCGGAAGATGGGCATCTGCCAGAGGATGGGGGCGACGCCCTCGCCATCGGAGGCCAGGAAGGCTCTGAAGTAGAAGGCGCGGGTAAGATGGGTCACGATGACACTGACCGAGGCAATGCCTCGCAGGCCCTGGGGAAGCGTCAGCTCGATGGCACGCGGCCAAGAGGCTTCGTGGCCAAACTCACCTCGACCCACTTCACGTTCTTCTCGTTGCCCATGATTAGAATCTACAGCTCATCCAGTGAGGCAGGGTGGCAATATCGAGAAGATGCAGAGACCGGAACTGCACGGGTCGAGCTCGGGCGGCGTCCGGGAACGGGCAGTGGAGATGGCACAAAGAGCGAGGGACGGACGTCGAGGACGGAGGGGAGAGGTGTTTGCGAGCGAGGGCGCGGCGCAAACAAAAGACGGCGGCTGGAAGAATGCAGGACCGCTAGCGATGGGGCAAACGAGACCAGCTTGAGTTATGTAGGGCCGCAGGAACAGGCTGGCGGTGGATGGACGAGGGATCAGCAGCTCGTGTCAGGAAGGGTCGGCACAGAGCTGCCGCAGAGGCTGCTCCTGATTCTCTTGGCGCGTCTTGGCTGGGGGTCGGAGGGGAGCCCTTACTGAGGCGCGTGTGTCGCACTGACGGCGGGATGATGTGCTTGGATATCGTTGGCGGAGCGCAGCACCCGGCGATCGGATGTGGCGCTCACCGGCACCGTGGCTCCGCGCGCAGCGGGTGCTGACGCCCAAATGCACGGCGTTTCACGTACAGAGCCGCCGCCCAGGGCCGGTCTCCTGTCAGCCTGCGCGCCTGAGCCGCTGTTACAGCCCGCGCTGCCCAGCACAGCAGTTCGTCGCGGAATACGCAGGGCAGCGGACAGCGGGCAGCGGGCAGCGGGCAGCACGCAAAGCTGGGGGGGCCTACACGCCATAGCCGCTAGCCCCGATCGGGCGCGGCCAACCGTGGCTTGTCCACCTCCCCCAAGGAGCGCAAGCAGGGAACTTGGGAAACGCCCGGCGGCGCCGACGGCCGGGGCCAAGGCCGCAAGCATGACCACCAGCATGACCACCAGCATGGCCGGCAGCGACGGCGGCGACGAGAGGCTCACCGGCTGGGCGGGTGGCGGCTTGGCTGTGCAGAGCCGTTTTGCCCTGGCACGCAGTCCGCCGCACGACGAGGCCAGCTCAGGGGACCAATGTCGGTGCCAAATGCGCAGATCGGCAGTGTGGCTCCGCCGCGCAGAGGGGGAGGGGGGGCCGTCAGCCTGGCACCGCGGTCCGCGGCACCTGGCAGGTTCAGCGCACGCGGCGCCGACGCGGTGCACAGCTGTGGCGCGACGGCCGGTGACGACATTGGCGGGTACGCAGGCGGTCCAGCAGGTCGTGTGATGGCGACCATTGTGGGGGGCAACATTGATTCCAGAGCGCTGCCAGAGCGGTCGGGCCGTTTGCGAATATGGGGCTAGGGTGGCCAGCCTTGGGATGCGGCTCTCGGACAAGCCCCCCTTGGGGAGGCTGCAGTCCGCTCCGCCGCCTGTGGCCGGCTGGCCGCCTCTCGCAGCCTGTCCTGTGCCTGCGTGCCTGCGCGCCTCTGCCGCCCTGGGCCGCGGCTGGGGCAGCGTGCTTCCCGCACCGCCGCGTCGACGTGATCGCCGGCGACAAGTAATCCGTAGTGCGCTGCCAGCTGTAACAGCACGCTTTGAGCGACCGTGGCCGGCCGCCAAGGCGCGCACGGAGAAGCTTAACTGCCGGATTTCCGAGAGACGGCCAAGCCGCTCCCCCGTTGCTGTGTACCTGCCCATTATTGTTGCTAGTAGCATCGGCGTTGCGGCTGTCCCGTACTCCCGTTCGATCAACGGCCATCACGCCTCAACGCCCGGGTTGAGTTGCCCGTGGAGCTGGAGCGTCATGCTGGAACGCCATGCTGCGGCGCCTCACCGTCCGGGCAGGCGCTTCCTTCAATCGCGCCTCCCTATCTGTCCCGCTTAGCGAGCTGCTTCGTCCAGCCTAGCGAGCAAGCCATACGCCACCGACGCATCCGCCCGACGGTCGCGCGTGGGCGTGACCCCGACAATGCTGGGGAAGTCGCAGGCTGACGCGGCCAGGGCGCGACAAACACAACAGGGCGATCTCCTAGCTACTGCCTCGAATTGCGCCTGATCCAGCGCGCCGGCGAGCGCACAACCTGATAGGCGGCCCGCATCCCAGCGGCCTTCCCGTTTCTTGTCTCGAGGCAATTGCGACATCACCACACGCCGGCCGCCGCGGTCGCTGGCCTCGGTCGCTGGCCTCGGTCGTCGATGGTGGGCAGCGTGCGCGCTCGTATCCAGCCATCCACCGTCTTCCCACACGCAGTAATAATGGCGGCTGCGGATCTTAATCGGCAGGTTCCTGCAAGCGAGCGCCACTACGAGCTCACTGGCCGCGGTGGAAATTCCACCGCTTGGCGGCCTTATTGCAGAGCTTGGCGTGCTGGCCCGTGGTCACCATCTCCCCAGAAGGGCATGTCAGCCCTGCGGCCAATTTGCCAGGCACCCGGTTCGTCTCCTCGCATGCTTCTATCTTTATTTCTCCGACACTTAGGCATTCCATTTCTGCATCCCTTAAGGGCGGCACGGCTCCAGCGGGGCGAGGGGCGTCTGTCATTTGGCTCGCCGGCTGGGATGTCTGCTCCTTTTTCATCTTCGGAGATGACTTCGCTGTCAGCGCGGCCAACCCGGACTTAACACCCGTGGCGCAGAACTTCCGTATCTAAACTTTTGCTATCTGGACGACGAGATACGAGCACGGCGCCTGCCGAGGCACGTTGGGAGCAATACGAAGCGACGCCGCCTGAGCAAGGCAGGTTACCCGTCAGGTCACTCGTCAGGTAATCCGTCATGACCTTGGATAGACTTTTCCTGGCCGCCGCTGCTGGAACCGTCCGCTTGCAGAGAGAGGCTCTGCTCGAGTGCGGCAGTTGGGTTATCAGTACCGCGACTCGCACTCGTATTCTCTACTCTTACAGTTCGGATAGCGCGAGCTGCATGGCTGGGCCTGCTGCCGCCATGCTGCCGCCCTGCTGCCCCGCACTCTGGAAGTGACGTCGGGTCGTCCCGCAGCAACTACCGCACGTTTGCGACCCGCTGAAACGAGCACGACAACGCCGCTGGACATGACGGAATCGCCGTCGACTCTTTTTGAAACAGTGTTATACAGCTTGAAACCCATTGTCGCCCGCGGACGCGCCCTGCAACTCCGGCTGCGCCAGGACTGGCAGTAGCCCGTGTTTCGAAACGGCCATATGCCCAACCGCCTCGCTGGCAAGACGGCCATCATCACCGGCGCTTCGTCGGGCTTGGGTCGTGCCATCGCTCTTGCATATGCTCAAGAGGGAGCACGCGTGGCCTGTGTCGATTTGTTTCCTACTTTGCGCGACGAGAGAGACCCCGTTACCGGAAAGGCAAGGCTGCTGACCGAGCGGCTGACAGCCTCATCCGCGGCCGTGCCCACCCACGAGCTGCTGCGCCAGAAACATCCCGCCAGCGATGCCATCTTCGTGCAGGCCGATCTCACCGTCGCCGCGGACGTGGAACGCGCCGTCGCCCGCGTTGTCGAGGCGTTCGGTCGCTTAGACATCATGGTCAACAACGCTGGAATCAGCGTCGAAAGCAGCCACCCCCGCGTGCTGCGCTGCCACGAAACCCCCGAGGCCGACTACGACAAGACCATGGCCATCAACACCAAGGGCGTGTTCCTGGGTTGCAAGTACGCGCTCGCCCAGATGTTGAGCCAGGAGCCGCTCGAGGGGCAGAATGATGACAAAGGCTGGGTCATCAACACTGCGAGCATCCAGGGGCTGCTTGCATATCACGGCACGCGTGGGTCCTCTTTTCCTGCAGCGTTCCTCCTCGTGCGTGGTCCAAGAACGGAATGCGCTGATGGTGCCGACAGCCGCTTACTGCGCCTCCAAGGGCGCCGTCGTGCAACTGACCAAGCAGATCGCGCTGGACTACGCGAAAGATAGGGTCCACTGCAACTGCATCTGCCCTGGCTGTAAGTGCTCATGCGATATCACATTTGTGGCTTTGTGATCCCTAGCGAATCGCTCCTTGCTCATCTACGCCGACGCCACATTGCTCCGACCTTCCTCCCTAGCTGCCGTGCATCCGTGCGCTTTTCCTTCTTCGTCCGCCATCGCCATCTCTCCCTTCTTCGCCACATCCTTCCATGGACAGCTGCTCTGACAAAGCCGACGTGCAGTCCTCCGCACGGCCATGACGGCGAACCACCAGAGTAGCCCGGCTGCGCAGGCCAAAGTCGATGCGGCGCATCCGTTTGGCGGCATGGGCGAGCCCGAAGATGCCGCCAGAGCGGCTGTTTTCCTGGCGAGCGATGATGTCCGATGGATCACCGGTCAGCCGATCGTTGTTGACGGCGGGTACAGCATTCAGTAGGCAGGTAAGACTGAGATCGGTCGCGAGTCCATTTTCGGGTTTTTGTTCAACCGGCGGGTCCCATTGGCTTGAATGGGTAGTGGCAAGAGGGGGCTCGCTCCACCCCTGAGAGACGGGGCGGCTCTCTTTGCTACCTACTTTGGACTTCAATCGTAGTCTGCAATTCGATGATTTTCGTGGTTTCACTCCCCCACTCTCATTTTCTGGCTGCCTTGGTCCACTAGTCTGTTGTAACGTATTAGTTTACCCTAACGGTCTCACGTGGACATGCTGATGTACCACGGCCCGTTTGTATACAAATGCTGTCTTTTAAAGATATTACTTTCGCAATTTTTTTTATTTCGATTCCCACGGTACTTAACGATAGGTGAAGCAGATATCCGGACGTAGATATAAGTATCAACATCTAGATGTGAGATAGGTGTAAGTGGGGTCATTTTCTCTTCATTTTAGCTGCATGCTCTCACAAACTCTGGCAGTACTGGGATGTATGCGTCATGACTAGTCGATCCGCCACTTGTTCTACGTATTGAGCTGCGGGGTTATGCAAGGTGGCATAGCTTGTACCGGATTTGAATGGGATGGAGCACAAGCTGAAGGTTCCCCGTGCTACAAGCCAATCAGTACCGCCTTACTGTTCAAAGTGGCACCCGATGGAGACGCGCGTGCCTCACAGGTGGGGGCCAGTATGCATGTAAGCCGCACACTCGCAACGGCTGTACGATCAGTCCGCGCAATGAAAAATTTCACGCTCTCCCCACTTTGCTGTTCTGGTTTTTCCGCTGTCCGTATGGATCTATCTACTAGCAACGGTAAGCTTGTCTTTCATGAATCATATGTCTCTTTCGTAGATTTCTGACTCTCTGCAGGCAATGGCTCCAATCCCGCTCCGCGCATCGGCGACGGGGGTTCTCATGACTCCCCCGAAACTGTTACGCCAGTCATTAAAGTCTCATTACCGGATGAGGACCTTCCTTCTGACCCAGCAGTCGCTATATCTCCATCGCAGCCGCCGCACAAGCTTGTTCGCAGCAAAAGCCTGACAGCAATTCCCGGCGTGGGTGACGAGCAACTTGCATCAACGAAATCCTGGAAACCTTCGAAGCGCTTATCATTCCTGTTACCCGAGAAGGTCGCGGTACCGATAATCAGTGAGAAACGAAGGCTTGAGAAAAGAGAAAGCAAGACCGGCCAAGAGTGGGTTTTCCTCAGTCGCCGAAAATTAAAAAAACAAAAAAACCGAAGGAATGAAAGGCTTCATTTGCTAACCATCTCAAGTGCTCGAACCTCTTCACCATCCCGACACGCCACCTTTCAGCATGTGATTCCAGCTATAAAGGTTCGCAAGCTTAGTGAGCCCAAAGACAATACCAATGGATGTCAAGTAGACGTTGTGGTCATACACATGTGCGGGAATCGTAAGAAAAACGTTGACTGGGAGATGTCCGTATTCATCGAGCCGAAAGACAAGAAAGAGACATACCTTGACGAACAATGCCAGGCACGCAAACGATCGCAACTCAGGTGAATATCTTTCAATCAAGCTACATCTCTATGGAACTGATCATCTAGGCGGACGGTATCTCAGGGCAATGAAAGCCTCCTTCCCCCAGAAGTACCCGACCTGCAAGCTTCTGCTGCCGCCGTGAACTGGCTCGAAGACCAGGACATGCTACCCAAAGCTCTCCCTAAAGCAAGGATCACCGCTTTTGGTCTGGACATCAATCAAAGTATCTCGAACAGTGCGAACGCTCCAATTGACCTGAAGTTTGCTGCGACAGAGATCCTGAAAGAATTCTTGAGGCAATGGGACGGAGATGAACAAAGATCCATCGTCTTCATCGGCCATGGCTATGGCACTATCGTCATTGAACACTTGCTTTTCGGAGATCTGCTGAAGACAGTTGGAGAAGACTCGAGGCTCCAAATAGTCGAGTCTACCGCCGCAGTTGTCATGTTTTCCCCACCGCTGGAACGTTTCGACAACCTGATCAGCTGGATGGCAAACGATTTCAACATACCGAGATGTTCAGCAATATTTGAAGCGCGTAAGGCCAACAATGATCGTGCACCCAATGTCATTTGGGACGACTTTCTCAAGAAAACGGAGCCGCGAAATATTGCCACGTTTGGATACTTGGAGCAAAACAACGAGCCAAAGAAGGCTAAGAGCACCAATGCACAACCGCAAACCCGTTTGAAGCGCTTTGATAGGACCTGGACATTCGACACGGATGTCGACAACATTGCGAGGATCAGCCATGCAAACGACATCCGGTTCAAGAACCTTGCGAAGGCCGTGTCAGAGTACGTGGGTGTCCACCAACTTCTTCGGGCTGGCAGGATCCCTGATGAGGACCTCATTGATGACTTACTCGGAGCCTCGATCGACTTCAACTTTGAGAACGGAAAGAGACAGACAGTCCTACATTTGGCTGTTGAGCAAGGCTTGGACAGACTCGTCAAGAGTTTGGTCAACAGTGGCAAGGTTGATTTGGATCGCCAGGATGATTCTGGAAACACAGCACTCCATATCTCCATTGCGTCTCGCTTCCATCACAGTCGGGACATGGTCTTTCATCTGCTAAAAGCCGGTGCAAACACTGGAGTCATGAACAAACTTGGCAAGTCAGCTGAAGAGTTGGCGCTAGAAGCCAACATATCCATCAAAGAACTCTTCAGAAAGCGGCCATTGGTTGAAGGTCCTATCGGACCACGCACGTTGGTCGGGGGAAAGCCAGCAAATCCCGCCGCCCAGGCGTCATGCCAGAAGGCCGGCATGGTGGCGCGAGAAGTTTTCAAACCCACCAAATCGAAACCAGAAAGACACCTCCCCGTGTACAAGTCGGTGCACGACTTTATATACACCGACGACAATATTGATGATTTTTTCCAAGCGGCGTATCATGAGCACCCAGGTACTGCCATGTGTAGATGGTACCACATCCCGATGAACAATGTAAGAGCATCGGACGCTACTACACGAAGACTACTAACTCAATATGTCAGATGGCTTGGGTACACGTGAGGTTTCGTATCCCTACTGTTGCTTGGTATCGCTGACAAGTCAGGACCTGTTCGCAAAATTGAAACTGCCTCATTGGCCCTGGCCGAAACCATACAAGCGCAGTAAAATCCACTATGGTGTAAGACAAGCCAAGTAAGATGCAATCCTTTGAACTTCCTCGTGCTGACTTTGTAGCGATACATGAGCCCTGAGGCTACACGGCTGCCAGGACTGCCAAGGTCTTACAGTACACCTAGCCATGATAGCTGGGTTGTTTTCGTAGGTTTTGGCCTGTTTTCGAGGACCGGAGGTTAACGATAGACAGATGCCATATATCAGCTACGAAAGCTGTCTTCGGCAACAGCAGATTGCCAGCATTACTGAAAGAGCAGGGGTAACACTTCCAGGAATATTCCGCCTTTCTAATCTGCCCTTCTCTCGCCCTCGCCTAATTGACCGAAGGCGAAGTAGAAATAATGTCGGCGCAAACATTCTACCAAGCGAAGATCCTGAGGCCTTGGCCATAAAAGGCTACTTGAACGACCATAACCACAACCAGAGTCAGCATCTCACATTTCATGTCAGACGGTAAGTTCATATTCCCGCAGAGTGGAGACCTATGTTCTATCGGAGCATATTGGTCTACTTCCTGGATATGACCTCGTTCAATATCTTGCGAGAAAAAACAGCGGCTAACGCTTCCCTTGAAGGACACTTGATCAATCTTACTACAACATGTTAAAGGACACCTCCTACAGGGACAGGACCCAAGTTGTCTCTCGTTGTGCAAAGCTTGAATGGCAAGACTCACCTGACCATAACGTACTTATGGTGGACCAGCTTTGGTTGTGGTTCCTCAAAGGCAAAGACGGTAAGCCGGACACCATCATCACCAGTTTCCCGTCGCGTGAAGGAGCCACATATCCGCAGTCGACTCGCGAAGCAGACGACCTACAAGGCACTATCCTGGATCCCACCGACCGGAAGTGTATCTCCGAAAGTACCGACCTGGTCTCCCGCATTCTTTCCGTGTGTTGCAACGCTTTCGATCGTCACCAGCATCTGGAGTCCATCAACTTCCTTTACTTCTTTGAGAGCGCCATAGGCCGTGCGGTAGGTAGAACTGCACTCAAGTTCTTGGACTACAGGCTAACAAGGGCGTAGGAGGAGGAAGAAACACGTCTGTTCCGACATTTCCGACGACGCGCGAACACTCTCCACTCCCTTCACGAAAAACATCCAACCTACTCGGAGCACAGGAGTATGTTACTGAAAAAGCTACTGGACATCTTGAAGGAATCGAAGCTGCTCAAAGAAATCAAAGACATCCTGGACGAGATCAAGATGATCAAGTCCGTTTTGAAAGACCAGTACAAAGTCGTGAAATCTCTCCAAGAGCTTGTGCAGCCTCACCACCCGTCGCGCGGCAAAGGCGCGTCTCATCTCCACACGGAAAACAAGTTCTCCAACGTCTTGACGTTGATTCGAGATACCGACGAAAGTTTTGACGTCATGGAAGCACATGCGAAGCAGGTGGAGAATGGGGTAAGAAAAATCCATACATGATATCAAGACCTCGCTACAAGCGCTGACCATTGGCAGCTTGAGCACCTCCTCGACCTCAAACAAAAGCAAGCGAATTTGTGGGAGGCCCGGTCTTCCCGTGAGGGTGCCGAAGAAGCCGCTAAGCAGGGCAAGGTATGCCATCCCTCTACCGCTCCTTCGATATTTCGCTAACGTTACGTTATCCAGACCATACTCGTCTTCACCGTCGTCACAATTATCTTCGTAGGTCTCAGCCCCTACTCAACATTGCACTATACTGAAACTGGCAGCTCCCGCTTTCCTTCATGGCCTCCTTCTTCTCCCTCGGTGTCTCGATCTTCCCAAAACAAGACGGCGAGAACAACCTTCCTCTCGGCTGGGTCGCAGCCTTCCTCTGTCAGTCCAAGACCCACCGCATATCCCCTCACGGCTCCACACCGGCGCTAACACGAACTCCAACAAAAAGTCGGCATATCATTCGCCGTGTCCATCCCCTTCATCCTGCTCGCCTTCAAGATCGAAAGCTTCTCCTCGGCCTGGACGCGCCTCACGCACTCCGCCAACAAGTGCGCGGCCTTCATCCTGCTCAAGCCCCTCGGCCGGGTCCCCAGCCGGCGCGTGCGGGCCAAGGGCCAGGAGTGGTACAGGGCGTGGGTGAGCTTCATCGCCAAGCACGACCTCCCGCTCAGGCCGGACGGGGAGACGGCGGCCCGGCTGAAGCGCGAGACGGACGGCGCCGCCGGCGCCGCCGCCGCCGCGGCCGCGCCGCCCGAGCCGAGCTCCGGCTCCGACTCGAGCTCGGATGGGGAGGTGAGCGACGAGGAGGAGCTGGACTTGGCTGTGCGGCAGACGGAGAGGCAGAGGAACTTGCTGCTGTGGATGAAGGCGGCTGAGCGTTGAGGGGTGGTGCGCGAGGTTTGTACTCGTTGCGTGGGCTTTTCCCATTTGATCTAACCTTTGATCCTCCCTTTTTTTTTTTTTTTTGTTGGGGGGGAGGGGGGGATATTTACAGCAAAAAGCGCAGTAAAAACACAAACTCACGGTGACGTAGACGCTCTATAGCAGGCGGATCCCACCGCGGATCCCTCGCTATCGGCGAAGCCGAAGCTCTTGTCGATCATGATCATACGGGAGGAGTGTCGTCCGCAATCCGTTCTGTAAGCTTTCGTTGTATGACAGAGGTCAGTGATGAGATTGTTGGGCTGTCGAGCTTTGCAATTGCGGAAGAACTGAGTGGGCGACGTTGGACGGGCAGGTTGGCGCGGTATGGCCGCCTCCTGTAACACCCTTGGCAAAGCTGTAAGGCGTGTCGACCACTTGGGGGGAAAAGTAGCGGCGGGGAGAACCGCGAGGGCATGGAGAGAGGAATCGAAATGCGCGGCCCGACGGAGTTCTGCTTCCACTCTCCGGCCAAGGTACCACCTCAAAACCTAAAGGCTGACGAGCAAGTGTTGTAGGTCTTCATCTTGCCTTTACGCTATTTTTATAATAAAAAAACTCTCAACGTGCTTTGTTTTTTTCGACAAACTCTGAGTTCAACCCCGCAGCTCTGCATTGGTTTATTTGATCACATATGGCCCTTGTAGATATCATTCAGCATCAAGCTTCCTTTCAAAAAGCGGTAAAGAAGTGTAATAAGTACTCAAGAAACTCAACTAAAACGTCAAACTCTATACATTCACTCCTCCGTCCTCCAAACCACCACCTCACACAACGACCTCCCTCCTCCTACTCCACTGATGCTTCTCCTCCCCCTCTCCCGGCACGCGGTTCTTCTCCTCATAAAGCCGCTTCGTCAACGACTTGTACAAAAACTTGCTATCCGCGTTATACCTGATGTTGTGATCCGAATCGGTAAACCACTGGCTGTCGAACTTATCCGGGCCGACGCCGCCGGCCATCAGCACGTCGGCCAGGACGGCCGAATGCTGAAAGTGCACGTTGTCGTCTCCCAAGCCGTGCGTGACGAGGAAGCCACCCGCAATGTTCCTGAACCCGTCCGTCTTGCGCACGGCCGTCTCGTTGTAGCCGGCGGGGTTGGCGGCGAACGTCTTCATGTAGCGCTCCGTGTACATGGAGTCGTAGAAGCGCCAGTCGGCGACGGGCGCCGTGATGAGGCCGAGCGAGAAGACGCCCGAGTCGAGCTCGACCACCTTGCTCGACAGGTACCCGCCGAACGACCACCCCCAGATGGCCACGTGGTCCGGGTCCGCCCACGGGTTGCTCTCGAGCATCTGCCGCGCCGCCCACACCTGGTCTTCGGCCTCGAGCTTGCCGAGCTGCCGGCTGACCTGCGCGCGGAAGGCGCGGCCCTTGTAGCCGGTCCCGCGGCCGTCGACGACCCACTGCGCGTACTCCAGCTCCGGGTCCGACGCGACGTAGGCGTTCCACGACAGCGGGTCCCACGTCTTGGGCACCTCTTGCGCGCCGGGCCCGCCGTAGGGGTTGAAGAGCACGGGGTATTTCTTCGAGGGGTCGAAGTTCGGCGGGAGGCGTTGCATCACGTTGAGCTTGGCGCCCGAGGGGTGGTCGAGCTCGAACCAGCTGACCTCGGGGAGCTTGTACTCGTTGATCTCGGCGTAGAAGGCGGCGTTGTCGACGAGCGTGCGCAGCGGCGTGGTGGTGCTGTTGATCGAGTAGAGCTCCTGGTAGGGGACGTCCGGGCCTTGGTACGAGAGCGCGTAGTAGCCGCCGCCGCTGGAGAAGGAGGCGGACCAGTAGGCGGGGATGGTGTCGTCGACGAGGGGCGTCTTCTTGCGGGTGGTGTAGGAGACGGAGTAGAGGTGCGATTCAGTGCTGTGGTGCTCAGTGGAGGTGTAGTAGACAAGGCTTCGGGCCGTGTCGACCTTGAGGATTGAACGGACTTCCCATTCGCCGCTGGTCAGCGGGATGGCCGCTCCGCCGTTGACGGGATAGAGGTAGATGTGCGTCCAGCCGGAAACGTCCGAGAGGTCGAGGTAGTAGGTTCCGTTGGTGCCGTTGCCGGCCGCAGCGCCTACGTAGGTGATGGCGAGGTTGTTGTCGAGCCAGCCCTCGGTTTCTGAGCGCTCACGCACAACGGAGCTCGAGCCCGAGGCAACATCGACATTGACGACTTTTTCGGAATCCTGGACTCTGTTGTAGGCGCGGAACAGCACGTTGGAGTGGTCGTCAGTAGCCCAAGCAACCTCCCCGATGATGATGTCATCTGCAGGGAACGCATCGATAGCAATGGGAGTGATTTCAGAAGAGGCAATATCCAGCAGATTGAAGCCTACGGTTGGATTGGTAGCGTCGACCTTGGGGTACCTGAGTTCCAGCTCACGCGGGTAAGAGTTTCCGTACTCAGTGCTGCTCGAGTGTAAGCGAGGGTTGTGTATGCATGAACAAGACAAGGTGCTTACTTGTCGAGGTAGTACTGCACGCGGAATGTCGGCACGCCGGTCTCGTTGAAGTTGAGATAGGCAATCTTCTCGCCGTCTGGGCTCCACCAAAGCGCGTAGCGGTCGCCCAAGATTTCCTCCTCCATTACCCAGTCGGGGATTGCATTGAAGGTATCAGGGCCACCATCAGAAGTAATGCGCGTAACCTCACCGTCGGCCCATATATACAGGTCGTTGGCGCGAACAAAGGCGATCTTTTCCCCATTGGGATCCCACTCGGCGTACTGGATATCCCCCGCTTGGTCGGCGACCAAAGCATCCAAGCTGCCCGTGGCAATGTCGAGGACGAAGTAATCGGCAAAATAGGAGTGGCGGTATTGCTTCGTATAGTTGGTTGCCCACAAGACGCGGCTCAGGTCGGTGCTAATCCAATAGTCCCAGTAGTCGGCGGGCACCTGGTCGGCGGCCACAAATGTCTCGTTCTGGCCGGTAATGGCGTTGGCTAGAATCAGAGCGCCGTCGTCGCCTGCGAAGATGTACTGGCCGTCGACGTCGCTGGCCACCCACGCCAGCGACACCGAAGACGGGCGCAGGCTCGTGGGCACGGTTTCGTTGAAGGTAAGGAGCTTGGTGCCATTGGTCCTCGGGGCCGTGGCGCCGCGCGGCGGGTAGATGGCGCTGACACCAACGGCGGCGCTGAGGGCAGCAAGCAGCAGGGAGAGCTTCATGGTGGTGAGCCCGGGAAGAGGCGCGACCGAAGGTGGGGGAGCGAGTGCGTCAACGGCGAGGTGCAGTAGTGCGGGCTATATATGTATATCGAGATTGCATGGACGGCGAGAGATGGGCGGTCCGCTTGGCGGCAGCGTCGTACACAGTGTTTGCGCGTCCCAAACAGGAAGCTGGCAAAACATGACATCTGAGGCGGACGGCTTGGCAGCTTGGCCGGCGGAGCGAGAGGCGAAGATGCAGCGCGGGCCGGAGATAGGGTCGCTTTGGAGGAGCTCGAGGATTTTCCCGCTCATGGGGCATGGCATTGCGCGATCAAGGGTGCATTTGCGCGTGTCAGGACACATGCAGGAACGGCCGGGCGGCCACGGATTCTACCTATCGCTGAAACCAGGCCAATCCCAGCCTCGACGGCCACGACTTCTCCATCGCTTGTCAGCACTCCACGAAGTCGCCGTCTCTGGGCCAAGCAAGGGAATACAAACTCTGCTGGCCTGAGACAACGCCCCGCCACCGAATCGGCCTTTTTTTCCGCGTTACGCCCGGTCCTGGAAAGTCAAAAGAAAAGGAAATACGAGGAAAGCGAGACGGGTTCCGTGAGCGGAATGAATGCATCTAACACATCGTATTGGCTGGTATCTGTCATCGCCGCGGATCCGGTAAAATGCAAAGAGGTATCATGACCCATAACCAAACAGAAACTCCAGGGATATCATCGTCAAACTGAATCGCACCCCGCATTCTTCAACCCATGTTTCCTCCGCACCCTTCGCTCCATGCCCTCGCCACCGCAAGACGGGCAGCAGCGCCCTCCGCTCCCTTCTTCTCAACGGTACTGCGCATACTGCTGGTGCTGCACGGGCTTGAGCTCCTCGTCGGCGCCTCTGCTGTCGTACAAGGGGACGCCGTGGACTGGTGGCTGGTTGTACGGTCCGGCGTAACTCGTCTGCCCGTATTCCTGCGCCGACAGCTGGTTGTTGATCGGGTTGGCCGCCGGCGCGTAGTGGCCCGAGTTGGACGCGCGCAGATTGCGGTCGCGGCGGAAGACGGTGCAGGCGTAGATGAAGAGGCTGATGTAGAGGAGCCTGCCGCATACGTCAGCCAATGGTCGCCGTAGTAAAACGAAAAAAAAAAACTTACAAGGCGGCGATGCCGAAGATGCCCACGTAGACGCGGCCGTAGGAGGCGTTGCCGATGAACTGCAGCACGACGATGGCGATCCAGAAGAGCAGTTGCAGGGTGTTGATGATCAGGAAGGTGCGCGGGCTCAGCGAGTGGCGCACGTATTGGACCATGCACCAGATGTCAAGGAGGAGCGAGACGATGAATAGCGTCATGAATACGGCAACGACACTGTGCACGGGGTTAGAGGTTGCGCTTCCATGTTTGTTTTTGGCTGCTTACGCCTTTGCCGCGTTGACTGCGCTGTCGTCATAGTCTTCGTAGAGCTCGTCGCTCGGATCCTTGATCAAGACGGCGAGGATAAAGGCGTACATGGCGATGATGATTATCGTCAGCCCATCGCGAAGGATCCAGATCGGAAGCAGAACGCGCTTCTTCCAAGGCGAGGTTTCCCGTGTGTAGCGCGCCATGTTTGGTTCGGTGTTGAGCAGACCGAGTTGTAGTCGTGCGAGGCAGTGAAGACAAAGAAAACCTGGGACCGACACAGCTAATATATGTAAACCTGCTTGACCGCTTGCACTTGCTTTGTGGCTGTGGCTGGGTTGTCTCGACTACTGCCATCCTTCGCTGCCCCCGCCTCTCATACGCTGTCAGGCACCAGCCCACGCCGCTCCCGCACTTTAAAATACCGAAATAGCATACGGACTTCCCCAAAGGGCATGGATTGTCACCAGTCTGCCGAGCGGGGCTCTGCCTGAATCCTGGCGCGTGACTGGCCGACAAGCGCGAAGGATTTTGGGGGCGAAGTTGTGCTGCTTGGCGAGCACTGCCTGCCTACTAGGCACCACAGTGGGTAACCAAAGAAATTGACTCGTCGGCTACACGTCTATATCAGTACTCGCATCCATATCCGCACATCTTCTTACACCGCCCATGCGAAGCACCGCCCATGCGAAGCACCGCCGCGACTAATTTTCTTTCGCCGTCCACTGTGCAAGCACCATGGTAACTCTGTAGCACACCAGCAGGAACAATGTATGAATTGGAAGAGCCCACAGGTCATAGGAACCATCCGGCAATGTCAACTACAGGGAAGCAAATACTAGTCTAAACCTTGTTCACCTTCTCGGCCTTTCTCTTCGAAAGCATCTTCTTAACCTTCGAAATAACACGACGCCAGAGGTCTCGAACGCCGGTGCGCTTCATTTCGCCATTCTCCTTAAACCGCACCTTTTTGTCGTCGTGAAGAGAAGCACCCGCCGTCGGTACTGGGACCTCATTTGCCTGAAGAGTCGGAGACGTCGTCAACCTCTTTTTCATGGCTGCTTCCAAGCCTGTGAGAACTGTCTCGATTTCCTTGAATTTCTGATCAATCTCGCTGTCCATCGTTGCGATGTCTGTGGAACTTGGGTTCCCAATAGTCTCGTCGTCCGCCATTGGAGCCGCCTTCACGACGTCTGCCGGGCCTGAGATCGGGACAGCTTCGTCGCTCATTATTAAAGCTGTCTGCGGAACGTCTGTGTGATTTGAGCTCTCGATAGTCTCAACGCTCATGGTTGGGTCTGCCTTCGGCATGTCTGTGTAACTCGAGCCCTGGATAGTCTTGTCGTCCACGATTAAGACTGCCTGCGGGACGTTTGTAGAACCTGACTTCTCGATAGTCTCGCCCACGGCCGGAGCTGCCTCTAAGACGACTGTAGAATCTGACTTGTCGATAGTCTCGTCAATAGTTGGAGCAGCCTCCGGGACGTTTGTGGAACCTGAGTTCTGGACGGCCTCGTCGCTCACGACTAAGACTACCTGCGGGACTACCATGGAGGTTGAGCGCTTGCTAATCTCGCCTACGGCCTCCGGGACGTCCGTGGAACCTGGGTTCTGAATGGCTTCATCGCTCACGATTGAGACTACCCGCGGGGCTGTTATGGAGTTTGAGCGCTTGTTAATCTGGCCCACGGCCTCCGGGACGTCCGTGGAACCTGGGTTCTGAATGGCTCCATCGCTCACGATTGGGACTGCCTGCGGGACTATTATGGAGTTTGAGCGTCCGGTAATCTGGCCCACGGTTGGAGCTGCCTCGGAGCTGTATGTGGAGCGTGGGTTCTGGACGGCTTCATCGCTCACGATCGAGACTACCTGCGGGACTGTTATGGAGTTTGAGCGCTCGGTAATCTCGCCCACGGTTGGAGCTGCCTCCGAGCTGTCTGTGGAACTTGGGCTCCGAATGGCTTCTTCGCTCACGATTGGGACTGCCTGCGGGACGTCTGTGGAGTTCGGGTGCTGGACAGCGTCCGGAACTACGTAGCGCTCACGCTCTAATTCGAGAGCAGAGTCCCCTCCGAACACAAGGGCGTAGTTGTGCGAAATCAGAGGAGCTGGAAACTCGATGGGTGGAAGAACGGGAGGAGATTCAGGCGAGTCGGCTGCGCGGTGCTTGGAGAAAGACGGCATGGAATCGGCTACAGTCGAAGCCGCTGAAAAGGAATGATGACCGCCGAAGATACGCTCTTTTGGGCTACCCATACCCGGGAGCGACGGTCGGAAGGAAGAAATCTCGATGGGATTGGAATCTTGACATGTGTGAGTGCGGTTCCGACGGCCACGATAGCACGATACGGTACCTGGTATCGGAAAAGAATAACTACTTCTGAGAGACGGGTCCCCGGCACTATGGCGATGAGGCGGCGACGCTCTAGGCAGAACGATGGACAATCTGAGGAGGGGGTTTGATCTAGTTTGCAAAAGCCAGGGGAAGCATCGTACGGCGGGCTTGCTGTTGCTGCCACGCTGGGGACCATGGGGGAACGGCGCATCGCAGAGTCGACACGCGCTTTCCTAGGCCAATGCCTTCCATGGCCCCTGCGATGCGGCAGCCGACCAAAGTCGAGGCCATCGCGAGGGATGCAGTTCCCCGTTGGTGAGCCATTCTTCCATGCGGCATCTTGTTCCGAGCTGCAAGATTACGTCTGCTGCACCCAGCGCAGCAGGCACGAGCTCTACCGCGATGGCAGCGAAATGCACGCATGGCGACGAGGTGTTCAGTCGAGTGGAGGCCGTGGTCGAGAGCCTCAGCAGCGGGCGGGCGTAGCTTGAGGCAAGGACATTGCTGCAGGTAAGACGCTAGCTGGGCAGGGAAGCGGCGACGCGGGTTCCATGGAAAGAAGAGCAAGCGGTATCAAGCGGCGCTGGCCCGCGGTAAAAGCCCGCGACGTCGGTCGGCGTTCATGCCTGACTTCTCCGGCGCCGGAAAGGCGGGGCACGCCAAAGGAGGGCGGGCCCGCTGGCCGTCGCTGAAATGCAGGTGCCCGCATCCCGGCGCATTACTTTCCCACTCACTCGCCTCCACGCCTATCCCGCAGCTGTTCTCGATTCCTCTCGCTGCGCCCTCCCCCTCGTGCGACTGTGACCCCGCCGCTGCCCACTCCGGTGCATACTCGCCCAGCCCAAGCTCTGCTGCTGCCCCCGCCTCAAACCCCACCACCCGGTCAACGAGCTCAGCTCACCTCAGCGCCTCACACAAACCGCCATCGCCACCTCTCGTGCGCCGCACACGAGCTTGCTCCTCCACCCGAGACACACGTCGCTAGCCTCCAGCCAACATGGCCTCGACCTCAGCTGCTGCCGGTCTTCTTGGCCGCCAACTCAAGCACATGCAAACGGACAAGGACATTCCGGGCATCAGTGTCGGCCTGGTGGATAACAACGTCTTTGAGTGGGAGGTCATGCTCATGATCAATGATGACTGCAAGTTCTACGGAGGTATGTGGGAGAACGGCTTGACTCGCACACCATGTGCACTGCCTCAGTGGCTTCAAAGTCCCTGTGCCACCTCTTCGCATGATCATTCCGAAGCGCATAGCACATAGACACCGTACTGATCAGTTCGCAGGTGGCTTCTTTAGGGCACGTCTGTCATTCCCGCCCGAGTACCCTCTGCTTCCTCCGAAGATGAAATTCGAGACTCCCATTTTCCACCCTAATAGTACGTCCGTCCCGCGCTCCGTGGTCATGCACCACGAGCTGCGCACGAAGCCCGGCCCTGCGTTGTTCAGTACTGACAAGAACTCAGTCTATCCCAGCGGCGATGTCTGCATCTCCATCCTACACCCTCCGGGTGACGACAAATACGGCTACGAGTCTGCTTCGGAACGTTGGTCGCCGGTCCAGACTCCTGAAACCATCCTCCTCTCCGTCATCTCCATGCTATCATCACCGAATGATGAGAGTCCTGCTAACGTCGAGGCCGGGAGGCTGTGGCGCGATGACCCCAAGGAATTCAAGAAGAAGGTCAGGAAGTGTGTGAGGGACAGCCTCGAGGAGGGCATGTAAGAAGCAGTCACGGCATTTCGTAGAAAGCATGGCGCCACTTCACTCCCGTTCTTTAAACTGGAGCTGGGCAGGTGTACATAGGTGGACTGGGTGGGTCTGGTTGGCGTATGAGATGCATGCATGGTAAAAGGCGTTAAACGGTTAGTCTCGCCTCTTACTTCATTTAGCACCAGATCTTTGATTTTGATCTTTTGACAACAATTTTTATACGACACTGTGGTACGCTTGTGATCGTTCTGGCACTAAAAAGAGCATCGGCGTTATTGTGTCTGGCTGTTTACTCTGCTGCTCCTGCGTTTGGGCCAGTAACAATATTGTATCTTTTTCGTTTTGACGAAAGACGCCAGCCTTCCTGTTGTTAAAAGGCATTGCGAGGTAGTACTGAACGTTTCATCTGCATAGCGTTCCACGGCGCATTTCGATGGTCGAAACTTCGCCCCCAGGACAATGGGTTACGTTTTGATGCTGCTTCGCAGTAGCTGTTACACACCATGTGCATACTTGTTTGAAGCTCATGTCCATATGCTGTTGCATTACTTTCCAACACTAGGTCAATCTCTATCAAAGCTCTGCTTTTGTCGCCCAAGGGACACGACTGCGCTCTCACAGTCCCCACCGCAGAAATCCATGTTGCGGTAGAACCAATCCTTGGTGAGTCTGTTGCTTCCGTGCAAGATGCATCAGCTTGTGTATGACGGTGAAGTGTTGCACTGGCTGTTAAGTCAAGCCATATATCCGTGATCTTAGCATTTTTACGACCTTCGTCCGGTGCAGGCTCTCAGCAGTCAACAGACTTCCTGTGCACGATACAGATTCACCTGCACCCTTCCACAGCGACGGAAAATGGAAGTTTGGCCGGCTGCGCGGTGGAACACATTGACTGTCAAGCAATGGACTACCGACAGACGCTGCGCTCAAAAAGGAAAATCGAATGACGTCAGGATGCCCGTTCTGGCAAGTTGCGTAAACCGTACGTTGGTGCTCTAGAAGGTCAGTTGGCAGCATGGCCAAGGGCATTTGCTCTTCTGCAAAAGCGCACAGCCGCGTGGGAAAGGAAGCGAGTCTGATGAGGGGGCAAAGAGGTAGCCAAAAGCGTGCGGGCGGTGAGAGCGCGGGCGCGTTGATTGGCTGGCGCAGCTGCAGTCGCGTCACGGGAAGATCGGCGGCCTGGCACAGTAAGATAAACCGCGTTTTGACCCTAGTCGCGACAGCAATCCTCTGTTCACCTCCGCCGACGCACCCTCTCCTTCTGCGAAACCACAAACTCTGCGCGCCCGACGCGTCGATCCCAACCACCATCCCCCCATCGCCCGGATCTTGCATCAGCGAGCGCATTCGACGCGTACACCATTTCCACCATTTAAATCCATAGTCCGCGTGCCCAAACGGGCAATATGGCGCCCTCGCGCAGTCGCAACTCTGAAGTCGCCTCGACCACCGACGTGTCCATGATCGACGCTCCCGACGCGACTGACGACTACACCCCCGACCCGCAGGATACCCCCGACTACACGGTACGCGTTCACGCCCGCGTATGCGACGCGTTCAGCTACTGACGTTGCGCCAGGACTCGGACTCAAACCTCAACACCGCCACGCCCAGCGAAGCGGGTGATGCAGCTCCCGCAGACGGTCGCAGGCGTCGCTCTGAGGCTCTGCAGCTCCGCAAGAGCGTACTGGGCAAGAAGCATGACCGTCTAGGCGAATCCAAGGTACGCCTCGCATCTCAATTTCCTACAGCATTCTCAACCCATGGTATTGGGCTAACATTGACTCAAGGAAGATGATTCCATCCGTCGATTCCGCTACCTGCTCGGCCTCACCGACCTGTTCCGCCACTTCATCGACTCAAGTCCCAACCCCCGTATCAAGGAGATCATGGCCGAGATCGACCGCCAGAACGAGGAGGAGGCCCACAGGGCGGCCAAGGGACACGCGCGCAAGGGCGGCGCTGGCGGTGACCGTCGCAGGAGAACTGAAAAGGAGGAGGATGCCGAGTTGCTTCGTGAAGAAAAACATGGTGGCTCCAGTGACTTGACCGTCTTCCGCGAGTCGCCTCCATACATCCAGGGTGTGATGAGGGACTACCAGATCGCCGGCTTGAATTGGCTTATTTCTCTCCATGAGAACGGTATTTCCGGCATCCTTGCCGATGAGATGGGTCTCGGAAAGACGCTCCAGACCATTTCCTTCATCGGTTATCTCCGCTTTGTCCGCGGCATCAATGGCCCCCATCTCGTCGCCGTACCGAAGTCCACCCTCGATAACTGGAAGAGAGAGTTTGAGAGGTGGATTCCCGAAGTCAATGTCCTCGTCTTGCAGGGCCAGAAGGACGAGCGTCAGCAGCTCATCAACGAGCGCCTTGTGGACGAGGGCTTCGACGTCTGCATCACCAGTTATGAGATGATTCTAAGGGAAAAGTCGCACCTGAAGAAGTTTGCATGGGAGTATATCATCATCGACGAAGCCCATCGTATCAAGAACGAGGAGTCTTCGCTTGCTCAGATCATCCGTGTCTTCAACTCCCGGAATCGGCTATTGATCACCGGAACCCCGCTGCAGAACAACCTGCACGAACTGTGGGCTCTTCTCAACTTCTTGATGCCTGACATCTTCGGCGACTCCGATGCCTTCGACCAGTGGTTTTCTGGCTCCTCGGAAGATCAGGATACCGTTGTGCAACAGCTTCACAAGGTCCTGCGTCCCTTCTTACTCCGTCGTGTCAAGAGTGATGTGGAGAAGAGCTTACTGCCGAAAAAAGAGGTCAACCTGTACATTGGCATGTCGGAAATGCAAGTCCAGTGGTACAAGAAGATTTTGGAAAAGGACATTGATGCTGTCAACGGCGCTGGCGGCAAGAAGGAGTCGAAGACTCGTCTATTGAATATTGTTATGCAGCTGAGGAAGTGCTGTAACCACCCCTACTTGTTTGACGGAGCGGAGCCTGGCCCCCCGTACACTACCGACGAGCATCTGGTCAACAATGCGGCGAAGATGGTCATGCTCGACAAGTTGCTGAAGCGCATGTTCGCCCAGGGCAGCCGCGTTCTGATTTTCTCGCAGATGAGCCGTCTGTTGGACATTCTGGAAGATTATTCCGTTATGAGAGGCTACCAGTACTGCCGTATCGACGGTTCCACTGCTCACGAGGACCGCATCGCTGCCATTGACGAGTACAACAAGCCCAACTCGGAGAAGTTTTTGTTCCTGCTCACCACTCGCGCCGGCGGCCTTGGTATCAACCTTACGTCCGCGGACATCGTCGTTCTGTTTGACAGCGATTGGAACCCCCAGGCTGATCTCCAGGCTATGGACCGCGCCCACCGTATCGGACAGACCAAGCAAGTTGTGGTATTCAGGTTCGTCACGGAGAACGCTATCGAGGAAAAGGTTCTCGAACGTGCTGCGCAGAAGCTCCGTCTGGACCAGCTCGTTATTCAGCAGGGTCGTGCTCAGCAACCTGCTAAGGCTGCTCAGTCGAAGGAAGAGTTGCTGAACATGATCCAGCACGGTGCCGAGAAGGTTTTCCAGAGCAACAGTGGCACCGGTGTTTTTGGTGAGGACACCACCGACGACGACATCGATGCTATTCTGAAGCGTGGCGAGGAGCGTACTGCGATGTTGAGCGCAAAATACGAGAAGCTCGGCATCGATGACCTGCAGAACTTTACCAGCGACTCTGCGTATGAGTGGAACGGCCAAAACTTTGTCAACAAGAAGAAAGAAATTGGCATAAACTGGATTAACCCCTCGAAGCGTGAGAGGAAAGAGCAGTCCTACTCGATGGATAAGTACTACCGCCAGGCTTTGATGACTGGCGGTCGGACGGCGGACACCAAGCCGAAGATTCCGAGAGCGCCCAAGCAAATTCAGATCCACGACTATCAATTCTTCAACCCTCGTCTGCAGGAGCTGCAGGACAAGGAGACTGCCTGGTACCGCAAGGAAAACAACATCAAGGCTCCTCTTCCGGAGGGTGAAGAATCAGAGATGGAGGCTCGTCTGGCAGAACAGGAGTTGGATCAGAAGGAGATCGATGATGCCGAGCCACTGACTGAGGCGGAGAAGGAGGAGAAGGACCGCCTGGCAGCAGAAGGTTTCGCCGACTGGAACAGACGCGACTTCCAGCAGTTCATCAATGGATCTGCCAAGTATGGCCGGAAGAACTACCAGATGATCGAGGACGAAGTGGACGGCAAGACGGCGGATGAAATTGAGGCTTACGCGAAGGTCTTCTGGAAGAAGTTCAAGGACATTGCCACGTGGGAGAAGTATGTTACCTCAATCGAGGAAGGTGAGGAGCGTCTCAAGAAGATTGAGCGCCAGCGCCAGCTTCTCCGCAAGAAGTTGGCCATGTACCGCGCGCCGCTCCAGCAACTCAAGCTGAACTACTCGGTCTCAACCACAAACAAGAAGGTCTACACGGAAGAGGAGGATCGGTTCCTGCTTGTGATGTTGGACAAGTATGGCGTAGACTCCGAGGGCATCTACGAGCGCATCCGCGATGAAGTTCGCGAGTCTCCTCTGTTCCGCTTCGACTGGTTCTTCCTCAGCCGTACTCCTGTTGAGATCAGCCGTCGCTGCAACACCCTCTTGACGACAGTTGTCAGGGAATTCGATGGCGATGGCGGAAAGGCCACCAACGGCACGGGCAAGGGCGGCAAGAGAGGTGCGGAGGACGAGGACGAGGACGAGAGCGAAGAGGACACTCCGGCTAAGAAGAAGGCAAAGAACGGCGTGAAGGTGAGTTAATTGTTTTGGAGCGACAGTAACCGAGCTTGGACTGACTTTTCGCAGAATAAGGCACTGGACAGCGTTCGCGGTGGCAGCAAGTCAGCATCAGCATCAGCCTCGCGTGCAAGCAGCGTTGTGTCGAACGGCTCTGCCACCACATCCAAGGGCAGTAAGGCTAAGGGCAAGAAGAAATAAGCGGGAGATTGAATCCTTTCACATTTTATGACTCGGGCGGGGCTGGCGTTAGGGTGTAAAACGGCAAGACGTATCATGGGCCTGATTTGGTCCCTGGCGGTACTCTGGGCGGTCATTCTTCATTGGGGGTATATCGTAGATCTGCTGTCTGGCTCTGTACGTTATAGAGAAGAATGGTGTATTCTCGGTTCGCCGACGGGATGGACAATCATGACCGTATTCATCAGGCGGGCTGTCGCCGTGCGAAGATGACGTACCACGCTAGTGCAAGCCAACGGAATATCATCCTGATCAAATGTCACCTGAAAAGTCGCGAGTTCATGGTGGTCGCGACGATGCTCGGCTTTTGGCGGGAGTTGAGGCCACGCAGGCCTCTCAGCCGCGCTGCACGATGACGCGCTAAGGTAGCCTCGAGCCAGATTCCCCCGAACACGCTGGAAAGTTACAGACAGTGTGACAGCTACCGCCCCCCGCATAACCCTTGAGCCACGCAACTCGCGCCACTCCCTCTGAACAACCAGCCAGCTTCTCTCGCTTCGACCAGTCCTTGACCGCGCATCACCGGATCTCGACATCGCAGCTTACGTCCATCGCACGCTTGCCCGTAGCAAATACCCCGCCAACGCGACCATCGCCGCCGCTCCGACAAACAAAAAGAAAAGCAACCCACCTACCTACCTACACACCTCCCACCCGTCTACAAACGAACGAAACGAACAAAAACACACACACATACACACATACACACACCATGGCCACCACCGCCGTCATCTCCGCCGACGACGGCGCGCTGGAGCCGACGCTGCAGTCGATCCTGGACCAGCAGACGCTGCGCTGGATCTTCGTGGGCGGCAAGGGCGGCGTGGGCAAGACGACGACGTCGTGCTCGCTGGCGATCCAGCTGGCGCGCGCGCGCAAGTCGGTGCTGCTCATCAGCACCGACCCCGCCCACAACCTCAGCGACGCCTTCAACCAGAAGTTCGGCAAGGACGCGCGCCTCGTCGACGGGTTCGCCAACCTCAGCGCCATGGAGATCGACCCCAACGGCAGCATCCAGGACCTGCTCGCCGCGGGCGGCGAGGGCGCGGAGGAGGCGATGCAGGGCTTGGGTGGCATGGGGAACATGATGCAGGATTTGGCGTTTAGTGTGAGTGTGGTTTTCTTTTTTTTTTCTTTTCTTTGCTCCTGTGCCACATTTCTCATGCTCCCCCGGGGTCTTTTGGGATCGGAGTGATGGGTGCATTGGGGGGTGGTCACTGGTGGGCGAGGGGAAGAGAGAGAGAGAGAGAGAGAGAGAGAGAGAGAGAGAAAGGGCATGAATGGCTGTGCTGACTGTGTGGCGATTTCTTCAGATCCCGGGTGTGGACGAGGCCATGTCGTTCGCCGAGGTGCTCAAGCAGGTCAAGAGCCTGTCGTACGAGGTCATCGTGTTCGACACGGCGCCGACGGGCCACACGCTGCGGTTCCTGCAGTTCCCGACGGTCATGGAGAAGGCGCTGGCGAAGCTGTCGCAGCTGTCGTCGCAGTTCGGCCCCATGCTGAACAGCGTGCTGGGCGCGCGCGGCGGCCTGCCCGGCGGCCAGAACCTGGATGACATGCTGGCCAAGATGGAGAGCCTGCGCGAGACCATCGCCGAGGTCAACACGCAGTTCAAGAACGCCGACATGACGACGTTCGTGTGCGTGTGCATCCCCGAGTTCTTGTCGCTGTACGAGACGGAGCGCATGATCCAGGAGCTCACCAGCTACGAGATCGACACGCACACCATCGTCGTGAACCAGCTGCTGTTCCCCAAGGCGGACAACCCGTGCGAGCAGTGCAACGCGAGGCGGAAGATGCAGAAGAAGTATCTGGATCAGATCGAGGAGCTGTACGACGAGTTCAACGTGGTCAAGATGCCGCTGCTGGTCGAGGAGGTGCGCGGGAAGGAGAAGTTGGAGAAGTGAGTACTTCTTGGAGCATTCATTTCCTTGGGCAACTGGGCTAATCTTTCTCTTTCCTATAGGTTCAGCGAGATGCTCGTCAAGCCTTACATCCCCCCGCAGTGAGGGAGTTCACGTTGGCGTCTATCGGTCGAGGAGCATACTGGGAGTACTTTGAGCGGATTTGGGGCCTACTGCAACGTGCCTGCACGACACTGAGGAAAAGACTCTCGGACACATGAGCAATGCACTTGTATGAATGGTCACGTGCCTTTTTTATACTTTTTTTTTCCAAGGCATTGACGTGCGGTAAGAGGAATGAAAGACACGGAATGCTGATTGGAGCGGCCTGGTACATACTAGTGGAGAGGACTACGCAAGGACTATGCTTTATTTTCTTTTTCTGCTGTAGACAGGGAAGGCTGGAGCAGAGCTACTGCGGCTGAGAAACGCATGACAGCGAGTTAAATAGTACGACTTGAGGCTACCGTTTCTATCTCTGGATTGCACATGCAACCTGACAGGCACTTACTACGTACAGATGTGGATGTCCGAACCTGATGGCCAGTTCATCAAACCATCCGCACGCCATTTTTCAACCTCGATGTTTGCCTACGATGGAGTGATTCTTGATGTTTTTGTTGGCGTTGACTATCGGCTGAGAGCATCGCTTCTTTCCCAACAATTGAAATTGCGTATCATGACGAGACGTGACAAGAGGCTGGCGCGCGTAAGAGGTGTACAGTCATATTGTGGTGCTATATACACCTGCCCCTTCTAGGAAGTAGCGCCGCTTTGCAGTGGGACGGCTTGTGCCACCCCGGTGGACCCCACGGCAGACACGTTGGCGCGAGAGTGAGCTAGTAGGTAGAGAATGGGTGCGGAGAAGGGCGGCTCTTTGTTTTTTTGCTTTTTTCTTTACCGACGTCAAAGCAATAATGTAGCCTCGTGTCCAAGCAAACTGCACAAGGAAGCATGTCGTCAGCTCACGGCGCAGCTGCACGACTGGCCGGCGCTGGCAAATGCCGAGCACATGTTATTTTGTTGAGTACGCGCGCCTACTTCGCGATGGCTTGCCGTCTAGAAATGACGGCTCTTCGGCCAGTCCAAGACCCTTGCTTTGGTCTAGGTAACCGGGCAGATCTGCGGGCGATAGCCGAGTACGTAGTAGAGCGTGGCAGCCAAGGCATCGAAAAAAAAATTGACAAGGCTGGCAGAGAATTCCCGAGCCGCCGAGGCGAAGCAGCAGCGGTCAAGCGATCGACAAAGGCGGTGCTGCCTGAGCCCCCCGGAAGCGCCGTCTTCGATTCTTCCACTGCAGGCAGCTGGGAGTGATGGCTGCGACCCGGGCGTTCCGCCACTGCCGCCGAAAGAGCCGCCGCGGACGCGAAGCGATGCGCGACGGTGCGCTGATATATGGCTTCTTCTTGCCCGACATCGCTGGCGGGGAGAAGTGGTAGCTGCAGGGAATAGAGTTGACCCGTTGCTTCTCCACGACGACAAGAGGCCGTTGCTAGCGCTGGCGCGAGACTAGTGGGTGGCGGGCAAAGGTAGCCAGCGTGCGGCTTGGCTCTGTGCGCGCAGCCTGTAAGGGCGCAGGACGGTGCTCCGGGCGGCTGAGCGGTTGGCAGTGTCGTCGAATCGCCGTGGCGGAGACCGGGGATCGCGCAACTCGGCGCTGGCCGCGGCTGCCGCTTTCAGCACTAAGCCTTTGCCTCCGATGCCACTTCCATCCGGGGGCCAAGCGAGAGGGAAGCACTGGCCGCCCGGCTGTTCATGATGCCTCGTGGCTGAGGTCGTGAGGTGGACTTTTCCCTGTTCTTTAGCTCCGGAGCCCACCTCCGGTGCTGTCTATACCTTTTCGTTTGCCCCCACCGTCTCGTCTGCTTTCTTTTCCCTCTCCACTCGAGCTGACGTCCGTACCGCCGTAGCTGAGCCCAGCGTGGTCAACTGAGCGGCGACCCTTCCCGTTACGGCTACATGCGACCTGATCTGCGCGCCTCCCGCTTTCGCTGCACCCGAGCTGCGTGCCACTGCTGGTGTTATACATAGCTGCGGGTTCCTGCACTAGCTGCCGCTTCCCTCCTGCCACCCCATCTTCGTCGACAAGATGCTGTCTTTCTTCACCCGTCTCGCTGCCGCCGGCCTTTGTGCCGCCTCCCTGGCGAACGCTGCGCCTGCTCCTGCTGAGCAGTCCCGGATCGAGCGGAGAGGTAATTCCCCTGTCGTCTCCGTTCTGGGTTGCAACACTTTACGTTTGGCGTCACGTTGCTGACTGGTTGCTTTGCAAAGCAGACATCTCGCAAGACCTGTTTGACACGTTCAAGCTGATGAGCCAATACGCTGCTGCGGCTTATTGGTAACTCCCACCAGGAAATCCGAATGCATCGCCAACTTTGCTAACACTCGGCCTTGTCCAGCCCGGACAACAACGACACCCCAAACACCAAGTTGACCTGCGATACCGGCAACTGCCCGCTCGTCGATGCCGCCAACGCAACCACTGTCAGCGAGTTTGAGAAGTGAGACCTTTCCTTTCTTTTCCATGCCCCCCTCTCCGTCTTATTTCGTCGCTGTTGCGCGTCCACCCGGCTTGACTGTTTTGCCACATTCTTCCGGGTATATCCCGCTGCACTGGCACCATCAGGCGTCGTCAGCTTCTTAATAAATCCCGGCTTTTGGTGCTCTGAGTGGACATCTATATTTGCCATCCCCCCTGATAGCCCTCACAACCCTTCACTATATGCCGATTGTCGTCCAGTCTTCATTTCCCATATCGTCCATCTTCCATCGGATAGAAGCATCCATTCTCATGCTAATTCTTCCCAGCTCCCTCATCACTGACGTAACCGGTTACGTGGCCATCGACACGACCAACTCGCTCATCGTCGTCTCCTTCCGCGGCTCGGGCTCGGTGCGCAACTACCTGACCGACTTCAACTTCCCCTTGGTCGACGCGTCGGAGCTGTGCGCCGGCTGCCTGGCCTTCAACGGCTTCTGGACGTCGTGGAAGGAGGCGCGCACGGGCGTGCTGGCGGCGGTCAAGTCGGCGGCGGCGGCGCACCCGTCGTTCCAGATCGTCAGCGTGGGCCACAGCCTGGGCGGCGCCGTGGCCGTCTTCGCCGCGGCGGAGCTGCGCAACGCGAACCGCAGCGTCTCGCTGTACACGTTCGGGCAGCCGCGCATCGGCCCCGAGAAGGTCAGCGACTACATCACGGCCCAGGGCGACAACTACCGCCTCACGCACAAGAAGGACCCCGTCCCCAAGCTGCCCCCCGTCCTGCTCGGCTACGTGCACGTCAGCCCCGAGTACTACCTCACCGGCGCCAACGACGAGGAGGTCGTCATCGACGGCGTCGAGGGCCCGCTCGAGGGCAGCGTCAATTTCATGGGCAACACGGGCACCTTGGACGTCGACTTTGATGCCCACGGCTGGTATTTTGGGAACATTTCGGTGTGCAGGCCGGATGTTTTTGAGTTTAGGAAGAGGGATGTTTTCAGGGTGCCTTTGAGGATTTGAGAGATGTGGGGGAATGCGGGAATTCTGAATGAAGGGAAGGAGATATGATACCAGAGAGCCTTTATGGCGGATATGAATAGGGAAATTTCTACAAGACTTTTAGTGCAAATGAAGGGGGAGAGATGGGATTTCACGTGGGTGGTGGAAGTCTTGTGTGCGTGGACGTGTTTGAGGCTCGTCATCTACGCCCGAACGTTTACTTCTCGACCTCTGCCCACGTACGGAAGCGAGCGGGCGCCTGAGTTGGGAGCGTGTCATACTTGCAGCGTCCTCGAAGTTGCTCTAGGCGAAGTGGGTTTCGTCCCGTTGCAACTTTTTCCACACGAGCCTGTGTCCAGTCCGTCCACTGCGCACATGGTGTCGAACGGGCAGGACTCTGCAACGCGAGGACGACGAGAATCGCCAGAAGCTCAGGTCTTCTTCTGCAACCTGCTGCGGCACACTTCTACCAAGGCATGTGCGTACGCTCCGTGCGTCAGCATGGCGATCGGCTGCTTTTCAAACCGGAAACTCTGTCACAATCCGTGATTCATATTGCGTCTGGGCGAGATTTATTTGGGAACCGCCTATAAAGAGAGAATCACCCTAATGATGATATTAATGGGAACATGTTTGATCTCGTCGACTAATGAAACCCTTGCACTGCAGAGTTCTCGTGAGCAAAATAAGGGAAACTAAAAAATCGCAGCAAAGCGGACCGGAATGGCGATATCTGAGCTATATGGCGCACGGTTACACTATGAGCTATTCAGACCTTCAGTGGGTAAGGAGGAGTGCGGGTGTGTATAGGGGAATGGTAGAGGTTGCGCGGCGTTGCTTTTTTTTTCGTGGAGGGGGTGGGAGCGTGGGATAGATCCTGGACGGATCTCGTGATATATCTATTTGATCTGGGTGATTGGTTCTGTACTTTCGTTCTGCTCTGCATTTGAGCATTTTGTGCTTGTTGTTATTTTGGTGCTGTTCAGGACAAGGCCCCTTTCGTAGTGAAGACTCGAGTCATTGCTTCTTTCGACAGTTTTGAACGAAATGGACGGAGGTGTCGCACGCTGATTACGGGTTCCATTGTTCTGCTTTGTTATAATTATAGCTGTTTACATGTTTGGTGACGATAGTGACGACAGAAGATATAAATTTCATGATGAGCAAATGCAGTGGCTGATGTTGATGAACACTTCGAGAAAAGATGCCCTTTGGCACAAGAAAGGACTTCTTCCGATAGTCCTGCAACAGTTCACTAGTTTGTTGAACCGCTTGGAAGTCCAGATCAGTGTGCGTTGCTTCTCAAAAAGCCAATTCTCGACTCGCGTTCGCGTCATCATCGATTCATTGCCCCCTCTCATCTGATGGAACCGGGGCCTTCGCTCTGGTTCTTCTCTGAACAGATTGCAGACTTCTGGGAAAATTTTCTACCAGCAGCACCAGGCCTGCTATGAGTCAGGACACCAAGGACCCACGTTTTGATGCTCTATCTTAAACACCTCGGCATGATTGTAGTCGTTCGTGGGGATGATGTCTTGAGTGAAGATTTTCAGCAGAGCGAGGTGTGCACGAGTCTGAAGAACCATCAAGTAGCTGTCCAAATGTGGTTGTTCGGTGCTCGTTTGCGAGACGGTTGATGGACATGTGATCTGGCAATCTCGATGCGACCAGAGAAGGATAGTTTGGGTCATTTAGACTATGTACATACCACTTTGTAGAGTAGCAATAATCACTCGAGTAGACGATGGCTACACAGACAGAGGGTGCGCAGTCGATTGACACAGCATCTGTGATTTGGAAATCACCTTGCAAGAGCCAAATGTAAGAATTTCGAAAAGGCGAAGTGATCGGAATGAAGTGAGGTCGGAAGAGGACAGGGGGGTCAAGGGCCAGCGCGGTCGCACAAGCGGGCGGGGCCCGAGCGAGTAAGTAGCTGCAACTCTGTTTCGCCGCCACAGCTCCACCAAACTTTACAACAACTCCATCTCAGCACTATACCTCCCACCACCCCACCCCTACCTGATACCTCCAATCGCAGACGGCCGCGTCACCAGCCTCAACTTCCAGCTTTGCTATACCACCGTCTCACGCCTTACGAGCGCCCTCGGTCGCAAATAAAAAATCCAGCTTCCCGCAAATCACCACCACCGCCACCACACCAGACGACCGCCAGAAGCTACGACATCGCCGTCGCGTAGCTCCAGTCGGCCTGAATCCCCAACGACAAGCAAGCGCACAGCCCACACCACCACCACCACCACCACCATGTCCGGCAACAACAACAAACCCGGCGCCTACGGCGGCGGCTCCGCCTCGGACACATCCTTCCGCAAGACGTGGGACCGGGCAGAATACGCAGCAAAGGCAGCCGAGCACGAGGCGCATCGCCGAGAAGAGGGCAAGGCGCGGCACGAGGCGGCGGCGGCGGGCAAGAAGTACGTGCGGCGGGCGTCGACGCCGCCGGACGCGCGGGCGACGGAGGCGCGGCGGTCGCGGCTCGACGTCGGCGCCATGGTGGGCAAGACGGTGCTGGTCCCCGCGGGCAGCGCCGTCGGCAAGCGCGGCCGCGGCGCCGGCTTCTACTGCGAGGCGTGCGACCTCACGTTTAAAGATAACCTGCAGTTCGTCGAGCATCTTAATAGTAAGCAGCATCTCGTGGCGACGGGGCAGACGGGCGAGGTGAGGAGGGCGACGGTGGGCGAGGTGCGGGAGAGGTTGGCGTGGTTGAAGAGGCGGAGGGAGGAGGATAAGAAGGAGGAGGTGGTGGATTTGGGGGAGAGGCTGGAGGTGGCGCGCGAGAGGGAGGAGAGGGAGCGCGAGGAGAAGAGGCGGAAGAGGAATGAGAAGAGGAGGAAGACGAAGGGCGGCGTCGGCGTCAAGGAGGAGTACGACCCGAGCGAGGGGATCATTGCTTGAGGTTTGACAGGTGGCTGAGGATGGCATTTTCAGAGGCGTTACGGCGGGATAGGGCGAATTGCTGCAGGAGTTGTTATTGGGATGGTCGGCGCTTTTGCGTCGTGGTGCTGAGCAACGCCGGTAGTGCCTGATGCAGCACCGAAGGCGGGTGGCATAGCTGGCCAAGGTACGTGTTTGCATCATGAGTCGTGTCTGGGTTGCAGCCTCCCTTATCTTTGCTGTCGGCACAGCCCCAGTACTCAAGCCATCGCAATAGTACATTCATCTAGTGTTGAAATTTGATGTGGACCGATCGGCACACGATGCTGGGGTGGATGATTGGTGTAGTTTCAAATATATCTTGCTCTGCGATCGACGGTAACAAGGTCCTGCTGTCAAAAAGCTTGGCATAGATAGCGGAGCTTCTTCCACTTTAACGTCCCCGTAAAGAAGCTGGGTTGTACTGTCGGACTGGATGGACGCGCAGAACATGAATATTGTATTCTAGACTTGTAACGCTAAGAGAAGTGTTGATCAGGGTCTCATACGTTTTTTTACTCTCTGTTTTTTTTTGGCAGATGCAAAACTATTAGCAACAATGCTAACTACATGACTACACAGAATTCGTTAATAGATATTTCATGGAGTTTCGGAGGCGATCCTCTCTCGAGGATAGGAGGAATTGCGACGGGCGCGCGTGTAAGAAATGGGACGATTTCCTTTTGTGCAGATCAGGTTCGGTGATTCACTTTCAGCAGAGCGGCAATGCAATCACCATCACTGCACAACCAAAGCTAACAGCAAAAGCGGCAGTTGCTGTCTGCTGTCTTTGTTTGGTGTGATTCTAGGAACGAAGCCAGATTCGCCCATTGACCGCCCCAGGTTGACATAAACGGCCCACGCGTAATGCTCAAAGAAGCCGCTTCTCCCTTCCCGTTCGCGAGTCCGTAAGTCGGCCTCTACAAACCTACAGTAACGTCGAGACAGAGGACCTCGACCTCTACCCCATGGCGTCAAGCAAACACTCGCACTTCAACCCCTTCAGAAAGCTTCAAGGAAAATAAGCCGATTCGAAATGTGAAGAAGCATACCGGCATACCACACCTCCCGGCCCATGACGCAGCAGCAAGCAACAGCGGAGAGGAACTTCATCAGTGACGTCTGAATGGTCTTGATGAGGACGAGAAACCGAGGCGTCGTTGGAGCTCGCCAATCAGTCTGATCGGCACCCCGGGGCGAGCCGCATTCGTGTTTCATTGTGCAATGGCCAGCAGTCGACCGGACAGCAGCTCTGGCAGCACCACCAACAAGTGCGTGGCCGGGAAGGGGAACACGCATCAGCAACAGCGGGATATGGGACGGGTCGTCCACTGTCGGTCAGGGGCGACTTTTGAAGTCTCGGCCATCGTATCCAGGCCCCCCACCTCAGCAGTCAGCCGGAATGGTGGATTGCCGGGCCGACTACTGAGATGCCAATTTGGGATGCGGTGGACTCGTCAAGTGCCAATGAGCATGTCTTGGGAGTTCGGCGAAGGATATCGCGAAAGAGGACGCGAGATTGTTACGACGGTGTATTTCGGTCCGAGCCATGGGGGAGTAAATGCAAACATGATGGCAGGACGCTGTGGGTTAGGCTGTCCGACGCGAATCGCTGGTTGTTGGCCATGTTGTAGAAGTTGGTACTCGGCTTGAATACGAATTTGAAGTGCTTCTTCGTCAAAGAGGGCAGTGCAGTGCAGCAAGCTTATCCGAGCGGTAGGGAAAGTGAGAGGAGTGTATGGCAGAGTGTGATGCAGACGGCCGGGAATAATGACGAGCAACGGTGACAGTTGGGTGCATTCCTTGTGAAACGGCAATAATGAAAAATGAAAACCGGCTCAGGAGCGGCAGGCGATGGCTGCAGCCCAATGCTCAATCGGTCTCTGACTCTCGAAGCTTGCGGACTCGAATCGGCCCCCTGATGGTGTCGGCCGGCACTTCTTGGCCGATGATTGCGCCGCGCTGAAGGATCTCGACCTCGCTTGCAGCTCTCGCTTCGAAGACGAGGATCCGGATGACTGGCATCAGATCGCGCCAACCGTCCGCCCCTAAGTCGGCCAGGTCTTGCGCAGTTAGCGAGCGGGCAACTTCCGACGGGCAGATGGTCTTCGGATGTTGGCGCTGGTCCAACAGGGCGCGCAGGCGCTCGCGCAGCAGGGCGTCTGGGGGATCCATGTGCAGGTCTAGCGGAGAGTGGAGCCCAGATGGTCCGAAGCGCGATGGAAGGTGGTGGAACGGGGGCTCTTCGATACGATGTAGATTAAGTGTAAGCGAGTGACGTCTTCTGGAGGAGCAGCTAGAAGGAGGTGTGGAATTCCCGACCGCCGGGACACGGCCGGACAGGGCTGCAGCCAGCGCCCGAAAGCAGCCGGTGCAAAGGCCTGGCCGCTCCCCGAACGGGCCTCCCCAAACACCATCACGAGAGGCGCCCGCCCGCTTTGGCGATGCCGCTGCCGATTGTTGTTTCTCAGCGCAGTGCCGTTTCATGCTCGGCTTGGCTGTCTCGCGCCCTGCCCCTGAGCGCCAGCCCCGACGCCGACGAGCGAAACGCGCCGCCGCCGCCTTCACCACCAAGACACCAAGCGCAGCTTCAGACAGGCGGGTGAAACAGCAGGAAAGAGCCTGGAAAGGCCGGTCGGCCACGCGAGATTTGCGGCTCGGAGAAGCGAGCAGGGCGCCTCTCCTATTGCCACTGCTGCCGCCGTGGCTCCTCCTCCGGCTCTGTCCTCCGCTCCGCTGGCTGTCCCACGGTCCGGCCGCTGCAGGCGTGGAGAAGCGCGTGCAGGAATTGTTCCGCATCATTTCGTTTGGCGGCACGGGAGATGTGGCTGCACACCATGTGCCTCATGCGCAAACGGCGTGCTTTGTTTCACCCCGAAGCGATTGGTGTTCCTGAGGCCGCCCGCTCCACCACCGTCCGCATCCGGCAATACTGCCGCCGCTCTGGTGGGGCATCGCAACCGACTGCCCCGTGTAGATGAAACTCACCTCTTGGCACTGCCGTGGAGACGGCCTCCGAACGCTGGACGCGCGGGCTGGCGAGGGCGCTGTGAGTCTTGGCGATGCTTCTGCCGTCTCGACGCCCCATCACTGCGGGCGGAGCCCCCCAGTTGCCTCAGTATAAGAGCTGTGCCCGCCGGCCGTGATATGGTTTTTCTCCCTCATCAAGCCTGGATAGCTTAGCATTGTTCCTTCTCGCATCTTCTGCTTTTAGCACCATTCGTTCTTTTTCAGTCACTCTTTGACCACCCACACTCTTTCGCCACCATGAAGACTCAAATGTACGGCATGCTCGCTCTGGCAGCGGCAGCCAAGCTGGCCAACGCCCACACCACCGTCTTCGCCGCCTGGATCAACGATGAGGACCAGGGCACCGGCAACACCGCCGCTGGCTACATCCGCAGCCCTCCCAGCAACAGCCCCATCAAGGATGTCACCTCGACCGACATGACCTGCAACGCCAACAACGTCGCCACGGCCAAGACGCTCGAGGTCAAGTCGGGCGACAAGTTCACCTTCGAGTGGCACCACGACAGCCGCACCGACAGCGACGACATCATCGCCTCGTCCCACAAGGGCCCCGTCCTTGTCTACATGGCCCCCACCACCAAGGGCGCCTCCGGCAGCGGCTGGGTCAAGATCGCCGAGGATGGCTACTCCGGTGGCACCTGGGCCGTCGACACCCTGATCACCAACAAGGGCAAGCACTCCATCACCATCCCCGACGTCCCCGCCGGCGAGTACCTGCTCCGCCCCGAGATCATCGCCCTCCACGAGGGCAGCACCAATGGCGGTGCCCAGTTCTACATGGAGTGCGTCCAGGTCAAGGTCACCTCGGACGGCGCCAGCACCCTGCCCGAAGGTGTCTCCATCCCCGGCACCTACACCGCCGAGGACGCCGGCATCCTGTTCGACATCTACAACAGCTTCGACAGCTACCCCATCCCCGGCCCCTCCGTCTGGGACGGCGCCTCGGGCTCGGGCTCGACCGCCGCCACCAGCTCGGCCGCCGTCAAGGCCGAGGCCTCGTCCACCCCCGTCGCCTCGTCGACCAGCGTCGAGGCCGCCGCCGCCGCCGTCTCCACCCCGGCCACCACTGCCGCCTCTTCTCCCTCCACCACCCCGGCTGCTGCCGACAACGGCGCCGTGACCGAGACCGCCTACACCACCGAGGACGTCGTTGCCACCACCTTCGCCACCGTCACCGCCGGCGGCCAGGCTGCCTCTACTCCGGCCACCTCTGCCGCCGCTGAGGCCACCCCTGCCACTGGCTCTTCCTCCGGTTCCGTCCAGGCCTACGGCCAGTGCGGTGGCTCCGGCTACTCTGGCTCCTCTTCCTGCGCTTCCGGCTACACCTGCAAGGAGTGGAACGCGTACTACTCCCAGTGCGTGAGCAGCTCTTAAACGGGTCGTGTTGAAAAAAAATAGGGATATAGACGGGGAAGGAGTTCACCATGTGGGAGTGAAGTTCCGAGTAACTTTGGCACTTTGGGCCATCATTCGTCCTTGATACCGCCAGTCGATCTACGGGTACAGCGTTCAAGTCTCTTCCGTTGGCTAATTGTCTTCATTGTAAATATCAAAATCAATCTCAAATACCATGCCTGAAGGCGCGCTTTGCGTCCAAGGTCTTTTGACAACATCAAATATTTTTCCACTTCTTCCCATGTGACTCTCTGATCGAAGGAATCCTCAAAGCACCGAATGCGATGCGATTGACTGATGGGGAAGCCGCCGGGCAGGGGGAAGGGGCAGGCTTGCAGTCTGACCAAACATTGACACTAACCGCTTCGGGAAATTCAGGCGACAACTCTTGGCCTAAGACCTCCGCATTCGCCATCAACACAGCAAGCACCGATCAATTGGCGTCAATCTGTCGTTTCATTGCTTTCCTAAATATCGCAGTGAGATCCCTGATCTGCGATCGCAACAAAGAGGCCCACAAAATGTCGCCCAACAAAGATCCGAAGCGACCGACTGTTAATTCGATGCCCCGTGCGCGTTTTATACATGAAACGTCGGCTAGGCGCAGGCTTGACCAGCGGCTGATCGCCCGGGCTTGGCACGCTTCAGCTTCTCGGCCGGAGCCAATTCCCACTAGTCTCTTCGGCTGCAGCGCGATCAAGTAGCAAAACATAATACACAAGCACATCCACATGGAAGCTCGAGCTACCGACGAATGTCTACATGGTGAAACTTTGATACGATACTTGCAATTCAATCACCAAAGAAAATATTTCTATATTGATACCTACTTCATAATGGTGGGCGGGCTAATCTGCAGTTGGCCTCTGGTTTGAAAGAGCTCTTCATGGAATGTCAAGTCTGACATAGGATCCAGATGCATTCTTCGAGCACGATCGCATGTCAATCCCAGTCCATTCGCCCGGACAGCCACGACGGACAGCCGTGGGGGTTGGTAACACATCTGACAGAGATTATTAGTTTTCGGGGAAGAGAATCGAGCGATATGTAGACGGCGGTTTCGCTGACTCGCTCTCTGTTGTAACCCTGTTTCGATCGTAGCTATAGTAGTCAAATCAGAAGCCGCGGGACGGATTCCAGATGAGGAAACCCGCCGGTTGTTACTTCCGACGACGCTGACAGCACGGAGTCCCGTTGCACTGCGTAAGCTTATCTGTAGAATACAAGACATGTTGCACGATAGTTGTCTGGGCACCGGTTAGTACGACACTTAACCTCAGCTTCCGATTCAAGATGAGAGCAGAAAAATGAAAGCCGTTCCATGAAAACGGGGGTCTGTACTCTCCACATGGGGGCTCTCCATGCCAAATACTTCAAATTGTAATGTTGTGCGAAAGACGCGGTGTCGAGTCTAGGACTTCCGGTGCCCCCACATCGTGTAGCATATTCCCATCTACAGGCCAATGGACTGTGCTATCTGTACTAGTGCTGCTGGGGGAACACCGGTTCGCTGTACTTTGCTCAAAATCTTGAAAAGCCCTGGAAGCACAAACACTTATCGTGTCCTTAAAAGAACGATTAATATGCTCGATGAGAACGAACACATCATGAATGCTAATGGCCAGTGTGGATACGGAATGCCTGCATTGGGGAAAGAAGGTGGTGCACCTGATTTATTAACTGTTCATCGGTAGCGAACGAGCCACGTAAATACAGATTTCTGGCAAACAAGAAAACGACCAGTGGTATACTTCCCTTTCTTCATGAATCCCTCCGCACGCCAGGTGAACCGCAAATCTTTGTCCCCGGAAACACTGTCCGCATCGGGAAACTCACTGCGCGCTTCTACGCTTAGTGATCACGCGCATCTCAGCTCAGAGGAAGCATCGTATCATAGGACGTCCTTCGATTCAGCTGAGAGGCTGTGCGACCCCTCTCTCGTCAAACCTGCCAGCTCGACGCGTCAGCGCCCTGAAGCGCAATGGGCGTGCAGGATCCCGCCGCGTGTACACAATAGCTCACGCTTACGGGCACATCTCATTGGGTACCCCAGGATATGGCCTGATCAGATGGAAGGGAGGGGAACCGGGTAGTTTCTGAGCCAATGCAGGCCGTGCAGCGCCACCCCCGCAACACTCCATACTTTGCCGCTTGATGCGGGGCTAAGCGAGCCAAGTACATACAACATACACGAGAGATCTACCATGATTCACGATGCTTGGCAGGTCAGAGGTCGTCAAGGTCGTTACTTGATGGGTGTGCTCTACCAATCTGATCCCCACCGGTGCAGACTCCAACCCGAGCGAAAAACCTGAAGCAAAACAACAAACAAACCTACTCCAGACGCGAAGCCCCACGTCGCGCCTACGCTTGCCACGTGATGCATAAATGAAAAATGAGGCGCGGAGGAAGGGTTGTTGGGACGGTTTTCTCCGAGCCACTTACCAGGCAGTGTGACCGCCATCGATGATGAGGTTCGAGCCAGTCTAGAAGGTCAACACTGATCCGCATTTCGACGCCACCAAGGAAAGGGAAGAAGGAAGTCGGCGGCACGCACCATGAAGCTGCTCGCCTTGCTGAGCAGGAACAAGCCCGCACCCTTGAACTCTTCCGGCGTGGACAGCCTGCCCATCATGTTCTCGCGCTCCCACTTCTCGCGCAGGCCGGGCACCTCTTCGAAGTTGCGCTTGACCATCGGCTACGCAAGACATCAGCACGTCCTTCTCTTCCTCCCTCCAACCTTGACCCAATCCAGCTGCATGGAGACACACACGCACAAACTCACCGTGAGGATATGCCCAGGACTCAAACTGTTCACCCTAATCCCACCCAGGCCATTCTTGCTCTCCCTCCCCTTCGCGCTCCACTCCATGGCCAAGTTGCGCGTCAGCTGCAACAGCGCCGCCTTGCTCGAGTTGTACACGGGGCACACGAGCCCCTTGTTCGCGACACTACCACTCATGCTGGCAATCACAACCATGGCGCCGTCGCGGCGGCCGGCGTTCCACTTGAACATGGCGCGCGCGGCGCTGGCGCACGTCATGAAGACGCCCGTGTAGTTGACGTCCATCATGGCGCGCACCTCGTCCGCGCCGTAGTCGACCGCCGCCTTGAGCTGCTGCACCCCCGCCGCCGCGATCACCCCGTCCAGCCGCCGGTGCCGGTCCGCGATGGCGCCCACCACGACGTCCAGCGAGCGTGCGTCGCGTACGTCTACGCGCGCGTACGAGAGGCTGCCGCCGAAGGCAGAGGGGATGCGCGTGCACGCTTCGTAGAAGTCGGCGACGGGCTGCTCGAGTCGGTCGAGGCAGTAGACTGTGGGCCTGGCCGAATCAACCGGGGCGACCGGTTGGGGGAGAGGTGGTTAGCTTTTTTTGTTTTTTTGTTGTTGCAGCGGCGGTTTTGGGGAGGGGAAGGGAAAAATGGGGGGGAATGTGTGGTTTTGGGGAAGTGCTGCGGTGTTTGGGGGTGTGGGAGTGCTCTGTTCGTGTTGTTGTTGTTGTTTTTCTTCCGTGTCTCAGGGAGGTGATGTGCTAAGGTTGTTTGTTGCAAGGTGTTGATGACCACCCCACCGTAAGGCTGGGAGTCGGGTGCATCTCCGAAGCAACCGCGCCGCTACTACCGGCTAACTGCTCTAGGAATCTGCAATGCTCCGACGTGGCCAATACGGTATGAAGAAGGTTCATAGGCGGGGGGCCCAATGTCCGAACCATCCGGCCATATCAATGTTTACGCTTGCGGAAGGTGGTCGGCACCACCGCGTCTAAAGGGATCCCACAAGCGCTTCCCCAACGCTAGAGCAAAGGGTGAAAATACCGCTGGCAAGGGCAGATCAAGGAGGGTTTACGATGGTGTCGATGCAACAGGATAGAACGGGACGTTGAAGTAACAGTGTTTGACCAAGGTTGATGGGAGCGGGGCGCCTTTCAAGAGAAAACAAATACTCAACCTTTTCCGCCGGCCTCAGCAAGCGCCTCGGCCATACAGAGCCCGAGTCCCCGACCACCGCCAGTGACAATGTAGACACCGTCGGCGAGGTCGAAATCTCGGAACTGTTTGCTGCCCACTTGGTCTTCAATTTTGTATGCATTGGACCTTCGCTGCGTGTGCGAGTTGATGATGGGCTTTCTTGATAGTCCAGGCCTTGGAGAGGCTGGCGATTTTGTAGAGGGCTGGGGGTGGGCGGCAAAGGGTGAGGGAGGAGTGGCAAGAAGTCTCAGCCCTCTTGCGGATGCGAAGCTGGGCGGAGCGCAGACTGCGTGACACAGCCCGGCCCGGGACAAAACCAAACGGCGGGAGGAAAAGGGCAAAGACATTGTCAAGTATCGATGGGGTAGAGACGAGGGGCGTGGCTGGGAAGTTGAAATGGTGGAGAGTGGAGCTGCCGGAGGGGGAAGAGTCAGGCGGCAACTTCACGATGATCTTAGGGCGGGTAGAAGAGGGGGTGCCCAGCGAGGCTCTTTATTTGGCAACAATGTTTCCTGGGCTCGGCGGGTGATACACGATCGTGGCATTGCACAATGGGACCCAGGTGATGCAGCTCAGACGTGGCGAAGGACAGGAGCCCTCCTCCCCGCCGCAGGGCTTCGACCATGACCAGGCCGGGCGGCCGACTGAGGCAGGATTGAGGCCAGGCGGCTGATGGGAAGCCGCGGCCACGATGGTTCAATCGTGTTGGGTTTTCGTCGCTGGCCAGGGTCCACGGGCGTCCGGAAGCATGCGGAAGGTTATGCGAAAGCTCATGTTATGGGAACCACAGATTGGTCCAGCCGCCTGCCGTGTACACGAAGGATGGGATGGCTTGGGCGCCACAGGAGGACAAAGAGCCAGCCTACGGATGCAGCGACGCCGTTTTCCTGTAGGCCGCATTCCTGCCCACTCAGCCTTCCCCGGTCATCGCCTCGCCTCCCGTTATCCCCGGCACCCCCGGCACCCCCACGAATCAGTGCGTCGTGACCATCGCTGAGCAACCGGATCCCCGGATCCCTCCATTGGTGCTATGGTCAAGTAAGCATGACGTTAGCTGCATGCAGCCGCAGCCACCCCACTGATGGCGATGACAACCTTACGACCCACCTGCGTAATCGCTACCACCGCGCGGATGCCATTCCCGCAAATGCCGTGTCTGCCTTTTGCATCTTCGAGAAGTCAGACCCACCTCGCACCTGCAGCTAAATCTCATCGCCCATGGCGGCGATCGTCTCACAGGAACGACCGATCCCACCGGCCTTAGCTGGAACACGGGCACGTTGTATCGATGCCACTTCTTGATTTCTGTGCATGGCGAGCTCTGGGTTCCTGCATCGAGCCAACCGGGGCATTTTCTACATTTCGACAAGCCGAGGAGAAAGAACTACAGGTACATGGTGCAGTGCGACGTCTCGCAACGATAACCCAGGCCAAAAGGAATTACTGGTCGAATGTCTTGAGCTCAGGCATCCTGCCCAAACCACCGCCGCCGCCAGTACCCGCCTTCGCTGATTGGTTGCCCACCTTTGCGTCGCCGGGGTGGACGCCACCTGCACTGCGCGATCTCACATGCTCCCGCAGCTTCACCAAGATGGACGAGTCCTTCCACCGCTGGGGAACTGGCCTGTACGCAGGCTTGAAGGTGCCCACAGTCTGAGCCCACTCTCCAGACTTGGGTGCCGGTCTGCCCTGTGAAGACGGCGTGGCCAGGCCAGGCCCCGAGCCCTCGGCTGTCTCGGCCGACGTCGGCGCCGGTTCTTGAGTGGCCCAGTAGTAGATGTCCCAGTCGTTCTCGTCGAGGAAGCGGTCGTACTGCTGCAGCTCTTGGGCCGACATGGATCCTAGGTTGGCGTCGGCAAAGGTGGACAGAAGGAGATCACTTTCGAGGATTCCGCGCTTCCGGCTCTGGTCTGTCGTACGGAGGGCGTTAGCTGATGCAGGGCTTCGACACAGGCACGCTCAGGAACAGACAGATTAACCTTGCCCGCATGGTGTTGGCATCCTCGCCAACCCGTTGGATAGGCTCGATCCGGAACTTGGCGCCTTCAAGCTCGCCGACTTGAAGCTCAGAGTTGACGCCGCTCTCAGGCGCGCCTTTCTGAGTGCCGCCGGTCATGCGCTCCGTCTTCTCAGGCTTGGAGTCTTTGGGCACGAAGTCGGGGTCGACCGAGGTCAGCATCTCGGGCGGGGCGCTGTCCTTGCCGATGGAGGGCAGGTCATTGGCGATGGTCGAGGTGGTGTTCGTCATGTGCGGGTTGAGCGGCTTCTCCGTCTGCCTCTTGCGGTGCTCCTCGACGGTGTCGTTGCCGCGGTCATTGAGGTCCTTGAGGCGGAGAGCAGAGGCGCTGAAGGGGCGCGCATGGGAGAGGGCAGCGCGCGACGAGCGCAGAGCGAGACGAGCAGAAGCCATGGTGTTGGGGTGTGCGGGTGAGACCAATGGTCAGCGTGCGGGGCGAGGGTTTCGCTGCGTCCGTCGGCGTCGCAAAGTCGTTGACATCATGGCTGCGACTTCCGCACGTGCCGCCGGCCAATCCGCGCCCGCCCATTATCCGCCCGCTCGCACTTCCACCACCACCACTAACATGGTCACGATCGTCGCCCGCAACATCATCGCTGTGATGCCCCTTCTCTCCGCCAGGCGCTGCCTCCGTGGCCGCCGACCGCGACCCCGCCGCCGTCTCCCTTTTCTCCCGGCCGACGAGGGCCAGCCGCGCTTACGCTCATCGCGTCGCAAGTTGCCGCGCAAAATGGCCTGAGGACGCTGAGCATTGCTCAATTCCATCCAGCGTTAACCGTGGATCTCGCTCGTGGGCCTCTCTGATCCACCGCCCCTTTCCTCGCCGCGTGTTTCAGCATGCTCGACTGGCCTGATGGCCGCTGCGCTTGGCATAGGCCCTCAGCTAGACGGCGGCTGGGGATCGCGGCCAAGTGCGAGAGACTGCTCCAACTCGCCGACCCGCGCTGTCGGGACGCAGCGACACCTTTTAATCCTTTGATCGAGTCTCGCCCGCCCGCCATTGCGGAGCATCCAGCCGCCCTACCCGCCAATCCGGGCTAGCCCGCATTCCCTTCTCCGCTGCCACGCCGTTTGCGGCATTCCTGGCCTCGCCGCTGGCCTGAAGAAAAAAGAGGTCGGCGCCAATAATTGCCGGCATGCTGGCGGGAGGATCATCAGCAGCGGCCCGAAGCTGAACCTTCGACTGTGGCTAAACCTTGAGTGCACTATTGCGCCATCCGCTCTTCAACCGCTGTTTGCCCCAGCCCTCTTCCGGACGAGACCCGTCCATCGCGCCCTCCTTGGGAGCTAAGGCCTGAGATCCGCTCCCCCGTTGCGCCCCCTCCGGTTTGACGTATCTTTGACGGCTTGGCGGCGCCCTGTGGCTGGTTTCTGCTACGCGTTGCGTGCCGCCGCTCCGTGGCTGCATGCGGAATGTCCGCCCCCCCACGACTCCACACACACAATGTGCGGCAAGAATGGCCTGCCTCTCAGCCTCCACCCCCCGCGGCCCAGCATTGTTTGTCAGGTTTGAATCGTTGGTAAGGTTTGTGCGGCTGTCAAACCCCGACGTCCCCCACCACGGCACTTCTTGATCGAACATTCCTGAGGGCTGTTCCTATCGCAGCTCCTCAATGCTCAGGAATGTCTGCCAGAATTCGGGGGCTGGCGCCCGCAAGACAGCTCTATATATCTTCTTTGCGTTTGATTCTGTTTGGCTCTTCACCAAAGTAGTTCTTCGCATGTTTGCACTGCTCCGCACGTTCTGCTGCAAGGTACCCTGCAAGGTACAGCCCTCCCTCGTTGCTCCTCGTTGCCCCCTCCTCGAATCTCGCCCCGCCGGTTGATCCTGCCCCGCCTCCATGGCTCCCTCTCCGCAGGTCCGTCAGGTTTCCAGCGCGGTCCCTCTGCATCACGTGCAAGGTCGATCCTGCCGTCCGCCGGGCGACATTGCCCTCTTGCGGCAGCGATTCGACGATCTCCCAATCCGGCCTGCGGACAAAGACTCCAACTGGCCTGTTCCATACGACCAGCTCTTTGACCAGTACGTCGACGCCGACCTGCTGGATCTCAGCAGCGACAATACTGGCGAGGCCAGCAGCTCCGATGACCTTGGGAATCTCTTTGACATTTCCTCGTCCTCGAATGGGAGCGCGGCGGCCAAAACCTCGCCTATGCCCCATTGGGACCCATCAAGGCACACCGAACCAGAGGAAACATGGCAGCAGGCTTGGGGCTATATTGGCTCAAAAGTAGCCCCGGCCGCGCCCGAAGGCAGTCAGAGTTCGATCTTACCAGAGTCCCGTGGCAAGGCTGTCACTACCAACCCGGAGCTTTTCAGCTTGGCCGCTGCGCCTGCCTGCTCCCCTCAAGTACCTAGCGAGCCCTTCGTTTTCTCTGCTCCTTCCTCCCCACGACCAATTGTTTCCTCTTGTGAGCCCAAGAAATTCAACAGTCTCCCCATCCGCGGCAGCAAGAGACAGACGCCTTCAGTCATCAGACGCACTGCTTCCAGGGGCAGCTTTTCCCCCAAGATGATGCGCTCAACCCCATATCGGACCGGCTACCAAGAGATCTGGGCCAAGCGCGTCGGCGCCCCTCCGCTCTCTCCTCCGCCTTCTTCCAAGGTGTCCCAGGAAGAGTCTCACTATGGCTACGACTTTTCCCCCAACCTGCCCTACACCACCTCGGGCGAGGTTGCCGATATCGAGCGTCAACTGTCGTTCCCGAACTACAGTGCCAGCCGGTCTCAAATACAGATGACCCCAGTCGCGTCCCCGACCACTCAGGCTCCAAGCAGCGCTAGGTCGTCCTTCCACGCTTCCAGCGACCCTTCGAACAACCCATATCTCACACACGATCTCAACGAGGCATTGCAGACACCGCCTCAGTCTTCACGCCTTCCGTCGTCCTCATGGAACCAGGGTGCGACGGCGGCTTTCGATTTCGGCAGCTTCTCAGCCTCGTCTGACTACTCGCAAGACCGAGAGCCTCAGCCTTGGTGGTCCAGCACTAGCGTCTCTCAGCCTTCCCAGCCCACGACGTATCACAATGGTCGGCATGACTTCCTAGGCGTCAGCTCAGCCTCGTCTGACCTCGCTGCCGGTGGGCTGATGATTCAATGCGAACCATCATCCATGGCCAGCATGCTCGACGCACATGCGCCCGACGCATCATCCTCCTTTTCGACATCTTCACCGGTCGTGTACCCCTCGCAGATGTACACGTCGAATGCCATGGCGTCTACCCCCACCTTTGCGCAACACCCACACCAACAGCGTTCCGGTGCGCCTCCGCACCCTCACCCGGCGGCCCGGCAACACCACATGCAGCAGCAGCAGCATCACCACCATCATCAGCAAATTACACCTCCGTCCCGCAGCCCCACCTCATCGCCGCTTCACACTCCTTCAGTCATGCCCCAACAGTTCATCGCCCGCTCACGGCGCGACTCATCGCAGCCCTGCCCTCCCCCATCGTCGCGTCCTCGGTCGCACCACCGGCGCAAGTCCAGCTCGCACTCATCGACGGGTCCGTCGTCGACTCCGCGCCCCGCTTCGGTCGGCTTCGTCAATTACACACCCGACGACAGCCGCAAGATCCTGACGGGCGTAGCCCCTTCCGGGTCGAGCAAGACGAAGGCACGACGCGAGAAGGAGGCGGCGGAGAAGCGCAGAAGGCTGAGCCAGGCAGCTGCAAGGGCCATCATCGAAGCAGGTGGAGACCTGGCTGCGCTGGAGAGGGAAGGCCTGCTGTACTTGCCTGAGACGAAGGAGATGCTGGCTTCGAAAGGCAACATGGTGTAAGGCATGACGATCCTGGATCGACAGATATCCTAAGCATTTCTGAGCCGTCAAGTACTACGGCATGATCCGCCATCGGGTTTGTCTCGTGCAGAACTCCCCTACCGTGCCCTGGCGCTTGTCCGCTGGCATGGTTACGGGTTGAGGCTGCCGTTGCCCCGTATGACGAGTATCCAAGTCGAGACTTGACCGGTCAGGCTGCTCATTATGAGGCGCAAGGCTGCATGGTTTGAGTCATGCATACTATCCTCTGTTTGCTCACCAGAGGTGGCCAAGCAAGGTACCATGGCGATCTGTACCATATTAAGCTGGATCTGAAGTTATCCCGTTCCTTCGGTTCTCATTAATTTCGGGGCTTAGGTGGGCAGCGTGGGCAGCACGCATGACCATGTCCAACCCTCTTGTTCTATCGAGCGCCACTTTGGTCGCCATTCTTTCTTACTGTTCTGGGGGAAAGGGGAGAGAGAGAGAGAGAGAGAGAGGAGGGGGAAGAGCGACGCCTCCAAAAGTATAGAGGTTGGGCTAACTGGAGCATTTTGGTTCCGATTGCTTCATGTACCTAGTAGGGAAACAGGAAATACCAACCGGGGCGGCATGGGGTGGGGGAGTAATTGTGACAGTTTCGAAGAAAACGATAGAAATCAATAGTAGTGCACTCAACCCTGCTTCCCTTTGCTCCTTTTCCTATCGTGAAGTGTCATGTCTGCGCGTAGGTATAGAGGTCATCTTAGATTCCACATTCACACACAATCTCTCCCCCGACCTAATTGGAACTCGATAGATCATAGGGTTTAGAGGTTCGTTTGATCATGGCAATTAGCTAAGCCCCGTCCACGAAGACAGCCACCTTACAGTCGAATGACAGGCCGCCATGGCGCCTCTCAGCGATGAGTTTTGAGATGGAGCACACGATGGTCACAAAACACAAAAAAACGCCATTCGGGTCGTTCCTTTACCTTTGGCCCAATCAGTTACTTAGCGTCTGTAAGTCCGGGGGAAGGCTTGTTTTGACACATCCACGATTGGGCATGGGGCTGAACGATAAATCCGGACCCCGTCTGGTTTTTTAGTCACGCTAGCGAGGGAGAAGAAGCTGTCGATTTATCATCCCTTTCTCTTTTAGGGCCTAGAGAGGCTAGCACGATCACGGGGAAGGGTCTCGATCGCGATGTCCTTCGAAATCTTGTTTTTTCCCCTTCCCCATCATCACCAAAAAACGAGGGGTCACTTCGCTTTCGATCAGATTGACCTTTCTTTTTTTTTTCCCTTCTCCATTTCCTCAGCTGCACGAGAGCTGGTATCAAGAGGAGCGAGAAGCCACACATGGCGCTTAATTCCATCACGTCCAAGGTTCTGGACTTATTAAAAACAGAAAAGGAGAGAGAGAGAGAGAGAGAGAGAGAGAGAGAATTGCCGAGGAAGGATCAGTAGGCTGTAATCAGCCAAGGGGCAGTAGTGGTAGCCTACCCCCCGACAAGTCGTTGTCCATCCCAGCTGTAAAAGTACACGGCGCCTGCCGCCGCCCGGCCGCGCGCTCCGAAGCCCGTACATAGCGCCCTAGACCGGGCCCGCGAACGACGTTGGTTGTGGCGCCTTATAGGTCGTCGTGTCGTTATTAGTAGCTTGTACGAGTTGGGGAAATTTTTGCGGCGTTTGGCAAGATTAAAAAAGAAAAAGTGCTGCGCCTCCGTGCGCGCAATAATAGTTAGTTGTTTCGCCGGCTGGTTACTCTCGGGGAGGCTTGGTGGGGATGCGGGGGGGAAGGGAGGCTGGCTGTTAGCTGTCAGTTATTCCCAGCCGGTACCGCTAGTGCGCTTGTCGAGTAGTCGGCGTGCTAGCTTCGGAAAATAAGGTAGGGTGGGAGCAGGTTGGTTACGGTTGCACAAGGCTGCCCGGCCGGAGATGCGTCGGGATGGAGGTAGCGTCGAGTGAAGGGTGCTTTTCGGGGATTCCGGCCAGAGTATCATTCGCCGAAATGGCTGAATCAAGGAGAGGTTGGTGCGCGTCAGCCTGGGTGGAGCGGAGCCCACGAGGCTTCAGGGTCTACAGGGTCTGGATGCTCGTGGAGGGTGGGGGCGGGTGATGACGACGTTGTACTGCATGGTTTGCGAAGATTCCAGAGAGATTTGTAGCCATCATCGATATGATGTTTCACTTCACAACCCCACTGGCATTACGCCATGCACTCTACTTTCAGCCTCGTATACTTTGTGAATGACATGGACGAGACAACATTCGGGCGAAGAAAGTAGCTTTTTACGCCAGCCACTTGATCCCTCCATCTCTTGTCGGTATCCATTTATAGTCCTCGATTAGTGTCAAACCCAATACTACAACGTCCCCCGCAGCATCCAGACCCTGAGGACAGCTGAAACGGGCGCAAGATGCAGCAAGTAGCCTTGACCGGACCGAATACCATGGGTTCTGTTATCATACCACGGCTCTTCTCAAGCCTCGGGTGCGCGTTGCAAGGCTGATGAGCATCTCGGATAAACCGTTCAATTCCAACGGTAAGCGCTAGCGGCCTCGCCCGGCCCCGTCCCGGCCCCGTCAAGGCGGGCAAGCTACTTTGAGATGGAGGCAGCAAGGCTGTGTATACGAGTCACATGGTAGGACCCTGAAATGGAGCGTTTAATTTGTCATTCCCATTCCGCGGAAGACTGCAGCTGGCCCGGAAATGGCTCCGTCGGTGTTTGGTCGGGCCTCCACCCCGCATAGTAATTAACTGTCATGGCGCTTTGATCGCGGGTGGAGTGGAAACTTTTGGTGGGGCTGTGTCTTCACTACACGCTGTACGATTATTTGGACATGATTAATTCGCTGCATGGCCGACGCCTCGCTCGGGAAAATGCAAATCGGTACAATGGCTTACGCGGCGGGGCGCCACTCGTAGTGATGAGAACCCTTCTTGGGCCTGCCAGGATCCTCGCCCGGTACGTTTGGTCTGTCAAAAGAATGGGCGCCAAAGAAGTCCATTTCCGCCTCCATGAACTGCGTTGCCAGCATCCCCCCGCCCACGTACTTGAGGTATTCGAGAGTTGCGCTCAGGGAGGGGACATAGTTGTCCCATTGGATGCCCTTGAGAACAATCTCCTTCAACGGTTGGAAATTCTTCTGCAGGTCTGACGAGACTTCGTCGATAAGCTTGATGTTCATGATGGGCTCTTTCGCATTCAGGAGGATGGGCTCGAGCATATCGGCTATGTGGTCTTCTTGGATGATGCAACCAGCTCTCCAGATCTGAATACACTTGGCGAGGTTGATGCCCCAGCCTTCATCTTTGGAAGCGCGCGCAATGAGCTCGAGGCCCTGGCAGAAGGAAGCGAGGAAGGAAGCGTAGACGGCCTTGCGGAGAGTCTCGATGAGGGCGTCCTTGTCTTCGACGTCGGCCTTCCGAGGCTTTGGGACGTTCATCTTTTCGGCGACCTTCAGCCGCTGGGCGCGGTTTCCGCTGGCCACGCGGAAGAACTGGCCGGCTGCGATGGTGGGTGCGGAGACGTGGCGGTCTGCTGCTTCCATGATTGACCAGTAGAGAGTTCCCTCGGTGTCGTCATCATCTTGCACCACCTTGTCGAGGACGTCATCCAGAACGTAGCCGCCTTCGCCCTTTCCTTCTCCCCGCTCATCTCCCGCGGGGGTTCTCTTACGCCGGCAAATCTCGGAACCAATCTGGATAAGGTACGTGTTCTTGAGTTCGCCCTCGGCATTCCACTTCTCAAAGATGTCACCAATCTCATCATAAGGCAGGGCTAGAGACTTGTTCAAGAAACTCCAAGCCTCACAGACCGTGGACAAGATGCCGTTCTCGATGCCGTTGTGGATCATTTTGACGTAATGGCCAGCTCCGCGGGGACCTTGACCGCGTGTGAGCCAAAGACAAGCGCAGGGACGGAAAGAAGACTTACCCATGTACTGAACGCAGGGCGTCCCATCCTTTGCCGACTTGGCGGCAAACTTCTCCAGCAGCGGCAGCACGAGCTGGACGGCAGCCTCGTCGCCGCCGGGCGACATGCTGGGGCCGCGCCTCGCGGCCTGGTAGCCGCCGCTGACGCCCATGCCGACCCAGCTCACGCCCCTTTTCCGCAGCTCTTCCTGCCGGCGCTCTGTGTTGCGGTAGTGCTCGTTGCCGCCGTCGAGGATGATGTCGCCCTCGCCCAGCTCGTCCCGCAGCTTCTCCAGCACCGAGTCGGCGGGGGCGCCGTGGCTGATGGAGAAGACGAAGAGCTTGCGCGGCTGGGCGTCCAGGCTGCGCGCGAAGGCGTCGATGTCGTTGAAGTGGTCGATTTTGCCGTTGGTGTCTTGGGGCCCGTCGGCCGCCATCTCGCGCGCTCGGTCGACGTTCTGCGGCGACACGTCCCACAGCGACACGTCCAGCCCGTTGTCGGCGAAGCCGAAGGACATCATCGTGCCCATGTTGCCGGCACCTACGATGCCGATCCGGGACAGTTTCCTGGTCTCGGGGTTCGGTGCTGTCATTGTGGTTCCGTTTGAAGGGCTATGTTTTTGGTCGTCAGGTGGATGGGCGAGGGGACTGGATGGCCCTTGGCTGGATTAAAGTGTGGGATGCTTGTTCATGCTGGAGCCGTGACACTCGGTTTACATCATTTTGTGGAGCATCGCCTCATCCACTTGATGCCTGATGCCTGATGCCTGCTGTCTGATGTCTGATTTGCGGCTGCCAATGTGCGTGCGAGCTGACGTAGGTATAGCATCAAGCATCCTCGTCACATACGCAGTTGGATGTAATTGATCGAGTTGCGTGGCCAAGGACGTGCATGCTTCCAGACACGGTCAGGTGACGAGCGCAGGCCACAGGGAACGCGTGCCAATCAGAGCGATGCTCTGCATGTGGCTCGGACAAAGATAATCCAGAGCAGTGTGCTGAAGCGTGCCGTCCATTGTTCCCCCACAATATGCGGACGTGTGGGGCGAGCGCTCAGCGGGGTCTAAGATCCGGTTGGATCGCACCCACGTCGCCCCACCGCGGCGCCCAATCGACGCATTGGCCTTGTTGTACGCCTCTGAAGTTTGAAAAAAAAAAAAAGGAAGGAGACGTAGTGGCGTGAAATGATTGTCAGACATACTCCCCTGTGACGTCACAGCTCTCTGTTTATAATCCCACTGACTTCACCTCGGGCTCGATAGCTTTGCTTCCAGAAATTCTCTCCTCCAACATGCACTTCGAAACAATTGCCCTGTTCGGTGCAAATGGTCAAATCGGCCAACGCATCCTGGAAAGGTTGAGCCACAACCCAACCCACAACTTTACCGTACGCGCCTTCATTCCGCCGGATGACGATCTGGCTTGTGCCGGAAATGACCACAAGACCGTCATCAAATCCTTCGATCCCGACGATTCATTGCGACAAGGACTGGCCAGAGATCTCGAAGGCGCTGATGTCGTCATATCTGCCCTGAGCGGCAGAGCGCTGGACGCACAGCCTCTCATTCAAGACGCTGCTGCAGATGCTGGTGTAAAGCGCTTCTACCCCAGCGAGTACGGCATGCATCTTATATACCGCAAGCCCGACGACCCCTGGGGCTACCTGCATCCGGTGTGGCATCAGAAAGCACAGTGAGATGCTGCATCACACCAATCACCGTCTTTCCCATGCTGACCACCCGCCGCCAGATTGAACGAGCGCGTCACCATGCACCCGGCCGTCCTCTCCGGAAAGATGACCTACACCATCATCGGCTGCGGCGACTTCTACGACCGGGACCGCGAGCCCATCTGGTGTCCGTGGACCCAGCCCGACCTCCCGGAATACACCATCCACGTCATCGGCGACCCGCAGGCCCGCGCCGACTTCACCCACATGGACGACTTCGCCGAGTACCTCGCCGCCACTCTCGTCGAGCCGGCCAAGTCGGAGAACCAGGTCCTGAACTTCGTCAGCACCACCGTCTCGTACATGGAGATCGCCGACGCCCTGCGCAACAGCACCGGCAAGACGGTCAAGATCGACTACTACCCCGCCACCACCATGCACGACGTCGTCGCCGACCCGACAAAGGCCCCGCCCGAGCTGGGCGAGTCCGCTTTGCCCATCGACTTTTGGTTCGTCGTGAAGGGGCTGCAAGGCCAGGGCCGCTTCCGGAGACCGAGGGGCCAGATCAACAACCATCTCTTCCCCCATGTCAAACCCACCACGTTTGACACGTATTTCCAGCAGAAATTCGGAGACGCATAGGATTGCCACGTTGTATGTACATACGATGAACGGGATGCCACGGCCGGGAGCGGATTGGGCATTGACGACGTAATGAATTTGAATTTCAATGACTAGAAACGAGTGGGTACGTTGTTGTCTGCATGGCCCCGTACTGCTCGGCGGGAACCCACCGTCATGCGTGGTTTTGCTTTGTATTGTCTTGCTGATTGAGAGCCCCGGTTGGACACCTGAACGAGAACTGGAAAGTCTTCTCATCGGTATCCCGTTCTGGCATCGAAGCAGCTCCCGCGTCCAGAGGCGCCGTTCTGGTCTCCGCAAGCTGTGGGCCGGCTTTCTTCCCCTTCCGAGGGCCATCTTCAGAGAGACTCAGGACACTGTCAAACCTTGAGTGCAACTCCTCCACTGCGTCGTGATTCTTGCTTGCTTGCTGGTCCACCTTCTTGACGTCTTTCTCAATCTTTCCATCCCGTTTGTTCTGCACCTCATTCGGTTCGGAGCTTCCAGGCAGAGAAGCATCCAACTCTATTTTGCGAATTCCAGCATCCTCAAGCACATCCTCGACGACCTCAAGACTGTTGCCATTCCAGACTTGAGAGAGCACAACTTCTGCATATGCATCTTGAACCCCGTAAAAGTCCAGCAGTGCTTTCGGGAGTCTTCGAACGAGACAAAGCTCGCGTTTGCGCTTATCCAGTGGCACAAATATGCGTAGGGAGCCGTCGACTATCTCGAGATGGCAGTAAGTTGTATCGCGACCAGTCTTCCAGGGGATATCGCCTCGTAGTAATTGAATCCTGATGAAGATGTCATCCGTGGCGTAGACCGTGATGTTCGAAATCTGTCGAGAGAGAAAGGGGATGTCGCGTTCGCACGCAGCGTCTCGGAAGTGTGCCACGCAGCTTTTTCCATCAGCGGCTGTCCTTTCTTTTGAAGAGCACAGTCAAGTATCAACATACCGTACGGTGGCTTCTGCTCTTGATCTGAGCATTTTTGTCAATTGCTCCTGCTCGGAAATGCCTTGCGCAATAGTCTCTGTCCTCACAATTCCGGACAAAAACCTGGGGCCGAGTCCAAGGGCGAGCAGCAAATTCTCACAAGCCCTGATCTCCCACATGGAAAAGTCTAGAGTGGTGAGCTGGTAGCCAAACAACTCACTGTACTCCTGGCGGTCTATGACGAAAAATTCGTCCATCGGGGTGCCCATTTTAGTAATTCCGCCCAGTGCCCGAACCGGAAGTATGGGTTCGTTTCGTAAAGCTTCCACGTCTTGAACCAGAGGTAGCATGGAGGATATATCCATCATGCATCCCTTGATATCCGTCAAAGAGGCCCTCTGTTCGGCTAACGTCTGAAGGTGTTTGACGAGTGTGCTGATGTCTGGCTTTTGAATGTTGAGAACACCCGTAAAGAATGCTTCAAGGGAAGCATATGGCGCACCAACAGCCATCTTGCCTTCAGGTACCAGCTGATTGTTGGTCGTCCATATGCACGAACTGATGGGGTGCCAGCTGTTTGTAGATGGAACAAAAAGCAACGCTAGACTTTCCATCCTGGATCTGGCATATAAGGGAGGTCAGCGAAGAAAGGGTGGAAGCGATGCAGGACAACTTCACTGACCGCAAATAAGGACCCCTACTTTCAGGCCAAAACTCCATTGCCTTCGAAAGGTATTCGTAGACGTCGAAGATCTTTTTGATCACTGCGGCTCCCTCACTGCTTTCCGACGTCTGGCTCGTCCGCAAACGTTTCAACGACTCTAGCTCCGAAATAGCTCTCAGCCAGTGTGAGTGTTGGATAGGGATCCCAACAATGTCACAGAATAAGTGACGTAGGCCGTGGTATTCCTTCGCTTGTCCGAGGGGAACTTGATCTGTCGGCCACGGAGGGGCCTCCCACACACAGTCTGCAGGGAAAAGCCACTGGCTCATTCTTTTGTCAGACTCAGGACTATAGATCCAGCTATTTTTCGTGAAGAGAGATCTGCCATCTTTTTTAGCTTATTTTCCATGTGGATCTTGTGTTTGGCTTACCTGATTTGTGCTTCCCGCAGGCCCGACCGAATACAAACTCTCATAATACCAGAATACGCCTTCACTGCACATTCGAGTGCGTCACAATCAGAACTGTACTGGGTAGATCCTAGCCGATTCAGAACTGAAGTGTAAAATTCCATCCCGTCCTCGGACTGGACACCAAAATGTTTCAAAAGGCTCCAGTCAGCCTCGCATCCGTCCTCAAGCTGCGGCAATTTGACAAAAGGTGGTGTCAAGCCGAGCTTAGATGGGAATATAGCTGTCAAGCTTGGTAGCGGAAGATAACAAGCCTCCAATGGATGCATCGTGTCATCCAACGTCGCCACCCTTGTTTTTCCTATCACATCCCACATGTGATTCAATTTGCAGTAATAGTGGTAGTACCCCCAGTTCTTCTGAAGAAGTGTGAGAAACTTATCCGGCTGCTTTTCGATGACAAACTCAAGCGGAGGTGGGATGAATTTGATGGAACAAGCTTCTTGTAGCCAGGTTTTCCACGTTCTGCCTCGGATGACTACCGTTTCGGCCACAGCATTCAGGTACTGTGGATGAAGAAAATGCGTATCATGGAGTTTTGACGATTCAGTGTTCGGCCGAATTCTGAGAGGACACTTGTCGCGAAATTCTGTGAGTGGCGGATCTTCCACCCATACTTGGTTCCGATCAACAAGCTTATGCTCTTCGTCGTAGATGCCAATTCCCGTGAGCACATGCTCCCTAGGAAGGGACCAAAAGAAGAATTTGAAATATGCGACCGATTCATCGAGAGTTTCCGTTCTCTGATGTTGGTGTTGGGCCAGGGACTTTCGACCGATGAATTCCATTGTCTTTTCCATGTCCATGTTCTTGACACCGAGGAGGCAGAACAAAAGGCGCCTCGCAGGAACAGAGGCTGCCACCGGGTCCACAAACCGGATGTTACGGTCAGTTGGGACATCAAATGATACTGAATGCTTGAAGTACACCTCAGTCATCAGGCATGTCTCTCGGGAAATCCACGAGCCATCCTCCAAAGGAATCAAGGGGCTCTGGTTTAGCATCGGTGGAAAGCCGGAGCCGCCGAGGAACCAGTCCAGGATTTTGTTTGCCAGTACAGTGGCAACTCGTGCGTGCCAATCTTCGTCGGTGAAAGACTTCATTGTTGAATGATCCGGGTGCTTAGCATCGGCGTCGACGGCGTCAAAGAAATGATACCATTGTGCGCAGTCCAGACCGACGGCATATCTGACTTTCTCATCATTCCAAACGGTGGATTCTTTAAGAAGGCCTTTCCCTTGTAGACCACAGAACAACGGCTTTCCTTGCTGATCTCTCAAGGAAGGAGGTACCCAACGCAGCTCCTTGGGCACCTGTCGTTCATACGTCCCCACACAGTTAAGGAGACGATATTTCGTGAGTCTGTTTCTTAGGTCCACTTTGAATTCCCGCCAATATTCATGGGATAATGATTCGGTCGGAAGGTATCTCGTCCAAAGACACTCGTGTCTCAGCTCACGAATAGCAGTAATGATCGCACCCCGGAAAGTCCACGCTATAGCCTTCGAAAGTGCCTTATTTTCCCAACAGGACGCGATAGTGTTGTCTTCTGCTCCCATAAAAAAATTGGCTTGGATCGCGAACTAGGCACTTCGTTAACACATCCAATAGAAACAAAAAGAGGGGATAAATTCGGAGCGGCAATGCGGAAACTCAAAAAGGGATTCCATACCTTCAACTCAGACGCACACATAGGGTAGTGCGAGTAAACGTGCTGCCTTCCGATCCTTGGCTGTCTGGATTCGTCGAGAGGAAATGCCAAAGCAACTGTAGTGGGAAGTGGCAAGTATCGTAGATCTACGCCCAGGGATTCATTGAACTGTTTCCTATACCAGTAGAAGACGGACGAGTTGGAGCTCCAGTCTGAGCCCTCAGCTTTGATTGTCTTCTTGATCGTTCGGATACCGGGGCAATCGTCTTCAATGTTGAAAACGGTATTGTCTCCGGGTTCGGAAAGGGTGTGTATGTCAATCTTGATTTCACGAAGAGTCTCCAGAAATACGAGTAGCCCTTCATCGAGGTTGCGGAAATGGTCGAACATCTTGTGTGTACAGTATTCCTCACGTAGCTCAAGTACGATCCTGGTCTGGATTCCTTCTGGTAAATCCGCAAACGGCTCGTCCACTGGTGTAGTCATCCGAAACGCATCCTTTTCCGAAGTAATGTCATGTGTGAAGGAGAATGAAACATGACATGATTGGATACATGCTTTTTTCGCAACCTTGAAGACAGACCTGAGGCCAAGCATCCTCGGCTCAACAATAGGTCTGTCTACGAGACAGGGACTGTTGACGCTGCAAAGGAGTTCAACGTCTGCGATCGTCAGGCCGTCACAGTTTGAATCAATCGTGATTTGATTCGGATGGATATTGAAAGTGAGTGATGGCAGCTTCCCGATGGCGAGCGCGGCGTGGTAGCGACTCTCGTCTGCATTTCGGATAAGCTCGTAGATGAAGCGGTCTTCCGTGGTCGATCGGATAGTCTCAATTTGTCTGAGTACGTTAGTATATCATTGGGTTTGCCAGGGGCGGAAAAGATTACGGTTGCAACGCCTTGTCCAATCGCTCTTGAATAACTCGGGTTTTGTCCCAGAGCTCCGGGAAGTCCTCTTGCAGAACTTCTTTTGCCTTGGCTGAGATTCCACCGTTCTTCCTTCTTATCCCAGCCACTACTTCCTGGGCCGAAGCCCGAGAAGTGAAAGACATTGATTTGGATGGATATCAGTTTGGCTGAGGGAGAACTTGTTTGCAACCCAGGCAAATGAAAGGAAGACGAACGACGAGGAGATACGGAAGCGAGCTCGGAAAGTACGTTCGGATTATAAGTGAGGATCGGCCTGGAACCGGTTCCGCTCTAGCCTTTTTTGCTTCTGTTGCGGCACAGCAAGCGGCACAGGAAGCGGCGCAGGCAGCGGCTATGCCAGATCATCATTGGCTGTGGTTGACACGTCTGTGTAGATCACCGTGGCATATGGCTCTATTTAGCATGCAGCCCCCAAGAATACTCGTTCCTGAAACGCATAGGATGTGAATGCTGGCATGTGTGGAGATTCTCAAAGATCCGACCCTTGCACTTCAGCCACTAAGAAATTCGGGGACGATTGTCCCGAACACACGCCCAGGATTGACTTTGTGCAGCGAAAGCGAAAGCGCTGGATTTTCATTTGTGAAGAGGAGACGCGCATGCAGAAATTAATCGAAAGTGATCTTCTTGCCCTGTGCCTCGACAATGGCAGCCGATGCCCTTGGTGCATTCGCTAGCGCTGCTCCCGACCTGATATTGCGGGCGTCGACCTTGCGAGGCTCCCTCCGACTCTTCGGGTGCTGCCTCGGAGCATCCACTTCGCCAAGCTGCTCGTCGCCAGCACCAGCATTGCCAGTCTCCCTCTCTTTACCATACCGCTTCCGGTACCTCGTCGAGGCATCTTCGGCGTATTCGACGCGCAACTCTCGGCCTTCCAGTCTGTTGACAAACCACTTTCGCGCCTTCTTCTTCTTCTTTTTCTTCTTCTCTCCCGCGCCATCGGCGTTGTCCGCATCCTCCATCTCCTCATCGCTGTCATCATCTCCGGGTATCATAACGTATCCTGCCACAGCGGCGGCAGCAGCATCTAGCGTCTCGAACGTAACCCACGCGTAGCCCTTGCACTTTCCAGTATCTTGGAACGTCGCCATGAAGACATCCGCAACCTCGCCGCATTTGCTGTAGTGCGCGATCAGGTCATCCCTGGTAGCATCGAAGCTCAGGTTGCCCACGAAGACGCGCTTATTCGGCTCCTTGCCTCCACCAGCCTGCACGGCCGCCGTCTTGCTGAACTTGGTGAAGCCATCGGCGTCGGCCTCCCCTTCCTTCTTTTGCGGCCTGCCCTCAAAGTTGCTTGCGTCCTTGATCAGACATGCACGACCGCTGATCAGCGTCTCCGAGGCCTCAATCGCCGCCTTGACCGCGTCCGCACCGTCAAAGTCGACGTAAGCGAAGCCCCTGTTGTGCGGCTTGAACCGCATGTTCGCAACCGCAGCCTTGTCTGGCGCGGGCATGTGGATGCGGGTGATGCGCTCGCCGGCGATGCCGGCATGCTTGTCGAAGAATTCGCGTATGGTGTCGCGCGTGGCGGACCACGGCAGGTTGCCGATCCAGACGCCATGCGGCGACTTCTCCTTCTTCTCTCTCTGTGGCCTTTTCTTCGCATCAGCCGCGTCTTCGTCTCCATCTTCCTTGTCACTGCCGTCCGACTCGGACTCGGAGGGCTTGGCGGCTTTGGCGGCTTTGGCGGCTTTGGTGGAGGGATCCAGCTTGCCCTTCTTGGCGAGTCGCTGCTCGCGCTTGGACAGCGGCTCCGGCGCGGTAATGTCGACTTCTAGCTCGCCATCTTCGGGGAGTGCGGAGCGCTTGCGTTTCTTGGACGACTCTTTCGAGGATTTGGGGGTTTCTTCGGCGGCGGCGGTGGTGGTTGGCTCGTCGGCGGGGGTTTCGGACTCGGTCTTGGACCTCTTGGACTTCTTCTCCTTCTTTTCCTTCTTGTCTTTCTTCTCCTTCTTCTCCTTCTTGGGAGCCTCGGCGGCTGTGGTGGAAGCCATTATGCGGAGAGGAATGTGTAGGCGTGGACTCGCTCGAGACATGGGCGCAGGATAGTCGGCAACTTTTTTTTTTCTGAAAATTCAAAAGCTCCGGAGTTCAGCCGGTCGCTCCTCGCGCAACACCTCAAGGCTTCATGGCGCCTCAAACCTCACTCTACACAACCTCTCTCACTTCTCCGCCGGTAGCTCTCCGCTACCTCGAGGACAGGACTTTGGGCTTGGCTCCTGTATGACGCGCCACGCGTAGACAGCCATTTGACGCCTGGCGACAACGATATCTCATCCAGCATGGCGGACGACGATTCCCGGACCGCGATCCTGGGTCGCAAGCGCCAGCGCGAACTTCAGGATGACCAGCCTAACGCCGCTTTCTCCACGCCGGAAAAGAGGGCGAAGCTGGCCGAGGACGGTGACGAGGAGAGCGACTACTCTCCCTCGCCGGATCTCCCCCAGCTCGAGCCTTCACGTGAGCGCCCGTCTGAGCCTTCCCAGCCTGACCCAGCCTTTCCCCACATGTCTGGTGTTGAAGAGTCTGCGGCCAAGGCCAATGAGCTCAGCGCTGCCCAGGAGAAGGCGGGTCCCGGGAAGCCAGAGCTGCCGCCACCTGAAGGAGAGGATTTTATTGCCCTGCCGGCGGATGATGATGACTTCGCCGTCGAGAACGACCAGGCCTCCGACGCTTACGCCAGTGATGGCGGGGCCGGAAGTGAGGGGGCAAGAGAGGAGGGGGTGGACAACGGCCAAGCTGCAGGCGCGCAACCGCTTTTTCGCAAAGAGTCCGGTCGCATTACCTTGACGAAGAAACAGTCGCAGCTAGTTCACACCTTCGAAGAGGAAAGGGCACTGCGAATCATGAGGACCGGCATCAGTACCTTCTGGACTGCGAAGAAAGGCTTTTACACCCAGGACGCTGTAGGGGCCGTCATCTCCATGGCAATCCCCCAAGTCCCCGACAAGAAAAATCCCAAAAAGATGGTGAATGGCATTACAAAGGACACGATTTGCGCCCGTGTGATTACTGCCATAGGCTCTAACTGTCCCATTGGCCTTCTGGGCATGTACCATGATCAGAGCCAGGGCTCATCAGACTTCAATCAGCTGGTAGTTGTTCGCACACAAGAGCAGTTTGACGCCTTGAGGAACTTCTTCGCGGCCACGCCTTTAGAGTTCGCTCTCAAAGGTACCCATCAAAAGGGCAAAGAGAAAGAGAAAGATTTCTATATCTTGAGCGTCCTATCCACTGATGAGACCAAGAAATTGCAGTTCGCAGACAACAAGAAGTTGAGTCCGAAGAAGGGGGTTACGTCGATTCTAGCACAGGCTCTCGCGCACTACGTGAAGCGGCATTTGGAATCCCGGGAAATGAGCCCGGGGGACTATGAAGGTTTCAATCCCAAAGAGGCAAAAAAGGTTCTTCAGAAGGCAGCAAAACAAGACATCGGCGCCGGGGTTATCAAGGCCGATCCAAACTTTGCTTGGGAGCACCTGAACAAGCCGCAGCCTCAGGCACAGCCGGCTCCAAAAGGCCAATCGCAAGCCGCATCAAAGGCAACCAGCACCACCTCCACCAAGCCTTCCACCCCAGCGAGCGAGGCGCAGGACACTAACTTTAGTTCGGGCGAAGAAGGCGAGATCACCTCTGAACCCGCCAGCAACCCAGCTCAACCCGAGGGACAAGAAGATACTGTTCAGAGCAGCACAACCGCCGCAGCCTCAAACGGTCAAATGCGCACTCACTTCGCGCAGCTCAGCGAACATGAGCAAACGCTCCAAGTGCGCTACTTTGGCAACCCTGAAGATGGTTTAGCACGCTGCCTCACTTGCGCCCAAAAAGGTCACATGAAAGAGAGTTGCCCTTCCAGAACTTGCCAGCATTGCCAGGCCGTCGACCGACACTTCACGAAGGACTGCCCGACCGTTTCCAAATGCGCCAAGTGCCGCGAAAGAGGCCACTCGAAGGAGGATTGCCCTTCAAAGCTGGCGCGCTCCTCTGCAGATGGCTTCTTGTGCGACGTATGCGGCGAGAAGGGCCATCCCGAGGAGGAATGCGCTCTCCAATGGCGTTCCTACAACCCCGGCAAGATCGCCAACCTCAACAAAGTCGAAAGAATGACGGTATCCTGCTACCAGTGCGGCTCACCGCAGCACTGGGGCGACGACTGCCCGATGCGGCCCCGCAGGGTCACGGTCAAGAGCAACATCTTCTCCGCCAAGGAAGCCAACAGATACCTCATCGACCCCGAAGTGGCGGCCGACGAGCTTCGGCACAACGGACCGGGCGGCCAAGGAATGTCCATCAGAGGCCGCGCGCAAGGCCAGGGCCAGGGCCAGCACACCTACTTCTCCTCCACCGACGACGAAGGCGACATCGACAACTTCTACCGCAACAAGCGCAGCGGCAACCACAATGGCAACAGCAACAACGGCCCCAACCCCCGCTCTCGCGGCAACATCCGCATCAACGCCGGTGCCGGGTTCCGCGGCGGCCGCTTCTCCCAGAAGAACGACAAGGGCCAGAACGGAGGCGGCGGCGGCGGCGGCGGCGGAGGCGGGGGCGGCCACGGCAACCAGTTCGAGCCCATCACGTCCGGATGGCAGCCGCCGCTTCCCAACGAGCCGCCGCCATCGCTCCCCCCGCTCCCATCGTCGCGTGGTGGTGGCAATGGAGGCGGCCGTGGTCGCGGCCGTGGCGGACGCGGTGGAGGTGGTGGAGGAGGAGGCGTGAACCAGATGCCGTTGCCGCCGAGGCCTCAGCCGCCGTCTGGCCCCTCGAGAAAGCCTTGGAGGGGTGGTAGGGGCGGGAAGAAGTGAGGTCGTTGTTGCTGATGCATGGGGTTGGTTTACTATTTGGGGGTTCGGACAAGGGTTCCTTGAAGGTTCAGGGTGTCGAAAAACATGCATATATTGGGCCGTGCTGGGTTGGAACAGGAATAGAAGAGGGCATCATTCCGTGCATAGGTACTGTTCAATCACAAAAGTCAGGACTGCTCCTGTGCGATGGCGGATCAGGTTTTTGTATTCATGCCGGGATGGACAACCGGCTCTCGCCATTGCACTGCCACTCCGAACTGGCGAGTCAGGTTTTGATGCGGGTCGACGTGCGGCATGCAAAGCGATGCTTATAGCTGAGCGGTGTGCCTCAGGAAGAGAAAGACTCCGCTTTTGCGTCTCCAAACTCAGCTGCTGCTCCACCTGAGCATGAATGTCGTGTCGGCGAGGCCGTATTTCCTGACTCAAAATGATATATAACATGGAAGGTGATAAGGCACGCATACGACTTCCCTGCTGCGCTGCTTTGATAGGTGGCGCTGTTTGCCCGAGAAAAAAGAACAAGGGGAAAGCAAAAAGAGCGCAGGTCAAGCACACTAGATTGGGATGCGGTATGGCAAGAAGAACAATGAATGATACTAGCTACGACGGCGGCGATTGGCGACGATGGGCAGCAGATCAGCCGCCCTGGTGTGCGACGCCACGCGACAAGCCGATTCGCAAACACAGAGTGCTCTTATCTCTGTCTCTCTGACGACACGGGATCGGATGATCTGGACCAAAAAACTTGCTGTGTGCAAGATGCATCGATGGGTGGTGTTGCGTGCTGCGATCATGTTGTTGTCTAAGCCACTTCTGTCCTTGGCACGATGCCTACCTCAACCCTTCCCCCATACGCAGTATACCAGATATCCCTGGCGAAAACGACACACCACGCAAGCTGATCAGGAGGTTGTGCAGGGATGGAAGCAGGGTCGGAGGCGCCGGCAGCGTGTCCTAAAAGCGGCGTCATAGCAAGGTAATGGAGATGGGCTAGTGAAGTCCGATATCGATGAGCAGATCGAAACCGAGTCCACAACGGTATAGACGGGCGGCGACTCCGCACGCTCGCTCCCCGCTATTCTCCCCCGGGCGTCGACGCGCGGACCGGCCCTTTTCGAGGAGCAAGGGAACCCACAGCGCGTCCGAATGTGGCATCGTCTTATCAGTACACCCCGGCACATTGTTTGATTGTTCGCCCCTCAGAAGCTCCTGTTTCTGGCCGGCGCTGGTCGGGGTGGCTGGCCCGGATGTTCTCGCGGCCGGGAATACTCTCGCTCTTCGTCCATCTCCCGCCGCATCATGGGGCCTGATGCCTGCAAGCCGGTGGTGCTAGCGGCCACACGCGTGAGCTAAAAGCGGCCTTCCCTTCAGGCACGAGGCCTCGGTGCGGAATTATGACGTAGGCGGGGGAGCGGCACGCGTCTTCGCGGTAGCTGGTGCGGAAGGCGGTTGGCTGGCCGAAGCCACTTGCCTCGAGCCTGATACGCAGTCAATACTTTGCAGCTCCGCGAGCTTTGACCGGGCGAACAGGGCGCGGCATGGGACATGACGAGTTGCGAGGGAGGGGAAGAGGGAAGCGGAGCTCTGGCCACGAGAGCTTTCTGGCTCGGGCCAATCGGAGGCTGCGAGGGCCTGCCAGCAAGCCAGCAGCACACCCAGCTCGCTCGCAGCACACGACGCTACCAACTGTCGCTCTGCTGAGGCTGTTTCAGCGCTCCCAGGGGGAGCAGGGACCTGCAGCACACGCCACCGGTCAACGCCGCTCTGCCCCGTGCGTGTGCCATGAGTCGTGGCGCCGCGCGGGTGATGGCTGGATCGCCCAGAATGCTTGATTCGCACCGTGGCACCCGAGCTGAAGCTTGTCCTTTCTTGCGTCATGGCCTCGAAGCGGTCATGAATAGCTAAGGCGGCGGTGCTGGCCATCTGTTGCAGCGCAGGCCCAGAGCGCCCTCTCCACCTGCCCGCTTAAATATGCACCGCCTGCTCCAACTCGCTGCCGGGCTCATTCTCTCCTGCCTCTCCATCTACCTCTTCCAACTTCCCTTGTTCGACACCCCGCATCACCAACACCACCAAACACCCACCATGGCGACCCGGAGCTTCACCCGCATCCCCGTCATCACGAACAAGAACTACAAGGCCAGCGGCTTGAAGTCGTACGCCTACGCTCTGCACAAGTGTATGTCATCTGCCCGCCCTTCTTTGCACCCGCTCACACCCACCAGACGGCATCGGCCCCACCAGAGAGGGCCCCTACCTCGCCGTCAACAAGATCCACCAGCAAGGCAAGTTTGGCCATGCCAAGGCTCTGGGCGGCCATGCCCGCGTGCAGAAGCACGTGCTGCAGAAGAAGGCCGCTGCCGACAGCAGCGAGACGGGCGACGTGCCGGCCGAGGACATCCAGAATGACTCGCTCTACCTGTGTGAGGTGGGCATTGGCACACCCGCCCAGACCCTGAAGCTGGACTTCGACACCGGCTCGGCCGACCTGTGGGTGTGGTCGACGGAGCTGCCCGCCAACGTGCAGTCGACGGGCAAGTCGTCCGGCCACGCCGTCTTCGACCCGTCCAAGTCAAGCACCTACAAGAAGTCCGGCAGCAGCACCTGGCAGATCCAGTACGGCGACTCGTCGTCGGCCTCGGGCGAGGTCGGCACCGACGACGTCACCCTGGGCGGCCTGAAGGTCGAGGGCCAGGCCATCGAGCTGGCGAGCAAGCTGTCGGACCAGTTCGTGCAGGGCGCCGGCGACGGCCTGCTCGGCCTGGCCTGGGGCAGCATCAACACGGTCAAGCCCGAGCCCGTCAAGACGCCCGTCGAGAACATGATCGACCAGCAGGACATCCCCAAGGACGCCGAGCTCTTCACCGCCTACCTGGGCAGCACCAAGGACACCAACGAGGCCGACAAGGGCGAGTCCTTCTACACCTTCGGCTACATCGACCAAGACGTTCTCAAGGCCGCCGGCGTCGACGCCCCCTTCTACGTCGACATCGACAACTCGCAGGGCTTCTGGCAGTTCACCAGCGCCTCGGCCTCGGTCAACGGCACCTCCATCACGCGCTCCGGCAACACCGCCATCGCCGACACGGGCACCACCCTCGCCCTCGTCGCCGACGACGTCGTCGACGCCATCTACAAGGCCATCCCCGGCGCCAAGTACGACAGCCAGAACCAGGGCTACGTCTTCCCCAGCTCCGTCACCGCCGACCAGCTGCCCACCGTCGAGTTCGCCGTTGGCGACCAGCTGTTCACCGTCCAGAAGGAGGATTTGGCCTTTGCCGACGCCGGAAGTGGCATGGTCTACGGCGGCATCCAGAGCCGCGGCGACATGACGTTTGACATTCTCGGCGACACCTTTTTGAAGGGCATCTATGCCGTAAGTACATTTCCTCGGAAGTTTGTGGGAAGGCACGTGCTGTAGAATTAAAGTGCTGACTGACGTTTCCGCCCCGCAGATCTTCGACCAGGGCAACAAGCGCTTCGGTGCCGTGCAGCGCAAGGAGAAGGAACAGAACGTCTCTGTGCCTTCGAGCTCTTCGTAAATTCCCAGGGCTTGAGACAAGTTGATGGCGTGGTTCACTCGCGTATCTCCCGTTTGTGATGACGACTTGTATGATTGATGGAATGATAATGATGATAGTCGAGGGTATGGCCAGTTTCAGTAGATAATACACCACAGCGGAGAATTACCTATGCGAGAAGCAATTTCAACTGCGCCGCCAAAAATGACTCTTGAGTAACTGATTCAACTCCTTCGCCGCTAACACAAGCCTTCCCTTATCCTAAGACTGGTATATCTACCCGGACACTGAGATTCAACTACTACACACGTAAAGTAGCATGCACCATCTGTGACCCCTCCCCCCTCCCCTTCCCACAAAACGCGTGCCCACTACGCGACCGGCGCCGGTATGAACCTCCTCACGCACCGATCCACCCACTCCCGCGGCACCCCCAACGCCACCGCATCCCTCACAGCCTCGTTCATCCTCCCCACATACTCCTCCTTCGGCTCGCCCTCGGCCGTCCGCAGCCTATCCACATACACCAGCGCCCTCTCCACGCGCCGCGGCGGCGGCAGCAGCGGCGGCGCGCCACCACCACCGCCACCACCCACATCAACACCCACGTCCACGTCCGCGGGCTCCATCATCATCTCCTTCTCCCTCTTCCTCACCCCTCCACCCTCCGCCCCCTCCGCCCCCACCGCCCCCACCGCCCCCACCACCGCCGCAGGCCAAAAGTCCAACCCAAGCCACTCCTTCCCGTACGCCCGCGGCACGCCCTCGGCCGCGTCCAGCGCCGCCTCGTCGCCCGAGTCGCGGGGCAACGCGTACACGGCCCCGTACACGACTTCGTCCTCTTCGTGCTCGTGCTCATCGCCGTCGTCAAGCTCGTCCTCGTGCTCGTCGTCATCGCCGGCTTCGTCGACTAATTCCACCACGTTGGCGAAGCCGCGCTCGTTGATGATCCAGCGCCAGCCGCGGTTGGGGTGGGCGTTGGGGTTGGGGTTGGGATTGGTGCTGCTGCTGGTGCTGGTGTTGTTGCTGCTGCTGTTGTTCGACAGACGCCCGATGCCGAGGTAGGTGGATGAGGGGCAGCGGCGGCGCATTTGGTCGAGCCAGAGGTTGCTGCCGTAGGCGAAGTAGAGGGTTGGTGGTGCTGGTGGTGATGACGACGACGACGATGATGGCGGTGGTGGTGGTACGGAAGTGGGGGGCTGGCTGGGCGGCATCGTACGTCGTCGTCGTCGTCGTCGTCGTCGTCGTCGTCGTGAAGCCTCGTGTGGTGGTGCGGAGGCTGACAGGTTTATTCTTGTTTGGCTGGCCGGCTCTTTTTGGCGGAGGGGTTTTCTTTTTGCGACTGCTGCTGTTGCGGCTGCTGTTTTGGGGCCTCGAAGTTGGCGGGGTGCACTGCGTCTGCTATGCACATGGTTGTTGTTGTTCGATGGGTTTGCAGAAGATGACGTGAGACCGCGCCAAGGGCTTGGGTGGAGACGGCAACCAAAAGAGGCATCCAGTTTGAAGGACCACATATATGGTAGCCTAGAAAGCCCAACTCTCAACAAGTAGATCCCGAAACCCGGTGGTCTACTGGCCGAGTTGGCGGTCCAATGTCCAGCCTTGGAACACAGGTGGGGTGGGATATCCACTTTTTGATCCGTCGGCGAACGCAAGGTACAAAGACTATGAGGTCGAATCTAATGGAGTAAGACTATTAGATTCTCCTTGTTTCTCGTATTGTTTTCTTTCTGCAACAAACATTGGGAAAGGCCAGGTAGGAAACCATGCGAGGCAAAAATAAAATAACTAAGCCAAGACACGTATTCAACCAGGGACCAAACCACAAGCACCGGCGTCGGTTACGTCGTCACCAAAACTCAAGAGCGACTGCAAACAAGCTAAAAGCCGTTGCCGCGTAGATTCTCTTTCATCCAAAAAACGCTTCATTAAATTTTCCGTGTAATAATAGACCATGGCACGCAAACGTCCATCTCTTATATCGCCCACTCGATACCCATCTGCCTCTTCGACATCTTCAGCGTCGAGTTGGCGCTGGTGAAGTTGAAGCCGTTGCCAAAGTCACCCGTCTGGGTGGTGAAATCACTCCGCTCGTTGAGGCTGTCGATGCGGCCCAGCAGGAATTCGAGCTGGCGGTAAGCGGCCGAAGGCTGATATTGCGGGACTGCGCATTCTCGTTAGCAACTGCAGTAAACGGTTTTCCCGTCTCAGGGTAGGTTTAGTGTTGGGACTTACCCATGTGACCGGACATGGAAACCTCGACCCAAGTCAGACCACGCTCAGTGTGCGCGGTGCCCATGATACCTGACGCCGCCAACGTGCTCGGCGAGACCTCTTCGTGGTAGGGGACAAAGAACGGCTCCGTCGGGGCAGTCTGGAAGCCCTGGGCGCCGCCCCACGTCATGTTCTGAATCATCAGCAGAGTGCCGTTGGCGATGAGGATGAAGTCGAGGTTGCCGTGGGCGATGATGGAGCGGCCGTTGGTGCGCTCGATGACGCTGGGCAGGATGGAGAGGCCCGAGGCCGGCGAGGTGTCGGTGTCAAGGACGCCGCTGGAGCACTCGGCCCACTCCTGCACAGGCGCATTGATGGCCTTCTGGACGTCGGTGCGGTTGAAATAGATGCCGGCCCCTTCAGGCACATAGTCAAAGCTTCCGGGGAACCCGAGTACGTCCCAGAGCAGAGGGCAAGTAGTCGCGACCTGGTAAATGTCGAAGCACGGGTTGACGCTGCTGACAGCGTAGTAGATGTCGTCCCACAGGTCACAGCCGGCAGCTTCGCCATCAACATTGGGAGGGGTCGGCAGAGGGCCAGTGGGAGGGAACGTCAGGTACGTGTTGAAGAAATCGGTGTAGCCACACTCATCAGCACGGTTGTGGATGTCGTCCGTGAAGGTCTTGTTGAGGTTGAACAGTGGTGCCCAGTAGTCAACGAAGGGAACAGCGGGGATCTGTTGCTGAACAACGTTGTATGAGGTGCTAGGATCGTAGATCAAGAAAGCTTGAGCATCGTAGTATGTCGTGTCGTTCTCGTTGAGCATGGCATCCTGCGAATAATGTCAGAAACGAAAATGACATGGGAACACGAATGCTGTAGCTTACGGTGATGTAAGGAACGTAGTAACCAGCGTACGACTCGCCGGCAATATACACCTTACGGCCGTGCAGGCCGAAGGTGTCGACGAAGTTCTTCCAGAAGCCAAGGAACTGAGCGGCGGCCTCCTCCTCGTTGGTCGCGGTGGGTTTACCCTGAGTGAAGCCAGTACCAACGGGTTGCTCGACCCAAACCATGCTTGTAAGATTGACCCAAGTCCAAGGGTTCTTGACGGGCTTGAAGGTGCCATACTGCCACAGAACAGGACCATTCTCCTGGAAGAAGCCCTCAAGAGACGAGCATCCAGGGCCACCTAGACACTATCGCATCAGATGCCGAGTTCCTCCCAGCTGGGCATTCAGACTTACCGTTGAGCCAGATGACAATCTCGTCGGTAGCAGCTTCGTTCTCAGACGGGAAAAACCAGAAGTAGAGCTCACTCGTCTCGTTCGCCTTGTCGGAAATGGGGAGCAGGCCGGCGTACGACTCGCCAACGTCGAAATCAACCTCGGGAATGGCGGAGCCATTGACCGCGAACTCTGAAGACACGTCTCAGCATTCATCCCGCGGGCCGCGAGGATTCCAGGTGTAGACTCACTTGTGGTGTTCGCACTCTGAGGAATGATGTAATCGGCGGCGCGCTTCTCGACCGGGGCAGAGAGCTTCTTCAGCAGATCGCCACGACGCGGGCGCGGCATCTCTGGCACCTTCACGCCCGCATACTGTGCGGACCTGGCCTCGACGAGGAAAGACGAGGCGGCGAGCGCACAAGCGCCGAAAAAGGTCGCGACGCGCATTTTGAAGCAACCTTGAGCGCTCGGTGTCAATTGAAAGAAAGACTGGAAGGCAGCGCTCGCAAAAGAGGGTCGCAGACAGCAGCGAAGGACGACGGTGGATGGTAGCGAAGGAGGTGAAGGGGAGAGAAAAGTAATGGGCCCCAGTGCATGTACCTATCCCGCACGGTGCTCGGGTGGAGAGACCAGATTATTTGCGCAGAGACAGGGATTCCAGCCAAGGCTTAGCCCTCTCAGGCAAGTAGCTTGGGGTGGCTTGTCTGTGCCTTCGCATGCCGCGAGCGACACTACTGAGGCTGGCCTGCATGGGATTGCTCCGGAGCGGAGGTGGGCGGTTCGGTTGACTGACCTGCAGCGATGATGACGCTTACCAAAGATAAGCCTTACACACTCTCATCCTGGAACACAAATCTTCGCACTGGCCGTTTATACGATTCGCTCCAACTAGAAGTACGAGACAGAGAGACAGACAGCGGGGCAGAATGGTCCGCCGTTTGCGCTGACTTTCGGCATCGGGCTCCTAAACGACTCGTACACCACCCAAGACTCAAGAAACATGCAGCAACCTCTCATCCAGATCTTCTCGGAGCGCGTCTCCTCCCGGGCGGCCGCTCACAGGATGCGCGTCACTCATCAGCTGCGCACGCGGCGTGGCACGACCTCCTGCCTGAAGCAGCAAGCCCAATTAGCCTCAACAACAGGACCATATTGAGACGGCGAATGGGAACCAACCTGCGCAAGCGGGGAGCGCGACGACGCGCCACCGACCGTCGGCGGCGGCGGCGGCGGCCACCGCTCCCCTCATGATCTCATCGTCCGCCAACCCAATCGCGGCGTTCCCGACCGGACGTCGCCATTGCCACAGCGCGGTCCCTGAGCATCACCCGTCATTCCAGTTCTCCACACGAGAAAAAGCTCGGGGCTTGTTTTTTTTATCTCCGCCCCACGCACCACACCCGCCGATAAGACCATTCCCAAACAAGCAGCTCCAAAAGACCACTAGTATCCCCCGGCCCCCCACTAATAACACGGCAGGGACGCGAAGCGAGGCGAGGCGACCTGGCGAACAATTCAGGTACCCGAAGTCCATGCGAGTGATTTTTCTCGCTCGTCGTTATTTTATTGGAGGAATGAACTCGCCGGAAATCTCCATATTATTGCGCTCCAACCCGTGTGACGAAAGCGCAGGGCCGATAAGGCGCGGGAAAACGTGATGGCGCGACGGGATGCTGCACTGCACGCAAGCTGTCCAAGCTTTGACAAGCAAAATGGAAAACACCGTCCTGACGCCTCGCCAAGCAGCTCTCCACCTAAGTTTGTCTCGGCACCTTGGGCGCGTCGGCTTGTTTTGCATCATGCCCTGCGGCCGGCCTGTTTTCTGCCGTCCGCCGCCGCTTTTCAAGAAAGAAGGATTGGGGCTGAGCGGGCTGAGCGGGCTGAGAGCCGGTGCTAGGTTGCGAATCCTGCCATTATGGTTAAAGCGACGTCCTGCTTTTTGCTGCCCCATCTCCGTAGTCCAGTCAAACTGAGCGTTCTGCGTCCTTGAACCTCCAGCGCCGTCGCAGCCCTCTTCAGAGAGCCCACTCCGTTCGCAACGTGTCTAGGTGCTTCGTCACTCATCGTCATGCATGGCTATTTCACTTCATCGCAGTCATGCTCGCTAGTTAACAGGCCTCATTTTCTAACAGTAGTTCTTCTCCTTCCTTATCTGCAAAGTGGCAGCGATCGTAAAATCATGAAGAACCGCGCACCGCCCATCACGCACCGCTTACTTCTGGCGGTAGCCGCCGTACCTGGTCTGGACTGCGAGCTTGAGAAGACGACTAAAGTCAGGAGTGCCCAGGCCAGTAACGGGATCCCATCCTTCCACCGCAGCCCATCCAGCGCCATCAACCTTTGGTGCGGGCAGTCCGGAGAATATATCCGTGCCAGTGCAGCCCGTCGACGTTCCATCGACAATGTCGGTCAAACCGCCCTTGCCAGTGCTGTACAGCCAAGGATTGAGCCACCCGAGAGGAGCCTGACCAGCTTCAACGCGAGCTGAGTTGAGAAGTGCGATGATGGACGCGAAAGTCGGTGCAGACGCTGAAGTGCCACCAACAAGACTCTGTAGTCCATTAATGACGACGCGGTACTGGCGGCCTTGAGCAGCAACATCGGGGAAGCCACGGCCCTGAGGATTGTACAAGTCGGTCCACTTATCGCCGAGAATCCCAAGATACTTGTTGATAGTATCATTCTGCCAGCTGGGACGCTCCCAGAGGTCGGAGAAGCCACCGGACGAGAAAGAAACAGCTCTCTCAGGCTCAATCTGGTAAGTACCGCCGACCGAGGTGGCATACGGGCACGAAGCGGGGAAGACCGGAAGGAAGCGCGTCGTGTTCTTGCCGTCGTTAGTCTGGCAGGCAGAGCCAGGTCCAGTGTCGCCCGACGAGAAAATGACCGAGACACCGCGAGACCCAAGCTGGCCGATCATATCGCATATAGTCCTGGCATAGCTGGCGGGAACACTCTGCTCATCTTCACCATACGAGGTGGAGAGGGTGGAAGGAAGCTCAGAGTCGGGTTTCTTCATCAGCTCGGTGAAGTACTCGAGGTAAGGCTCGTTGCTAGACACGTCAGGCTGGTCCAGATCAGGAACGAGAGGGCCACGACCAGAAGTGTAGAAGTATGTCACGTCCAGAGGGTAAACAAGCGGAAGAGTGTACTGGATATCCAGATTGGCCTCGGTAGCATCGTCGCTGCTATCTTGGGGAAGGCTGGAGCCGTTGATGGAGCCGAAACTGAAGCTCTTGCCTTTAGCGGCAGGCGCGTACGTGTCGATGAATTGAGCAAGGTCATCGTAACGAGCGTACTCCTCGAGGAAGCCCGAGACACCGAGGTAGGTCTGGTTGGCCTTGGGAGTGTAGCCCTCGATATTGTACAGGCTCTTCAGGCAATCGGGGGTAATGGTCGAGTTGCAGCTTGCGGAAACGTCATCCGCACTGGCCAAAGCATTGATGTCAAGTAATTTCTTATAATAGATCAAGCTCCTCTGGGGGCGAATCTGAGCAAAGCGAGTGGTGGGCTGGATCATGTTGATGAAGTCATGCAGCTCCGTGGGAATCGAGTACTCGAGAGTGCGAATGTTCTGGACGCTTTTGCGGATCTCACTGCGGTAGGTGTTGAACTTGGTAGCCATCATCTTCTCGGCTTGCGAGACAGTCGCGACGAAGTTGATCCACTCGCCGTCATCCTCGATAGCCTCACTCTCGATACCAGAGGTCTCGAGCCAAGCAATGATCGAGTCGGTGGCTTTGGCCTCAGGGCGGAGCATGTTCTTGAGCTCATCGCGCTTCAAGTGCTTGCCGTAGTTGGCAGAGCCCGGGGTGGAGATGTCCAGCAGAGTCTGCTCGAAAAGAGCGTGGTTAGGCTGGAGTAGTCATTAGCGTGTGTGCCTCGGGTGAAATGTGGTCTAAGTTGGGAAATGATGTGAAACGGGCGCAACATCGCATGACGATTGACGCAGCCAGCCGGTGTCACACGGCATATGCCTTGCGCACCGATTGGGTGAGAACAGGAATTTGTTTCGCGTACCTGTTTGACCGCGATCATGAACCGCAGCTTTTGAGCGGGGTCGGGAGAGCCAACTTGGGTCCAGCTCTCGGGCACCTCGCGCAGCTTCTCGAAGAGCTCGGTGGCAGAGAAGCTGAAACAGTTGACGGTGGCCACAACGGACAGCAGTCCGGCGAAGACAGTGGCAGCCCGCATGGTTGAACGAGAGCTCACCGGGAGGGTGAGGTGAAACACGGAATGAGGGAAAGAAAGACGGAGGGGGATGGCGCAGCGGAGGACGCGCCGACAGGTACGCGCAGAGAATGAGCACGGTTGAGTCGGTGGGCGGGCGTGGTGCAGGATGAGAAGCAGAAGATTGAAAGATGGCGGGCAAGATATATATCCTATGCGCGCGAATCCAGGGTCCACGCTAGGCTTGGCGCGTTTACGCACCAGAGCGGGCAGTCGCGACCTACTCGCGTGACAGCAGGTGGCCGGTGGCAGGCTGGTGGTCCTTCCCTGTTGGCTCAAGCCGCCGTGTCGATCACGGCTCGAGTGCTGCGCGACCATGCACCCTTGTGCCATCTGGCGGCTCACGTCCCTCCGTCCCACGCTCGCCCGCACGCCGCAAGGAGACAAAAGAAAAGATTGGAGGGGGTGCGGCCTTCCGCGCGCTGGGGAGCCGGCTTCCCGTGATTGGAGGGCCGTCGCGTTGCAGCATTTACGGTTCTGCAAATAGCGTTAGCGCACCTCATCCGCTCTTTGCGTCAAGGCGCTCCGACCCCTCCATTATTATCGTGCGCTACAGCTGCCTTTGGGAGGTACCCTACCCACAAGGCCCAACGGTTTTCGTTTTTTACGCAAGGTCCTCCCAGGAAGCTTCTGCTCTCGCACTTCTGCTCCCGCACTGACTGTGTAGCATGACGCCTCCCTTGCCACCGTCACATCCTTGCCAGATACCTACGCCGGCTCCGCAGTTTTTCATCTCTGTCCCAACATAGCACCACGATTCGGCCTTTGACTGCCGCAGTGTATCTAGGCATTCGAGCTTCACGAGAGCTGCAGGGTGAAATCGTAGAATTTCGCAAAGGTGACGTCAATCCTGGACCTGCTAAGAAGTTCATTGCCCAGAAGCTATCTTTTTCGCTTCCTTGGCGGGAGCTTGGTAGCCGGCTCGGCGTCTCCGAAATCAAACACGAACCCGCCAAGATCTGCCGATCCGGTCTCTGGTGATTTCTGCCTCTTTCCGGGAACCGTTGTTTGTTTTGGATCCTTCTGTGGCCCGGACTTTTCTTTTTGGTTTTCCGCAGTAGGGAACGTGGGCAGCTGTTCCTTCGGTGCTGCCCTCGGACTTTCGCGCCACCAATCCTCAGCGGCTGCCGCGAACTTACTCTTCGACTTTCCCAAAGCTTCGCTTGCGGTCCATCGTGTCTTCGGGTCCCATCTCAGAAGGCCGCTAAGAAATCTCACTGTTCCTTTGGTGGATCTTGAGAGGAACCATCGCTCAAGGTTATCAACGCGCCCATGAGGCATCGAGTCCCGCTGCCATTTGATCAAATCTGGACAGCCCATTGAAGACAAAGCCTTGACATCTCCAGGCGTGGGGCTACCCAAGAGCTTCACAATTTGAGAGAGCTGCTCCAGATCGTCGTTGCCGTCGAGAACCGGCATCTGAATCAGTAGCTCCCCGACGAATAAGCCGGCTGACCAGATATCAACCGAGCGCGTATAGCGACAACACCCTAGGAGGAGCTCCGGGGCACGGTACCAGACTGTGACGACACCAGGTGTGAGGGGCCTCGGCGCCCACTCGCGTGCCATGCCAAAGTCCGCTTTAGAGAGTTAGCAACTGCACCGTTCCCGGGCTGACACAGGTCTCTGGCCAGAAGTACCTATTTTCAGCAAGCCATTGGCAGTGAGAAGCACGTTATCCATCTTGATGTCTCTGGGAATGGTTAAAAAACGAGGCGCAAAGCCGCAAGCGGATACGAGCACACCTGTGGATTATGTCTTTCCTGTGGAGATACTCGAGGCCTTCGAGCAGTTGGCGGGTAAGACACTTTACTAAGAAATGGTGTCAGCCACGGGCTGCATCACAAGACCGAAGTGGCACGGGGACGAACGAACCTTGAGCCAAGCTGAAGTGGACTTTGTGCACATCGAGGAGGCTTGCCAAATCCTATCGAACAGCCTGGCAAAAAGCCCCGCCATGCGGCAGAGGCAAGGTAAGCCAGCGCGATACTATCCCGAGTCCTCAAGCATGCAGCTGGCATGGACCACCAACCTGCTCGCAGTATTCCATGACCATGTACACATCTTCCAACAAGGTGTCGTCCACAGCGACTTCGAGGACACTGATTATATTCTGGTGGCGCAGGGTACGAAGGATCGATATTTCGCGTAGCGCCGTAAGCGGGATACCGTTGCTGCGCTCGTGTTCAAGGATGCGGACTTGCTTCAGGGCGACGACAGAGCCATCGCGCCTATGGCGGGCGCGAGAGACGATGCCGTAGGCTGTGAGCATGCAGCCCACCGTCAGCTAAGCCGTCCCAGATATCGTGAGTAGGAAAAGAAAGTTACGCACCACCTTCGCCAATGGCGTCAAGTCTCTCGTAAGAGGCAATCGAAGAGCAGTTGCCTAGGTGCAAGTCAGCTAGGAAGGCAGAGGGCTGTAGGAGCGGGAAGGACATACCCAGGAAGCCGTGGTCGAGAGTGATACCAGTCTTGTCGCCCGTGACCAACAGTTGGTCGACGCAATCATGCGGATCACCCATTGTTGCATGGTGCAGCCGATGGTCGAGGTGGTGACTGTCATTCTGCAACAGCGATCGGGATCGGCGGCGGAGAGAGACCGGCAGCACTCCGGCTAAACACTCATCACTGTGGCACCTCCGCGGGGAACCGTCCCCTCCTTGCAGGCGGGACTCACCACCTGTCTTGGATTCTATTTTCGCGGAGCCTGGGCGGAGCACCAGAATTCCACTATTGGATTCCAGAGAAAAGGCCGTCGACACCCATGCTCGACCAAGCAGCATGCCACGGTCGCGGTCAGCCCAGTCGGCCACACGTACCTCAAGCTCCAGCTGCAAGCTGCTTGAGCTTTATCAGCTTGGAGAGCTACCGCATCGCCACTTCTTGCCGGGATTTCGACGAGAGAGCACGCGAAGTAGACAGTGGGTGTCTTTGTAAGGCATTGCTTAACGCTCAAAAGCTTTGAACATTACACTCAAGCATTCCCGGAGCATGGATGAAAAAAGAGCGCAGCTGGAATTTGCGTCGGACCTGACGAAGCTCCTCCCAGACGTCTGAAGTTAGCTAGCTACCGCCGCACAATCCGCTTTAGGCCATTTAGCCGGCACTCAGCCGTGAGCCGAGATTTTCACACGAGTGTCCCCAATCCCCATGCTAGGTAATGATAGGGCCAGGACTTTGCCCAACCCATCAATCCCGACACTACAGATATCCATCGCACATCTCCATGTTTGTGCTCCAATCACTATTCTAGGCTTGCTGTGGTCATAGCGATACCGAGCAAACCGACAACAAGATCGAAACGAGCCCTCGCAGACGAGCCCTCTCAAACTTGACCCCGCGCGCGAACTTGACCCCGCGTCGAACTTGACCCCGCGAACGTGACCTGATCTCTCAAACTCGGCCCCTCGGAACTTGACCTCTCAAACCTCACCTCTCGAGCTTCACTCTCCGTTCGACCATACGCAATTGAACGTGTGAGGATTCACGCTTGGCGAATCTTTGTCAGCTGCGATAGTGTGTCAGCTTCCGACCGCCTTATCGGCAGCAGTGGGTAGTTGCCGGCCAGATAGGTTATCACTGCGGCATTCCCTACCAATGCCTGCGCTGACAACTGGACATGCATAGCCACCCAGGAGCGGGGCTTTGTGGCCAGCTGCGAACTCGGATTAAGCGGTGCATCTGTTCCGCGAGTGAATTGCAAGATTTAAGGCCTGTTGGTATTCAGATTCATGAGCGCTTGATCCTAGGGGTTTTGTCTGGCCTGAGTCATGGCAAACACCGAGACTTTCCGACCAAGAGAGTCAAGCGATCAACAGGAACAGGTGAAGATCGGATAGGCTACGGAACCCGACCATGCAAACCCGGCGAAGCAATGTCCGGCCACTTGCCGTGTCTGCGGCAGGATTCCTGCGTTTCATTGGACAACACACGATGACTGGCATCAACAATCATCGTGATGGCCTGTTGTGCTCGTCAGCTTGGGCCGCTCATTGGGCCGCGGTCCGGAGCTCTCGCAAAGCTAAAAGAAGTGTCTCCCGCAAGCCACGGCCGCCATTCTCAGTCAGTCGCCTTGCCGCCTCCGGGTCCTGACGAGTATGGCTTTGACTTACAGCATGACGGCCTTTGCCTACTACTCCGCTCTTCTTGCTGTATTTGCTTCGCTAAGCAATGCCGCATTGTCCTCTACAGGCTTCACCGTTAGCCTAGATGGTGTTCCCTACTACATTACTCCAGATGCGGTAGCTACTATCAACATGACGACGAGCTTTCGCAATAGCGCCAAGTCATCAGGATTTTTTACTCCAATCACAGTCATGAAAACCGATGACGCTGCCTTTTCCGGCGACATCTTCAATTCGCTCGTATCGAACTGGACAGGAGTGGACGATGTTTTCCAGAGTGGCTTTCTACAAGGTAGGTCCGCGAATCCGCGGCAGTTGCGATGCTGACTTGCGGCAGGCGTCTACATGCAATACACCGGGTCCGCATATTCGAGGGCCAAGCAGGCCATCGAGCTCAGCCTTGCCAACGCACCCGTTTTGACTGCCCGGGTCGACGCAGCCAATGCCATTCCAGAAGGGCCGTACTTCGTCTCTTCCTCAGGTGACCTCTATCAGCCATGGCGTCTTTATTCTGACATCATGGGTGCGTTCTCGGAGAGCACCATTCCAAATGCAGACGGAAGTTTTGGTGTACTTCCTGCAAATATACAGGGCCAATCGCTTGCCGTTGCCGTTCCCTCTCGCCTATCCTACACGAAGACTCCCGAGAAGCCTCTCGCTGGTGTCCGGCTCGGGGTAAAAGACATCTATGATGTTGCCGGGATAAAAACGGGCAACGGCAACCGCGCCTGGTATCACTTCTATCCGGAGGCCAACAAGACTGCTTTAGCCGTCCAGAGACTGGCGGATGCCGGTGCTATCATTGTAGGCAAGATGAAGACTTCTCAATTTGCCAATGGCGAGAGTGCGACTGCCGACTGGGTCGACTATCACGCGCCCTTCAATCCCCGCGGGGATGGGTACCAGCAGCCTTCGTCCTCATCCTCAGGCCCTGGCGCTGGCGAGGGTGCTTATGAATGGCTCGACATCACACTCGGAAGTGACACTGGTGGCTCCGTCCGCGGCCCCTCCCAATCCCAAGGTCTGTTCGGCAACCGTCCTTCTCATGGACTCGTGGAGCTCACCAACGTCATGCCTCTTGCGCCTGAGCTGGACACCGCTGGCTTACTTTGCCGTGACCCCGCTATTTGGACCGCTGCGGCGCAGGCCATGTACTCCGACAACATTACCATCTCTTCGTCCTACCCGAAGAAGATCCTGCTTGCTGATTTTCCCACCGAGGCTGGCGAGTACGAAAGTGACGCTCTATTGCTAGACTTTGTCAGCAAACTCTCCTCCTTCCTCGGCGCCAACGCCACCGCTTTCAACATGAGCGAAGCATGGGCGACAGACAACCCGGACACAACCCCGGTCGACGAGCTTCTCAACACGACGTACCCGCTCCTCATCGCCAAAGAGCAGACCCAGCTCGTGCGCGATCCCTGGTACGCCGAGTACGCGGCCGCCAACGACGGGCGTCTTCCTTTCGTGAATCCGGCGCCGTTGGCACGCTGGTCGTATGGCGACAATTCGTCAGCGACGATCGCGGAGGCGGTGGCCAATAAGACGCAGTTCATGGCGTGGTTCAACAGCAGCGTGCTCGCGCCCGACGCCGAGACGTGCTCGAGTAGCCTGCTGCTCTACATCGGCAGCACCGAGGCGGACATCGCTTACCGTAACTTGTACCTCAGCCCACCATCCATTCCATTTGGCTTCAGCTCGTCGCGCATCTCGGTATTCTCCGAGGCGCCGGATATGGTGGTGCCGATTGGCCAGGCGAGCTATTTCTCAAGCATCACAAACCATACAGAGATACTTCCGGTAACGGTTGATTTCATGGCGGCGAAAGGGTGCGATGGGATGGTATTCTCGCTCGTGGAGGACTTGGTGGCCGAGGGGATTATCAGCGTGAGCAAAGCGGGCAGAACAAACGTGGATGGTGGACAGATCCTGTTCAGGCGAAGTGAGGTCGGGCAGTGAGATGACGGTGCGGTCGGCTCCGCGGTATCATACAAGCTCATTCATGCATCTAGTGGCTCGTCATTAATAGCGTAGAGCAGTAGTGTAGACAGATCATTGCAACTTCTGTGCAAACTCACTTACATAGAGTGTCGAAGCCAAGACCCGACCGTGAATGTGAGGCTTGGATGCGGAACAATTCATCCAGATATTGGATTCAAACATACGCTTGCACGAGGTCTGTAGCGGACTGAGAATTTCTGGAACAAGTGTGGGCGGGATGGTGTGCTGGTTTATCAACCATATAAAGGATGATGTAGTACTACTGAGCTGCCAGCGGTTTCGCGAGGGTCGCAAGAAGTCCGCGCCTACCAATGCGGACAGTTCCAGCAAAGGGTCGGACACTGTGGCGGCGGCGCGCAAGGTACGCGTACCTTCCACTTGTGTGATTGCCCGTGTTGGAAGGCGCATCCCACCCAGCTCTTCTCTTGGCTTCCGACTTCTCTTTACACCAAAGCTACCACCAAACACCTCGACAACAGCAAACCCTGACAGCGCCTTTACCCTCAGAAGCGCTGGCTGGGTACCGGACCACCTTTCACCCTCCATTACCTGGTACCATGGATCAGACGGATGATCACGGAGCGTTGCTCGCTGGGCGCTCAGCAAGCTCAGCGTCGACGGGCCTTCCTGCCGCCTACCCTCTACCGCAACAGGGAAGCCAGTTCATCACGTCACCAGCCAATAGCGACAAGACCGAAGCTTTCGTCGACCGTCTACGCAGTGAAGCCGCTTACGGAGTCAAGCACTTTGCCGATCTCCCACACTATGCTGGCTCCACAAAGACCGCAATAGCCCTGACTCTGTTGGCCTACACTGCAGGCAAGCGCGATGGTCTGAAGCCCAGAGCCGATCGGATGAGCGCGATCAGCAACGAACTGAACCGGACGAGGTACGAGCTTGCGAGGAGAGAACTGGAACAGGAAGATACCATCAAGAAGCTTGAGGTCGATCTACGCTGGGCAAAGTTCCAGCTTGCGAAGAAGGATGACAAAGACAAAGAGATCCAAGCATTAAATTTGGAGCTTAAGAATGTGGAGAAGAAAAAGGAAAATGAGGTACCATCGGCCAATGGCTTCAATGGTGCTACCAAGATGGATGATCTCTCAAATGCCAATGCCACGATCGAGGAGGCCCAGAGGAAGATCCATGCTCTGGAGGAAGCTTTCAATGTGATGGAGCAGGGTCTTGTTGCAGAAAACAAGGTTCTTCGCTCCAAACTTGAAGATCTGCAAGAGCGCCCGACCACAAAGGCCGAAACGAACCACGAGAAATCCCAGAGACTGTACGAGCAGGAGGCCCAAAGGGAGATTGAAAGGCTTAAGAGTGAAAACAAAGAAGAGATGAAGCTCATTAAGGAGAAGATCCAGACCCTCATCGACGAGAACATTGCACTGAGCGAGGAAAACGACGACCTCAGCGCCAAGAATGTGGTCTTAAGTGCCGAAAACGGAAAGCTCAGTCAAATTTCGAACCACACTGTTCAAGAAACCTGCTTTAAAGATGAGAAAAGTCAAATGGAGAACCGCATCGAGACCCTCAAGAAGGAAAAAGGACTTCAACACCAGCTGCTTAAGAAGCAGCACGCCTCAATTGGCCAGATGGAGTCAAAGATCGCAGGTTTCGAGAAAAGGGTCAAACAGAACGAGGATCGAATGAAGAACGAGATCCACGACCTGCAGAAAAAGCTTGCTACAGTTGAACCGCTCACGCGATTCATCGCAGAACGCGATTTCTCCGATGAGAAGCGCCTGGCACTTAGCTGGGATGAGATGACTTACGCTATGCGGGCGGCTGCCGCCGGCGTTTGTCCTCAGTCCAAACGCATTCTTCCAGGTGGCTTCGCCTACATCGTCGAAGAGACTTTGAAGCAAGGATCTACAGACCTTGTAAGATACTCCAAGTGCAGCGCGGGGCGCTTCGTTCTTCAATACGACTTCTTCGAGGCCGTGGGTGCCATTGTTGAGAACATTCTCTGGGAAGCTCAGAAGTTCCCCAGCGTCCGCAATCAGCTTAATATTGATTCTCTGAACATCCAGAGAGCCTTGCTAAAAAGGAACGTGTAGCCCAATTCAACGTGGCTTCAGCGGCGGTGCTACAGCAAACCAGGTGCTTCAGCGTTAAACGATTTAACTACTTCGGTTCATTCTAGCACGGTGTTGCTTAACTCATCGGGAAATTCCACTTTTCTGAAGTCTCGATAGTGGCTAGCATGTCTAGTCACTTACTAGTTTCACGGCTCTGTATCCTTTTTCTCTGTTCTACTCGACAGCTCTTTTCGCTTTCCACTAGTTCTGAACACATTGTGGACATGGAAACGCGGAACGTGGGTTCGACCGGGGCAGACATACAGGGGTCGTCTGATTTTGTTTAAAGAGAGGAAGACTGCCGGTATCTGGTAGCTATAGCCATGATTTTTCGGGAATGGATACTTCATTCAATTTGAGTTCGTGACTTTCCTTGCAGAAATTGTACGTGCGCTACCATGGATGAGCCATAGTCGGACCTTATCTAGAATCCCTTGGTTAAGACAGTAGAGCCAACATCCGCCCAACAACCCTTTCTCCGTGTAAACTCTCCATCTGCCTACCTCTAAATTAAATAAAAAAAATGTAGTGGATCTGCAAGTAGGAAGTTTCGTTCACGCAGTGTTGCGATGCCATTTACGCAACGGATGGACATGCTAGAGAAGGAGCTCTCTGTTGCTTCACTATCCTTCATGCACCTCAATAGATTCAAATCTTTACAAACACTCGAGAGAGAAAAAGTGACATATTGAACGATGTTTTCCGCCACATGGCCAGGGTCCAGCTAGTGTCGCGTGCGCGCCCGGGCGACCGCAGCGACCAATCGCGCAGCAAAACCCGCGCACAGACGACAGTTTTCTCTCTGTTCGTCGACAATCAAACTCACGCCGCAGCCTCGAGAGCCGTCCCGCCCACCCTCTTCTCTCCAGCCAATGCCCCCGCAAGTCCATCCGTCACCATGAGCAACGCCCTCCTCGCTCGGCCAATGCGGCCGCTCTCCGCCTCCATCGCCAGCAACCTGCGCTGCTGTGGAGGGCCCACCACCACCACCACCACTGCCACCAGCACAACGGCAAAACCCAGCACATCCGCATCACCAGCATCGCCAATCGCCCACACCCAGCGCCGGCACGAGTCCACCACCCGCCGGCAGCTCAACCGCCTGCGATCCGTCCCCTCGGCGCCGTACGCCACGCCCTCGCCCTCGCACACGGCCGACCACATCATCTTCAACCCGCCCTCGTCCGCGCCCTCGGTCTACCACACGCCGCTCAAGTTCCTGCCCGCCCACGACCGCCGCCGCGAGCTGTACGCCCTGACATCGCGCTTCACCACCGGCGGCGGCGGCGGCGGTGCGTCTGCTCCCGGCGGCGGCGTCCACGCCTCGACCGGCACCGCCCTCTCCGCGGGCGCCTACACGTCGTCGTCGTCGATCCTGCCTCCCCACCTGGCCCACCACAACCCGGCCGCCTCCTCAGTCACCTCGCCCGCATCGGGCAAATCTTCTTCCGCATACATGCCTCCTGCCCTCCGCACGCCCTACACCAAGAAATACCACCTCACCGCCGCGGACATCGAGCAGATCCGGCAGCTGCGCGCGCAGGACCCCGCGCACTGGACGCGCGAGCGCCTCGCCGCCAAGTTCGAGTGCTCGCAGTTCTTCGTGGGGCTCGTCGCGCCCGCGCCCGAGCGCGCCGCCCAGAAGCTGGCCGAGATCGACGAGGTGAAGCGCGGCTGGGGCCGGACGAAGCGCGAGGCGCGCGAGGACAGGAGGCGGAGGAAGGAGGCGTGGGGGAGGGATGCGTAAGAGGGGGGAACGAAAAGAGGGAGAGATGCATGTGTGTGGTTCGCCATTGTATTCTTGATCTCGGGGCTATCATAATGGACGGGGATGCTGGGCGAATGTGAATTTGCGGTGCGGGGTAAGGCGAGCGAGCGAAGAGGGCTCGTGGAGTGGTGGACGACATAGACAGACGGACCGGGATAGATGCCAACGACGCGATATGCACCATTCCTCGCCGTCTGAGCGGATTGGCATCGGGAAGCTTTGTTTTACTTCAGAACAAAACAACAGGGCTGAAGTGACGAAGGGGCGGTCGAGAGATGGGCGGGATCGGCCAATTGCATTGCATTGCATATGAAAGCGCCTGGCAGATGTTGTGTGTGGCAACTGTGCGCTCGACACGGGGGGAACTCGGGAGTCAAATTCAACTCTAGGTTCCTGTATATCAAGTATCTTTTTTTTTGTATCTCGCTGGGATGGGTAAAAAGTGGGAGTCTGTAGGATATGTGCTTTTTACAAACAAAACAATCAAACTAAGAATCCATCATGACAACACTAGAGCTTGGTTACTTTTGTGGCTGGCCTGTTTTCACGGTATTTCATTTCGATGCATTTCATTGACACATAACCAACGTAGCGTAACATCGCGCTCGTTCTCAGACTATCAATCCCAACGTCCCATCCAAGGTCCCAATTCCCTTTTTCGACTTTACGCCCTTGAAACTCCCCCTTTCTCCCACAGATCTACGAGTTCATCGGCTCTTCGGCGACGTAGTGCAAGTAAGCGCCCAACAGCTTGATGCCCTCAATGTAATTCCTCTTGTCCAGCTTCTCGTTGATGCTGTGGGCGGCGTCGGTCGAACTGCCCATGGGCAGCAAGAGGACGTTCTTGCCGGTGGCCTGCTCGAAGGTCAGGGTGACGGGGATGCTGCCGCCCTCGCGGGTGAGGTCGGGCTTGACGTTCCAGACGCGCTCGACGGCCTTTGCGGCGGCGGTAAAGTTCCAGTGCTTGGGCGAGGCGACCCACCACTTGCCCGAGTGCTGCTCGATCAGCTTGCACGTGTTCTTGCTGTCGAGGCTGGCGAAGACCTTGTTGACGTGCGCCTCGACGAGCTTGTTGACGGCGGGGATCTCCATGTCCGGGACGGTGCGGATGGAGAACTTGCCGACGACCTTGGCGGGGATGACGGTTTTGGCGCCCGGCGCGCTGAAGGCGCCCTCGATGCCGTGCAGGGAGAGCGAGGGGAAGCGCCAGCGGCCCATCAGCGTGCGCTCCTTGTCCTCGAAGAGACCGGTCTTGCTGCCAAGCGACTCATACAGGTTGTCCATGGTGAAGGCGATGTCGCCGTACAGGGACTTCTCCTCCTCGGTCAGAGGCGCAACGAGCTTGTCCAAGCCGTCGATCAGGATCTTGCCGGAGGGGTCGACGAGCGAGCCCATGACCCGCACGAGGTCGGTCATGGGCTCGTGGGCAGTGCCGCCGAAGACACCGCTGTGAAGGTCCTGGCCAGGGCCGGAGATCTCGATGCTGTAGTAGTTGCAGCCGCGCAAGCCATACGTCAGGCAGGGCTTCTCGGTGCCGAGCCAGTAGTTGTCCGAAATGCAGACGGCGTCGGCGTCGGCGAAAAACTTCTTGGCCTCGGCGAAGATGAAGTCGTCCAGGCCCTCGCTGCCGTACTCCTCCATGCCCTCGAAGCACATGAGCAGGTTGACCGGGAAGTCAACGCCAGACTTCTGGTGCGCCTCGATGGCATTCAGCCAGCCCAGCACGGGTCCCTTATCATCGGTGGAGCCGCGGCCGTACATGCGGCCCTTGTCATCGACGGTGAGGGTGAAAGGATCGGTGGCCCAGCCGTCTTCCTTGAGTGCGGGCTGCACGTCGTAGTGGCCGTAGACGAGGATGGTGCGCTTGTTCTTGTCGTTGCCGTAGCGAGCGATGACGACGGGCGGCAGGTCGAGATGTTCCTTGTGCGGCTGCTTGCCCAGCGGCCTGAGGTGGACTTCGGCGCCGAGGTTCTTGAGCTCGCTGGCGAGAAACTCGCCCATCTACACTTGTGTGAGCAGGGCGTTGGCATGGCGGGGTAGCTCGGTGGCAGGGTGTACCTTGACGACATCGGGCCTGCGCTCTTCCTCGGCGGAGACTGAGGGGATGGCTACGGCCTTGCGCAGGCGGTCGATGAAGTGGTCGGACAGGGTGTCGACCTGCTTGAAGTACGGATCCAATTGCGCAGTCATGTTGTTGTATGGACTATAGAGATACGGCCAGACAGGCTTCGAGTTGCGCACGGGCGAAGTGTAGCTGAAGGTCCTGCGGTGCAGACAGCGGGCGGGGGAGAGGGTGCGTGAGGAGAGAGGAAGGCCGAGAGGACGATGGTGGGGGAGTCGAGCGGCCAGGCGGGGCAGCTGCATCTTGGGGCCTGGTGTTGCGCTCGCGTGCGTCCGCTGTTGGCGGCTTGCATCGGCTGATGCGCTCTTCTCCGACAATCTGCCTGACCACCGCCTACCCGCGCTTTTCCATTACAAAGCATCCCGCCAGTGTATGCATCGATATAGCTCGTTCAAAGACCTACACGGTTGGGACAAGATCTGCTTGAAGTGCATGGGGCCAGCTGGCAATGACTCGACGGATTGTGTATCGAGCGATCTTTGAATTCTTCTCCTCCATTCCTCTCACGAACGGGGGACCAAACAGCCCGTGCCTGAATACGAGAGATGGTTTGCACCGAAAGGGCAGGTCGGCCTCTTGGTCCAGCACCTGCCCTTTTGTATTTTTGCAGTCTCATGACTTGAATCTACGTCGGGATCTTTGCTTCAGCCAAGCGAAGTGGCGACTTACATCATACAAATCTTTACACGTTTGAGCTTCAGTCATCGAGGATGCTTCCTTTAGGTTCAAAGGCCGTGAAAATCCATGTTACCGTAAGGCTAAGCCATGAGATAGATAATGCCGTACAACAGCTATACATCGAAAAGAATGCTCCGACTGCTCCTTTTGTATGCAACATGGCTCCTAAACCAACATGTGATACCAAATCCAAACAAGCTTCCTCTACAGCCCTTCTACGCCGGCATCAACTAGCCTTCTTCTCACCTCCGCGCCACCAACAGCCTGACTTTTGTCGAGAACAACCGCCTCCAGCGTGCCCATTTTGACTAGACTCACGTACCCAGGCACGATTTCGGAAGCCAGAACCTCAACGACCTTCTTGATTTCTTCGGGGCCTACGGGGCTGCGGGAGCTGGTCTGGATGTCGCGCACCAACCGTGGAAAAGGGAAAGAAACGCGAGAGGATGTTGATGACGAGCCAGTCGTCATGGCCAGCAAGCTGAGCGTTGCCAGTACGTCTTCACAGCGTTGGAGCGCGGCATTGCGAGCACGCGCCTCAGGAGTGGGACCGGCCGGAGCGGCTGCGGCAGCAGCTTGCTTGGCGAGGATACGGTCGAGAAGAGAAGTGGCGCGAGAGGGTGCTGCGGCGGAAGGCACTAGGGGCGCTCTGGAAGACGAGGAGCTCGAAGATTTGGCATCGTCCGAGGCCGAGGAGGAGGTACTAGTGCTAGCAGTAGTGGATGTGGAGGCGGACTTCTTGTGGCCTAAGACGCTAGCCTTGCTAGCCTTACTTGTGAGAAGTTTGGTAGCTGCAGGGCGAGCGTGGTCGAGCTCAAGCTCTGACCTGACAGCATCACCTGAGCCGTTGAAACAGTTGCTAGCACCCCGAGAATGGTGCGCACCCGCTCTTATATCTTCAAGACGCCGTTGGCCTTTGGCAAAAAGAGGGGCGACCTTGGCCAGCGAGGCGCACTCGGTGATGCCGGCGAGGGGAAGCTGGCTAATGAAGTACTGCACGGATGATGGGCTTTTCGAATTGGGTGTAATCTTGCAGCGGTATTCCGCCCAACGCGTGTTGATCTCATCTTCAAAGATGGTATTCAGGGCCTTCTCGTCAATGGCCTGTGGAATGACGCTGTTGTTACGTTTTGCGCGCTGCTTCTTGCTCTCCTGTTGCTCGATGCAAATCTTGCCGCGGCCATAGTCTGACAGGTGGAAAGACCGGGCCTTGAGAGTTGGTGCTGGCCGGCTAGACGAGAGACTGCTCTGCATCACGCCCAAAGTACGCCTAATGTCTTCGATTGTGACCCTGCGTTTCCCCCAGACCTTGGCGATGGATGGTGTGAGGGTATGCAGGTCCACCGGCAACGATGTGCCATTATGAGCATAGTGTAGAGATAGCGCGGAGAGGAATGATGAGTGTAGATGAATAAGATCTCGGATAGCTTGTGGTAGGTCCTCGGAGGACTTCTCGTAGCGGAAGCTTGGGGCGGTGGACGAGCAGGGGCTCGTCAGCGGCGTTTCGACGGGGGAAGGAGTCGAGTCGGAGACGGATTGGAGCCTGAGCGGCTTGACGGGGGTAGAAAGGTCGAAGTCGGCGAGAAGAGTCCTTGCCCCCTTGGTAGGCGTATCGGTCGGCGTCTCCGAGATGGGCCGCTGCGAGGGTCGTGGACGGCGCAATTTCTTGCAGGATGCAAGCTTCGGGGTGACGACGTCCTCGTCGACTTCTTGAGTCGCGGCTTTCCTCTTCTTCCCATCAGACGGCGATGCGCCTGGCTTGGAAGCACGGGCGAAGGACTGGATGTCCGACTGTGACCGAGTCTTGCGTTTGTTTACAGGGTCCGCGGTGGGAAGCGAGGCTGGCCGCGCACGCTTTGTAAGAGGCATGTTTGGTGTGTGAGATACGGCGGCGGAATGTCAATGCGTCTTGGTAGGAATTTGAAAGCGAATAACGCTTGGGGTAGAATGGATGGGGCTGTGGTGGGCGGGGACGAGCTGGAGAGGCGGAGGAGAGATGACGCGCTTGTGCTCGACGCGCGACGGCCACGCGAAAAATCGCGTCTGAGCTCGGGCGCGCTACGCCTGGCTAGGAAATGTAAGTGGAGCGATGCTGCCGGCCTCGACGCTATAATGCGGGGATCTGATCGCAAGACAGCCTCCACACCTCGGTCTCTGCTAAGCTTCCATTGCGGCTTTATACACAGCACTGCGCATACCTTTCCAGTGTTGTTGTCCTGCGGGTGGAGCTGGCGCTTCAGCGTTGCTATGGGGACCGTGGAGATCTGTCTTTCGCGACGCCGCGCGCTACTGCTACCACCAGCCCGCCTTCGGCTGCATGCAGCCTTCCAATGCTCACCACTCTCAAGATGCGTACATATATTGCCGCCCCCCTCATCAGGCGGCTTAGTTGGCCGCCTTCCCGGCATGCAGAGCCTAGCTACTACAGCGCGCTTATCAGGCGACTCTGAGTCCTGCAGCACGTCCAATTTTATCCAGCGGCGAGGTAGCATTCGACTGGATGGCTTGCTGCAGCCGTGAAACAGCCCAGCATGTAGGCAGCCTCCAGGCGTTTCGCCCATCAAGCTTACGTGTCATCAGCCTTACCCCCATCCCATTGGCACCCATAACGCTTCCTTGGTTTCAACTTGTCCGGGCCTATCCTTGATCGGCGCCAATGGCCCATCTCGTTTGCGCCTTGCTCCTCGATCCTCTGAAAATACATCTCCGATGGCCAGTGGCTGCGTCGACCCCGCAGCGCGCATCCGCCTTGTCGACGCCTCCTGAATTCGTTGGAGCATCACACACACGGCCATGGTGATATGGTGCGCATGTGCATACCATTTGCATCTGAATCCAGCAAACAGACGGGTAATGCGGATAAAAAAAATGTCATTTTCTCTCTACTACTCTCCGTCGTTATTTTAGGCTGTTGCTTTTAAGGTCGTCCTTTATCCCAATCGTCCATTCATTCAAATTTTCGCCCGAAATCACTACCCCGTTCAAAGCAACCCCCTTTCTCATCCGACTATCTGGTTGAAGTCTGATCCAAGGCTTTCTACCACCGGATTGAAATTTGCCCACGCACAGTCTGCCGTAATCGGCACGCTGTCATACTTGGAGTACGCGATGCGGTGAATGCTGGCACCGTAGACCATGACATGCGGGTAGAGAACGTCGGTGCCGTTCAAGGGAAAATCGTCCGGGAATGGCAGCTCCAGGAGTTGAGGACCAGTCTGGTTGACTGTGGTGAAAGTCACCTTGGGCGAGCCAGGACGCATCTCTTGAGAGTGCGGCGAGTTGCCGAAGAAAACCTCGATTTCGACCTGAGCGCGCACCGCCGCCCAGATGAAGACCGAGTCATCGGGAAAATCAAAGTTCTGTACGGAACCAGTCGCGGATGCCTCACCTCCTTGGCACTTGGCATCCTTACGGTGCACTCGGTACCAGTAGATGAGGCTGTTGTCCTTGATCTCTGGCTCGGCTCCAGACTTGTAGTATTGCGCGTAGTGCTTGCTCATCGTCTGCCAGGACGTGTGGTTCATGCCGTAGACATAGTTGCCCTGATCAGCAAGCTTGACATAGCCAGGAGCAGTACTGTTTTCCTCTGGCACCTCGCGTAGGTAAGTAGAGCTGTTCCAGCCGTTCCAGCTCTCAATGTTGATAATGTCTGGCTTAGCATCGGAAATGACACTGCGCCAGCGGTCGTACCAGAGGGTGTCACTGTACTGGACCTGACTGTCGGCAGGGTTGTTGGTGTTGAGATTCTTGTAGTACCAAGGTGAGACAGCTGTAGATTATGGTCAAATGTGGCGAACATGCAGGTAGGACTTGACGCACTTACCCGCAATGTAAGGACCGTTCCTTCCCGCATTACTCAGGCCTTCCTTGAACGCATTGTCGACATCACAAGTGAGGTTCTGGCGAACGTTGAAAGGCCAGGCCATGCCTGTTTTGCGGTTAAGTCAAAGTCCAAAATATTACTGATGCTGTTGCTTACCATTGTAGAAGCCATCGATGGACGGGTAATCAGAGTACGCGTACTGGGCCTCCTTTGCAGGATCGCCCTGCTTATGAGCTGCCTGGACGTAGGTCTCGATGTAGGGAGTGATGCTAATGTTCACGCTCTGTCGTTGTAGGAGTGCTTTCATCTGGGAAAAGTAGTCATCCCCATAGAGGCTGCCGCCGCGTGTAACGACCAGGACCGCGTCGTTCCAATGGTAGGTGGCTGGCTGGTTGCTGGCGTCCGAAATCACGGTGGATTGATAAGTCAAGTTCCAGGCGTTTCCAGTCGGGCAGTTCTCGGTGCGGAAGTGATAGGTCATGTCAAATCCCGGAATGAGCGAGAAGTTCTGGGTGGCTGCGGCTGCATACGCGTCCTTGATCCTGGCCGTCTGCCAGCTGAGGTCCTGAGGCTGACAGTTGGGCGGAACGGCAATCAGAGCTGAAAAGTCGGGTATTAGCGTGCGGGTTCCGCGGTACGACAGGATGGTCTCGACTCACTGAATCCGTCAATTCCTGCCGCTTTGGCCGAGGCCATATCGGTCTTCCAGGTATCGACCGTGTAGCTTTCGGCGAAAAGAAGCTACAATGCTCCAGTCAGTCTTTCCCTCTTTTCTCGAAAATGGCTTGGGTGGGAAGGCTACCTCAAAGCTGGCAGTGACCAAGGACGCAGAGGAAAGCCGGGTGAAGGCGCCGACGAGCAGCGCAAAAAGAACGGCGAACTTCATGTTGGCGGGTGGTGTTCGCAGGGTAAGAACAAGAATGGGGACTGTGAGGAAGAGGTGGCAAGAAGGACGTGAGTGAAGCCCGCGCGGGTTTTATGCTGAGCGGTTGACGCAGTGGTGGGCGTTCAGGTGGCGGCGGCCCAGAAAGGAAAGAGCGAAGTGGCTGGACTCCAGGTGAGGTGACAGCAACATGGCACATGCGACACACCGGGGTTTTCGCGAACAAAGGAGCGTGAAGAAGGATGGTTGCGGTTAGCAGTAAGCCGATCAGGAAGCAGACCCATCGAGCGGCCTTTTAAAGAAGCATGCTGCCCGCCTCGCAGGGATTGGCCGACATAAGAATTGATTGCGCGTGCACCCACATCTCCGCCCTCGCCCGCGCTGCTGCAGTGTGGCCGTCTGGTCCGTCTGGTCGTATATGGCAGCCCGCCCCCGTTTCACGGCAAAATGACCCTTCTCGACTTCATCCATCCGGGACGTCGTGCAAGGGATAGGGCGGATACCAGCAGCCGCGACGCCGGCCGATCCCTCCGCAGCCCTTGGACGAGTGGCAATCACTTTCCATGCGCGCTATAGTGCTTTGCGGAGCAGGACCAATCGGCGTCTTCCGTGCGCTGTGCCTGGCCAGGCGCGACAGAACGGGCAGGTCCTTGGCAACCGTCCCCTCAGAAGCGCATGATACAAAAAAGAGTTAGATTACGGATGCACTATAGAAGCCTCGTGATTATCGTCCGTTGTCCACTGCCCTCGTGAGCCGCTACTCGCCGCGTCATGTCGTCGCCTTTGCTCATTTGAACCACCCAGACAGCCAACTCTTCGACTGGGCTGCCTTGTCCTCGACAGTCTTGTCGAACCTGTCCACGGCCGAGTGTAGGTCCTTGGCCGTCTGCGTGGAGACGTCTCCAATCTTCTTGTCAGCTTGAGCACGGTAGGCCTCCAGCTTCTCGTCGATCTTGCTCGTCGTAGCCTTCGCTTCGGCGATCTGCATGGGGTCAGCCAGCTTGTCGCATACCTGCTGTCGTTACCAGCGCGTTAGGTACTGACCGTCTTATCAACCGTCTGGCCCGCCTCCTCCCCCAGCACCTTTGCACTAGTCTTGGCTTCCTTTTCCCGGCCAGGGAGCTCGCCCTTGATCTTCGACGACAGGCGCGAGGCGTCGTCTGTAGCGGTCAGCCTGGGTGACAATGAGAAGCACAGGTGGACGGGAACCCACGCTCAAACTCCTTCTCAGCCAGCTTGGGGCTGCCGCCGGCCTGGTAAAGGTAGTATCCGATACCGCCAGCTGCGGCTAGGCCGCCGTAAATGCCGATGGTTCGCGAGCCTCTGCGAGTAGCCATTGTCGGAAAATATGAAGGGTGATTTCGTGGGTTGGTGGTTGTGTAATTGGTCTGACCTGAATGGATGGAGAGCTGTGCGTGTGGAGAAGGGCTGGAGGAGATGTGGTGGTGTTATTCTACCTAATGCTGCAGGCTGGCTAACAATGACGTATGCGCTGCTGCTGGATTGCACCGCCTACCCGTTTCCCACGGTTCTGCAGCTGCTTTCGGCTACGCCGCTGCCAATCCGGGGAAAATTACGCTGACCCGCCGGAAACTTCGAAGAAGCCGCCCCCTGTATGACGCGAAGCTAGCTCCCTCTCCGCATTCACGCGCGCCGTCGCAAGCTTCTGCCGCGCGCCAACTCCTTCGAGCCAGGTAATTTCGTCGTCACCACTTCCAACCCCCGACTGCCCGCTGAGCGAGGCCTGCATGCTCCAGACCGGACCGACCGTCAATTCCACTCCGCGCATCGTATCTTGTTCGCCCGTCGCGGCGCCATGCCTTTTCCCTAGCTTCAATTTCACTCTAGCCCCGCCGCTAGCTCTCCCGCGAGGCTATGCTTGCTGCTTGCTCTCGATAATTCTACCGTCTTTCTTCCTCTACTCCTCTCCGTCTGTTCAATAACATCGCATCTTTCAGCCAGACTGCCGCACGCAGCACCTGCGCCTGAGCCATGTCCCTCCTTGGTCTGGCACACTCGCGCAACGACGACGCCGACATAGCTGCGAAGTACGACCACCAGATTGAGCTTGTAGACCACACCAAGCCCGACGATGGCGACAGGACGCCCAGCGAAATATCGTCCGGCACCCAGACGCCGCTCTCGCCCAAGCCCTCCCGCCGTCTGAACCGTGCCTCCATACGGGAAGATCTCGCCAAACGTGGGCTTGCCCGCCAGAAATACGCAAGATGGCAGCAGGACAGATTCGTATCGGTGGACGAAGTCAGTGGGTCTGGGTCTGGGGACACGTCCTTGATACAAATCGACACCAAGGCTTCTGGGCTCCGATCCGAAGAGGGCGACGCCAACAGCAAAGACAGCGGTCCAATTTCGCGGAAGAAGAGCAAGCTGGAGCGCGGCAAGAAGCGCGTGAAAGGGCTCGTCAACTCCAAGAAGATCATCAAGCAATCCAAGGAGGAGGATGCTGTTGTCGACCAGCTCTATGAGAACCAACGCGGTTCGTTCTTCTTCGGCATACCCTTGTTCTCGTCCAAGTCGCTGCTCAATTTCGACCCATCGCCCTGGGTTGACGGCAGACACAAGCCGGTGCATGTCAACATCACAAACGCCGCTGTGCCTGATCCAAGCTGGGAATGGGCATGGCCGTCATGGTATGTGGACATGTCCCAGGATGTCGACGAGGAAGGTTGGCAGTACTCGTTCTCCTTCCGCCATGGCTTTGCATGGCATGGCACCCATCCATGGTTCCATTCGTTCGTGAGGCGACGGCGTTGGCTAAGAAAGCGCGTTCGCAAACATGCCACTCTCAGAAGCCAGCCCGATCCCAAGCATATCAGTGATGCCCATATGCTCAACTCTGAGTATTTCACCATACATCCTCCGAAGAAGACATCAAACCATGGCAGTGAAAGCCTTGCGCGGGCAAATCCTTTAACCCGCCTCGACAGCCAAGACAGGTTTGATCAAGAGGACGAGATCAGCGACGTCTCACGGCTGCTTAGACGGCTGAAGAAAGCATCCGTTGACCGCGAAAAGATCCTGCTCGTGCGCCGCTTCCTTGATGAAGGCGGTGAGGAGCTGTACTATCTTTCGGAACAGGTACAGCTAGAGTGCTTCCCATTCCGACGTCCATGCTAACAGTTTGCAGATGCCAACCATCATGTCCCTTCTAGTATATCAATCATCCCGACGCTATCTGCTCACAGTATTGTTTCGACGCTTCGAAGCTGCATCGGCGCACCGCGAAGCTCACCAGGAGCGAGACCAACGGGAATCTTCTCCAGAAACACGCAAGATCGACAACCTCGTGAGAGCATTGAACGCAGCCGATGAGGAGTGCCGGAAGCTCGAATACTGGAGCGATATACGCCGCATCGCCCAGCGCGGTGAATCTTTGGGTGCTGTCGACGCAAGTCAAGGCTGGGGCCATGGTTGGGAAGGCTTAGACGATACTGGACCCGCCGAAGCAGACGAATCAGGCGCAGAGAAATTCAAGGAAGATGGCACCCCTTCTAAAACGGATTCCGATGACGAACCAGAGAAAGACCAAGAAAAAGCTGTCCAATCTAATGGCCGGAGAGACTCTGGCTCGGATGCGGAACAAGACGAGAATGGGCATGCAGATGGTGCTAAGGACAAAGGCAAGGGTAAGGCGGAGCTTTAAGCCTTCGTGCCATATGTCCCATCATCCACATGCGCGTCGTTTTGTCCCGGAATGTTTCTGTCACGATGTAAATCTAACTTGGAGCAGAGCGGCTTTCTTCATCGCCGTCGACTTCTGAATCATCTTCGAGGCCACCCGTAAGGCAGCAGTCTTGGCTGGATTGGTTGTTTGGTACCAACATTGAACATTGATCGATTGTTTTCAGCATTGCGGCAACTACGGCTTTGTATTCTTTTCCTGCGCGTATATGTATATCATCGATGACGAGACTGCAAGTACTTCCCCTTGTGGTAGACTTCACATGGGCCACACTTTAGCCCCAAACCAGGGCACGATCACCTTGAACCTGTCACGGAGCATGCTGTCTAAAGCCCTTTCCTCGTCAGGGACGCCACCAGAGCGCCTACTCTTATCGCTCTTCCGAGGGTTGCCGGCACAAAGCATGCTAGTCAGCGCTGTGTACTGTGGTTGGGCAACACTTCTCCCCTGACTCACACAAAGGTAGCCCTATGTATTAATCCTAAGTAGGCACAGTCTACACGTGTCGCACGGATGTCGTACTAGCCTGACTGGTGCCTCGAACAATTGAAACACATGTTGAGTCTAAGAATGATGTTGGCAAAGGCCTTCCGGTCAGTGGATGGGTGGACTTGAATGCATCAGGAGGCGAAAATGTGTTTCAAGTTTACGAAAACGAAGGCTTGGCAAACCAGCAGCGGTCTTGACCCTCGTATGCACAGACTAGCTTGGGCTACCTACCTGACATAAGCGCCACTTTGCTAAATTGTTAGTCGATCTTGACGGTGTGGAGTAGATAAGAGAGGGGGCCTTAGCAGGATAAAGGGGGGGCGAGCGAGGGAGTGGCGTATATAAGCTTAATAGGAAGCATATGGTGGAGTAGGAGGAAAATCATCCACAAATTCTCTCTAAGTTGGTGGGTCGATGCTCATTTGTCCGCGCCACGTGGGATCGGTCCATTTACTAATTGCAGTCATTCTCTCGCAGTACCCTCGTTCACCACCATCATGCGCTTCAACACCATCTTCGGCTTCGTCGCCATCCTGTTGTCCGGTGTCTCGGCACAGTCGTCATGCAAGGTGAGTGTGGTGACTGATCCCTTCGTGGATTCTGTCGGTGAAGGACGGACGTAGCTGTAAGCAGAATGAGTGCTAACTTCAGCAACAGGAATGCTGCCTTAGCTGCAAGCCCTTGGACAGCGCATCTATCGAGTTCGAGAACTGCACGGGTAACTGCGAGGCGTATCTTTGCTCCGGAACTGTGGTCCGGTGCGAGGAGTTCTGGGAGTAGTTCCTGAATGGTATAGAGGCGGGTGGTCCAACTTCTGGGTGCGAGAGTGCCTGGAGAGAAAAGACGGCGTAGTCTTTTGGCAATGGAAGAATGGAAGCTCTCATTTGAACCATTAAGCTTCACTATGTTTACGAGTATGTACCTTCAATTGACACAACTTAACATCTTGGACCAATGTTGCGGTACAGCTACCCGACGGCCTTGCGGCAAGTGGTGGGCAACCATGTAATGAAGATTGCTGTTTCTCGTGGTCGTTTCGCCGAAAATGGAATGATTGTGGCGCTGCCCGGTCGGTGTTGGCCTTCGGACGAATTCGCACGCCGAGGTGATGACGCCTCGATGCGGTGGCGCGGCAAGGAGATGCTCCGCTGGCCGACCTGCCTTTACGATGCGCTGCATGATTGGCCGCATCTCGTTCCTGTACTTGGGGGCCGCGGAGGCCGGCGGGGCAAGTAAGCAGATGTGGATCCAATAGCGCCCTGTTCGCACAGCCACAACGGCTTTAGTGTTGGCAGGCGGTGATAGCAGCCGGCGTTAGCATACAACGGGTGCCTATTTCTCTATATGAACGGGCTCGGTTGCTGCCTGGGAACAGTCAACATTCCAGCATTCTCACAATGGCAACAGAACACAGCACCGAGCCTCGCAACGACCCCGCAATGGCTGCAGCCGGCAGCAGATTTAGCCAATGGTTTCCGTTGAGCCCGAAGGAGGGCTGGACTCAGTGGGTGAGTGTCGTCTGCCCCACGGATTCCGCAATTACTGACCATGACTACTCAGTGCACGAATCTCTCTCCAGCAACCGCAGAAGAGACGGTCCTTTCCTTCATCCCACATGTCCTGAAGCCGCCATCGACCCAAGTCTACACGGCCAAGGTCTCGTCGAGCTCGCAATCTTCCATATCGAGCGCTTCAGAGCTCAGTGCCGACAGCTCGACGTCAAGCCTCGGCGAGTTCGGGGCCCGCAAATGGTATTCGCAGCTCGTGCAGCTGAGTGGGAAGAACCGCGCTCTCAACGAATTCTCAATCGAACGCGTTGGCGACGAGGTGGAGCACAACCTCGTCATGCTCCACGGCTACGGCGCCGGCCTCGGCTTTTTCTACAAGAACTTCGAAAGCCTGAGCAGAAGGCCCGGCTGGAAGCTGTACGCTCTAGACATGCTGGGCATGGGACGGAGCAGCCGGCCGCCGTTCAAGATCCACGCAAAAGACCGCCAGGGCAAGGTCACCGAGGCCGAAAACTGGTTCGTCGACGCGCTGGAGGAGTGGCGCGTCCAGAAGGGCATTGGCCGCTTCACCCTCCTCGGCCACAGCATGGGCGGCTACATGGCGACCGCATACGCACTCAAGTACCCGGGCAACCTCGAGAAGCTCATCCTGGTCAGCCCCGTCGGCATCCCGGAAGACCCCTTGGCCATGAGGGCGGAGATCCCAGAGCCGACGGCCGACCCGCTCCAGGACCAGAACATCTCGCTGGACGGCGCCGCCGACATCGACAACCCGTCCTCGGCCGCGCAGCCGGAGCGCCTGCGGCCGACGCCAAAGTGGCTCGTCCACCTCTGGGAAGCCAACATCAGCCCCTTCTCCATCATCCGCATGGCCGGCCCGCTGGGCCCGCGCCTGACGTCGGGCTGGACCTCGCGGCGCTTCGCGCACCTGCCGCAGAACGAGGCGCTCGCGCTGCACGACTACTCGTACGCGCTCTTCCGCCAGCGCGGCAGCGGCGAGTACGCCCTCGCCCACATCCTGGCCCCCGGCGCCTTCGCCCGCGACCCGCTCATCCGCCGCATCCACAGGCTGGGCAGGCAGCACGGCGAGCGCGGCGTGCCCGTCACCTTCATGTACGGCGATCACGACTGGATGGACGTCAACGGCGGGCGCGCGGCGGAGAAGATCATCAAGGCCGAGAGCGCCAGGGCGTTGGAGGGCATGACCGAGGCCGAGAGGAAGAGGGATAACGGAGACGCGAGGGTGGTGGTGGTTGAGAAGGCCGGCCATCACTTGTACCTCGACAACCCCGAACGCTTCAATCGGGCTGTGGACGAGGAGCTGCAGGACGTGGAACGGAGGAAGTGGTAATGCGGCGTGTTTTTTTTTGGGGGGCGTCTTTCACTTTTGCCATGTTTTGTTCCGTTTTTGGATTTTGGGCGTCTTTCACTTCTGCCACATATGTTTTGTTCCGTTTTTGGGTTTTGAGCGTTCTTGAGCTTGCCACAGAGGACTGTAATACCCACCATGTTGAGTTCGTGCTTTAGAGAAGAAATTAATACCGAGATACCAACATTTATGGTTGCTTTGCCTCCGCCGGCACGCCGCTGGACGATGTTGTGGTTTGTGCCGGTCACTGATTGGCAGCACGTATAGCACACCCTGCCAGTGCCGAGAGGAGAATCATCAGGTCAAACATCAAGTCTAAACTGGGTCTGTCCCTCACTATAAACTCGTCGGGTGTCTCATGATAGCCCTGGATGTAGCCGTGAAATTGATCTATGAGATAAATTGCCCGTCGTTGTAACGGCAATTTTGCAAACGGGCCAGTTGGAAGTTCCCTTTGCAGGAGGTGGACTGGTCACTGGAGGTCTCGGTGGCTGGTGACCAGTTGTCCATGCCGGCCAATCGGCAGTGATAGCGATGCCGACTGTCATCCTTCTTGCTTACCTTGTGACATTCGTCCTCCTGAAAGTTTGTTTGAGGCGCACTTTTGGCTGAATTGAAAGGCTCGCTTCGCCACACGCAATGGCTCAATGGCGGAGATGGCTCACGTCAGATAACCTGGCCACGAAACCCGCCATGAGTGCGTCCCAATTTTACTTGCGCGTTTTCTTGCGCCACAACACAATCCCACGTATGCCCAGGCATATCGCTGCTTGGAGTGGAAACAGAAATGCTGCCAAGGAATACGCTAGTTGTGGTGCATCATGGAGACCTCGGATACATCGGCTCAGACTAGGACTCGAACGTGCCTTATCCTGCCCACAGCTTGAGATGATCAAGCTTTGCCTATAGGTGATTGTTTTTGGGGTGGGTATACCTACGAGAGGGTGAATGACATGTACCTGATTGGTGGGAAGTTCATGAAGACGATCGGAAGCTGATGTCAGAGTGCGGGCGCTGATGCGGCACAGCTCGAGTAGGATTGTGCTTCGTAGTGACGGTAGCCTGGAATGGCATCTTCGCCGGCAGCCATGCCGCCAAGAATATTGTCGCAATGACTTTCCCAAGATGTTGGAGGAGATAGATCAGCCCAGAAAGTGTATCCTAGTGCTTACATCCAATTTACCCATGAGCTCCACCACATCCACTGGGCCGTAAACCAGGCTCCCTATGTGCTGTCAGAAACAGAAGCAACAGGATGCAAGGAGCAAGCATCTCGAAACGGCCGACCTGCATGCCGGGCGAGGTGCGGCACAGTAGCGCTTATTCCCTGTCTCACCCACGCAACCACGCAGTCAGCGCCAATTCGGCATAGTCGTTGGCATCGCTCCGCTTTTCCGGTATGCTACTTTAATAAAAACCTCCGATGCATCCATCCTGTCGACCCAACATTCCACATGGACCATGGCTTCCAACATGTCTCTTGAAAACCCCCTTTCCCCCGCGCTGTGCGCTGCAGCCGCCGGAGTGCTGCTGCACCTGGGCGTATTCATCCGGGGTGAGTGGGAGAAGTACGTTGCCCAGCTGGCACTGCTCCAGGTTACCGGACCGCTCGTCGTCCTTGGTTCGCTCGTCGCATTCTTGGGTCAGCCACTGTCCCAAGCCGCAGCAACAGCAGCTTTGCTCACTGCAAGCTTCAACGTTGGCCTGTATGGCAGTATTTCTGTCTATCGGCTATTTTTCCATCCTCTGAGGAGATTCTACGGCCCGACAGGGGGAAAGTTGACTAGTCTCTGGGCTATGAAGGAGACTTTTCCGGATTTGAAATTCTACGTGAAGCTTCAGAAACTCCACCAGGATCATGGAGACTTTATTCGCTTTCGTATGTGCCCCATCCGCGCACGATGACGAGGGAGACTGATTTCCAAAAGAACCGAGAGCACTCTCCATCAACAACGCAGAGGCAATCCAAGACATCTACGGCTCCACCTCCAAATGCACCAAAGGGCCGTTCTATGACCTCGACTATCCAGGTCGGTCTCTGCACATGACCAGGGACAGGAAATTCCACTCACAGAGGAGGAAGCAGTGGGATCGCGCTTTCACCTCGCGAGGTGGGTTGAGATTCCGGTGCACCGTCGATAGTCATTGCTAAGTGGTGGCTCTACAGCACTGAGCAACTACGAAAAACGCCTCAAGGAGCATTTCAAGTACCTCGACCTACGCATATCGGAAAACATGGGCAAGCCAATTAACGCGACGGACCTGTGCGAGTATTGGGGCTTCGACGTCATGGGCGATTTGATGTTCGGCCGACCCTTTAACCAACTGAAGGAGAACAAGGCCCACTTTGCCCTCGAGATGGCCCGGAAAGCCAAGTTCATCGGAGGACTCACGCTCTACCCATACTGGATCTTCATGCTGCTTCAGAGACTGCCCATCGTCTCCTCTCTGAGGCTCAAGTGGCTCAGATGGTGCCGTAGCCAGATGGAACAAAGGCGCCAGGTAAGTGATCGATCTTTCTAATTGGACACCGACCTTCTTCTTTTTTTCCCCCCAGACATTGACACACGGCATCAGTCCAAACCCGAGGTCTTGGACCTCTACTCGTACCTCCTCGAAGACAGCAGCGCCGAGAAAGCCGGCGACGCGAACAACTCGGCCACAGCCGACCTCGACGCCCTGTTCGACGCCGAGCTGGCCATCGTCGCCGGCAGCGACACGTCCTCGGCCACCCTGGCCGCCTCGCTGTACCTCTTGGCCAAGCACCCGCACGTGCAATCCAAGCTGCGGCAGGAAGTCGACGACGCCGTGGCCGCGGCCGGCGGCGAGCTCTCCTACCAGACGCTCGTCAACAGGCCCCTGCTCGGCGGCGTCATCAACGAGGCCCTGCGCCTCTACCCGCCCGTCGTCCCCGGCCTGCAGCGCCTGACGCCGCCCGAGGGCGCGACGATCGCGGGCCGCTTCGTGCCGGGCGACACGCTCGTGTCGGTGCAGTGCTGGAGCGTGCAGCGTGGTGCGTCATATACCCATCTATCCCTCCTGCATTTCCGCAGTCTTTTGTTGTTGAGCCCGCTCATGGAACTGACTTGACATGTCTGCGCCCACCAGATCCGAGGAACTTCCCCCAGCCCGAAGACTTCATCCCGGAGCGGTGGTCGTCCATGCCCGAGCTGGCGCTGCACAAGGAGGCCCTCATCGCCTTCTCGACCGGCACGTACTCGTGCGTGGGCAGGCCGCTGGCCATGATGGAGCTGAAGCTGGCGGTTGCCATGGTCGCCAGGCGGTTCGAGGTTGCGTTCGCGGACCCGGCCGAGAGCGTCAGGCTGTTTGAAGAGTCGCCCGGCTGGCAGGATTCCTTCACCGCCCGCGTGCCCCCGGTCAAGGTCTGCTTCAGGGAGCGCGAGAAGCGAGATCTTGCGTGAACGGCTGCGTTCAATTCAGTTGCGGAGAACAACGTTGGTGGGTTCTTACGAGAAGCAGATGCCGAATCGTACCGGAGGCTAGCAACGGATATCCAAGGGCGTGCTTCCTTTAAGACCTGTCTTTATTGTCGATTGGCTCTTTGCTTTCTACCACTGCCGGTGGCCGGACTGTCAGGAGATTTCTTTAGATTATCGGCCAGTTGACGCAATGGATTGATGGTGCAAAGATAACATGATGATCCCAAAAACCCTGTGAGCTCCACATTGTGGAGAATTGAGACTTGGGACGCGAGTAAAGCGTAAATCAAATCACTGCACATGTTCCACATGCTCCGTGGCTCCTCCCGCCTTCTGGCCAGACAGTCCGCCGTGATCCTTCACCTCCTGCGCCGCGGCATCTCCAATGGCCGTCCGGTACTTGGGGAAATTCGCGACCGAAACGTTGTTCAGGAAGAGCTCGTCGATCTCTTCGAGCGTACGGCCCTTGAGCTCGGGCATGCAGAAGAAGAAAAACCCCATGCAAAGGAAGTTCGCGGCTGCCCAGATGTAGCCATATTTTGCCCCCTACAAGAGCCACTCAGCAATTTAATTCCTGCAATCGGCATAGAGAAATGATGACACTTACCCAGTCCATTTCCCCCGGGTTGATGAAGTAGGGAGTGCAAAACGCCGTCAGCCAGGCCAGGAAATAGCCCAGACTCGTGGCGGTCCCCACGGTCCACGACCGCAGCCTCGTGCTCACCAGCTCCGTGGCAACCGGATAGCTCGCCGCGCCGACGCACGAGTTGTAGCCGAAGAAGAACAGCGCGGTGAAGGCGATCAGGCAGTCCCGCTGCTGGACCACGGTGCTCGTGGCCACCGACGCCGCGACCGCCAGCGCCAGCATGCAGACGCCGCAGAAGGCGGCGCCGAACATGAGCACCGTCCGCCGCCCGGCCAGGTGCCGCATCGCGACCATGCCGACGTTGACGCCGATGAAGCCGACGCACGTGTTCATGACGGAGAACTTGAACGCTTCGTCGACGCTGAGGCCGCCGACGATCATGAAGTACGTGGCGTAGCTGATCAGGAACCAGATGCCCGACGCCGTCTGGCAGGCTATCATGCCGTAGCAGAGGAGCGTGCGGCGGAGATCGCTGTCTGTAGAGGGAGGGAAGTGAGATTCGGCGACAGGAGAGCGGGGAGGATTCCGACCTACTCTTGAACATGTCCAGCGCACCCACCGTGGTTGCAAGGCGCTTTTCTTCTTCGATGCCCTTGACCATCTCGGCCCATTCGAACTCAAGGTGCTCCGCGCTCAGCGAGTCTCCGCGGAGAGTCTCCAGAGCCCTGCGCGCTTGGCCTGTTTTGCCCTTGTTGAGGAGGTAGCGGGGCGATTCAGGGACGAAGCACAGCCCGACTGTGAGGAAGAGAGGGACTATGAATAGGGTTCCGAGCGGGATCTGGTAGGACGCTTTGTCCAGTCTGTTCTTGACCGCGTTCGTAACCGCCGCGCCGATGATGCTGCCAATGTTCACCCTACCGAGCATCAGACAAACGTACTCTGCATGCGAGGTCGGTTCCACGGGGCGGAGCATACCAGTATGCAAACAGAGCAACGATTACAGCGCGCAGATGCGCCGGTGAAGCTTCTGATGTGTAGATGTTGGAGAAAGTGACCAAGAATCCATTGGCGAACCCAAGTATTAGCCGTCCAACGTATACAGCTCCTTGGTCCTCGGCCGCTATTTGAATGATGCATGCAACAACATTGAGCATGCATGCCGTCCACAGAGCCGTTTTGCGGCCGTAGAAATGGGCAAAAACGCCGGCGGTAAGGGACGACAAGAAGGAACCAAGCGTCAGCAGGCTGGTAATGAGCTGCTGAAAAGTTCCCTGTGTGCCAAGATTAAGCATGCCGCACAATTTGGTAGAGCCTTCGCCAACATACATCAATGGCATAGCCGCCGGCGCTGCTCGGGTCGGGGTAGCCGAAGACGATGAGGAAGCCGGGCATCGCCTGTAGACCGCCCACGGCCGCCAGGTCTAGGCCGTATTGCATGTTCGCGATCGAAACAACGGTGCAGATGAGCAGGCATTTTCTGTTTGCCCATAGCGAGGTTTGCGGCATCAGCATGGTATCCGACATGTTGACGGGTTCCTTCACGTCGCGCGTGCCGGAGACGGCGAGACGGTGACGCATTTAAGAATGTTTCGGAACCATGCAAGCGAATAAATTGCATGCAAGCCATCGCATGGGGCCCCGCACTTCGGCAGTGTAAAGGACCATTCGTGCGGGGAAGAGTCGATCTCAAGCCCCGAAACACTTTTCAATGTCCTCTACTATTGTACCGTGCTCAGCTCCGGAAATATGATAGGGATCGTCTCCAGGCCGGCATCCGATAGTAAACATCCAGCAACCGAACTTCTTCCGCCGTCAGTATATGCCGTCCGCTCTTGAGGTCGGCCGTGGCTGGATCCTGTAATTTGGTGCGGTATATGGCCTTGTGGACGGCGGTAAAGACAACGACTATGACAGCCCCAATCATGTACTGGAAAAACGAATACGCAGACACAGAAGTAGATCCCTGTTCTGGTCAGTCTTGTTTATCCGAGCAGATGTCAGGTGGGAGAAAGCGGGACTTACGATGGGAACCAACCCGATGTATATGCAACAGACCAGCAAAAGCACGCTACAGACGAAGAGCCAAGCCGTAGGAAAGGGCCAAGCCCAGCAACTCCATGCGTGCAGCTCGTTGAAAAGCGGATCGCCCTGGACTTTCAGAGCCGCACGGAACCTCCAAGACGTGAGGCAGACCACAAGCCAGACGATGAAGAGAGAGGAAGAAGTGATGGAATTCAGCCACGTAAACACCTCGGCCCCGGTATCTGCGCCTGTCAGCCGCCGAAAATGCAAAACGTGTCTGGAGCTGCTTACTCGACAGATTGATGTAGGTCAACATAGTCCCAGTAGCCAACGTAATGGCCAAGCTCCATCTTGGCCGTCCTCTCGAATCCACCCTCGCCACGAATCGCGGGATGAGCTCTTGCTCCGCCATAGAGCGCAGCACTCTGGACGATATGTAGATGCTTTCCACTGCGACCCCGGCGATGCCGATGATGATGACGACATTGAAAAAGTCGGGCACCCCTGAGATGCCGGCGTCGTTCATGGCAATGACGAAGGGAGACGCTGCAGAACCCGATCCGCCAAATAGGCGGTCGTCATTCATGGGAATCATCAGTGTGCACAACACTACGCTTGACATGTACAGAACCGCGTTGCGGTACGGAATTAGCTTTGTTGCGCGCCCCATGGAGACTCGCGGCGCGTCCGCTTCGCCGGCCAGGATGCCAACAAAGACTTGGTCGCCGACGGCCCAAAGGGCAAGGAGGGCGCAGTTGGAGAAGCCCTGTATACGCATCAGCGAGGCTCGATGGAAAGTCGAGGCATAGCAAACCTGGAAGCCATTTGCAAAAACCGGTAGAGTCCTCCAATACTCGCCGTTGTGGACGCGGCCGGTGGGGCCACCTCCGGCAATGATAACGATGGAGACGATGATGACGATGGTCAACCCGATTATCTTTAGCAAGCTTGCGAAGTACACGTAATAGGCAAAGTACTTGTTGGGCAGCAAGAACAACGCAATAACGAACACCATGAACACCGATACTGGTCCGCGTCAGCGCAGCTCGCCAAGGTAGGGGTACGTCTTGCTTACACCACACAGCCTCATGAACAGACTCCTTTGCCCAATAGTTCACAATAACGGTGAAGACAGTAGCCTCGGCAGAAGATACGGCGGTCCATCCTAGACAGTATCAACCAACGAACGACTTCGCATGCACAGGGGAGCCTACCCAGCCACTCTGCAAAGCCAGCCGCAAAGGCCAAAGATGGATCGAGCCAGCGCTGAGCATAGTTCACGAAGTTTCCAGAGACGGGGAAGGCGATTGTCATTTCCGCGAGCGTTTGGAGAACCGCACCAACGCAGGTGCAAAGAAGGGCGTAAGCGATTACCATGTTACCAGGTCCGCCTGCATGACTTGTCAGCTACACGTGGGCAATCCGTGACGCGTCCGGAAAACACATGCCAGTATGTAGTGCTTTCCCCATTGCAACCAGCAAACCACTCCCGATGTTGCAACCCAAGGATCTGCAATGGCATCAGCACCGACTATTGCTACCGCGGATTCGACGCCGCTTACATGACCTGCTTTCCATTAGGACTCAGTGTATCAACCAGGAGGAAGACTCGTGTTCTTACGTGGACCATATGGGGAGACACATCACGTTTGAGCTTTTCCCCTTCCTTCACTTCGATCGTTTCGCCAACACCGAGGTCACTGTCCGCCGGCGCAGGGATGGCCTTGACAGATTCCTTGTCCGATCTTGAATCCATTGGCGGGATGAGTCAACGCCACGGGGCAACAGAGGAGGTAAGGTACCGGGCAATCTCAAGGAGGCAGGCGACGTTTTCAGCTTTTAATACATCATCTCCGGCGCGGTGGGAAGGTCGATTCTTGATAACAGGCTGGCGCAATCGAATCCCACCCTTTCCAACAAGCAATGGCCTGCAAGCCTCCATGCCGAAGAGCCCTGCAATACAGAGCCAAAGTGACACTCTCCATCCAGACGACGAGGCAGTTGGCTGCACTATCGCGATAGCACGGATGTAGGGTCGCATCATGTCGATAAGGGAGAGTGGGATGAAACGGGTAGGGTAGGGTTGGCCTTCCTTCCCGAGTCCCGACCATGTGTATCCGGTGGGTCCACAGGCGGGGGCCTTGGAATGCAGGGGCACGGGGGTGGTTTGGCCACCATCTTACCTACAACCTCCTTCGTCGCCGTCACCTCACAACCTCGCCGCCGCCGCGCATGTGGTTTGCAAAGCCAGGTGATATATTATTGCTACAGATTCCGGGGGTCTCTTCGCACTGAACTGCTGCACTCGCCGCCGCTGGAGCTCCATCTCTAATCTACGTACCATTCAAGGAAACGGACCTACAAAACGATCGAAAGACGAATCACACGCCCAGCTTCTCGCTCGCAAGCTTGACGCCCTTGACGCGGCTGGCGATCTTCTGGAAGGCAACGTCCCGGGCGAAGTCGGGCGAGCCGTGCTTGGGCTTCACGTCGATGCTGAAGGGGCTGAAGCCGCAGTCGTCGGTGGCGCCGAGCTGGTCGACGGCGATGTGCTTGGCGGCGTTGACGAGCTGGTCGGCGACCTCTTCGGGGGTCTCGACCTTGGGGTTCAGCGGGTCGATGACGCCGATGAAGGCGACCTAGGCGGACGGAGGGTCAGTCGATGGCGCGCGCGCACACAGAGACGGGGAGTGGGAGCTTGCCTGCTTGACGCCGTCGGCGTCGCGGCGGATGCACTGGCCGATCTCGCGGTAGACCTTGTCCTTGTCGGGCTCGCTGGCGCACTGGATGAGGAAGTAGCCGGCGTTGATCTGGAACATGCTGGGCAAGAGCTCGTGGTAGTCGACGTCCTTGCTGTGGACGCTGTCGCAGTCGCCGCCGGGGCAGGTGTGCACGCCGATGTTGGCGCGCTGGGCCGGGGTGAAGCGGGCGAGCACGCGGTTGTTCAGGTCGATGAAGGTCTGCAGCAGGTTGGCGCCGGTCCACGGGTTGCGCGGGTCGCGCTTGGTCGCCAGCCGGCCCTCGGTGAAGTCGATGCTGACGCGCGCCGCCCCGGCCTCGAAGCACTGCCGGATGTCCTTCTCGCACTCGTTGACCAGGTCGTCGACGAACTGCGCCCGCGGGTAGCCCTCGATCTCGCCTGTCGCCGCATGTCAGTGCAATCTGCAATCCCTCCCGCGCCCCCCTCCAACCACTGACCTTGCAGCGGGTACAGCAGGTAGAGCATGCTGGGCGCAATCACCGCCTGCTTCAGGCTGGCCTTGGTCGCCAGCGGCTTGCTCTTCTTGTAGTAGTCGGCCGCATACGTCGTGTACTGCAGCGGGCCCTTGACGAGCCGCGGCAGCTGCCTGCTGTGCCCGTCGTCGAAGATGGCGAAGAACTGGCCATCCGCCGCGAACTTGTCCGACAGGCCCTTGCCGCCCAGCGTGTCGATGATGGGGTAGGTCGCAAACGAGGACGCCTGGCACCATCGCAGTCAGCCCGGAACGCCGCTAACGCAGAATCGCATATATATATATACCCGCTGCTCGCCGTCCGTCACAAACTCGGCCCCCGTCTCCTCGGAACGCTGCACAGAGTCGGCCGCCGCCTTGTCCTGCGCCTCCAGCAGCTGCTCGCGCGTCGCCGTGCCCGCGTCATACGCAGCGAACATGTCCTGCAGGTACTTGGGCCGCGGCAGGGATCCAACGGGCTCGGTAGGGATGGGCATGGTGTCTTGGTTCAATATGTTTCAGAAGCACTTGCGGTACCGAGGATTTGGGAGGAGAGGGAAGTTGTGCAGATGCACACATCGTGGGATGCGGGGCGCGACAGGCGCGACCGCCCGCCACGAGTCGCGCCCGCACGTGGAGTCGGCCCATTGCGGAATGTCCCGCCGTTTGACAGCTCAGTTTGTGGAGAGCTAAACCAGCCGCAGTATGGCCAATCCCGTTTGGAGGGTCTCTGTGGAGCTCTCAATATCAGGAATCCCAGTCGACCCTCGTAGCCGCCGGTCCAACGGCCGGCCACCATTCCCGTTTGCCGCGCTTAGCGCGTATTCCCTTTTTTTTTCCCTCACCAATTGGCCATTGACCGTGACCCCAGCGAGCTTCAGTGCGGTTTGAACTCCAGTGATAAGCCCAGGCGTTTGAAAGTGGGGCAGAGGGATCAGCACTCTCACTATCACCAGATCACGAACTCTGGCGGTCAATTCCTATTCCGCTCAAACTCCGGCTTTGCGAGGTTGAGATAAACATTGAAAGCTATCTGGTCCTACACCGGCCTCGCCTTTTGCGGTCAGCAGCAAATTTGCCTTGACAACAGCTACCCAGCCTCCAGCTAGAATTGCACCTCCATACAGTACCGGCAGAGAAGAAAGGCAAACATTAATCATCCGGAGTAAAGACGTCGTGTTCCTTGCTGTGTTGAGTGTACTCCCGGGTCGGCCGGAAGAGTGCAGACGAATGGGCTATCGGCCATCATGACGCGATTGCCATGAATGGTGAAGAATGGTTTCTTTTGAGCTAGCCCATGTCGTATTGTCTGGTCGAGACGGGATAAGAGGCATCATGCGTCCTTTGTTGCAGTCTCCGGCTTTTGTTGTATGTCGTCATGACGAATGCGGTGAAGGCAGGAGTGATGATCATCACTTTACTTAGCCTTACGCAACCCTCGCTTGTTACCATTGGCGATGGTATTGCTTTCTCCCTGGAGAACCCAGATCCAACGACCACGGGCATGTGCGTATCAAACGACAGCGAGTTTGACGAGACCACAAACCCGCTGCGAAGAGCTTGGGAAGGAAAACCTCAAACACATCATCCGCACATAATTCGTAACAGCTGGTTTGCCTCCTCGTCGGCTGCCCAATGGACAATGACATTGTCACTGTAAGTTTGAGTACCCAGCCTCCTCGCACAACCGCATTCTGTGTATCAGGCATTCCACACAGGGTAACTATATTGTATTCATTACTGTCACAATATCCGCTGCATGCCACCGACCTTCATGGGACGAGCAGGCGCACGTCAAAGAGGTTCGATGGGGCGAGATCCACCCGAACAATGAAGGAACTGAGCGTGCTAATGGACACTGCTGCCTCACGAGCGGGGATGTTCAGACGCCTATCAAAGGCAAGCCGTACATGTAACAACATCGATAAAGTGTAAACGCAATACCTGGTATCTAAGAACTATTTCCTCCGCGCTCTCCCCCCTCCTCACCCGTCTATTATTTTTAACTTTTATCCACAACGGCGAGAACATCCCCCTTTCCCGCCCTACCTACTCACCGTCAAAGCCGACACATCATCCTCGGCGGCGGCCTGCTCTCCAACGCCTCACTCAAATCGCCATACAGCTCCAACGACCGCCTGACGCGATACTCGTCAAACGCCTCGGGCCGCGCCACCCGCATGATCCACATGGCCGCATACACCTCCTCCTCGTCGCTCAGCGGCACGTGGCAGTCGTGCATCAGCTCGTCCTCCTCGATGCGCTCGACGTCGTCCACCACCTGCGCGATGCGGCACCGGTTCAGCAGCCCGACGGGCGCGTCGTTCGCGAACCCCGCGCCCTGCGCCGCCACTGACCGGTAGAAGTCCAGGTACCCGATCCCGTACCCCTCGGCCGGCCGCCGCGCCTCATCTGGATGCAGGCTGCCCCGCAGCGCCGCCTGCACGAACTTGTGCGCGCGCAGCCCGCGCGCCAGCGAGCGCCAGTCGTATAATAATGGCCGCCGCACGTCTTCTTCTTCTTCTCCGTCTTCTTTTCCTTTTTCTTCTGCGGCGCCGGCGGCCGCCGCCGCGTCCCGGTCCTTCTGCCGGCACTGGTCGGCGTCGAGGTCCCAGAGGAAGGGGACGAGCTCGCCGGCGACGAGGGCGTCGCGCCAGAAGGACTGCCGCAGCTCGATGCGGTTGGCGAGCGGCTTGCTGCAGCGCCGCAGCCGCAGCGTCGAGCATGCCGGCAGGAAGGATGTGATGCGTTGCAGCACGTCGATCGGCATGCCGTCCAGGGAGGGGCGCGGGTACTCTTTCGCGTTGTCGTCGTCAACGTGGTATGCCGATGGTACTGGTGATGTCGATGTCGACTCGTCGTCGGCGTCGTCGTCCGATACCGGGCGGAGCTGGGAGAGGACCCATTCCGTCAGGTTGGGGATGTTGGCGGGGTCGGCGCAGAGCCACTGTGGGGCTGGCGGTCAGCACGCGCGTTGTGTTGGTTTGGGATGGGGGGATTGTTTGCTCTGGCATGGCATGCTTGCTCGGGGGCGGTCGACGTACCTCCCATCCGCGTTCCTGGCCCCAGAAGTTGCGCCAGAAGCGTGCGGCGCCGTAGTAGCCGTGCTCCCATCTCACGCTGTGCGAGTGGCTGGCGATGCGGTAGTGCAGCCGCTTGAGGGAGAGGTAGAAGTGGTGCAGGACCGAGTTCGTCGAGGCTTCCGGGTGGGCGCAGCGGAAGAAGCTGTGGCGGCGCACGCGTTCGGCGATGGCCATGCATGTGCTGTGCATGCCGTAAACCGGTCCGTTGAGCTCGCCCCCTCTCAGGAACTTGTTGATGGTTTTTTGTCTTGAGCTCTCAATCTGCTCGATTGCCTGCACGAGGGAATCAATGCCCTCGACTTTTCTCCGGTCCCCGTCCTCGTCGGCGACGAAGGTGTTCTGGTCGACCGCGGTGCATTGGCGCAACCACTGGGCATTGTTAGTCTGGAGAAGAGTCGAGGCAGGGCGTCAGGCGGCAGGCTTACATCCGTGTCTTCTGACGAGATGACTGAAGCATCATATGAGTACGGCGACCCTCTCGCGTCTGGATCGACGTCCAGCGAGCTGAAGGGACATCCGCAGATGCAGCAGTACGTGGTGGTTGCGCGACACATGGCGTTCTCTCGGCCTTCTCGAAAGCCGGCAGGGCGCGAGCCTTTTGTGGAAGCTATTGTGGGGCGATAGGGATCCGTCTCTCGACGGTGGTGTGGTCGCGCCTGATCTCATGCAGGTCCGCGATCAATGTGCTTCCGGAACTTTTTCGTCCTGTCTCAATTGCACCCCGACTGCTGCAGCCTGCTGTGCCGAAGGAGCCATGGGTTACAAATTGCTTGACTGCACTTGGCAACTGCTGGCATCCGGGCTTATCGAACCCCACGCCTCTCTTCCGATCGTGTGTTTGCAAGGATGGATAGGGCCGAATCCGGAAGTCGTATGAGTCAGCTGCAAAAGCTGACCATACCCTCTCATAGCTTCTAACTTGTAGATATATACATAGCTACGAGCTGGGTGGGAACCAGGCTGGAAACAAAACCCGTTCTTCCGAGATCCGCAACCTAACAGGGCTTGCCCGCCCGAACAGAAACACAAGGCGAAATAAAATGGTTTGTACAGTTTGTGGGCTGCTCAATATTGACATTGAAGGACATCACTCGGCGCTCTCTGTTCGATGAGTCAGCTGCCACCGTCTTCTATAGGTGGAAGTGCAATTCGCACAAGCACTCAGCTGCTTGGAGAGCTCCGAAGCCACCACCTCGTGCACGGGGGAAGTCGGGTGCAACGTGTTCAGCCAGAAGTATTCGTTCACAGCAACACCGCACGCAGCGATTGTCGTGTTTTGCTCATCAGTGCCGCTATAGAAAGCACCCCTGTCAGTATCGTTGGACAAACCAGTGACGGGCGAACAAAACACGGGAACATACTTCTCGTAGTCCGTGCAGTAAGTGGTGGTGTTCTTGAGGCCGGCGGTCAGGGTGTAGCTCGAGGGATCATCCAGAACTTCGTTGAAGAGCGTGTGGGCATCGAACGTGAAGACGGTCGCGTCGGCATTCTTCTCCTGCAGAGACGAGGCGAGGTTGGAGATGCGCGTGTTGAAGTCGGCGACAACAGGCTTCTCGAGAGCGACGCTGTCGCTGCCTTGGGCACTGGTGAGGGGCGTGCGCTCAAGAGGCGGCACATTGATGAAGAGAAAGTTGCGAGCACCACTGGTGTAAAGCTAAGGGACCACTGTCAGCCATATCCTTTGAGATGCTTGCACTCTGCGGAAGTTTGCCCACCTGGTCGACAAGGCCACTGTATTCGGTGAATATGGAATCCATAAAGGTAGTATTTGTGGACCAGTAGCTGTTTCCAACATCGTTGACGCCGATCCAGATGCTGAAGAGCGTGTTGTCACTCTCCCAGACCTTGCTCGTGCCGTCGGCCCCGTACTTGGGCAGGTACTCGTCCTGGACTTGCTGCTTGAGCGAGAGCACCGTGTCCGCGTAGGGCGCCACAAGTGCGCTGTCAATCGTAGCCCCGCCCGAGGCGAGGTTGTAGGTCTGGAGCAGCGACGCGTTGTACTTGTAGGTCAGGTATCCAACCCAGTTCGGACCGCTGTAGTGTGACGCGTCAGTGAGTCGTCCTATCGCTGGCATCACGGACACGAACGTACTTGGAGGAAGTCCAGCCCCTATCTCAACGTTAGCAGAAAGTCAACCGAGGTGGCAGTCTAGACTTACGGATATGTCGGGTTTCCAAAGGGGTTTTCAGCACTGGGCTGAGTAGAGTCCACGTCAAAGCCAGTCTGCGTGTAGCTGTCACCGCTGCACGTTTATCAGCGAGATGCATAGCAGATGGTCAGGCTTCAATAGGGTACGCACAATGAAAACCAATACTGCAGGCCGCCGAAACCCGGCCAGGAAGCATTGGCCTGGCGGGGAGCTGGGAAGGCCTGGGCTCCGGAAGCGGACAGCGCAGCTGCAATAAGAGCGGAGATTCTCGTCATGATGTATAGAAGTCACAATAGCAAAGTGAACGAATGCAAAGGGTACCGGACCTTGGCGAAAAGAAGCTTGTTGGTAGCGAACAACGGGGGCTATATAGGAGTTTCTTCCTGACACGGAACGACTGGTCGGGTAAAATAGCAAAGCGCCATGACAGGCGGTTCTGGTGCACGGAGGCATTAGGCGTGTTCCTGGTGGTCTGTTGCCCGGTGCTCCGGCGGCCTCCATATAAAATTGGCGGCAACGGTGGATGCGGGGAGAGGATGTGTGCAGAAAGCGGCTGCTCCGTGCCTGAAAGAGGTAAGCTCGGCGGAAGGCAGATCCGGCATGAAACAATGAAACAGCCTCAGATAGAGCAAATGGAGAAATAGACCAGTCCGCCGGCAGGCCGCGCCGAGCTCGCGCACAGCATCGGCTGTCCGTCACAGCCACAAGCGAGTCGGTTTCTGCGTCAGCCTGCACCTCCAGGCAGGCCGGGAGAGGTGGTGCACAACGGCTGAGTTGCTGGCAGTGGCGGACGGCGGGTCGCACCTCAGCGGCTTCTCGCGCAGCGCATGATCGATCGCCCTATCCATGCAATATAAGGAACGTTTCAGGGCGCGGGCGCTGTCGCTTCGCTTGGGTCTCGCCCGTCCGTTCGCTCACCCGTAGGTATTTGATGAGCTTGGCATCGACGTGGGCTGCTTTCTCTGCAGGGCTGAGTGGCTCCCATCGCCAGGCGTTGCCATGCTTCGTGGAGGGAGTAGATACACAGGTAACGCTGGCTGTGCGGATGCCGGGACGGAGTTGGCGAGAATGTCGCGCCGCCTGGCCGTCGCGCCGTGCGGCTCTTCACGGCTCCACAGTGCATCCGCACACGTCGCCGCCCAAGAAGCGCATCACAACGTCGCTGCCCTGTAGCCGCCCGACACCATGGGCTTCAGCATTGGCTCCGTATTCAAGTACCTTTTCTACACCGTCGTAGGCTACGTCCTTGTCGGCTCGCCTCTCCTACGAATCTTCCTCAACGAACGGCCGTCACAGCCAGACCTTGCCGAAGCCTTTGCCCGGAGCGACCGTCTCGTCATCCCGGACGAGAACCTAGTCTGCCCAGACCATGGCTACAACGTCCGCGTCCTCAGCCGCGAGCCGCTCGTCATCTACATCCCCGGCTTCCTGAGCGCCGAAGAGGCCAAGCACATGGTTGCCATCAGGTGAGCTCCGCGCTCACAACTGCCACGTGTCCCTGCATCCTAACCGTCTTGCAGCGAGGACAAGTTCAAGCCGTCGACCGTGTGGACTGGCGAGGAAGAACGCCTTGATCCGAGCGTGCGCGTGTCTGAGAAGGCCGAGATAGACCGCGACGAGGTAGTGCAGTGCATCGAAGAGCGGGCCCGGCTCTTCCAGGGCTGGCGTCCGTTTACCTTTATCGAAAAGCTCTGGACTCAGCGCTACGGACCCGGCGGCCACTATGTCCACCACTTCGACGGGCCAACCAACATTGCCCGAGGCGGTCGGATCTCCAGTTTCATGGTCTACCTGGACGGCAACTGCACCGGCGGCGGCACCAACTTCCCCCGCCTGGAGATGCCGTCTGGCCGGCAGTGGTGCGAGTTTCTTGACTGCAACGACCACGAGTCCGAGGGCATCACGTTCAAGCCCATTGCCGGCAACGCCGTGTACTGGGAGAACTTCCGGCCGGACGGGTCGGGGTACGAGGAGGCGTGGCATGCCGGGCTTCCGGTGCGGACGGGCACCAAGATTGGCCTGAACATCTGGAGCTGGTACCAGCCCGGGTACGACCCGAAGTCCGTCGCGGACAATGCTGGCGGCGAGCAGCCACCCGACAGAGCTGAGCTGTGATTGCCACGGTAGCAGCTGTCCGGCCGTAGACGTGAGTTTCCTGGGTCGAAGCCGATGTCCAGACGCAGATGGAGTGCTCAGACTGTACATATGCATCCAGCCACACGACGCAAGTAAGATGCAATTTCGATGCTTTCGCGGCCCGCCGTGACTGGTGCCTAGGTTGGGGGGCACAGCACAGGCGTCAGGAGGGGCTGCGCGCGGCCGGCCGTGTTGACTAGCAGGGCGGCAGGGCGGCAGGGCGAGAACGGCAGGGCGAGAGCGGCCTTGCCGCCTGCCCTGTTTTGCAAACGCGCCGGGGCGACGACACCATTTGCCTCTGCGCGCTGCGCCCAGGAGGCTGGCCGAAGCTGTCTGCCCGTAGCCGGAGTGGGTGGAGGGTGCAGGCAGACCGGTATCACATGGCCATCTGTCCCACCGCGACAGGTCATCGCCAGCGAAAGGGACACATCCAACGGCAATGCGCCGAGAGAATAAGCAGAATGAAGCACAATGCCGCGCCCACACCTGCCCGCCTGCCCGCGCGCCCCGCCAGCTGGCATGCCCACAGCGGCCACAGCGGCCACAGCGGCCACAGCGGTGAACTGCAGTGCACGTGACTCTTATCGCGAGTGGGCCTCCGCTGATGCCGTGACGGGAACTCCGGGCGCATTGTCCGCAGCACGCAGCCCACGTCCCACGCTCGCGGCTCAAAGACAGCCAGCAAACACCGCTCTGCCTTTCGCCGCTCTCTTTCACGTGCGCGTGCACGTCGGCGACATTTTCACCGGTTGTGGCACCAGGCTGCCGCTCCATCACTGGTTAGCCGCGCGCCCATAGCTCTGCCTAACCGGGCTCCCTCTCCACGCTCCAACGCTCGCCTCACGACCTACCTCCTCCTCCTCCCCATCGCATCCACCCTCTGCCATACCCACTGCGCTCCAGGCCAGCTCCTGCGCAGCTTCAACCACACTCTCGTTTCCGACGCCCCGCCGGCGAGGCTCGAAGCAGCTCCGCCCCGTCCCCATACGTCACCGTACCGAGAGTCACCGCCTCCGCCTCAGCTGCTCAAGGCTGCCGCATCTGCACCATGGCGACCACCGTGCCCGTCACCATGGACACGCTCATCACCATCAAGATTTCCATTCAGGGGAGCAACAGGAAGTTCAAGATCCCCATGAGGGATTTGGGCGCTGGTGTCCTGCCCGGCAAGGTGAGTGAGCTCGAGGCTGGGTGATGGGCAGCTACCTTTCCCATCCGGGCAGCTCCGGAAATGTGACGCTGAGACTGACATACCTCCTGCCTTCCAGCTCCGCCAACTCCTCAACATCCCTCCCAACCAGGACGTCATCTTCGAGCGCTTCTCCGACAGCGCCGGCGCTTACATCACTCTCGACCCTGAGAACCCTCAGGTATACAAGACGCTGTTCCGCGCTGCGAAGGCCAAGCTGAAGCTTCGCCTGCGCGCCACCATCGTCGAAGACCCGGCCGAGAACAAGCCTATGGATGATCTCCAGTCCATGCTGGAGGCCGGCACGAGCATGCCTCCCATCCCGCTCCCCGTGCGCACTGCGCCCGCACTTCCCCAACACGCCCGGCCTCAGGCCCAGCCTCAGGCCCAGCCTCAGGCCCAGCCTCAGGCCACCTCCCCGTCGCCACCTCAGCCTGACCCAATGAGCACCGGCACCATTCCGCTCTACCCCTACGCCAGGCTGCCCGCTTTCCACAAGACCAACATGCGGGCTGCGAACTCCCCACCCGTACCGGCGCCTGCGCCCACCAAGCCAGAGCAGCCCGTTGACACCGAGGGCGAGGCACCCGTGCCTAAGCCGTTCCCTGCGCGCGACAGTAAGCGTTCTTGTTCAGCTTTCGGCCCAAGTTCTCCCGCACTAACGGCCACAGACTTCTTCTCCGAGCTTGCCGACATGTCCCGCGAGCGCGAGCTGGCTCTCCGTATGAAGGAATCAACCCCGGCGAACTTACTCTCCTGGTCCGTCTACTGCAACGTCTGTGACAAGCCCATGTCCAACGAGCACTACCACTGCAGCATCTGCGACGGGGGCGACTATGACCTCTGCGACAACTGCGTGGCATCTGGCTGCCACTGCCCTGGTGAGGGCCATTGGTTGATCAAGCGTTTCATCAAGAACGGCAAAGTCACCAAGAGCACCACCGAGAGGGTTGCTCCTAAGCTCAAGGAGGAGTTCGAGACTGAGCCTGAGCCTGAGCCTGAGGTCAAGGCTGAGCCCGAAGAGAAGGAAATGCCCGGTGCTTTCACGACTGAGAAGTTCACGGCTGAGAAGAAGCCGGAGCCGGCGCCGGAGCCCACCCGCACCTGCAACTCGTGCGTCAAGGTGTTCCCTGAGCGCAGCTTTGTCACCTGCGTCGACTGCGATGACTACGACCTCTGCATGTCGTGCCACGTTGGTTCGGAGCACGGCCACCACCCCGGTCACGCTTTTAAGCCTGCTACACCCGGCGTCATTGGGCCCCTGGCCCAGTTCCTCTGCGCGCCAGGCCGCAACGTCCGCCACGCTGCCGTGTGCGATGGATGTGAGAAGTTCATCTATGGTGTTCGCCACAAGTGCCTGAACTGCCCCGACTGGGACTACTGTGCCGAGTGCATCAAGGGGGCCAAGCAATCTCACCCCATGCATCGCTTCGTCCCCATCTTCGACCCTCTACCCGAGCCGCGCACCCACTCGGTCCGCCATTTCGGCATTTACTGTGATGGTCCTCTCTGCAAGGACAAGATGAACCAGACTTACATTGAGGGCGTTCGCTACAAGTGTGCGGTCTGTTTCGACACTGACTTCTGCGCAAACTGCGAGGCGCACCCCAGCAACCGCCACAACCGCACTCACCCGACCATCAAGTTCAAGACCCCGGTCAGGAACGTCAGTGTTACCACCATGGGCGAGGACAGGAATGGCATGCCTCTAGAGAACCTTGGCGATGGGGCTCCACGTTGGCCCTGCTCGGTTGGGAGTGGTTCTGCGAACGCCGCTACCCAGATCCGCACTGTTGCCGATCTCAAGCCCAAGGCGGGCGTTGCGTCCAAGACTGCCAAGGTCCAGATCAAGGACCTCCTCGCCGAGCCCATTGATGAGAAGACCCAGGTTGAGGACCTTGCGAAGACCACGCCCAGCCACGTGTATCCCGAGCCTGTCCAGGAGAAGGTGGCTGCGGCGTCTAGCCCCAAGTCTCCCGAGCCTGTCCAGGAGAAGGTGGTTGCGGCGTCTGAGCTCCAGGCTCATTTCCTCCGCGACACGGTGTGCGATGGCACCAAGATTCCAGGCAACTCCAAGTTCCTTCAGGTCTGGACTCTCCGCAACCCTGGTCCTCGTGCTTGGCCTGCTGGCTGCTCGGTTCGCTACGTTGGTGGCGACAACATGCTCAATGTCAACAACGAGCACCCTTGCAGCACAACTGACATTGCCGAGGCCACCGAGAGCAACGTTATCGGTCGTACGGTCCAGCCTGGCGAGGAGATCTCTTTCAGCGTTTTGATGAAGGCTCCGGCTCGCGAGGGCGTTGCCATCTCATACTGGCGCCTGAAGGCTGCTGACGGTACTCCCTTCGGTCACAGGCTGTGGTGCCACATCGAGACGACGAAGCCTATTCTCACTCCCCTCCCTGTTGAGTCTCCTCAGTCCACGGATGCCGAGCGCACTCTGGCCCGTTTGAGGGAGCTGCGCGAGCGTCGCCAGTCGAGGGTTCAGGAGACGGAGAACCACCGTGCTCTCCAGCGTGAGGCTATGCAGGCGATGGTGAGCCGCATGCAGAGACTCCACGAGGCGCAGGAGCAGATGAGGCAGCGCCAGAAGGTACTCAAGGCCGAGCTTGTTCAGAAGCAGGCCGAGCGTATTGCTGCTTCCCCTCCCAAGCCGACAGTGGAGGATGTTCCGGAAGCCGACTCTTCCGAGGCCACGGTCAAGGCTGAAGTCCCGGTCCCGGAAGAGACCGAAGTCAAGGCTGAGCCTTCGTCCTCGGAGGGCAGCCAGATGATCTTCCCTACCCTTGAGAAGGAGTCCCCCGTGAACAGCACTCACGTTCCCAGCCCGTCCGTGGAAGCCGAGAAGGCTGCCGATGCTCCCTCTTCGGTTCGTGACGAGACCGAGACCGAGACGGAGATTTTCGAAGATGCCGAGACGGTCGACCTCGTTTCCAGCGATGATGGCTTCCTCACCGACGAGGAGTACGATGTGCTCGATGCCAGTGACTCGGAGTTCCCTGCGTGAAAAAAACTATCCGTGAAAACAGACGGAATCTGAGGGTGCGCGGCTGCATCTGCCCAAAAGCAGCACAAGGCTGCGGCGCCGATACCTTTCCTTTTTGCAAGCTTCTGCTCTTCTCTCCACTAACCTTGGCGTGTATTCTCTCTGGATGGCTCTGGCGCTTGGCTAACTCGAATGGTATCACCCTGCACCAGCAACGGTACGGGTGGTCACCACGTGGACACTCCTTACGATGTTTTATGGATAAGGATTATGGGATAGGAATATGGGTACTTTTCTGCCGGTTCATTTCTTTCTACCCTCGACAGACGTAGTTTTCGAATGAAATTGAGTCTCCAATGAAGCAGGGTGATGCGGCATCATGACAGAATTCGATGAATTGAGATACAGGCGTGTTCGACGATTCGGCCAAGATCAGTAAGAGATCAACATCGAGGAGTCTACGGGAGCTTAGTTCAGCGGGTTTGCGAAGGCTTTCTGACCAAAAGAAGTAAAGCGCGTCCCGTTCGTCTGAGCCGAACATGACGAGGCTTTTGCGATGTGGATCTCAAGAGGCTCCGTAATCTGAAGCCAACTCACCAATCACGCCCGACGGTCGATCAATGATTTGACAATATGCGACGACTGCTTCACGTGCTCTCTCGTAGGTGTCTTTCGCCGGCCTCAGGACTCCAGCTCAGTGACGCCGCCGCCACATCACTCGTCGTCGCCGTTCGTACCCGTCTCTTCTCCTCGTCGAGTCATCACCAACACAGCTTTTCGTCGCCGCCACCGCCCCGAGTCATCGCCATGGCCAACCCCGCCCCCACTTCCCTTTCTCCGTCTACGAAGGCGTCGACGCGACGCTTCTTGGGAAAGAGACTCCGGGGATCGTCGAGCAGGATGCAGGCGGCGGACCAGCCACGCAGGTTCTCACCGTTGGATCCGTCGAAAAGCACGGACTTACCGAGGTTGAAAGGCGTGGTGTTTGATGTGGATGGAACGTTGTGTAAGTCGTCATTGTTCGGTTTGCCTTGCCCGGGTGGCTTCCATTGTGAAATTCGTTTGTCACGACACTTTGAGCGACTGGTGGCGATACGACCTTGAATTCCTACGTTTGCTCGGTGGATGTTCCATTGGCCCCCTTTGGGGAGGAGTTGCTGTGCCGAGATGATATAATCCGTTGACTGACCACGTACGGGAGGGGCCACATTAAAGGCGAGCCGCAGAATTACATGTTTGGAGAAATGAGGTGAGTCCTCCACAAGCAGATTTCCATCTACATGAGAAAGGGGGGGCAAACCAACCAGTCCCGTCTTTTCCACAGAGCAGCTCTGGGCATCGACAAGTCCACCGACATCCTCGACCACATCTACGCGCTCCCATCCGCGGAGCAGGACCCCGCCTTCGAGAAGATCCGCGCCATCGAGCGGCGGGCCATGGACTCGCAGAAGCCGCAGGCGGGGCTGGTCGAGCTGATGGACTACCTCGACAGCCGCGGCGTCCCCAAAGGCATCTGCACCAGGAACTTTGAGTAAATTCCACCCCCTGCACCTCCCTCTTGCCCCTCCCTCCCTCCCTCCCTCCCTCCCTCCCTCCCTCCTCTCTCCCGCTCTCTCGCCCTCTCTCTCTCTCTCTCTCTCCTAAAACAGAACCCAAAACCACAGCACCCCCGTAACCCACCTCCTCACCCGCTTCCTCGCCGGCCACCGCTTCCACCCCATCGTCACGCGCGACTTCCGGCCGCCCAAGCCGGACCCGGCCGGCATCCTGCACATCGCCGGGGCGTGGGGACTCCTCGAGAATAACGCCGCCGACGGCGTCATCATGGTCGGCGACAGCCTCGACGACATGACGGCGGGCCGCCGCGCGGGCGCGGCGACGGTGCTGCTGGTCGGCGAGCACAACGCGCACTTGGCGAGGCACGAGCACACGGATTTGTGCGTCGGACGGTGAGTGTGAAGTGAATGGGGGTGGCGATTTGTGTTTGTGTTTTTGTTTTTGTTTTTGTTTTTGTTTTTGCTTTTGCTTTTGCTTTTGCTTTTGCTTTTGCTCTTGCTTTTTTTTTTTTAACTCTCTCCTTCGTCTTCATGGTTGCCTGTTCATTGCTGACTGGTTGGCAGGCTGGATGACCTCATTGGTGTCCTGGAGAACGGCTTCGTTGGGCAGATTGGGCAAGGGGATGAGGAGCCGGATACGAGAGCGCAGGCGGAGCAGGCGTTGAAGGGGTAGTGATGTTTGTTGATTTATCGGGCGGGTTTTTCTTTTTTTTTTGGTCTCACAAGGACAGCTTACGTAGTCTTCTGCACGAAAACGCCAGAGAGATACAACGGAAGAAGGTATCCTTGCGGAAGTGATGCGTTGATGAGATGCTAAGGAATTCAAGGTATAGATGAAGTTTCATCGAAGACGATACGGAAACTACTTGTAGGGTTGATGATCAATCTCAGGTTGAAGGGCAGGAGAGACCCAGATACACGACAATTTCAGGGGGGGAGGTGCAAGAAACTCCAACAGTCAAACGCCCACCCATAATCACACAGCCAATCTAACTCCGCTCTTCTCCCAAACACTGTTCAAGCCTTTCTCCCTCCCTCACTCATAAGGTTCCGGAACACGCGCCTTACACGCCGGCGTCTCCACATGGTCGTGGAACGCGCAATCGAGGCCCTTCCGTACGTCGACCAGCTCGTTTTGGTGCAAGCACGCCAGAGCCTCGGCGAAGTCGATGGCGAGGTCGCCACCTTTCGCCACGACCCCGCGCATACTGTCTGAGAGCTTCGGCTCGCGCTCGCACAGGTAACGGTAGGCGGCAGTGCTGATGAGGAAGCGGCGCATGTGGTTGGGGCCCGGCGTGCCCTCGTACACGTACTCGAGGCGGTAGGGGGCAGCTGTCATGTTGGCGCGTCGGTAATAGGCGCGCACCTGGTCCATGACGTCGTTCCTGAGCCGCTCGATCTGGAAGCGCGTCGCCAGGACGTAGAGGCACATGTAGTGCTGCATGCTGTGGAAGTCGTTAGGGCCGCGCAGGTCGGCGCCGTACAGCCATCGCACGAAGAGTGCAAACGCAAACTCATCCAGATCTGGGAAGGAGAGCGCTGACGCCGGACCGGTAGGGATTGACACCGAGAAGAGGTCGGCAAAGTATGGGGAGCGCGACTTGAGTAGGTCGGTGTGCACTTTGAAGGATTTTCCCGTGTAGCCTGCGAGGATCTCGGTGACGGCAGTGCCGGGGATGAGCGTACTGAAGGGCGTATGTCAGCACATGGTGGACGACTTTGCTTTAGGCTTCGGGTTGTGACGTGTGGTTGAGACGAAGAACTTCGGCCTTGGAGGGGGGTGAACAGATGCTGGGATCAAGACCACTCACTCAGCATGATACTCGTCCGTCACTGGCCCGGCCAAACCAGATCGGAAGTTGTCGCTTGAGGGCTGTCGTGGGGTATTGGGTGGACGAGTTGGGCCAGCCATGTGCCGAGCTGGGGCAGGAAGCTCAGCTTGAGACTCGCGGGCAGAGACCGAGGGTCGAACGCTCTCAGCAAAGTGCTCGCTGGCAGACTTGACGCTCGTTGCTGAACCGCTGCGAGAGTGCCCCGGTCGGGATTGGGGAGGAGCCAGATTGGCAGGCTTGGGGGCGTTGGAAGACGACATCGAGACTGCTGCTGGTCTTGAGTAGGAAGGCCAGTGGGCATCCAAAAGTGCGGACTTCAAGCTGTGTAATGATAGTGCTCGAGATCTGACAAAACTTTTGCGGGAGGAAGACTGCTGGGGAGGAAGACACTGGGACGGAGTTGTGGATGGGTGAGAGACTGAAGAAGAGCGGCTCCTGAGAGAGCCATTTGGCGGGAGAGCTGAAGGCAAGCGCATTGAAATGGAAGTGGCCATGGGCACAGCCTTTGCCGTGAGTTGTAGCTTCCTGCTGTGGAAATGGAGGAAGGCGCTGTCCGGCGACCGTCCGGGTGCAATCGCGCCGATTTATATGGGGGAAACTGAGGACGTGGCAGGCCATGAACGACAAAGAAACCAATCCTGCTTGCATGGTAGTGCCCAAAATCTGGAGGACAGTTTAAGACACTGAGTCCACCCGCGACCTATCACCGATTCCTTCGGGATCTCGACGGGGCCAGACCTTGGCTACAACAAAAGAGCCGCCATCCGCCAAGAGATATCGCCTGATGTTTTTCTAAGACAGCCCGGCAGCCGTGCCCTTAAGAGACCGGGTGCCTGATTCCCCGTAACGCCCACCTCCGCACCCAGAAGTTGAAACAACGTGAAGACGGAACAGAGCATGTGCACAAGCGCGTAACCTGAGACCCTTGTATAAACTACAGCTACACCTCGAATGCGTCGTTGATGGGCATAAAGCGCGTGGTACGTTATTTCCTTAGATAAGATGCTTCGATCTGTGCAGCTTCTGTCAGTAATCATGGGCTGGCCACTCGTGGAATGGAACGACGCACCTGAAGTATGCTCGCAGGTAGACAACCTGCCATGCGCCAAGGCCAACCAGCATGCCCATAGTGCCGAAGGCGAACCACTTGACGCGCTCGTTGGTGCTCTCGTTGGTGTCGCGCAACCTCTGCTCGCGGGAGCGCAGGTACTCCATCTCACTGACGATCTCGCCGACAATCTCCTCCAGGCGGCGCAGCTCAGCCTCGACGGGCTTGAGCTTCTCGGTGTTTTGAATGGCGTTCCAGTCCTTCGCGTCGGCGCCAATGTCAATGTCGAGCTCGATGTGGCGGACCTTGCCGCCGCCTCCCCCTGTTGTTGCAAGCGCTGTTAGCGTCGAGTGCGGGCATTTGGGGTGGTGGGAGTGGCGAGTGACGCACTCTGGTCGAGGATGTTTTCGAAACACACGTCGAAGGCGGAGTCGGCAACGGAGGTGAAGGCGTATCTGTTTTCGCCGGCGACGTCTTTGGGACGGCCGTAGTCATTGCCGACAGCGTCCTTGATCTGCAGCGGAGGAAGATGCGGGTCAGCCACGGCGAGCTCGAGCTTGTGCAGTCGGCAGCGGCGGGTGGAGCCAACGTACGTGCATGTTCAGCCTCTGGCCATCGCCCTTGTAGCCGTCGGTAATGGTGGTGACGACAACGAGCTGGTCCTTCATGACGAAGTTGCGGATGCATCGCTCTTTGCTGGCCGACTCGTGGCCGGGGTGGGCTTCGACATCGAACTTGAGGGCGGAAACGGCGGGCAGGGTGACGAGGAGGAGCAGGCAGCTCAGGGCTCTGAGCAGCATCTCCATGGTGGGCGAATTGGGCGGGCGGCGGGTGGTAGAAAAGAAGTGCGAGCTGTCGTGCGCGCTCAGAAAGCCACACGTTGCTTCGCCAGATGGCGCTCCCTGAGCCTGGAGCATCAACGCCGGCCCGTGCGCCAGCCCGTCCGTCTCGCGGCGGGCGGTCAAACGTTTTGCCGCGCCTGCCCGTCCCATCCAGTCTTTTGTTATCGCCGAATCAGCTTCCCGCGTCTACTACGTATGTCATTGTTGTCCCGCTCAAACTCAGCTATCTACTCGCCCGGCAGCCTAGCCGCTGCAAAGGCCCTAGCCAGACTCACCGGCCTCCAGCTCCCTGCACTCCGTTCAGCCAGCCTCCGTATCTGTCTGCCCCATGCTCGCCGTAGATATCCTGGACCGAGCCCGTGAGGTAGTCATCGCCGATACCCTCAATCATGTCAGGCGTAGACTCCGGCACAGAGAGGGGCTCGTCTGCGAACCACATGGCTGAACTTGCGCTCATTTCCGGCATGGTGACTAGGACCTTGAGAATCGGTCGGCCAGACCGGCCTCCTGGGCCTGCACCATTCAAGGACTCTACCATGTCCTGGAATGCTCCCATGAGTCCTGGGATATCAGCCCCGTGTCTCCCGTTGTCGAACTCAGACAGGCTGTCGATTACACAAAACACCACCAATGGTCGGATGTTCTCCATCAGCGTCTGAAACAGCTTCCACTGGACCTGCGGACTTGATTCATGTATCTGTTCAAGAAGCTCGGGCTCCACGAAGGACGCGTCGTATCCGCGGAACTGCTCCAAGAACTGGCTGTTGATGTTTTTCATCATCCCCGCCCCACCCTCCAACGGATCACCTTCAGTGCTATGGAGACCACAGAAGAATACTAATGGGAGGCCCAGTCCAAGCGATGCTACCGTCCGCACCAGTTTTGCTGCCAAGTAGGTCACTGGTGAAGGGCGGTCTGGATTCCGTGTTCTTTCGCGCTCCATGTCGTCGACGACAAGAAGATCCGAGTCCTCGGAAACAAGCCAGTGCTCGAATCGAGGATGCTGCAGTAGATGCATGGCCCGGTGTTGATCGCCCACGGCCGGCTCGTATCCAGAGTTGGCAGCCCAGGCCAGGTCTTGCGGGGTCGTGGCCAGGTCCACACCGAAGAGATCGAGAACCTCATCTCCAGAGATTGTTTGGGACTGCTGTATCATGGGTGGCGCTTCGATGTACTGTGTGACGTTGACCACCGCTGACTACGGTATTAGAAAAAAGGATAAGGGAGTATTTGACTAATCGTAAACTTACACGTTGCATTGAAGTCTACGCCCCGACGGGTCGTGCATCAGCGATGATTCTCGATGCATATGGAGACAACTTACAGCTGGCCGTCTGAAGCTTTGCCCTCAGGAGCGATTCCAGTGCTCGGACGGACTGCCAACTCTCACACTGCTGCATTTCTATCCGTGCAATTCTCTCATGCAGTAACACAGTCAGCTTGTGCGCGAAATCCTCCGCTCGCGCCTGGATGGCACTGATTTTTTCTTCAACTCTGCTGTTGTAGCAGTTTTGCTGAAAAGTCGCTTTCACGGCTTCCTCTTTCGAAGTTCAGTCAATTTTCATCCAAGTGGGCGTCAGGAAACCTACTGAATCCGTTGCTATCCAACCAAGACAACATCTCTTCCGTTCCTTCCAGCACTGCAATGTATAGCTCTTCGGCTTTGCGGCTCAGATCATCGTCATTATACAGGCGCAGGCATTGGGCCACATTGTCAACCGTGTCGGTGAGCGTTTCTATCGTCTCCTGGACTTGCTTGAAAGTCTTCGCAATGGCAGTCGCCGCCTGTTGACTCTGAGCACTGGGCATACGTTTGCAGGTGAGCTTGGGAGTTTGAGCTTACCCCGAAGAAGAGTGCGAGCGCACCTCGGGCGATAGAGCAGTACTGATCGCTGGGTAGGAGCTCCAGCCATGACTGTAATGCAGGGGCTTTTTTGCCCGTGCTTCTTCCCGCCTTTACAAAGAGATTCCTCTCTCCCCGGAAACGGTACGCGTTCAGTGCCTCTTCTGCCTCTTTCTGAACGTCCTGCCACGTCGTTTTGCCGTATATGCTATGTTTTTCGAGAACTTTCTTGACTTGTTTGTTGGAAGAGCGCTGGGATAAGCCTTCTATCTTGGCTTTGAAGCGCTCTGTGAGCTGCGCGGCACTACTATAGGTAAGTCCGCCGCCACCGACTGGTTACGTATCTTGCTTACGTTTGCGAGAAATTCCGACGTGTGATGGGGGCGGGCGGCGCAAGATTGGCCTTAGCGATGGAATTCTGCCATGCAGGATGATACTCGGGAGCTTTGTGCTGCATGAAGCGAGCCACCATATCAGCCCCATTAGGGTACTGTACACCTCTCAGTGCCGGATCCATGGCTGTTTCTTGGAGGTTGGTGGAAAGCCGTCTCAAGGGCCACGTTCGCACCGCACAGCTAAGAGGCAAGATTGAAAGTTGCAACCGCAAAGGCTGAGATGATCCCCCACACACCGTCAAGGCAACAACGAGCGTAAATGCCGCATTACGGTTCTCCGATTCCTTGAAAGTTGCAGATCCAACCAGGGGCTGCTTGGGGGCCACTTGCTTCGATAAGCCATCTGTTCAGCCTTGCACAGTTTTGAACCAACCAGCATCATCGGCTTGCGCCAGCACACTGCACCACCTACTGTTCGAGGCTGCTGCATGCTCAGCTGATGTTTGGTGAGGATATTCCTTTCCAAAGAAAGCTGAGCTGCTTGCGTGGCTCTGATACGCCACCGCGATAGGTACATTGCTGACTCTAGTGCATGGGTTCATGCATGTGCAGATCCACATTTTTCAACGAGAGGAGGGGCTTGATGCAATTTGTAAGCCAGATATGGCAAAATCAATAGTTCAGAGCTCATCGTCTTCGTTGCGGCTCTGCGGTACTCACACGCTCTTATACCCGGGTCGACCATCCACGGCATGCTGGGTCGATCATTAGACTTATCGCTTATGCACCTCATCAGATCTCAGCAGTGACTGGACCAACAGCAATAGATCAACATGGAATCGGAGATAGAACATGCCCCTGTGGCGGATGACCCACCATCGACAGGAGCTCGAGACGACAATTTCCATTCCCAGCTGGAGGCCAAGGAGAATGCTGATATCGCCGAAAAAGTCGGTCAAGGAAAAACGCGACCTGATGGTGAGGTGGATGATTCGGGTGATGATGGCGCAGAGAGTGATGACCTTTTCCAAGGGGCCATAGAGCGCGATCATCGTTCTGAAAGTATTGCTAACCGTCGAAAGAAGCGCGACATAAGGAGGAGGCAGCACAGCAGGTACATGCTCCTTCTTGATGATCGTCTGGAATTTCTTGAAGAAGAAGTCAGAAAATTGAAGAAGGAAGGGATCAAAGAGGACGAAACAATCGAGCCCAAGCCTGCAATTCCAGACCTTCATCCTATGAGCTGGACAGATTACCTAATCGATAAGGGAGACGAGATCCCTCCAGTTCACCACGTAATCGATCTTCTCATGGACGAGCCGGTCATCTTCCAACGGTCTTCGCTCTGGGTAACCGAGGGAAAGGCAAAGAAAGGCGGTGTTGGCGGTGCTGGCTTTGACAAACTCCACTCGGGGACCATCGGCCCACAACTCACCACTCTTCCCGAGAGGATTCGAATTAATTGCCAACAGCTTTCTGAGGTGCTTGCAACTTCCATTACCGATGATGTCTTGTCACACACAGCAAACAAGCCGATGGTCTTGAGACGGCCTTTCAAAGTCCTCACTTATCACGAGAAAACAATCCAGATGTTCATGGCAAGGAAAGAGGAAGCTCTTTCAAAGGCCGAGAAGAATCACGGGGACGGGAAGATGGCCGTGGCAGAAGGAAGCAGTGATGGCAAAGGGCCTGACGTCGCTGTTGATGGCGATGCGGTATCCGAAAAGGTCCAGCCTGATGATCAGCCGGAGGCGGAATCACCCGAGAAGCGGTTGGTGAAACATCTTCATCTCCTCTTACGGTTCGTTGCGGACTACATCAAGCCAGCCCGAGAGAGGGTTGCCACGCAGCAACGCATCGCCTTCCAGGACGTTTACCTGCTTTTTGAACCAGGGCAGCTTGTATACGTGAGGCACCCCGAGCATCCACAGAGCGTCTGGCGGTTGCTCCAAGTCACCGGCGGCAACCGTTTTCTCCGGCCGTACGACACATACTTGGAGAACGAGGATACCGACTTCAAGAAAATGAAGCGGGATGCTTTCAGCCAGCTGACGCTTGACTGTTACTTTCTTGTCTTCGACGGCTCCAAATTTCAGCGAGTCTACAACCGCTTTTCCATCCGTTACTTTTCCGATGACCAGCAGATGAAAAATCTGTGGATCCTCCCATACGACACGGCGAAGCACTTGGGCCTCGTGGACGAGCCCACCCTCCTGAGCAACGGAAAGCAGTACAAAGACTGTACCGACCGAGCCAAAGTCTGTCATCGCTATTACCGTGGAAAGACGGTCGATCGTGATCCACAAGGTCGCCGCCTCAAGATTTCCACGGATTCCGAAATGGAAAGGATGATCTTCACAGAAACAATAGAAGGCACCGTAATCGTAGATTTTGAAAAGGTTTACCGCTACAACCCTGCATGGATGCCGCGGTTCAACGAGATCGAAGAGCACAAGCATCACGCCCGAGAATTCGAGATGGCCGACGATCCCAACTACGAAAATGTGCAAGACGACTTCATTTGGGATCAGCGCCGAAGGGAAGAGTATCTCGAAGAGGAGGAGACCGGTCTGAAAGCTCGGATGTGGGAGCGTGGAGAGGTCCAAGACGAAGACATCCTGTTACTGCCTGACAGAGTGCCTGCATTTGTACTTCGGTCGAGAAAATGGGGTAAGGCTTCTGTTTGAACATTACGGAGATATGCAGGGCTGACCTACAGTAGTCTACCTCCAGTTGGGTTACGAGGTAAAAGAGGAAGACAGAAAGCCCCGGCTGACTGAGGTCCTACCCAATGACGAAGCATGGAACGAGCTACAACTCCCTGGTGGGGATGCTGAACAAGGACACAAGGGTATCATCCAGAGTCTCGTCGGAAAACACCTCACAAGGGGCTTGGAGTTTGATCTGGTCAGAGACAAAGGTCAGATCCCGTTTGAGTATCGCCGTTGCTGGGGGGAATTCTCATGTGTATAGGCCGAGGGCTCATCGTCCTGCTTCACGGAGCACCTGATGTTGGGAAAACATCGACCGCCGAGTGTGTTTCAGGGGCAAGAGGACAGCCTTTGCTCCCCATCACTTGTGGTGAGTTCGCCCATGTCCACGTTAAGGTATCGCTAAAGGGTAAAAGGTGATCTGGGATTGCAACCGGAGCTTGTCGAGACCAATCTCAGCAGACACTTTGAACTGGCCCAAAGCTGGGACTGCATCCTTCTTCTCGACGAAGCGGATGTCTTCCTGGCCGAGCGCAGCCTGAAGGATCTGCAAAGGAATGCTCTGGTCTCAGGTACGCGTGCACACCTATGAATGAGAATGCTGTAATAACTACGAATGCTAAAATGATAACAGTCTTCCTCCGTATCCTGGAGTACTACGAGGGAATCCTGTTCCTCACCACGAACAAAGTTGGCCTGATCGATGAGGCCTTCAAGTCAAGAATTCACATGTCACTCCATTATCCGTGGCTGACGGAAGACCAAACCCAGCAGATATGGAGAAACCTGATACGCAAGGCGAAGACGACACAGAAGAACTTGGAGGTTAACGAGGCTGATATCTTGCTGTTCGCAATGAAGCACATGCGAGATCAAAAGGACTCCCCTTACGGCAAAGGACCAGACGGGGATGCACCCGGGTGGAATGGCCGGCAGATCAGAAACGCCTTCATGAGCGCCATCGCGTTGGCCGACTACGAAGCGAGAAAAGCCTCGAAGGACCAGGTCGTGCTCACTAAGGAACATTTCAAGATCGTGGCGAAGGCTTCGAACGACTTTGACAACTACCTGTGGAGGGTTCACGCCTTCCAATCCGATTCGAAACGCGCCGAGAAGAACCTGCAACGCTACGACTCCTACCAGCAGAGCCCGAGCACTCTGGACGGGAGAACGGCGGTGCAACGGCCGAGCTTCTACGACCAAGCAGCGAGGCCTGTCACTCCTGGCCGCCAGTTGAACCTTCCATCGGCGCGTTATCCGTATCAGGCACCAAGTCAACCCATCCATTACGGACAATCCGGCCTGCACGCGCCGCCGCCGCCGCAAGCATACAACGTACCTCAGGGACAGCAGCCCTACTATCCTCCCGCACCACAGCCGCCACAGCAGCATCACCAAACGGCATTTCCCAATCCCGCGCCGCAGTACAACCCTGGGATGCCACCGCCACAAGATTCTCCCCACCATTTCCCCTCGCAATACCAGGCACACGAAGCGGGAAGTGGACAAGCACCGCCGGTCCAGCCGGTCCAACCGGTCCAGTCGGTCCATCAGGGGCAGGTAATGCCGCCTCAAGCTCCATCTTCGGAGCTGGGGCAACAGTGGACAGGTTATCACAGTCAAGCATGAGCCAACCGATCATCCTGTTTTCTTCCTTTTTTCTTTTTTTTTTGATATGCCTTCGAGTCGGCAGCATGCTCTCTCGCCTCGTCAGTGAATGGACTCAGCTCTCCCCAATCGTTCTCAATTTGGGTCGTCATCACGTCGAAGAGTGCAGAAAAGATTCGTCCCAATTTCCTTGGGGGGAGATTGGTACAATAGATAGATTTTAGTACAGGGTTTGAACTACATTATTTACAATATCGTGACGCGTTACTTTTTTCTCTTTTCCTTTTTTTTTCCTTCGGTCGTGAAATAACCATTTACTGGCCATCAATGACAATGGTGGTCGGGGTGACCTGGGAGCAGACATAGTCGTCGGGGCCGTTCCCGCCGGCGCGGCAGTTGGTAGGAACGTCGCCCTCGCCGTAGAAGCCGACACTATATTCAATTACGTCAGTGACATTGGGAGTGCCAAAGGGGTGTTTTTTTCTGTAATTTGATCACTTACGCAGTGCCCAGCTCGTGGTACACACGCAGCGCGAACTCGCTCTCGGCGCCCGCGTACAGGGCGAAGCGGTACTTGGACTCGCCGCAGGTGATGACGGCCGAGGGGAGGCCCGGGTCGCTGGCCGAGCAGCCGAGGTCGGCGGCGTCCCTGCCGCTCAGCTTGAACGACACGGACTGGATGCCGTCGTTCTTGCGGACGGTGAGGTCGGCAATGTCGATGTTCTCGTACGTGGCCGGGTCGGGCGCGCCGGTGCTCTGGGGGGTAGGGGCGGCGGCGACCGTGGCGGCGGCGCCGAAGAGGGCGGTGGCGAGGGTGAAGCGCATTTTTTTGATCGATTAATGAGCGTTGGTGGTTGGTGGTAAGGGTGGTGGGATGTTTGGTGATTTTTTGTTGTGGGATTGAGAATTGGTGACGGGAGGTTGGCTGGTGAGGACGTCCTGTGGTGTTGCAAACGCAGGGACTGTTTATATACCTGTGAGTGGCATGCGGTGATCTCGTGGAGAGGAGGTAGCTCGACGTCACACGTAGCTATATTAAGAGCGAGGGTGGGCCCCTTTGGTGCAACGCCGCTCTTCTAGACGCTTGGCAGCTGTTCACTTGATATGCTCCGATGCGGAGAACTGCTACGGGACAATTAAGCTCGTGGATGGTCCGGAGAAAGGCCTCAATACGAGGATGGGCCGGCGGTTGATTGGCCGGAACGAGCTAGAGGGCGGTGGCAAGTACTTTTGCCGAAGCGCAGCACCCGTATAGAAGTCGTGGCGAAAACCTGCGCGCTGGCACTGGTCATACATACATGCACCGAGCCGCCATTGGTTTGCCGGCGCGCGCCTCGTATTGAAGAGCCGCTTCACGCCACTGACGTTGCACAGCCAAGCACCCACCAAACCTCTTGGAACCACGTTACTCTCGTCCCGTCGTCGTACTGCTGCGTATCCCGGACCTTCCAGATAGCCGGTTGGAATTGGGTTGCCGGGTGTTGATCATTCTATTCTTGGTCAAGCCGAATATTATGCGACTTCACCGAATGGTGCCTTCTGCGGAGGCCTCGGCTAGCGAACGGCGTCGAACCTCGCTCTTGTATTCCCCTTCATGGTACAGGTGGGTTCCGCAGCGGAAGGCTAGCGTCAAGTGATTTCTTTTTGCGATTAATGCGACTTTGACCTATCATACCCTTAGGATACGACCATGGCCTCGTTTTCTCTGCGAGTTAATGTAGTTCTGACCTATCGTGCCACATTAAAAGTACCGCCAGGACCCCCGGTACGAAAAACCCACAATCTTCGCGCTAGCCTTCGGCTGCGAGAGGGAGCTGTAGTATGATTTCCGAGATCGAACTGCTTGGTCGCTCGTGGTCCCCATAACTTTCATCATCAATCTGCTTTTGCAACACCTGATTATCCTGCACTGTAGACGTTTGACGGCGACTTCTCCTAGAGATTGAATGTGGCAAGGCTATGCATCTAACGAAAGAATGCTCTTCTCTAAACTGTCAAAAATCTAAAGATGTTGCAATTGGATGGTGTTGTCCAAGGCGATCGACGAATGCACGTCCAATTTGTGGGGCCTGAGATTTGTTACGCACTCCACAACTTCATCACAGTATGACGTGGAGGGGTACAGGGGGGTTACAGGGCTCAATACGAGCCGCCTTCGGTTCCGAGAAGGGACCGCAATCTACAATGCAGGGGGCCAGTGCATGTTCCGTGATGAAGTCATTTGGATAGTGCGTGTAATCGTTTCGTTCGAGCCATGGAAGAGTCTTAGATGCGTTGATGGTCCACTAGCGCAGTACGCGGGTTTGAAGAGAGCTGATAGCCCCATCGAGGCGTGTTCTTTCAGGCTTCAGATACATGTTTGTGAGTGTTTGACTCCCGCATTGCTAGGCAAACAAAGCCCTCAACAACACACTTGGAGTTCACTTACCCCGCGACTGATTAAGTCATAAATTTTCAGTTCTGCAGGCTCTGGTGATTTTACGGTAGAGCTTCGACCGCAGCCATGACCGCATCGTCGAAGTGGTGGTCTTGAAATGTGCTTCTCGGGTGGCCTGCATTCCTCATAGCGTATCGTGTTGGAGATCTCCGAGGCATGAAACGGACAATCGGCTGAGATTGATCTGAATGATGTAATAAGAGTCTTCTCGTCGTCCACAGCAAGCCCCGTGTGGAGAAAGGTGGGCCTGATCTCGCTGCATGCAAAGATTCTCTCCTCGCTAACACCGCCAATTGAGGACATCTAGTTCACCACGGGCAGTAGTAGCGGGTTCATACAGTAGACTCTGCAGCAGCTCACGATTAGCATATTCTCGAGAGACAAAGTTTCCACTAATCACTTGTAAATGCATTGGCTTGTGCGAATTTTCTCTCTTCACTTTCGATTCGTACCAAACAGGACCACCAAAACGCCATTTCAAATGCTCAATGCCCGATACTTCTCGGCACGGGAAATCTGAAGCGGCGATGCAGCCTCGACACGATCTCGACGTAATCCGGCTCGTTCTCCGGGGTCAAGATGCCGTGCCGGATGAAGAAGTCGAGGAGGACGAGGGCGGCGTCGGGCTTGAACTCGCCTCTGGAGAGGGCGGCCTGCACCTCGGGCGTCGACAGCAGCGCGAAGCCCTCGACCTCGCCGTCGGTGGGCCGCGGCTCGATGCCGTCGTCGTCGCGCAGCTCCAGGTCGTACACAAACTGTGACTCGGGCTGCAGCAGCCCCGTCTCGCCGCCGGCGCGCGAGTCGCGGACCAAGAAATACGACACGTTGCCCACGGCCTTGGCCCTCGCGCGCACGACGTCGGCGGGCAGGGCGGTCGCCCTCTCGGCCTCGCGGGCCAGGACGTCCATGGGCTTCTCGGCGGCGGGCAGGCCGGCGGCGAGGGTGTTGTCGAGCATGGCCGGGTAGGTGGGCTTGGAGCGGGCGCGGCGCGGGACCCAGAAGCGGTAGCGGTCAGTGTCGCGGTCGCGGTCGCGCACGTAGCAGGTCAGGTTGACGCTGCAGGCCAGCACGCCGAACAGCGGGGTGGCGGCGCGCTCGATGCGGAAGAGCAGCTCGCCGGCGTTGCCGTAAACGGGGTACAGCTCGCCGCGCCAGCCCTTGTTGAGCAGGGCAAAGTGGCGGGTCTGGCGCATGGCGGCCGTGGTGGCGGCGACGATTGCGGTGCGCTCGGCTTCGTCGATGCCCGACACCAGGATCAGCGTCTGCGACTCGGGCGACACGTCCCATGCCGGCAGGCCCGACAGCGTCTCGGCCACGTGCGGGCGCACGAAGCCCAGGGTTGCGTGGTGGTCGGCGACGTGCAGCGTGTACAGGCCGGCGACGGCGTCGGTGTAGGCGTCATTGTCGAGGTCGGGGCGCGGGAAGCTGGGCGCGGTCAGTCGTGGGCGACGGTGGGCGACGACGGGCGACGACGGGCGACGGCGGCAGGCGGAGAATGCTCGGATGGAGGTGTTGAGGAAGGAGCAAAGGGACGGAGGGTCAAGGGACGCGAAGGGACGCACTTGTCGCAGTCGTTGACCAGGTCGAGGTTGGACTTGCCGCGCGCCGCAAACGACGGCCATTCGCTGGCGGCCGACTCGATCTTCTCCATGGTCTCTGGGTAGGCTTTGGGCGGCTGGATCAGGCTGGATCAGGCTCCACTCTCGGCTGGCCAGGTGCTAGTATTGATGCAGGTGAAAAGGATGATGGGTTTGCAGGCGAGAGCTACGTGGCCAGTGGCCGTCGCCGCTCACTGCCATTTGTAACGGGGGGCCCCAGCATCCTTCCTTGTTACGGCGTCACAGCGTCTTCGTTAGCCCGAGCTGGTCCGAGCATCCACGATGGGGCTGATGAGCAGCCGCCCCGAGCCTCGAGGCGTGGTGGAGCGAGTCGGGCGACACGTCACCGCCAGCGCCGTGTGATGCTGCGCTCTTCGCACACCACATGCGCCTGCCCGCGCGAGAGCTGCTGCCCGCCTGCCACTGCCAGAACAGCGAGTGCCGAGACGCAACCCGGGCCCCGCCTGCCCCGCCTGGAGCCGAGCTCAGTGGGCCACTCCCACACTCCCAACCGGGCAACTCTGCTCGCCGTCGCCGTTTGGGGCATCCCTCTCGGAGCACACGGCGCGGCCGCCCAATCAGAGACGCGCATTCCGTTTGCAAGATGAATCGGCATCCGAGATCGATCTAGCAGCAGCGTAGCAGCTCGGCGGGACCCAGTCAGCATGGATGGGATGCAGAGGTAGAGCCATTTTGGTATGACTGAGGCCGGAACGGTCCGTCCCGCGGACATTCTTCCTGACCGGGCTGATCTCCGTACCTCCATGCGAGTGTTTGGCTAGTGCCACCTGCACCCACGAGCCAGACAACCTTGCTTTCGCCGTGGCTGATTCGTGCCATGCCATCGAACAAGTCCAATGCCGTTGTCGACATCTGGCGAGCGCAGAGAATGCAGCCATGTCATCGCCTTCCTCTGGCTGTCCGCCCAGGTGATTGCGTCCTTGATCTGCTCGTGACAGGGCGCAAGACGAAGATGGTATGAATGCCGCCGAACACTCCGGAGAAGTCCATCTTGCGCCTGACCTCTCTGCGGGGTTACAAGTGACAAGTGAAGATGCCGACAAGAAGCAATTCTCCGCACGTCCAACGGCCAACCAGGCCTTCGTCTCCTTGACTCAGAGCCCCATCGCTTAGCAAAAGGAACGAGATGCAGCTGATGCGATCCGTCACACCGTTCGAATGTGCGCAGAGATTGTGTCAACGGTTTGCCGTGTTTTGCCGGTGAATTCAATACCATCAAGCTCAGAGTGGCGCACGGGAAGAGATAAGCATGTGCCTCGATCGATAGTGTTAGTCTATACAATCTACCTAGCCATGGACGCCGTCTCCGCGACTACGGTTCTTTATCGGCTGGAAAGGGCCGAGGAAGCCTATTGTTGATCTCAGGCGTCTGTGCGTCGGCTTCACGGAGATCACTACGATGTCGACAATCGGTGCCAGTAGTGGTTGTAAGAAATTTCACACTGTGCTTGAAGCCAAGGGTTTGCGGCAATCGGCCGCACCGAATCGTGCCTGAGTCAGGGGAAGCCGATCATTCAACAACATCGGAACCACTTCACTGCGCTAGGCGACCAGAAACCAGCTGAACGCCCGTTCTTGTATCTTACTGGACCGAACTTTCAACATCAAACAGAGCTTGGGCCTATGGTGAAAACTAGAAGCCTGTCTTTTTTGCGGCTCGGTCCCGGGTCAATTTCCTCTCTTCGCTTGGCTTACGAAACGATGAGAAAACTGCAATGAAACCTCGTCATTGCCGGATTTGGGAGCATGCCCAGAAAGTCATGATGATATATGAAGCATCTGGGCATTTGCCATCACAGCGTCAGGGTGCCTCGAAACCTCCGCGTTCCAAGGCAAACGTCAGCTATGATTCCCAATCTCAATCCCCGTCCAATAGTAGCCTTCCACGAGGCTTACCGCACCCCGGAAACTGTTTCTGAGCAGAGCGATCGCCACGCATAATTGGGGCGAGCGGGGGACGCTGTGAGACTCTACGTGTGACAGACTGTGAGGCTGATTGATAGAGGTAGTTTGATTGGCACGGCTGCTGCCTGTCAGCACACGCCCGGGCCCAAAGAAGGTCCACGGCCCCGGGGTTAAGGGCCAGAATGACGTGGGCTTGGTGGTTAAGGTTCAGAGGCACTAGGGAGGGGCGAAGATCGCGTCGCTGACCGGCAGGCGCAGTCCGATGCCATCTAGGGCCATGCACGCAACAAGCTAGTGCATGCCGAGTCTTGTGACAGGGCTGGCTGCGGGTGGTTTTGCCGGTGGGGCGCGCCCCCCCACGCAGCAAGACGACGGTTGGGGCTGAGGCTTGCTGCACGCGCAGCTGAACGCTGGACCCGCTCTCCGGCTTTCGACCAAACCGAGCATACGTGCCGGCCGGTTGACAAGCCTTTGCGCCTGTCTTGCTCTCCGCGAGCCCATTTAACCTCCTCCTCTTCCGCATCCCCGTGTCGCCAAACCACAGCGATACGAGATTCAGTCGGACCATGGAAGACAGCACGATGCACTGCGCCGTCTGCGGAGCCTCGATAGCTGAGCGTGTATGAACCTCCTTCACACCACCTCACGGCTTGCTTGTTGTTGACAAACACCCCCGCAGCAAGCCGCAACGCTACTAAGCGACCCCGCCAGAGAGCTGGAGCAGGTGAAGGAGCACTTCGACACGAAATGGGGTCCCTCGAGATTCACCACCGAACTCGGCATCGACGAGCTGCCAGCCACCAATGCCGGCAAGGGCTTCTTCACCGCCGACGACGACGGCCGCAGAGTGACACCATGCTCCTCGGACGAGTCCGTCGCCGGGGCGGACCGCTACTACATCCCCGTCCACAACTACTGCCTCGCGCTGGCAAAGCGCATCCTGGCCTCGCGCCACGGCCGAATCTGCAGCATGCGCCAGTTGTGGAAAGTCCTCCGCACCAGGTGTCTGTCGTCCGTCGCCAGCGGCCGAGCGGAACCGCTGGCGAGGATCGACGCTCCTGACGGCTATCACCTGCCGCCCAGAGAGGCGGATGCAGACGAATACGACGGTTGGGTACGCTGCAGTTCCCAATCCGGCAATGTCCGAGCTGACGAGAGAATGACCATCAGTGCACGGCAGACGCCTGGGACATCCCCGACCTGACCGCGGGCGTCCTCGCCCAGATGACGCCCTCGAACCCTTCTCTGGACGACGCCTCCTCCTCTTCCTCCTCCTCGGCCGGCTTCCGGGCCCGGTTCGAGCGGCTGCCGCAAGAGCTGAAAGACCACGTCCTGTCCTTCGTCTTCACCGAACACCACTTCCCGCCCGACTGCACGCGCCTGATGCCGCAGACCGCCTGGATGGACCTGCTGATGCAAGCGCAGCTCGTGCCGTACCTGTGGGACCTGCGGCGCGACGAGGTGGAGAAGAAGGTGGCCGAGGGGCGGGCAAGGGGGGTCGAGTGGGACTTCGAGCTGCTGGTCCGGCGGCTCTGCCAGTCGCGCTCGGCGGCCAACGGCGCGTCCTTGTCGAGCATGCCGGACGGCCTGCGCAACCGGCAGCGCATCTGGGAGCTCGTCGAGGCCATGCACATAGGCGACTTCCTCCCGTTGACGACGTCTGCGAGCCCCAGCGGTGCCCCTGACGCCGGCCGACCACCCGCGGCGATCCCGCGATACTGGGACGAAGAAGGGACCCTCCAGTACCCGTTGGTCTGGATGCGGAGACTGGCTGGAGCTGGAGCTTGAGCGTGGGCTCTGGCTTCAAGTACAGCGCTGCGCTCACATAATCCTTGCACCCGCACTGCAGGCAGCACCCCAGCCGCGCGGCACGCTAATGCTTGTGTGAGTCTCTCGCAAGCCATGGGCGCGCGCACACATCCGACTGCCCACCCGCAATGCCCAACCACTCCAACCACCGACCGTGTCTCCGCGATACAAAACAACCCACCCCCCGCATCGTCAACCAGCAAAGCCAAACAAAAAAGGGGAAGAAAAAAAGAAAAAAAGAAAAAGAAAAAGAAGAAGAGAGATGAAAGTCCTCCTAGTCGGCGCGACCGGCTTCGTCGGCTCCTTCACGCTGCGCCTGCTGCTGGCCGACCCGGCCGTCAGCGCCGTCGTCACCCTCACGCGCTCCGCCCTCAGCGCCTCGCCCTACATCCACTCGCGCCACCTCGAGTCGCCCAAGCTGATCGAGATCGTGCACGCCGCCGCCGCCGCCGACGACGACGACTCCGGGACCTACCCGGCCGCCCTGCTCGACCGCCACCTGCGCGGCGTGCGCGCCTGCCTCTGGTGCGTCGGCGGCCGCCACACGCAGCGCGGGCGCGGGCGCTGGCCCACCGACGCCGACTACGTGCGCGCCAGCGTCGACTTGCCCGTGCGCTACGCCGAGGCGCTGCGGGACCGCGTCGTCGAGGCCGCGGCCGAGGAAGGCGGTGGTGCCGCCCCGTCGTCGCCGCCGCCGCCGCCGCCGCCGTTCAGGTTCGTGTTCTGCAGCGGCCATGGGGCCGAGTGGGATCAGGGGAAGAGCCTGTGGGTGATGGGGCGGACGCGCAAGGTGAAGGGTATGGCCGAGAAGGCCCTGTTCGAGCTGGCCGAGAAGGAGGGGGGCGGCAAAGGGGCCCGGCGGCGGTTCGAGACGTACAGCGTCAGGCCCTGTGGCATCTACCAGAAGAATCCGAGCGTGAAGGATCTGTTCATGACGTCGGTCGTGTTGCCGAGTTGTCATGTGGAAGAGCTGGCGGCCGTCATGGTCGAGATCGCTAAGAATGGGAGCGAGGAGCAGATTGTGGTGCATGAGCGGATCAGGAAGTGGGGAGGAGAGCTTTTGAAACAGACCGGAGAACAGTGACGCCGAAGATGTACATGGCGAGCAGAGAATTTCCGAGTTTAACCAGGTGGGTGCGTGTCTGACGGGAACAGAGTGCCCGGATGGAGGTAATGGAATGGCGGCGTAGGTCATATGACTGTTTAAGATATTATTGATGAGACTTTTCAAGGAATGAGGTAGATTGAACATTGTTGTACAACAGGTAAAAGAATTGAGAAAGCAATGGGGGCCACGGAAACCTTCCCTATTGGTCGAGATGTGACCACTTTAGAGCATTTGAACTAGGCCATACTTGTCCACATATGGCCGCGAGGACCCGACGCATATATAGCTAACATCATGTCTGGTCTCGGTGTCGAAGCCGCCCCTCTGGGACCAGATGGCCTCCATCTCCTCCCTATGCTTCGACTTCGGCTTTCCCTCCTTCAGCCTCAGCTTCTCGAAGAAGCAGTAAGCGGCATAAAAGATATTGGCCGTGTTGCCGACATTGGGGCCCTTCTTGCTGCGGAAATTGGAGAGCTGGCCGGGGGCGATCTTGGTAGGGGCGGTGTACATGGCGGAAAGGTCGCGGCAGAGTTGGGCTTGAGTGACACCGGGCTTCTTCAGGTGGGCGTCTAATTTCTTGCGGATCTCGTCGCACGTATCATATATCTCGACGGTGTCATCCTCTTCGCCAACAAGGTGGATGTCGGCCAAGTCAGCAGCGGTGGCGGCCTTGTCCTTGGAGGCAGCTTGTGACCCTGTTTTGCCGACATCATCCGCCTTCTGTTTCTTGTTGCCACTACTGGCAGTGGGGAGCTTAATGCCGTGCATGTCGCGGTACTTGAAGAAGGCCCACGCATTGTAGTAGCAGTCAGAGTTTAACCCCTTGGTTGAGCCGCTCTGCCTGAGGAAGTTGTTGTATGACTTGTTGGAGACGCCGAGCTTATCGCAGAACTCGCCGACTTTCATGCCACCATTGTCGATGAGGCGACGGATCATGCGGCGGACTTGGTCAGGGCTCTTGTCAATCGGTAGGCCCTCGGTGGCGTCACGGAAGTCGGAGTCATCGAAGGCCGGGGATTCATCAACGCGACCGCGCTTTTTGCCGACATTTGGCATCGATGAAGGAGGAGCTCCGGGCTCACCAGCCAAGTCAATGAGGGTAGGTGACTGGTGTCCAGTCTCAGTGGGCGCAGCTACACTACGGGTAGTCCATCATACCTGTGTCATTATGTTGTACTAGACGAGAGTTTGCGACAAGGTTGCTGTCGTCTGACGGCTGTATGGATGGTGGAGCAGAAAAGTGCTGAGGGCGGTGCCCGGGGCATCTGATCTGTCGGCGGTGACGTCGACGCGTTGTATTGTTTACTTCAACGCGACCCTGACCCGCCCCCACGTGACTTTTGACTTGTGACGTCTCACTTCTCGCTCGTTACGTCTGTATGATCCCTTAATGGGCTGATGAAAGTTTCCTCGCGTGATTTTTCGGAATCACTGCCGGATTGGCACTGAGAAGGCAACGCTTAGGCTTACAATGCGTGAGGAGCCATGCTGGAAAGATGTTGATTTGTGTCGCATACAGTACACATGCTTTGCCAAGCCGCCGACATCCCTAATAGCCCGTGTTTTACATCCAATCACCCGACGCCCGATCCATGCAAGCCCGCCTCATGCCTTTATGCTGAAAGTTTGTCTTCTCTTGGCCGCCGTAGCCTTGCCCTTTGGCACCATCAGCGGCTCTGGCGCCTCGAAGGCGGGGGCTGTCAAAGCTTTCTCGATGACGGCGTTTCCGTCGATCAGCGTGCCCTCCTCCCGTCTCGTCTGCTCCAGCTCGGCCCTTCGCTGTCTCGTCTCGTCTAGGTACTTCTTGCGCTCGGCCGTCATGGCCCACTCCTTGGGAAACTTGTGGAAGACCTTGGGTTTGTGGTGGCGGAAATCAAAGGGCATGTCTGCGAAGGTGTCTTTGGGGTTTCTAGCTTCGTTGAGTAGGTCATTGATGACGTCTCCCAGGTAGCGCTTGTTCTGGGCCGGAGTCTCGAAATGCTCCGCGCTCATCTTGACAATCTGAGTGTCGGGGTTGTAGCGGGGACCAGCGAGCTTGATGAGCTTGTCGCGCTGCACCTGGGTGAGGTTGGGGAGATCGGGGACGCTGAACTCGACAACCACCTTGCGCTCTGCGGGATGGTGCTCGCCCATGTACGTAGTGTGCCGGAAGCGGAGCGGAGTCTCACTGGTCGGGGGCTGGAAGGGCTTCGCGTATTCTGCACGGCATTGTTAGCACCGAAAGCCATTGGGCAGGCAGGAGTGCGCAACCCACTCGCTAGCAGCGGCATCTCCCAGGCGGCGATGCGCATGTACTCGCGGATCTCGCGCTGCTGCTCCAACTCGGCGTGACCGGTCGAGGTGATGTCGTCGCCGTGCCACTCTTCATCCTCGCCCATGTCGGCCTCGCCCTCCATCCAGAAGCCTTCACGCACGGGACGCTCTGGTCGTTCATTGTAGCCCGACAGCAGGGACGGGTCGATGCCTGATAGGATCTGGTGCAGGGCCTGGCCTTTGGTGGGCAGATCGTCGCCGAGCACGCGCTTCAGCTCCTCGAACTCGTGATCAATGCGCTCCTTCTCGCCCTCGGCATCGGCATCGGTGTCGTCCTTGGCGCGCGGTGCTGGGGTGGTGGAGAAGCATCGCTGGGGATGCCATGGGGCGGGCACGTCGCGCTGGCATCGCCGTGCTGTGCGCAGAGGGGAGATGTGGACGGCGCGGGCGTGGAAAGCCAGGCGCTTGGCGGCGGAGGCCATGGCTGGGGGCGCAATGGGGAGGGGCTGGCTTGGGGAGGGTGGTGGTGCTGGCGGCGCTTCTCCAGAATCTTTGCGGACCACCGAAGCTCCCGCGGCTTGGCACCGATGCCGCTGGCCCAGCTCCGCCGCCGTTTCTCCACCACTGCTTGCCCCAACCTCACCAGGCCATGTCGCAAAACGACCAGGAGCGCAAAAAGGTCTGCTTCGTCACCATCGGGGCCACTGCCACCTTTGACGAGCTTGTCAGAGCATGCACCCAGCCTGACTTCCTCGGCGCCCTCGCCCAAGCCGGCTATACCGACTTGCTCGTTCAGTACGGCAAGAACCGGCGATTGTGGAAAGAGGTCGGCCCCGGCAACGAGTCGCTTGCTCAGCATGGTGTCGACGTCTCAGGCTTCAGCTTCCGCGAGAACGGCCTTGCCGCCCAGATGCAGCTTGCCAAGGGCCATCCAGCCGACGGCTCCAAAGAGGGCGTCATTGTCAGCCATGCCGGTGCGATACTCTTGCTCGCTCGCTTTCGCAAGCCTCCACTGACTTGCCTCCTCTCCGCCAGGCTCCGGCAGTATCCTCGACGCTCTTCGCCTCAACGTGCCCCTCATCGTAGTCCCCAATCCGTCGCTGCTGGACAACCACCAACAGGAGCTTGCCGAGGTGCTTGAACAGCAAGGCTATGTTATTCATGGAAAGCTGGAGTATGCTGCTTTCCGGACCCTACACGCATTGCCTTACTGACACAGAGGAAGCAATCTCGCGCTCTGTATTTCCCAAGCCGAAGAACTCCGCAAGCGTCAAAGAACGTGGCCACCCATCAACAGTGGCCCTCATCGTCGCGCCCCTGGGTTGCAAGGTGTCATAGACGAAGAAATGGGCTTCTTGGACTAGCGCCCTCCTTGGACCGCATTTGTGGCAACCAGCATCTGGTCAGGCCCACAATTAGAACCAGTTTGGAAACTACACATCCAGCTGGCTCTGGATTCGTTACGAACCTGAAGGATACCCTTCCGAAGCTGAAACGCAACTTTGGGGCTTGTGTTTACGCTGCCAGTTGGAGACGATTTAACAGCATGCCTTACCAGACATCAGGACCGCTGCACAGAATTGCATCAAGAGTCTCGCCCTCCTTACGCTCAGCCAGCCTTGAATTAAGGGTCCGCCCAGCAGTCATGTTGGAAGTGCAATCCTTTCTTCACCCGTGGTTATCTGCGTCGAGGAGTGTAGATGCATGAATGCTTCCACCCCCCGCTAGGAATTCGGATACTGGACTCGTGGGCTGGTGTAACGGTTTCTTCATGATTGGCCAAATAGTGCGCATCCGAATCCTGCGTTGGATGTGTTTTGGCTCAAAGCGAAAACTGCCGAATTTCACACACAATCTACTTCTGCATGCTTGATCCAAGCAGCAGATGCTAACTACATATTATTCACTCCCTCCTGCTGATCGCCCCTATGGGATACGGAACCTCCAGCTTATGTCTAGCTGAGCACTCCCGTAACAATGTCTTCTGTAGGTCTTCAGGAACTTCTCGTCATGCCTTGTGTTGTTCGTTACCGGCTGGTCGCATCGCATGGTCTACCCTTCATTGTTGGGATTTCCACAATGCTCCCCTCGTGCGGCCACAAGCATTTACTGTCACAATTGCCAGTACTGCATGCGAATCTCTATGATGGGTTTCATACTATGGTCTATAGTTTACTCGATTACACCAACGCTAAATTACTACAAATCTTCCAGTCCGCAGAACACCTTGACCCATGTCGACATGTGCCACAAAATGATGGCAATGGTGAGAGACAACCCTTCCCCATCAAACTTGTTTTCCCCGGGGCCAGTACGTGCATTTCCATACACCCTCTTTTGGTGGGTGAATGCGCCATTGCCTACTTCCTCCCGCGCTCTTGCATGAGGAAGCTACCACTGCTGACTTCAAGGTCTGGTTGATCTTTCTTCTTGCCCGGGATCAGACTGCTCGGGTGCTTCCAGTTGAAGGTGGCCATGGACAGGAACATCAACACGGCATCGAAAATGTAAAGATAGACCTCCTTAGAGAGCAACTCTCCGTCCTCGCCTTGCACGTACTCGACAAGGCGGAAGATGGAGCGGATCATGATGAGCCCGTTGGAAACGTACAGGACGATGAGGTACATCTGCCAGGACACGGCTGTCGTGCGGGACGCGTCGGTCGGTGCCTTGCTCAGACGCCAGTTGTAGTGGATGGTCGTGAGGATGAACAGCCCAAAAAAGATGATCTGGACGATCAGGCCGATGGTGATGAACAGCTGGCCGTGGTCCCGTTGTTTGGCCGTATCGGCACTGGCGAGCATGCCGCCGCCTGGACAGGATTTGCATTAGTCGTCTGTGCCATACGACGAGGGAAGATTGGGATAGACATACCAACACCCTGGATGAGGAACGAGAGGATATCTCCGAAGACGAAAATCTTGGTGAGCCAGTTGACTCGCACAAGAGAATAGGCCTCTCCGCCGGTCACCCTGATGATGCGGCCCAGAACCATGTAAATCGACGCTGCGAACAATGCTGGCGCAAGAAGCAGAAGCACGGCTTGCAAGATGTACGGGAGCTTTGCGGAATTTGGGTACTGCACGCTGGCTACGACGCGCGAGACGTATCCGATGACCTCGACTATGCGCAGTCAGTAAAAGATGGACTGTCAACTAGAATCTTAGGAGCACTAACAGGTACCGCCAATGACGAATGGAGTAAAGTACCATGTCCTCGTTCTAATAAGCTGCCAGGCATGTAGAACCGTGGATATGGCGAAGAGAGCTGTGAAGATGGCCCCGGCGGGCAAACTAGGTTTGTAATGGTCGTAATAATGATCTGTGGTTGAGGCGGGCATGTTGACTGGTTGTCGGGGCTCCGAGATAGAAAGTAAAGGGATTGCAAAGAGAGGAGCTTGTTGGTTGTTGATTGAGGCAAACGGGATCTCTGCAGCACATATTTATGCCACGCATGCGGTCGAGAGTCGAGGATTGCTTCTGCTCCGCCTCAAATCATTCTCCCTATCTCCTCTCCATTGTGGAGTTTATAGATGCCTGCGCCTCTTTTGACTGGCTTGGCAGTAGCCGCATTCGGATTCGTAGGCGGATTCGTAGATGGTCGCTCGCATTCTCTTGTCCGGGCCGTTGATTGGTTGGGGCTTCAAGCTTAGGCCATGGTTGGAACGACAAACTGGGGCCTCTGACACTTTGACGCAGCCACATTGATCTGACTTTGGAAAACCACTCGATCTGATCAGTTGGAGAATACGAAGTACGCGTGTTGGTCCCTAGTAGTTGCTTGTGCTTCATATTCAAGAGGGATTGCTACGGGGTCAGTTCTGGAGAAGGATCGGGTACCAGGCAGCAGCTTCTTCGGCCACCATTCTCAGTCCTAGGCAGACTCATGGATTGGCCATGTTGTGGCGTGACCTATCTGGTGGACAACACAAACACTTGCAAGCTACACACAGTTTCACTTTGATCTGTCGCAGATATTTCTGCGTGTGTAATGGATATTCATCACTGCCAAACAGTTCCACTGCTGTGCTCCAGAAAGCCATTAAAACGAGTAAAAAGAGAAACAGGAGACAGAACACCGCCTCCGTGGAGTGTGAGAATATTGCAGAGCACACGGTACGGATAGGCAGCAGTCGAGCATCCCCTCCGGAGGCTAGGACTTCATCCGATCTTCGAGAATTAACTGCTGCGGAGCTTTGCCTGGACCCGCAAAGTTTCCATTTTTGGCGCTCCGAACCCCGCACGGAAAGCGGGGGAGCATTCTAAAACAAGGCTTTGTAAGCACTTCGGCTTCTCGCGACTACGACCAGTCGCACCGTTTGACCTCACAACCGGCTCGGCTCACTGTGTGTTCCGAGTAACTTCGTCCGCCGGCCGCGTTCGCGATACCCGGCGAGAATGGCATCCCTGTTCCACGGGCTCCGGAGCATGTGAAGCAACCAATCCGCAGACCACCACGCTTCATTAATAATGCTGAAGGAAGGAAGAAATCACGACACATGGTCGCAATATTAGGCAGCTGAGCAAAGCCCATGTCTATAAAGCTGAGCGCTCACGTTCGACTGGGTCTTGGACACAGCGCAGCACGCTTCATTCATTGAAATCTGCAAACCTCCAAACGCGTCTTCCCACTCAATCATCTCTCCAAAATGGTCAAAGTCGCTGTTGCCGGAGGCCTTGGCAATGTCGGAAAGACCATTGTCGACATCCTGAAGACCAGTCCCAAGCACGATGTCATTGTTCTTTCCCGAAAGGTGCGTGTGGCGTCTGCTTTTGGATGGCGGGCCACTGATGTAAACCGAGACAGGCCGGCGATGACGCGACGGCCCCCGTTGTCACAGTAGACTACAACAGCGTCGACTCGCTGAAGCAGGTGCTGGAGAGCAGCGAGATTGAAGTGGTCGTTTCGGCACTGATGGTGGCGGACGAAGCGTCGTCGCAGTCTCAGCTCAACCTCATCAAGGCTGCTGACAAGTCTTCGACGACCAAGAGATTTGTCGCCAGTGAATACGGAGTGCCCTTCAGCTCCGAGTAAGTCACGCCCTTGGCACCCTAAAAGCCGAGAAACTGATAACGCGCCAGGGATGTGGCTATTCTGCCTCACCTGAAATTCCGGTTTGATGCGCACGTGGAGCTCCGGAAGACTGGCCTCCAATGGACTCGGTTCCAGAACGGCTTCTTTCTCGACTACTTTGGGTTGCCGCACATCAAAAGCTACCAACAGCCAATCGCGCCGGTGCTGGATGTTGCAAACAAGGCGGCGGCAATTCCTGGAGACGGGAACACGCCCGTGGCTTTCACGTACACGTTCGATGTGGCCAAGTTCGTGGTTGCGGCGCTCGAGCTTCCGACATGGGACAACGAGTATCTGATCGTTGGTGACAAGCTGACGTGGAACGAGTTCTTGAGGCTTGCAGAGGAGGTTCGCGGTACGTTTGCCCTTTCCAATGACCCGGCTCTGGACCGCGTGACTGACTGGATGGACAGGCTCCAAGTTCGAGGTGCACCACGACGATCTCGACAAGCTCAGGGCTCATCAGATCACCGAACTTCCCGTTCACGTTGCGGCGTATCCCTTCTTCCCCAAGGAGAGGTTGCAAGCCATGTTTGCGGCTTTTGGGCTGTATTTCGCAACGGGAAAGTTCGACCTGCCGACTGAGAAGGCGTTGAACCAGAAGTTCCCGGAGATCAAGCCCACGAGCGCGAAGGAGTTGTTGGAGCAGGCCTGGAAGGGTAAGTAGAAGGCTGGCCTTGGGATGCGGCTGAGGTGTGGTTGTATGTCAGCCCTAACGCATCTGTGACAAGGCGATGCGTGTACGTAGAATGCAAATCCGTCTCTTTCCTGATGCGTGTGTATTATTATTCCGTTGCGGTGGTGACCTTGGCGCGGATGAAAGAGAAGATGAAGGCAAACGAGGTCGGCCCACGGGGAAAGAGGCCGGCTAAAGTGGAGGATCGGGATAACGCCCCGACATCACCAGCAATTAATGCACAATTGCGCAGTGAGTCACTCTCTCGTTTTCCTGCGTTTGTCGATTGATCACCGCCTCATCTCCTGTTTCCTTTATCATGGCTGACATTACCAGGTGCATGCCGCTGTCTCGGGAGTCGGTCGCGGCGGCGCGCCAGGCCATCAAGCCCCACGTCCACCGCACGCCTGTGCTCACCTGCACCACCCTCTCCCGCTTCGTCTCCACCCCGCAGACAGAGTATGACTTGAACGGCACCGAGTTTGCGGGGCAGACGCCTGCGCGCCCCAAGATCAACCTCTTCTTCAAGTGCGAGAACAACCAGCGCGTCGGCGCCTTCAAGGCCCGCGGCGCATTCCACGCCCTGTCGCGCCTGACCGACGACGAGCTCAGCAAAGGCGTCGTGACGCACAGCTCCGGTATGACGGCCCAAACCGCGCTGCTATCCCTCCTCGGCGACCCTGCTCGCTGACCCGCCATAGGCAACCATGCCGCCGCCCTCGCCCTCGCCGCCAAAACCCGCGGCGTCAAGGCCTACATCGTCATGCCCACCATCAGCACCCCCTCCAAGATCGCCGCCACCCAGGGCCACGGCGCCGAAGTCGTCTTCAGCGGCTCCACCTCGCAGGAGCGCGAGGCCGTCGTGCAGGACGTCATCGCCCGCACCGGCGCCATCCTCGTCCCTCCCTACGACCATCCGGATATCATCCTGGGCCAGGGCACCGCCGCCCTGGAGTTCGAGCAGCAGGTCAGGGATCTGATCGCGGACAAGGCAGCGCTGAGCGTGCGGGTTGATACCGACGCGCTGGATGCTGTCATCACGCCCTGCGGCGGAGGAGGCTTGCTGTCCGGCACCGCCACCGCCCTGAGCGGCACTGGCATCCGCGTCTTTGGCGCCGAGCCGTCGTTCCAAGGCGCCGACGACGCGCGCAGGGGCCTGAAGGAAGGGAAGCGCATCACGACCGTCAAGTCGCTCACCATCGCCGATGGCGTGAGGACCCCGGTGGGCGAAATCCCCTGGTCCGTCATCAGCGACAAGAGTAAGGTGAAGGGCATTTTCTCCGTGACGGAGGACCAGATCAAGGCCGCCATGCGTCTTCTCATGGAGCGCATGAAGGTTTTTATAGAACCGACTGCTGCCCTCGGCCTGGCCGTCTGCCTCTACAACGAGGAGTTCAGGCGTCTGGTTGAGCAGGAGGCCGGAGAGAAGGGGTGGAATGTTGGCATTGTGCTTAGTGGAGGCAACACCACCATGGAGGCTATTGGTAAACTTTTTGCTGCTCCCGAGTCGAAAGCGGAGAGAGCAGAAGGCGTTGTGGGCAAAGATGGAGAGCGCAAGGCCGAGAACGTTGCCGGATAGATATAGAGGATACATCAGAGTATAGAAGGTTTGAGCGTCTGTGCCCCAGTAAACACACTGCGTCCTTCCTACATTGGTATTTCAAGCAAACATCCGGACGTAGATGCCAGTTTTGGAACTATACAAACATGTCTAGGCGTAGCATTCTGCTCATTACGGAAATATGGCCCAACATCTCCGTGAGACAGACCTAGATGGGCTCAGTCCATTTGCAACCCGCCATAGTAGGCGCCGTAGAGCATGGCTGCCGCCTCATCACTACAGCCTTCCGCACAGCACCACATCCTCGCCCAGAGGGCACCACTTGACCTCCTTCAACCTGGCCGCCGCCACCGGCCTGCCCTCCCCGTCGACCCTCCTCGGCGGCGACACCACCACGCCACCCTGCCCCAACCAAGTCGGCGCCACCGTAACGATGACCGAATCCACCAACCCCACGTTCCGCGGCTCCAGCAACGCGTTGATCACGCCGGCCCCTCCCTCCACCATGACGCTCTCGATCCCCTCGGCCGCCAGCCGGCCCAGCACATCGCCCCACTCCATCCGCCCATCCTCCTCCCGAACCCTAACCTCCAACACTCGCCCCCCACACCCCTCCAACACATCCCTCCTCCTCCTCCCCAGCGCCCTCCCCCCCACCCCCTCCGCCACAACCACCCACGGCGCCCTCCCCCTCCCCTCCCCCGCCAACCTCAACACCTTCGCAAGCCCTTTGCCGCCGTCCTCCCCGCCGCTAAAATCCCACCTCCCCCTCGGATCCACCACCACGGGCCGCGGCTGCCCCGCGAGCGGCTCGCCTTCCTCGCCGCCGTACCCGCCCACGCCCTCGATGCGGCAGTTGAGCGACGGGTCGTCGGCGACGGCGGTGCCCGCGCCGACGAGGATGGCCGCGTGCCGCGAGCGCAGGTGGTGCGTCATGGCCTTTGACGCGGGGCCGGACAGGGCCGTCTGCGTGCCGGGCGCGAGGGCGAGGGCGCTGTCGAGCGAGGTGGCGAAGGTGAGGGTCACGAAGGGGCGGTTGAGTGGGGAGGACGGCGGCGGCGATGCTGATGGCGATGGCGATGGCGACGATTGAGGAGGAGGGGGAGGGGGAGGAGGGGGAGAGGAAGTGGAAGTGGGATCGGTGGTGCGAGGGGGCAGGTACGGTTCTATTGCCGCGGCGGAGGAGGCGGCGAAGTGGAGGGCGTCGCGGGCTTTGGGCGGTGGGGACGGCATGGTTGTCGGTTGCTTTTTTTTTTTTTTTTTTTGGCTCTTTCTCCTCGCGCGCTTGATGCCTCCTTTTTGTTTCTTCACCCGTTTATCAAAGGATTGGTGGGAGGCGATTGTTTGGGGAGATGGTTGTTGGTCGAAGGAATGGTGGTTTTGGAGAGATGGCTGATGGTTGAAGGAACGGTGGTGGTTGCGGTGCACGTGGTGAGGTGTGGTGTGGGTGCGCAGGGATCGGCGAAGATGCATCGACCACGTTCGCTCGTCAAGATGAAAATCATCAGACCGTCATGTTCACGACAATGGAGGCAGACACGTACCTCCGAACGGGAACTCGAAAATCCCCTGCGTACGTCACCACGCACTGAACGGTGGTTGCCCGATCGACGGCTAGATTATTGACATTTTGCGAGGGTTGGGCTGTGGCGAGTAGAGTGGCTGGGGCAACGCAAGGGACGACTGCGGGGGCAATCCTTAGAGATTAAGCGTTACAAAACCGAGGCGACCGAGTCAGCAAGGGACCTCTCTTAAGGCTGAAGAATGCGCGTGCTTCTGTGGAGACGGACATGCGTTGCTCAAAGTAGCTTAAATCTATCCTTATAACCACCGATGCTCCTTCGAGAAGCGATCGCTGCTTGTCTGCTCCCCCACCCGTCCCAGTCACACCACATTGGTTCAGCGACGCCGGCGTATAATCCCAACCCTTGTTGGCCTTGTTCTGAAACGGCCAAAAGCAAACGGCTTCAGTTTACGAGCATTTGCCGCTATGACGCATGCGCGAAGGCTCGTACATAAGTAGAGATCGCAATCAAACTACGACCAACTTCAAACACAGCAAGGCAAGAGATGCCCGTCTCAGACGCACTCGTCAGCATCCTTCCCGCACGGCAGCCTCGGCTTCGCTACCTAGCTAGCCATCAGCCCGTCGCATCCATACTACTGTGTACTCATCAACGGCCACCAGCGTCGCAGCCTTGTGGGACCACCGCAAAATGCCGCTCCCCACGTGCCACCTGCTCCTCCTTTTCGCTCCGATTGTTCCATCACCAACCGCTCGTCCCGGTCCCGCTCGGGTCTGGCGGCACGTCCGCCGAAAGCTTACTTCTGCCTTCGTCCGACCACGCCGCTCCTCGTGGCCGCGTCCCTTGGCGGGTCCCTCTGCCTCGTGAGCGCCGATCACCATTACTCGCACTTCCAGGTCGAACAGAGTCAGGGATATCGAGCACCGCAGATTACCTATGCCAAAAGAAAAGCCAATGCAGCTGACTACGAAAATTGACCACATGGAATTTCGAGGAGAACCGACGGACATTCATCATGGCTAGATTATACAAAGGAGACACCGGCCTGGTTCGACTATACGCCCCGTTTTTTTCCAACGTGTATGAGATAACTCGATAGCAGGTCCGGGCCAGCCAGCACGTTACGTGTAACAAGCAAGAGCCCCTGAGATGTGCCAGAAATGAGAAAAACCAAAACAGAACGAGGAAGCAGCAATGAAAACACCTAACACGCCCGGATTCCTCCCTAGGGGCTGCTCTGAATTGCACATTGTCATGCATGTACTAGTGCCTGAGATCTTGGACATTGGCACTGCTTCCGAAAAATCTTCGAAATTGCGGGTATCGATTTGAATGTTGTCGTCTTATCTCCTGGCAAAGCAGCACAGGATACCGGTCTTGCCCAGGAACCACAGGCAGCCGAAGAAACGAATCAAAGACATGAAGGCCGTCGTCCACAGCAGGGCCTGGAAGAAGCGTGCCGTACGTTGGGAGGCACCAGACTGCAAAACACGTTAGCTGCTGATCATCTCTATCCGCTGCGAATCGGGTGCTTACCGTGAAACCAAACTTGTCGAAGTTGTCGCTGGTGATGACAACGGCAAGAAGGGCGTTGGAGAAAATCCATGCAGTCGTCAAGTGAGTTCTGAAAGACTTGTACGAATCGTCAAGCGTCTTGGCAGTGTCTTCAACCTCGGGCACGAATGGCTGCAGAGCACGCTTCACCGTCTGCTCGAACTGACTGTCGATATCCGCCTGAGAAACATCCGGCTCCTCGATGACCGTGTGCTTTCCATCGTCGGACTTGTCCGTCTTGGCAGATGGCAGAGCCTCAGCCTTGTCGGAACCCTTGGTACCCCACGAAACGTCATGCCAGTTGGAGAAGGCGTAGACGTTCAAAATGTTGATGTAGGAGGAAGCAATCAGCAGGTACTGCGGGAACGACGTGAACATGTGCCACGGGTCGAGGTACATGAACGAGGCAATGTAGTAAAGACCGAAAGTGGCAGCCAGCGCAATGATGATGATACCAACACCGTCCGACGAGAAGAAGGACGCAGCGAAGGCGGACGCCGAGCTTGTGTCAAGACCCTGCGAAGTCGGGCTCGTGAACGCTTGGACGACCAGGTACATGGACAGGATGACGACGTAAAGCTGGATCGTACCGAAGACGCAGAACGACACGACATACGAGTAACGCGAACCCTTGGGACGGTTACCAAGTGCAAGAATGAACTGCAGGAGAAGGAATGCCAGGTACGCGTACTTGAGCACGGTGTTGAAGATGGGGGTCACAGTGTTGCCGAAAGGCCAGGCGTTCTTCTGCTGACCGGAACTCGAGTCTTCGGCAGACTCCGGAATACCGACCAGATCCATGATGACGGTGGTAGTAAGCCAGTAGGAAGCCAGGGCGAACCAGGTAACGAAGAGTGTCGCGAAGTTGTAGACGAGCTGGATGTGCAGGAAGATCATGCGGAGGAAGTTGTGACCGGACTTGTACATACGGCTGAAATGCATCAACGCGTAAATACTGGCGGCGAACGAACCGTTAAGCCAACGACGACGCTGACCGATAAACTCGGGTGCACCTTCAGGCACATCGGTTTCACCCTTGGAGGCCTTGACGTAGGTAAGATGCCACTTCGAGCCGGCCTTGGCGACGAGTTCGAAACAAAGAATACGATCCTCGGCCAAGAACATGTTCTTCTTGAAAATGTTCATACCCTCGATACCCTTCTTGCCGAGAATCTTGGACAGAGTGTGATCACCGTGGAAGTACTGCTCAAGCGGACGACCCATGATAGCACGGAAACGGTAAGCCGAGAAAGCACCAGGCAACACAGAGACGTAACCAAACGAGGACTCCAGCGGCTTGTCGAGAATGTTACTGATCTTGTACTCGAAGTTCTGCGCGGCGACGAGCGGGTTGACAAGGTTCTTCCAACCCTTACCCAACATGGCGTGAATTTCACCGCAGGCACCACCAAGATCCTTGTCGTTGTAGAAGGCTTCCCACAGGGCGAGCAGGGACTTGGGGCCAGGCTTGGTACCGGCATCAATCAGGATGACGACTTCGGGGTTCAGGATGCGGCCGAAAGCAGTGAAGAGCCAACGGTGGGAGTTGATCTTCTTGGTGTTCTTCTGCTTCAAACAGAACATCATCTGGACAGGAGGAAGGGTGCTGGAGCTGTCGTCGTGGGGGCGGATCAGCTGCTGGTTCGGGGTAACAGACAGCTGCGTGGTGTATTCGAACTAGCAAGTGTCAGTTATCCAAATTCTCTGTTGCAGGCGCCAATGCAACTCACAACGTGTGCAGTCGTCTCCTTTCCGTCAATATCCCTCTTCATGACACCGTCCTGGTAGATACCGATGGTTGCAAGGATATCGAGCGTGCCCTTGTCGCAAGGATCGATACCATCGAAAACCAAGCACACGACGATCTTCTGCCAGGCGGGACCACCCTTGTTCCAGAACTCGGACTTCTTCAGGTTGACGATGTCACGGATGTTCTGCATAACACCGTGCAGCGTTCTGGCAGTCAGGACCTTGTCTTCGTTGTAGTAGGTCACGGCAATCAGCAGTTCGGTGTGACGGTTGTACATGGCCGGACGCAAATTGTAACCGTTCTTCAGCGTATAATCGTTGGGGTCGCAAGTAGCGGCCGTGTCTGGACACGCGTTAGAAATTGGGGGCCAGGAGCAAGCAGGATTGGAACGGGCGTACAGCGCATGTGAGTGAACTCCTCACTGCCGCTCTCAAGGTCATTGCGGTACTTGGCCTGGATGGCGTTTTGGATGGCCGAAGGCACGGGATAATCGGCACTCAGGACGGCACCCTGCACGAGGCGGACCTTGCGCGTGGCGGCACGCTTCAGACCGCCAGCGCCGCCAGGCTGCTGACGCTGACGCCAGGCCTCGGTGGAGCTCGTCTCGCTCCTGCTGTAGGGCGAGGGGGCGCGGTTCTGGTCTACACCAAACTCCGCAGCAGCCTCGGTGCCGCCATAGACATCGTCGGCCGCATTGTAGCCGGCTTGGTTGTAGCCGTAGGGCGTGCTGGAGGTGGAGCCGTCGGCGTAAGTTTCAGTCAGGCTGTAAGCCGACACAGGACGCGGCGGGGCTTGCATATGGCCGTCGTTCGTAGGGTCGTCGAAGGGGCCTGCGAGGCGGTCAGAACGGGCCTGAGGCGGGTCGGGGGGTGTCAGGGTGAGCTGGGTTACCTTCTCTCGCGCCGGTGGGGTTGGGGTGCAGCAGAGAATCGCCCTCGTAGGCAGCGTCGGGCTATGGGAGTTAGCAGAAGGAGAGACTAAGGGTCAGATGGTGTGGACAAACATGGTCACCCGGACGCGACATGTCATTTAGATGGTGGCTGTCGCCGTAGCCATTACCCCCTGCCTGGTGGTAGCTCATGATGTGCGTGCGCGCTTGAGAAAGGGAGACGCGCGGGGATGATCTTTGTGTGATGAGGAGAGGAGCGAGCTTTTTAATAGGGAGGCAGAGGTTAGGGAGAGATTTTGGGCCGGGATCAGCGCGACTCGGGCGTTGTGGAGAAGGGCAGAGGAGGAGGCGGGCTGTAGCGACTGCAGGCTCGTTTCAAGCGCACGCTTGTCAGGCAACCAGGGCAACACCGCTTCTCAGATGCAGCTGGGGCTGTCGCGCGGAACAGGGAACCAGAGAGACACTCGCTTTGGGCGCGCACGCCACCGCCGCCGTTCTTTAATGCTTTTCTGCCGCCGCCAGCGCCCGCGTTGCTGGAGCAGTCGGCGCATGCCTTTGTCTCCAAGAATAGCACACCCTGCGCATGGATCGGTGAGGTGCGTAAACACTGTCACCCTTAACTTCCAGAAGGACGCACTGGCCGCTCGCCTCTCTCCTTTTCCGCTTCCAGCGTATCGATACCGCGCCCGCCCGAGCGCGCGTGGCTGAGCACCCGGGACGCGGCGACTGCGCTGCCAGCGAACCACACCGCAGCGCGCGCTGGCCTCCCCTGTGTCCTGCGCCGCCGCCGCCGTCGCCCGCCCCGGCCGGCGGCCGTCTCTCGCGCCTGCATGACCACGCGCTCCACTCCAGCGCGCTGCGCGGCCGCTGGGGCGAGCGTGGCCGCCGCGCTGATTGCGAAGACCTGCGGTGGGGAGCGGAGCCTCTGGCTCGTGTCTGTGAAGTAGCACCAGCGTCAATCAGCTTACGCTGCAAGCCCCTGCCACTCTGCCCGCAATTTCATCGCGACAAATACGATCCAGCTCGGCCATTCCGCTGCGGCGACGCTGCGAATCCCACCGCTGGAGCCCGCTCTCCCTGGCCCTGTCGCCGGCCTGTCCCCCGCCATTGGCCTTCTCCTCACCACTAGCGTTTCGGGCCTGCGGTAGCCCTATCGTATCCGGGAGCGGGCGCCTATCCTCGCAACGCTGTGATAAGGCAGAGCTGCCGCTGCCCTCTGGCCTCTGAGTCTGCAACCGTTCGCCGCGACGTCGCGTCTGCTTTGGCGGTGAGCCTGCGGTACCTACAGTCAGCATTGTGGCTGAACTTCAGCCACAGCGGGTATTTTGGTAGGCGCAGTCCGATCCTGTCCAGATCCTTCCAACCCACCTCTCACGCCCAAGGGCCCGCCTGGACACTCTGGACGCATGTACGTGCCGGAAACCTGCGCCCGAACGCCCTCTCCCTTTTCAAGACAGGCGTCTGCTTCTTCAGGAGAGTGCTTCAACTGCCGGATTGCATTTAAACCGCCTGATCCGCCATCCACTATTCTTTGAACCGTCGTCCAATGCGCCAGCGCACGTCACCACAGCACAGTGCGCCGGCTGGCCTTTCTTTTAAACATCCGCCGCAAGCTTGCCGTCTGCAAAGCTTGGGTATCAGGGTCCAGGCGTTCGAGCCGCCGTTTGGATCTGGACTATAGCCTGCCAGCTTCCGCATTGAGCCCAATAATCTGCAGCAGGCGACTCCCTGCGCGCGTTGCGCTGAGAATGGTCTCTACAGCGCCCTGGATCGGGGATCGTTCAAAAATAGTCGCACGTCGGCAGTTGAAGCATTCATCTTAGAAGCATTCAGATCAACATCATCACTTCCCAAAGGAGTTCCCCTTCTTCAAGCACTTTTCGACTTTCCCCTTTCGGGCCATGTCCATGCCGCCCGTGCTGTATCTACCTCTTGCCGAACATAGACTTACTCCTTGCTGACTTGCCCTTGCCCACAGTTAAATACCTGCATTTTCCTTCGCGTCTGCGCTGGGGTTGCTTGCAGCGCCGCAGTGAGACTGAACGCCGACTCCAGCTCTAACAGAACTACTGTTTCGCTCGGCGCATGATGACATCGGCCGACCAGAAGGCGTTGCATACCAATCTCGTAGTGGTGGCATGCCATGCTCACTTCCTTGGGGACCCTGAAGCCGCCGACTGCGATGTGTACTCGCCACAGCAATGGAATTTACAACCATTTCAGCAACCGCGTGGGCACAAACCTGGCGAGCACGAGACATTTTTAGACCATATCCAGGCGGGGCTAAACAAGCTCTCCTCTGGCGCAGCCAAGGACAACAGCATCTTGATCTTTTCTGGAGGCTTCACGTCCAATTCTGTCCACCTAAGCGAGGCTCGCAGTTACTTCAGGGCAGCCATAGCTCTGACCAAGCTCCACGGCCAGTCCGAGTCTTGCAAGAGTCTATTTGGCTCGAAGATATTCCTGGAAGAACATGCCACCGACAGTTACCAGAACTTACTCTTCTCTCTTTTGTGCTTTAGAAAAGCAATCGGCAGATATCCTGAGACCATTCAGATCATCACTCATGCGTTCAAATCTGAAAGGTTTTTGGTGAGTCAGCACACCCACGTTAGGAAGGAAATCGTCTGACGGATGTTAGATGTCTCACGCCAAGGCAATTCGCTGGCCGTCAGACCGGATCAGGGTGCAGGGTATTGATCCAGTTATGTCTGGTAGATTGTCTCTCCCGCAATTCAACCAACACTAAACTAATACAGGCGCAGTAGAGGAATATGAAGACACCAAGAGTGGTGAAAGACAACGAGGCTTCCTTCCATGGACACAGGATATGTACGGGAGACGAGAACCCTTGAAGCAGAAGCGCGTTAGTCGAGGCTGGCAAGAATCAACTCTCGACGTGCTAAGCGCCGAGTTTGAACCGGGAATCGGTGAGCTTCTGAGATATGACGGTGGAGAAGAGGGCCAAACACTATACCACGGTAATCTGCCGTGGTGTCGAGTATAGGTTCAAACTGGAAAACCGCCATTGTAGAGACCAGGCATTGCGACATAGGGCTTTGACTGAATGTCTAAGTGACCATATACTAAATTGAAACCACATCGTGGTAAATCCTTGCCACAACCATACGGCAGTAAACCTTGAGTTGCGGCTGTCTTCGCGGGGCATGATGGACAGTCCAGCGTTAACGCAATAATATCAAGATGAAAATGTTCGGACAAGAATTAGAACGCTCCGAGTACTACCGTCTAATGCGGGCTCAGTGGATCCCATGTTGCAGCGGCCATATACGGCCAATTTCATGCACGAACGAGCAAGTATAATGTGGAGGCGCAAGTCCGTCATCGTTTTGTGCAAACATTGTCCTGAACAAGCCAAGATAGCCACTCCAAAGCAGAAGGAAAGGATGAGCCGGGACGTGTGCCAGAGCCAGACCCTAGGTAAGCTCAAAGCGTCCCGTCGGAACCGCATCAACAATTGTAAGGGTCGGTTCGTTCAGCTATTGTTATAAGTTGAGTGGAGAAGCCGATGCTCTGTTTCGGGCATTCATGTCTGTCATCGTACATGTCGGTTTGTCTGCATGCTCAGAGTGCCCGCCATGCAATTGCCCGTTGATGTATCGCTAGAAATTTTGTGTACGGACCGTGAGTGCTTGGGGCGGGTGTGGGTTGCGGCGGCGAGGCTGCCTGGCCGATCAGGCGGCAACGCAGGAGCCCCTCCATCGGAACCCTGACGACAGTCTTGGCGCCGAAGTCTCCAGCGCCCGACACAGCACGTAGAACACCCTCCGCCACTTATACCTCCCGCCACACCCTTCTGTCCTGCTCGCAAGCGCAATCTCGGTGCGACATCCTTCAAAGCCGCCGCCCACCCCATTCCGCTTCTCTTTGCTGGGCCGCTTGTATTCCCGATCTGTTCGCGCTTCAACTCCGATCTTCGCCGCAACCTCCGCCGCCGTCGCCGACAAGGCACTCTCTCACCCAGCATGCTCAAGATTTGGTCTATGGTTCGCCGACCATCCAAATGCGCAAAAAGAGTCTTTTGGCCAGGTTGCTGACGGCCTGAGTAGAAGCAGAAGCAGCAGCAGGAGGAGAATGCCGCTGCAGGCCAAAAGAAGAAAAAGGTCACGGCAGCTCAGCTGCGTGTGCAGAAGGGTGGGACGATCTATCCTAACCCCGGGCATTTGAAGGCGCGGGCTCACTTTGAACCCTACAGATCTTTCGGAGCTTTCGCTAGGCTCGACGATGAAGACCGAGTTCCCGAACCCTGACGACATCCTCAACTTCGTCCTCACCATCGAGCCCGACGAGGGCATGTACAAGGGCGGCCGCTTCAACTTCAACTTCGCCATCAACCAGAACTTCCCCCACGATCCGCCCAAGGTCAAGTGCACCCAGAAGATCTACCACCCCAACATTGATCTGGAGGGCAACGTCTGCCTTAACATATTGCGCGAGGACTGGAAACCGGTGCTCAACTTGAACGCTGTCATTGTCGGCCTACAGGTATCTGTCCATGAATGCCGCTGGATCAAGAAGCTCGCTCTAACGTTTCCCAGTTCCTCTTCCTCGAACCCAACGCGTCAGACCCGCTAAACAAGGAAGCCGCTGAGGACCTCAAATCCAACCGAGAAGGCTTCAAGCGCAATGTGCGTTCGTCGATGACAGGCGGACAAGTCCGGGGGCAGACTTTTGACCGCGTGTTGGTGAAGTGAGCACAAGAGGCAAATGTTCTATACACAGTGCGAGCGAGCATTTGGGCGGGGCGTATCCGGAGCTGGCGTACTTCCATGGGATTGGTGGGCTTCCTGCGACTGGCACCAGCGGCTGGGTGTTACGAATGACTAGAGTACATATACCAATCAGGTCCAATGAGAGAGCCGAAGACGCCCGTTTTCGAGGGTCGCAGGCCGAAGCAACGGTTCATGTCGGGCGCGCAGCGTCTCGCGGTCCGTATGGTACCCGATCATGGCGGTCTTCATCAAGAAGTCGCAAGACGAGCCCGGAGTTGAACCGCCTTCGAGCTAATTCCCTTATTTGGCAAGTGAGCATCATGGCGAGGATGTCGCCTGATGCTGTCATTATTCGGCTCTTGATCTACAAAACTGCAAGCGGGCCGCGCCCACAGTTATTAGCGCCGGGACAAATTGCAATCCGGCAGTGCTTTTGGGCTTGCCTCATAGCTGGTAAATGCGGCGCCTGGTATTGGCTGCACGTGATGCTGACCCCGGCGCTCCGATGTCGCTGAGCTCGGGCGCACTACGCGAGAGAATTCACAAGTCCCCAGATTGTTGCTCATCACCACCCTAACCACCACATCCCATCCTCTCCCCTCATCCCCAAGCAACTCTCTTAGCTGCTTACTGTCACAATGGCCTCTCGCACTGCTTCCAGGGCCCTCCGTGCCTCCGCCAGGCAATTGGCCGCCCCGGCCGTCCAGCGCCGCACCTTCGTGTCTGCTCTCAACGCTGCCACGAAGGGCGCCGTCGCCGCTGCCCCCCGCGCTGCTGTCTCCATGCCCAAGCAGCAGGCCCGCGGCATGAAGACCATCGACTTCGCCGGCACCAAGGAGGTTGTCTACGGTACGCTACCTCACATCTTGCCTACCACTAGTGCCAAAGGCTAACTTGTAGCTTGCAGAGCGTGATGACTGGCCGAGGGAGAAGCTCCACGTAAGGCACTGCCGCATTCCTCAACATAAACAAGCACTTAACCCGTTTTGCAGGACTACTTCAAGAACGACACCCTCGCCCTCATCGGCTACGGCTCTCAGGGCCACGGTCAGGGTCTCAATCTTCGTGACAACGGCCTCAATGTCATCATCGGTGTTCGCAAGAACGGTACTTCGTGGAAGGAGGCCGAGCAGGACGGCTGGGTCCCCGGCAAGAACCTCTTCGATGTCGACGAGGCCATCTCCCGCGGTTCCATCATCATGAACCTGCTCTCCGATGCCGCCCAGTCTGAGACTTGGCCCCACATCAAGCCTCAGCTTACCAAGGGCAAGGTAGATTGATCCACATAACGGTGGCATGAGTGGCATGAGCTGACACAAGACTTAGACCCTCTACTTTTCTCACGGCTTCTCCCCGGTCTTCAAGGACCTGACCAAGGTCGATGTTCCCACGGACATTGATGTCATCCTCGTCGCCCCCAAGGGCTCTGGCCGCACTGTGCGCTCCCTCTTCAAGGAGGGCCGTGGTATCAACTCGTCGGTCGCCGTCTACCAGGACGTGACCGGCAAGGCCGAGGAGAAGGCTGTTGCCCTCGGCGTTGCCGTCGGCTCTGGCTACCTCTACAAGACCACCTTCGAGAAGGAGGTCTACTCCGACCTCTACGGTGAGCGCGGCTGCCTGATGGGCGGTATCCACGGCATGTTCCTCGCTCAGTACGAGGTTCTCCGTGAGCGCGGCCACAGCCCTAGCGAGGCTTTCAACGAGACCGTCGAGGAGGCCACTCAGAGTCTGTACCCGCTCATCGGCGCTAACGGCATGGATTACATGTACGCTGCCTGCTCCACTACCGCCCGCCGTGGCGCTATCGACTGGAGCAAGAGGTTCCAGGCCGCCCTCAAGCCCGTCTTCAATGACCTGTACGACGCTGTTGCCGACGGCACCGAGACCAAGAGGTCGCTCGACTACAACGGCCGCCCCGACTACCGTGAGCTGTACGAGAAGGAGATGGAGGAGATCCGCGAACTCGAGATCTGGAGGGCTGGCAAGGCTGTCCGGTAAGTGACTCGTGTACACGCTTGATGTCATTTGTCGATCTAACAAACCTTGTAGCTCCCTCCGCCCCGAGAACAACTGAGCAGCTTCCAACAAAAAGCTACGGCATGAGGGGATGCATGGCGACAGCGGCTAGGCCAATCAAAATGGAAATGTATGACAACGCTGATCCGGGAGCCTTTTAACTATACTGGGCGCGGCTTTTTGGCGGATTTCTGTTTTCCAGTTTTCCAGTGTTTTTGGGTGTAAAAGTAAAGAATGAGGGTTTGGAATGCGAGGGTTTCATCTTCGGCAGTTTCAGCAATATCAGCTTGCGTTCGTTGACAAGACAAACCATGTAAAGTTCCGGGTATTTCGAAGGTGTGCACAAGCAAATGTGCGGAGCCTGCTGGGCCCAGCGAGCCTGTCGCCAATCATTCGATTCGGCATTGGTGCTCTTTTCAAGCACCTCGGCGCAGTATCGAGGCGCAGCAGAAGGAAGGTGACGCATCCTACGACGACGATCGCAGGGCTGTGGGAGCCCTAAGCTCCACCGCTGGTCCGGTGGTCAGTTGCTGTTTCCCCAGCCTCATCAAGCCGCCAGCAGGGAGCAGGCCCAAAACAAGCCTTCCGGTTCTGCGACACCGTTCGATGGAGCGTGGGCGGTGTTGTTCGGCTGCAAAACCTCCCTGTCAGCACAGACGCGTGGGGAGGCTGTGAATGGCCAGAGCTGTTGACTCATCCCACTCAATTTCACTAGCGCTGACGCCAGTGGCCGGCGGAATGCGGAGCTGCAGAGAATGTGGCCGCTCGTCCCTGCTACCCGCGCCTCGAGTCCGACCCTCGGGCGGCTACTTGTTTGCAGACCCGGCAGCCACGGCCCCATGCCCAAACAGGACACCGCGGTGTCTCGGTGTCGGGCGCACGCTCTGTGCGTCAGGCAGGCCTTCTGCCTGCCTTGTACCCGGAATCCAGCAACTCCATATCACCCTGCGGATCCTCAGGCACAGTGGCCTGCTTTCCAATCCCTTTTCCCTCCTCCCGCGAGACGTCTGAAGCCTCTCGTTGCGCCATCGCGACGCGGCCACCCTCGCACACATCACCGCCGCGCGGACTGACCACCCCATCAGCCGCATCCCAGCACATCCTCTGACCCCAGTTTCCTCATTCGGCACTCTACCGACTCCGCTAGCGTGGAGTCATCTGTAGCAATCACGCATTTCTGTTCCCATCCCGTCCTCATTGCATCTTCTCCTATCATCATGAAGGCTTTCCGCATCTCACGTGCCCCGGCTGCCGCCGGCGACGCTGCCTTCGATCCCTTCGCGAAACTTGTCTTCGAGCCCGCGCTCGAGTCGGACGAGCTGTTTGACGCCCTCAGAGAGTCCTACCCCACCTTGAAGACGCATACCGAGAGGAAGAAACAGGCTGTCCTGGATTTCCTGATGGAGGAGCGCCGGGCCATCGAGCAAGAGATTACCGCCTTTGTCCAACAGACGGGCACTCCCGCTCCCCAGCCCGATGATGGCTACTCGGCCAGACCCTCGCCCGTCTTCTCGACTAGCACGAGCCTTGATCTCCGCAAGCTATCGACCTCGAACTCGTCTACCAGCTCCTTGACTCGTAGTGCAGGATCCAGCCCCGAGACTTTGTCCCTCAAGGACATGACCTCGGTCTGGACAGCAGCCGGCCATGGCAAGCCCAAGATCCACACGCGAAGGTCGATGACCACCAGGGAGAAGGAGGAGTACCGGCGGAGACGGCAGATGAAGGCATGCAAAGAGTGCCGCTCTCGGAAGCGGAAGTGTAACCACGACCCTTCCAATGCCTCGTCTGCCGCCTCCCCGAGTACCGGTTCGAAAGTGAAGAAGCGAACCTCCACAACCACCTCTTCAAATCCGCTTCCTTCCCAACAAGCCTTTCTGAGCAGCGAGTTCGACAGCAGTTCGTTTCTCGCCGACTCCACCTTCTCCACCTCCGACAGCCCCTTGGACTTTCTCGACTTCTCTCCGGCCACCGGCACTGAAGGATCCTTTGAAGACTTCCTCCTCCTGCCCCAGGACGACTTCTCCTCGATCGACTTCGCCACTGATCCTCTCTTCCAGCCTGTTCCACAATCGTTCTCCTACGATCCGTTCATTGAGCCACAACAGTCGCAACAACACTACACGCCTTCGACCGGCTCGAGATCACCGGCATCCACTTACCAGTCATCGGGAATGTCGAGGTCGGCATCCAACTCAAATGCGCTGGACACCTCACAGAGTTGGAGCTTTGATCTAGATCCAATGGTGGATGTCGCAGGCGGCCACGTGCTAAGTGCGACATTCTCATCCGCCTCGACTGATGGCAAGCAGTCAGGCCTGGCTGCTGGCCTTTCACGAAACTCACTTTCGTCTTCATCTTCACGCAACTCACCAACACAATCATCTGCAGTCAGACAGTCATCCCACTCTTTGGATGGCGGAGTGAGTCCCGAAATGTCAAGCAGCAGCCGAACAAGACCGAGCCTTGGAGGAGTGACACCAAGTTCCTTCTTACTACCAGGACTCCGCCAGGTTCCACCCGGTGGTGGGATGCGCCACGAAAGACTACCACTGACTACGCACGGCATGACTACCACCAATGCGATCAGCACTCACACTGTGGACCTCCCAAGAGATGCTGGCCTCATGCCAGCTCCGACGCGAGACTCTCCCAACGTTGCACAGTACGATGACGCTCGCCGCGATGGCCTAGTGCTCGGAACCGATCCCAGCGCTGGCTCCCGCTTTGGCGAGCACGGCAGCTCCCTTGCGCGGCGTCCGCTTTATGCCAGTGGTAGAGTTGATACTCTGCAGGATCGGACCTTACCTCACTCCGATGGTGATGGCTTACTGGCCGTCCGTCCCCTACGGGAATCTGGAAGCAATGACACCGAAGCTCTGCTGTCGTCGAGAAATCCTACCTCCGTCAATCGTCCTCGCTTCACCCATTCAGACGCTCTATCCGACCGCTTTAGCGGTGAGGTCGTCAGTGACTCGAGCCAGCGGACCTCTCCGTCATTTCAATCGCGATCCACTACGAGCCTCGCCGAGAGTCACACTGTTGCCCACGGCGAGGGCCAAGATGGCACACCAAGGCCTGCTTCGGCAGCTGCTGATGCTAGAGTCCATGCCATCTCTGACTCTTCTGCTGACCAGGCACTTGCGGTCAGCAGATCATGCAAGGATGAAGAGCCCAAACGAAGCAACGTCGCCGCCAGAGTGCACTCGCACGCACTGGATGACGGTGCGAGCGGTGAACTACTATCACTCGCCGCCGTCCACACTCGTCCTTTCTCTCAACGTGATGTTGATGGAGCGAGAACCAACGTTGAGCAACGCTCTTCTCTTCTGCTCAAATCGAGCATTTCAGCCATGGTCTTCGTTATCGCCTCTCTCTTCTCGGCTCTCGTCCGCATGGTCATCTCATCTCTGCTTCACCTTGCTTCAGCGAGTCGTGAGCAGGATGCGTTGAACGGTGGCCGCCTCCGTACGAGCAACATCTCTTCCGGCTATCCGCCTTCTTCGTCGTTGATGGAGGTTACTTCCAGTACGCCTATTGGAATTGGTAAAGTGAGACTGGGAAAGCCGAAGATTCTAACCACCTCCGCGACAACACCGGTCTTTTCTGCGCTGCTGTGTGGGGTACACCGCAGTTGCCTGTTCGTGTAATGGCTTGATCCCGAGCGTTCAGCATCAGGCGTTCTTGGGATGTTTTTTTTCTATTTATACTACGGGGGTATGTTTGCTTGTTCTGTTGGTCTGGCGTTTGGCGTGGGTACGCTACAAAAAGAGTCGTGTTTGTACATTGACTCCCCTCCACGTGTAAGAGGGTACAGGATAGTTAGCGTGGTATGTGGAATGGATGGGATGTATTCAAGTGCTTGTATCAAGTCTGATTACACTTGTTGTGAAGGTGACCTTTTGATATCCTCGAGTGGCACTTTGTTTGCTCATTATGCAGAGTGTAACCATTTTCATCCTATGCGCGCCACCAAACCTATCACAACAACGAGCGTCTTTCAAAAGGCTTCCTGTCTTTTGTATACCACATACAATGCCGGCCGATGGACGATGTGAAGTAGCATCAATCGAGAACTGCTGAGATTCTCGTCGAGGCAATTGTACTCTCGGCACCAAATTAGGTTCCTACACTGCCAGGGTTGTGTGGCACTCAAGGAATCATGCCGCGCAGGAATCCAGGCTCAAACGACATGATCTCGTGAACTGTCGAGCTCCAGAGCGCTCCAACGATGCCATGCCTACCAACAAGTCAACAAGACGTTAGTAAGGTGCGGCACAAGGGTACGGTAGCAACTTGAGCTACAACAAGATGATCGGTTTCTACATATAGTCGTCGCATCGTGATCCATTCGTTCTCTCCAAGCTGCCTCTTTTCTTAAACACATAGGCTTGACATCAACCTTTACTGTTATCTATGAACATCCTCCCCACGCATATGATGGGTCTATCATATCTTCCATCTCTCCAACAAACCAAGGGTATCCGTATGGGCGCTACGGTCAATGCCTTGACTCCAACGAGTCTGGGGCATTGCATCGTAAAATCGATGCGTCCAACTGGCGCTCCAGTTCACACAGGTGAGTCTGTTTTGGGAGTAAACCCGAGTTGCTTAAATCTCCGGAGGACATGTCTATAGGGATGCAGCGGCCTGGACGGCTCCGGCGGCCTTGAATGCGGTAGAGCTGGTGACTTGGACTTCAACTGGGTACTTCCACTCCATGAACTTGGCCCACCCTGTACGGATGGGGTTAGTTATGGCAGGACGGAGGCATTGTCGTATTTTACATACCCCAGTATGCGCACTTGCGGCCAAAGTACTTGCCCAAGTAGGGCACAACAACCATGGTCAGGAGGAGCTCAAGCTGCTGCAAGCTCTCGCGCCACTCGCGCTCGGCCTCGTTCTCATCATAGTCAAGGCTCTCGGTGGTGGCCTCGGAAGGGAGCGAGTCAACGTCGTCGTCGGACGAGTTGGAGGGTGGGACGACGAAGGAGGTGGAGTCGGTGATGGACATGTCGGGCGGAAGGCGCGATGCGGGACGTAAGAGCTAGCCTGAGGGCACTTGGCGGCCCATCAAGACCGTAGGATCAATGTGCAAAGATGGGAGCAGGTCGCGAGGGAGGTCGGTACGGCAGCAGCGCAGAATTGCAGGAGGCCGCAGCGATCCCAGGGTGGTGGTTGACGTAGCGGCAGCGCGGGCGGGCGCGGGCGGGCGCGGGACATCTGCGGCTAAATCTGGTCTTGGCGTTCACGTCGGTTTTTGTTCAGAACAGTCATAGGTATCTGAGCGCGGGTGGTGGGCGACAGGCACGACAAAAGCACAAGCTCCGACACCTCACTCCCTCCCCGCCACCTGAACTCCACCGCCCGCAGGCCCATACATCCCCCAAGCAGCGCCTGTCCTTCACAACCATGGCGGACGCCGAAGTACGTGCTCCCCTCCCCTCCACCGTGCTCTGAGCTTGCGTGCCCCTCTGCCCGATGACGTCCGCGTCTCTAACACGGAGTGTGTGCGGCACGCAGGTTCAACCTTCCGTCGAGGAGCGCAAGCCGCGCAAGTCCGTGGCCTTTGCTGATGGCGCCCAGATTGTCGACAGTGATGGCAACGTCCAGGACGTCAATGGCGCCGGCGAGAAGGACACCGCCGAGAGCCACGCCAACGAGACGGACAAGGCCGTCGACGAGGTCACCGACATGTTCAAGGACCTGACCAAGAAGAAGAAGAAGAAGTCGTCCAAGACCAAGGAGGGTGGCGACGACGAGGCTCCGGCTGGCGATGGCGAGTTCGACCCGTCAGCGCTCAAGAAAAAGAAGAAGAAGAAGAAGGTCGTCGACGCCGACGACTTCGAGGCCAAGCTGGCCGAGGCCGGCGCGGGCGCGGACAAGGAGGAGGAGCAGAAGGAAGACGAGGTGCAGGAGGGCGACATGGAAAAAGGAACCGGCATCTTTGCGCACGACAACACGACGCCCATCAACTACGACTTGCTGCTCAACCGCTTCTTCACCATGCTGCACTCGCACCACCCCGACCTGGCCTCGTCCGGCTCCAAGAGCTACAAGATCCCGCCGCCGCAGTGTCTGCGTGAAGGCAACAAGAAGACCATCTTCGCCAACATTGCCGAGATCTGCAAGCGCATGAAGCGTACCGACGAGCACGTCACCCAGTTCCTGTTTGCCGAACTGGGCACCAGCGGCAGTGTCGACGGCAGCCGGCGACTGGTCATCAAGGGTCGTTTCCAGCAGAAGCAGATCGAGAACGTCCTCAGGCGGTACATTGGTAGGACCCCCCAGGAAAGACGTGTGAGTGATTGCACTGACGCCACGGATAGTCGAGTACGTCACATGCAAGACGTGCAGGTCGCCGGACACGGAGCTCAACAAGGGCGAAAACCGTCTGTACTTCGTGACGTGCAACTCGTGCGGATCCAGACGCAGTGTCACGGCCATCAAGACGGGTTTCTCTGCCCAGGTCGGCAAGAGAAGGAGACAGCAGGGTTAGAGCGGAGGTGTGGGTGCATAGTTGGACGGTTCTCGGGTTACGACTGCTTGCGCGCGGGCTCCATGGCAACGGCTGGATGGGTTCTGAGCTACGTTTATGTGGCGAACAAAAAGCACGGCGGTCTACGGATTTCTCACTCACGGGAAGGGGGGGTGTATTGTAGCAGACACAAAGGCAGAATGCACATGATACATGCAGCACAGCTCCAGCTACCGGCAGTGCCCGGCCTGTGGCGGTCGATAGGCGCCGGGGGCCCACAGGATCCTTGGTGAGCGCTAAGCGATGGCCGTGATGTTCGTAGGCGCCGAGGGTGGCCAATGGCGACGCGAGCCCCGCGCCCCGAGGCCGCGACGCGTCGGGGGCCCAAGAGATGATCAGCTTACCCGGTCAGAAACAAAAACGCGCGCGTACAGGCTCCCGGCGTGAAAACGAGTTGTGCGCGGCGGCAGCGCTGCTGACACACGGCGGGCCGCTGCTGGATTGGGCATGTAGCTGAATTGTAACAAAAGAGGCGCGGCATGGGCAGGTTTGTGCAGCTCTATATAGAGGCGCCCAACCGCCAGCATGCGCCCACCATCGTCTCCGCTATTTCTCACAGCCAGGCTTGCCGTTACTATCCGCCGTCGCGTCGCACCAGAAAACACACGGCGGGGTACAGCGCCTTCGTCCTACGCCCAAGCGTAGTGCACATCTCAGCTCTCGCCCGACTTCATCCTGCCCGCATCCTGCACTACTACTGTACATTCGGCCATGTCGGGTTACCCGTCAGCGACCAGCCCTCAGGCGCAGTACTTCCCGCGTAAGCCCAGCCCAGCGCCGGTGTGGGATCTTGCACTGACTTGAGCGACAGCCCCGCCGCAAGGTACCAGCAGCTCCGCCGAAGCTCCGCAGCGGCCACCCCAGCGGCCACCCCTGCTAACCACCTGCTACCAGACGGCCATCAGCCGCAGTTTGCCCCTCCGCCTGCGCCGCAACAGCAACAGCAACAGCAGCCGCAATACTATCCCCCGCCGCCTGTGCAGAGTCCACCCGCGACCCAGCAGCACTTTGCGCCGCCGCCGCAGCACCAGCACCAGCACCAGCACCAGCAATATGACCACCACCGCGCCTCCTCGTACCAAGGCAGCCCCGCGCCGCACCAGCAATACGCACAGCAGCCCGCTCCCGCCTATCCTCCTCCGCAATCCGGAAGTCCGTACCCTGTAGAAAAGGCGACGCCGCCCCCGCCGCAGCCTGGCCAGCTGCAACAATCGCACACTTTCAATTCCAACACTCCGGCCCAGATGCCCGGCGGCGCTCCTGCTGCTGGGCACTTTGTGGGCGCCGGTGCCACTCAGGATGATGTTGGCACCTTCAACGGAGGAAGTTACAGAATCAGCCATCGCGACACCAACAGTATTCTGACTGTCCAGCTGGCGATGGGGTGTCCGCTGACCGCGAGGCCTGGTGAGGAAGCCCGTTCTCTGCCGACGTCGGATCCGCGCTGACTCGTTCCAGGTGCCATGTTCGCCATGTCCCCCACCATTACCCTCAAGGGTAGCATAAAATTCTCGTTGAAGAAATTCGTCGCTGGTGGCGAGCTGTCCACATCGACCTTTACCGGCCCCGGCGAGCTCCTGCTCGCTCCTCCTTCCCTCGGAGACATCACCAACATCCGCCTAAGCGGCAGTGAGATGTGGAGCGTAAGCAAAGACGGTTTCCTGGCCTGTACTCAGGGCATCGTCAAGGAGTACAAGAGCCAAAGCTTGTCCAAGGCCATGTTCTCTGGAGAAGGTCTTTTCGTGTACAAGATATCGGGCTCTGGTATTCTTTGGGTCACGAGCATGGGTGCCATTTTGAGGAAGGATGTGAGTGCCAATGCATGGTGTTTTTGCCGCCGTGTGCTGACTGCGTGCAACAGCTTCAAGAAAATGAGAAGTACATTGTGGATAACGGTCATCTTGTTGCTTGGAATTGCAAGTACGTGCTTGAGCGCGTCGCGAGTGGCGGTGTCATCTCGAACTTGTCTTCAGGCGAAGGCCTGGTGTGTAAATTTACCGGTAGGTTGACAAGCCCAAGACATGTCCCGACTGCCAGGATGGTTTGACTAATCCACCGTCTTGACAGGGCCCGGCACCGTCTTTATCCAGACAAGGAACCCCACAGCGATGGCTCAATGGCTCGGAGCGCACACTGGCGCAGCGTAGTTACGACTTCCATGATTCTTCTCTTATTTTCCGCCGCCCTATGCTATACTTTGAACCTTCTTGTTTTTTTTTTCGATTTTTCGAGCGAGAAGAAATTGAGATTCCCCCACACCGAGGGTGCTGCTCCAAGCTAAGGACTTATTTCGCCATCAATATTAGCGATATAAGGGTGCCAACTTACCATTGATAGAGAAGATTCACTTCTGGTTCAGATTGCGCTTATTGTTCCTTTCCAGCAGGTCCATTGAAACTAGATTCGGCCCCACCTGTTCGATCCAAGGAGACATCATTATTAGTAGCACCAACAACAAACACTCATCCATCGACACGATGCCTAGCCAGAGCCGATCCACGGTCTGTCAACGGCCTGGTTGATCGCGTGGCAGCTCGAGATTGGTCTACAAATTTTGCTCGGTACAGGATGGCGCCAGAGAAACGGTGAGTTGCACTTTGTTCATCACTCCCACCCAGGAGAAAATCGCGAGTGGTCTCAGCTAGAATCAGACACAGTTAGACGTAGGTACCGACGCGAATACGGAATGGATATTTTAGCAGTCATGTTTCAGACTGTTACCACAGTAAGGTGAAAGTCTATCGCTATGCAACATCTCAAGAGGCGCTGGAGTATAGCCCGACGCATCGGAGTAACACGTTTCGTGGAAGGGTATTACGGTACGCTTGGAACGGGCTTGCAGCATTGTGTCCCTCGTTTGGACCATCCTGAAAGTCTCCCTTTCTTCGCTCAAGTTCTCACAAAGTGCCCCTTCTCCACTCTCCCCATCAATTGTTCCCCTTCCGTATACTTCAATCATCACACACCGGGCGTTCATCTCCTTCCAACGTCTTAGAGATTGAGCAATGTCTGACATTCGATCAACCTTTTTCCAACCCTCGAATGGATCTCGAGGCACCTATAAGCCGCCGGTTGATTCAGGCTCTCGAGGCTCTGGCCATGTGCACAGCAATCGGAATCACGAAACCCCTGCACCGATGGGAGCATACGATGAACCTGAGCTCAAGCGTGAGATGCTTCCACGCCACTTGCAGATGATTTCGGTGGCTGGAGCTTTCGGCACTGGCCTAATCATCTCTTCTGGAACAGCACTCCTGAGGGGAGGTCCGGCATCATTATTGATTGCCTATACGATTATGGGGATTAACGTCTACTTTATAATGACCGCCCTGGCAGAGATGGCCACCTATGCGAAGATGGACAAAGGGTTTCCAGGTTACGCAACAAGATTTGCAGACCCTGCATTAGGGTGAGAGAGTGTATTCCCGCAATCCTGGCCCTGCCATGCCGGTCATGGCCCATGTAAATTGACGGTCGTGTCAGGTTCGCAACGGGCTACAATTACTTCTGCAAGTACGTGGTCGTGCTCGCCAACAATCTCACAGCCGCGGGCATCATCATCCAGTACTGGCGCCCGGATCTGAATGTTGGTATCTGGATCACCATATTTGCGATTCCGGTCATTGCCATCAACTTTTTCCACGTCCGCGTCTTCGGGGAGACCCAATACATTGCTGGTGTGGTTAAATTGGTCGTCATGACCATGCTTATCATCGCCTGTCTCGTGGCGTCCCTCAAACCCGTTGAAGGTCGCGGCGTGGTCGGGTTCAGGTATTGGAAAAACCCAGGCGCTTTTGGCGAATACCTTAGGCATGGCGATCCCGGACGCTTCCTCGGATTTTGGGCCGCATTCATTCAAGCTGGTTTCGCTTACATTGGAACTGAAGTTGTGGGCGCCGCCTTTGGAGAAACACCAAACATTAAGAAAGAGGTTCCCCGGGCCATCTTTTGGACATTTTGGAGGATAGTGTTCTTTTACATCGGCGGCGTTGTGGTGCTGACCATGTCTTGTCCGTATCAGAACGATATGCTCGTGGGAGCTACTCATTCGAAAGCGAGTGCCGGTATGTCCGCTGCAAGGAGAACATTTGACAGTCGCTGAACAACACTCGTGACGCAGCCGCCTCGCCCTTTGTCATCGCCGTCAAACTTGCAGGATTCAAGGTACTTCCAGACGTCATCAACGCAACCTTGCTTGTGTTTGTGCTCAGTGCTGCATGCTCCGGTAATCAGTTTCTCTTGTCCCATCTAAGACTTCGCTGATGACTCCGATCCTCTCAGATATATATGTCGCCTCGCGTACCCTTTACGCCCTATCCAAGGATCATCAAGCACCTCGGATCTTCAAGCGCACCGTCACACTGCGGAATCCCACGCTTCGTGACCCATTAAGCCGACGGGACAGACTCTTAAACCTGTGTGCCGGCGTGCCGCTTGCCTCGGTACTGTTTTCCTCTTCCTTCTTCCTCCTCGGATACCTAAATGTTTCGAAATCATCTTCCACCGTCTTCGGGTACTTTGTATCACTTGTGACCGTTTTCGGGGCTTTGAATTGGGTCAGTATTCTTATTTCGTACATCTGCTTCTGCCGTGGCCTTCAGGCTCAAGGCATACGGCGAGAGGATCTACCGTACCGAGGCTTTCTACAGCCATACGCCTCGTTCTTCTCCCTGGGCATTACTTTGCTGCTCATCCTCTTCAACGGCAAGTCCCTCCTAGTGTGTTGCCCTGCCCTCGAAAAGGCTAACCTGAACCTTGATTCAGGCTTTGACGCTTTCATCGACGATTTCGACGTCTCCAAGCTTGTGACATCATATGTCGGGGTCCTCATCTTTGTGGTAAATTTCTATTGTTGGAAATTCTTTGCAAAGACGACGATGGTCAAACCACAGGATATGGATTTGGTAAACAATTGCAACCTCCAAGCAGGCACTGAACACCTCTTGCTTCGGCAGACTCCTGTATCGAAGTGTTGAAGGCGGCTTTTGGAAGCCCCGGCTTAGACAACCAAGCTGGAGCAATTAATTTGTATGTACAAGGTGGCTTAGTACGGACCAACGGTGCCCTATGCTTTCTTCAAGCATCGATAAGAACATCAATACCATCAGATCAGATGGGCTTTGAGCTGCTCCATAGCATATTTGAAGCCCTTCGCTTCCTCCGGGGAGATGCCCAATTCCTCCTTGCTCACGAGCGATTTGCCCAGGTGGGCATGCCAGTCAGTGACGAGTTCTCCAAACTTCATCTGAGCGGCCATCTCGCGCCCAGCGATTCCCCAAAGCTGTTCGTATCCTTCGGGCGTGATTTCGGCAAACACGGCAGGCTTCCCGGTGACCTCGCTCCAGGCCTGGACCATCTGCTCGAAGGATATGACCTCGGTATGCACGCTGACATATTTGCCCAGTGTCTTCTCGGGGTTTGCGAGCACCTGGCGCGCCCACACGCCCACCGTCACGGACCCATGGCCAGTGACGGGAATGGTAGCGTATGGCTTCGTCGGAAGGGCGAGGACGTACTTGCCGCTTCCCGGCTGTGATTTGTGATGAGCTTGGTGTAAACACTGTCAGGTTCCTCGACCACTTACAACTTCAAACAGCTTGGTGTTGGGGAAGAAGGCCAGGTTCGACGAGTAGAAGCCGACGTAAAAAAACGTAGTCTTCGCGGCCAGATCAGGGAAGTCGTCACGGATGCGTTGATCAACCTTCGCTTTGTAATCCATGTGCGGGACGGCGCATTTGCCGCCAGTCAAGTCGGTCGAAGATGGGATGGAGCTCCAGATGTAATGCTCCAGCGTCTTCGTGCGAGATGCGGCCTTCACCAGAAGCAACGCCTGCTGCTCTTCAATGATTCCCGACTCGACTTGCGATTTCCCGGTGAATAGAGGCTCCCAGAAGTTGGTCATCGCATAAATGGCGTGCACACCCTGCCAGTATTTAGTTAGCTTCATTTGTCATGGGCTCCATGGGGTTGTTGACCAAAACAGTAAACCGTAGACAATAGAAAGATATAATGCAGGTTGGTAGTACTCACCTCGAAAGCTTTCACCAACGAAGCCTCATCATTGAAGTCCGCAGCAACGACTTCAGCTCCCTGAGCGGCGAGGGCTTTGGCAGCGTTCCCATTCGGATTGCGCGTGATTGCTCGGACTTTCCAGTTGCCGCTCTCCAAGAGAACGCGAGCAACAGACCCGCCCTGTGTGCCTGTGGCGCCAGTGACTGCGATGATTTTGGCCATGTTGTAGTCTTTCTTGATGTTTGATGTCGGTGGATGTGGGTTACGAAACTTGCATTCAGCTCGGAATATATATACTACCTTCCTCTGGGTGAGCGAGCATTGATTAAAAATCCGTTCGGGATATTTGTTGGAAGTCCAGTCGGGGTATTCATCCGGTGATGCTTCTCCCAATCAGATACCGGAACGCACTGCAAGCTCCTATTGGTGCGGACAACTGAATATGTCAATCCTTGGTGGAGGGTCCAGAGGCGGGCACCGGGGTAAAGCAGCGGTCTCGGCCGAGTCGGGGTTCTGTTCCTGCCTCAGGCGGGAAATCGGACCTCCGGGGCCCCGGATCCGGATATTCGGGTCCCTCAGCCAGTAGGTCATCACTCCTACTTTTACATACATCACCGTGTCTTGCAATACTTTCCTTTCCTGCACCAGAGTAGAATCCAAGAACACTCAAAGGTATTGCCGTGGGAAGTGTTTCACAAAGGCCAGAAGGACGCGTTCAGTAGAATTCATTTTTTTCTTCTTGATTACACAGACATTAGGCTTTGTGGCTCACGCCAGTTTATATTCTCTCGCCCTCCAAGATGGGCTTCGCTTCGGCGCTCTTCCACCAGCTGACGCCGTCCTTTCCAGGAAACTCAAACTTGTCCATACTATCCGCCTTCATCTCCACGCTGTAGCCGGGAGAGGTGGGGGTGACGTAGTAGCCGTTCTTGATCTCGCTGGGGTGGAGGAAATGCTCGTGCAGGTGGTCGACATATTCCAGGACACTAAGCTTGCCGCTGACGGCAACGTAGTCGATGGTGCTCAGGTGCTGAGTGTACTCGGGCAACCCGACGCCGCCCGAGTGCGGGACGATGGGCACATTGAACTTCTTGGCCATCAGCAGCACGGCCAGCACCTCGTTCACACCTCCCATACGGCAGGCATCGATCTGGCAAATGTCAATGGCACCCTGCTGGAGCAATTGCTTGAAGATGACGCGGTTCTGGCACATTTCGCCCGTGGCAACGCCAATGCCATAGGGCTTGAGGGCCTCGCGGATGGCCTTGTGCCCGAAAACATCGTCGGGCGAGGTGGGTTCCTCGATGAACCAAGGCTTGAAGTCTGCCAACTTCTTCATGTACTCAATGGCCTCGGGCACGGACCAGACCTGGTTGGCGTCGACCATGAGGATGTTGCCCTTGTCGAAGCCGATGACCTCGCGAGCGATGCTCAGACGCGTGCGGTCCTCGTCGATGGAGGTGCCGACCTTGAGCTTGAAGTGCCTGTATCCTGCCTGCAATGTCTCCTCCAACAGCGCCTTCATCTTGTCCCGGCCATAGCCGAGCCAGCCGGCACTGGTCGTGTACGCGGGCACGGCACGACTGGCTTCAGCATCCTTGAAGCGCTGCTCCTTGCCCTGCTGCGCATCGGTGAGGATCTTGATGGCCTCTTCGGGGGTGAGGGCGTCGGTGATGTAGCGGAAGTCGATGCAGCGGACGAATTCCTCGGGCGACATTTCCGACACGATGCGCCAGACGGGCTTGTTGAGGGTCTTGGCCCACAGGTCCCAGATGGCATTCACGACAGCGCCGAGGGCGAGGTGGATGACGCCCTTTTCGGGGCCGATCCAGCGCAGCTGGCTGTCGGCGACCAGATACCTCCAAGTCTTGCCCCAGTCCTCGACGAGGCTCTCCAACGACTTGCCCCGGACGCGCTGGGCGAGCTGGCTGATGGCCTGGCATACGATTTCGTTGCCGCGGCCAATTGTGAAGGTCTGGGGCAAGTTAGCGTGTGCCGAGGCCAATGCAAGAGCAGATGCGGAGCTACCATGCCATGGCCTTCGAACTGGCCGTCGGTGTGCAGGATGCAGTAGGCGGCCGAGTAGTCGCCGGCAGCGTTCATGGCATCGGAGCCGGTCTTGTCAAGCGAAGTCTGGATGGCAGTCAGTGGCAGGCGCGTGACAGGCGTTAGCGGGGCGGGTTCGCGCACGGGAAAGCGCACATCGCGCGTGGTTGCGTGTGTGATGGTAACCATGGCGGGCGAGGAAGGGCTGGGAGCAAAAGGCGAGGAGGAGCGGCGGACGGACGAGGCCAATGACTGGGAGCAATGGCGGATATAAATGCGTGCCGGAAGAATCCAGGACCCCGCGATGCCCCTCGGCGGGGCTCAGCGCGGGCTGATAGGTGGGAAAACCCGGCGCGGAGAGAGGCGGGGGACTCAGCGGCCAACAATTCTGCGGCGCGCCCAGCTCGGGCAAGCGTTCGGCGAGTGCACCCTGCAGCAGCTGGAAATGCTTGACTGGCGATCTGGGTGTCGCTCCCCCACGCCGCTGTGCCGCCGATCCCACCTCGGCCCCAGCCTTGTCGGCATCTGCTTGCCGCAAGAACGGTGTGCAGATGCAGCCGAGGCGGGCCTAGAATGCGGCGCGGTCCGCGTTGCGGCCTGGGTGTCGGCGGCGGGCCTGCTCGCCGAACGGAGAAATAGAGAAATACGTACCTAGTCGACTGGTCGCGTGCGTTGAGGTGGCGCTGCAGCGGCAGCGGCAGCATGTACTCTGGAGACGGCGATGCTGCAGGCACACAGGCACACGGGCACACGGGCACACGGGCACACGGGCACACGGGCACAGAGGCGCCGCGAGCTAGCCGAAGCGATGGGGATGTGCGGCTGAACTGACGTCGACGGTCGTGTGCGGTGAGGACCTGTCTGTGGTTGGTGAAGCAGGGGTCTGGCGTTTGGCACCTGGCGTCTGGCGTCTGGCGCTGCCGCCTTCTGACAGCGCCGCCCTCGTCCACCGCCCGCTTTCGTCCCGACACCACCAACCACACCCGCCCTCTCAGTCCCGGAACCGCGTCCACTCGCCGTCTCTGCCCATGTCGGACGGCGGCAGCACCCTCAACATCCCGCAGCTGCTCGTCATAATCGTCGTCAGCTTCCTCATATTCCGCTGGTACAACTCGCCCTCCTCCGCCCAGGGCCACCAACGCCCCGCCGGCAGCCGTGATGCCGCCCCGCGCGTGAACCCTGCCGCCGTCGAGCAGATCTTGCAGATGTTCCCCCAGCTCGACCGTCGCCAGGTCATGTGGGACCTGTCACGCAATGGCAACAACGTCACAGCCACCACCGAGCGCGTTCTGGGCGGAAGGGGCCTGGAAGTTGTATGTTGCCGCTTTCCTCGCCGCCGCTTAGGGAACAGCTGACCAACTCCATCGTGTGCGAAGCCGCCTCCGTCCTTCCAGCCGCCCATGCCTCCGCCACCCCGAGCCCGCCCCGCCCAGCGCGAACCCGCCATGACGCCCTCCCAACCAGACCTGATAACAAGATACAAGCTCGCTTCGAAGATCCAAGACGAGGATGCGGCCCCGCTGGAGGAGGCGCCGAAGAAGTCCTCGTGGTCGCAGAACAAGGCGGAACGCCAGCAGAACCTGCAGCGCCGCCGTGAAGAGATGGTCTTGGCCGCGCGGAGGAAGATGCTGGAGAAGGATAAGGCCAAGGCTGCGCAATCTTGAGTGCCATGTCATTATAGTCTGTGAAGCTTGTCAAATAGCACCCGCAATTTACGCACTGGTTCGTATAGCATCGATGCCAGGCTTGATTGAACTACACTGCGCCTTTCTCACGCTTCAAGAGAGGCTAATCCCCTGGTGTTGGTCGAAAAGATTCACCAATGGCAAGAAAAGCTCCGGCGCCCCGGTTTCCCCAGACTTTGTTTTCTCGGCCATACTCCGCAGCTGTTCCCAGTTTGTCCATTTCCAAGCCTCGCACTTCTCTGGCTCAAGGTTCTGCGAGCACTTTGTCAGCCCAGTCAAACCAAGCATTGCCTGGTAAATTCACCTCAGGTTCCATCTTCTCGCCACTAATCTTCGCTGTCATGAAAATGGTTACGTAATGGGCGTCGATATCGGCCATGATGTTGTTGGTTGCCGTGAAAAAGCGCACATCCGTCGTCGCCAGCCCAGTCTCTTCCAACGTCTCCCTTGCAGCACACTCTTCAAAGCTCTCGCCAAATTCGAGGTGGCCACCCGGGAGTGCCCATGTACCTGTACCCAAATCAACATCATCCGAGATTTTACGCCATATCTGCAGCCTTATGCAACAAGCCAGGACCCAAACATACCGGCACCGTGGCTGCCTTTACGCTTGCCAATAATGAATTGATTCTTGTCGTTGAGGATGAATACACCAACGCCAACGCGGGCGTTCTTGGAGACTGAAGGTGGCATTGTGAGTAATGGTTTACGTGGAGTTGGGAACTTCTTCACAAGATTAGGGTACAGAGATGCTAACTTAAGGCAGTTGCTTGATGACTCATATACGGAAACAAGGATTTACGCAGTTGGCGGCAAACACCCAATATGGAAGCTCGTGGTACGGCCCATGTGATGAACATCATGTAGAGCTTCCGCGGTGCATTCAGCACTAAGTGGATGTTTGCTACGCGTGGTAGCAAGTATCTACATGGCGCTCGGCTGTCGTTGAAAATATGCCTGATAAGATAAGACGGTGTGGGCTGCCGAGTTTACCCAGTAGATGTCGACAAACATTGATCTGCCATGGTCACAACCAGCAAACATCTAAAAGGACTATCGAAACATTAGCGTAAAAGTGCTCATGTGCGTATGCATGCACCAGTAAAAACATATTGACAGAAAGCCCGATAAGAGCCTGCACTGCCCGTCAGAATTCGGGTCTCAACACTACCCTGATCGATCATAGATTCCCGTGCATTTCAAGCTTTGCGATCTGTTACACGGCGTATAGAAGTCATAGATGCAGCCAATCCACTCCATGCGCTGGCGCCATTGAAGAACGCCGCAGGAAAGTAAGGCAAAACCCAAAAAGGGAGGTCGCCCCGACGGATCAACACTTAACGAGTTGACTGGATATTGCCGTATATTGCCGTATATTTTGACTCTAATCTATCTGTAGAGCCCAAGCAACTGGCCCCGGATATACATTCGCTTATGGAGCGGCTTGTAAAATATGTAAAAAGTGAGCTTGACCGAAACTATCAAAAATAATTCACTCAACGATCAAAACATGACGACCAGCACGGGACTCGAACCCGCAACCTTATGCTGTACTTGTTTTAGGAGGCATACGCGCTACCATTGCGCCAACCGGCCATTGTTGAAGTGAGCATTACAAAATTCCAATATGAAGTGTAAATTCAGGCCTAGGAGCTTTACCAGAGCCACTATTCCGCTCCTCCCTCCTCCCCAAACCTTGTCCGCGACGCCTCCCAGCGCTCTTGGCCAGCATGAGTAATCCAGACATCCTAAAACATGATATTTAACTGCTAAAAGGTCCCATCTAGATAACATCTTGCTGTTTCTTTCGTTTATCTCGGCCTGCTTCGCACCTGGATTTCTTCTACGGTAATACTTTCTCAACCACGGCTGTAGTGCCGCGCTGCCTGTACATGTCTCCGTTATCCTGTTGGCCAAATTACTATATAGTACGAGGTTATTTATTAGAATCTCCTTATCGTTAAATGTATTAGCCTATTTTTGTCGTATAATTACCTCTAGAAGCGGAGAATAAATAAAGCAACCCTGGGATTCGAGCGGAAAGCTCGACGTTCACCTGGTTAGGGCTCTTGACGGATCCCAGGTCCGGTTCATCGTCTGGGTTGTTGCGGACGAAAGTTACAAGCACAATCTTCGCCTCGGCTCCCTGCGACGAAGTGGTGATGCGAATCACCGACTTCGGGGGGTTGAGTATCGCGGAGGTTGTTCGCGATCAAGGCCGCCTGACCGGAGTAACGTTGGTTGAAGCGTTGATCATAAATCTGCGCTTCTTGCCGTCCCAAAGTCCGTTCTCCTCCATCCCACGCAGGATCTCCTTCATGGTATTCCAGAGCTGGACGCTATCGGCCGAATCTGCTTGGTATTTAAACTTCAGGTTGCTGTTGTAGAAGGTCTTGTCGGTGAATTCCCCGATGCCGGAAACCATGCGGTGGCAGCTCTCGAGCAGCGTGCATTCCCGCCCTTCTTCCATGAGCATCTGGAATAAGGATTTCCGGAACGGAACGGGTGCCACATTGCAACTTTGCGACTCGACAGTATGTTGCAACTGTTTATGATCGTTCGGCAAGAGGACAAATCGCAGATTTCGTACGAACGTAGCCAACGGAATGCAGATGTTGGAGACAATTGCCGATCCTGCTTCTTTCTCAAACAAGCACCATGGCTTGTAGTATAACAGGAGGTGGTCGATGCAAGATGAAGAGTTCATCGCGAAAACTACCAGCACTTCGTGTTGAAGATAGTATTGGGCGGATACCGTCGTGCGCAGCTCTCGGGCCCTCTGCTTGTGCTGCTTCACGACGTCCTGGGTCAACTGTTCAGTCCAAATAGCCCAAAGTCTTCCGCCATATTCTCTGGCTTGGCGGTGCAGCTGGTGGCCAGCCTGTCGAGACACACTCCGGATGTACTCTTCCGGGTTGCAATGGAAAGTCTCCTTGTCGATGTTGGCGTCATCGGTGCTGGCGAACATGTCAAACATGTCGTTGAGCCGTCCGCGGTCAACCGCCAGGTTGTGTTGCTGCGCGGGCGAAATGTTCCGCGCAACGTTCATGGCATTGCGCCTGGTGCTACCGGTTGCACCTTTGGCAATGCAGTACTAGTGAGGCTGCAGCCTGGTAATCTTCCGGAACTGCTCATATGCCACCCTTATGGCATTGTTGGTCGGCGCGGCGAAGATGCTTCGGAGTCCAACCTGAGCGATGCACTCGCACGTCACTATGGTCGTTTTCGTCTTTTTGGTGCCGGAAGGCCTCCAGAGATGTTCTAGACCTCCGCCAGAGTCCTAAAACTTGCCGACGACATCAAGCCGGCGATCGTTCAGTGGAGGTGAGATGCTGTTGACTATCTAGGTCACGGTCTCATGATTGGAGTCATTGGCGATGAATCACTGCCTAAGTGTGTCGGTGGCTCTGGCGGTTGGCGGAGAGAAGCGGAGCATGGAGGCGATACCAACACCTTCAGGAACGAGGAGAGCCATGCTACGTGAAGTGTATGTCGTTAGGGAACTTTTTGATCGGGAGCGTCTGGGCTCGTGGCTTGCCGCTGGTTGAGGCACCACCTGCCATCTCAGTGTTGTCGTCGTCATCGTCATCCGGCTGGAGGGTGTCCCTAAGCGTCTCCGGCACCTCTCAGTCCATGTAACCGATTTCCAAATTATCCAGGTCGTGTAGAGGAGGACAATCTTTGCACAGGGTACAGCACCTCGCCGGGTCTCTGTTTAGCTGGTCCACAGGTGTCAAGTTGAGATGAGCGCATGTGTCTTGCATGGCAGTCTGATGGGCCATCCATGGCTCGCCCTGACCTTGAACAACTTTGCCGCCCTCGCACATAGTCGGGAGGCAAAGATTGTGTACACTTGCAAAGTACGCGGATGAGAGGAGAGGTGTTTCATGATTAGGTTGACGCATTCGTGACTGGACGCGGTGGGTCGCCGACAATGGGCCGGGCGGAGCCGCACCAAGCCGGCGTGCTTTGCCCTGAGCTCGGAGAAGCCCCACCGCGCCAACAGCCCTACAAGACTGCCCTCGATTTCTACTCGCAGCGCCCCACCAGACATCCGGCAGCACCCAGCTGCAACCACTTGACCATGCCGTTCTCCCACCACAGCCACTCCGGCCAATTCTGCGCCCACGCCAAGGGCACGCTGGAAGAAATGATCCAGGCCGCCATCGCCAAAGGCTTCCACACCTTCGCGCTGACCGAGCACATTCCGCGCGGCGATGGAGACCTATACCCCGAGGAAGTGCGTACGCCAGGCTCTTGATCATGGGCGCGCCCGCCCAGCAGCGGTGAGGCTGACACGCGCTGGGGCTCGTCTAGACCTTGGACTCGGCAGGGCTCATGCAGCTCTTTGACCATTACCACCGTGAAGCAGTGCGCCTGCGCGACGCCTACCGGTCGCAGATCCAGATCCTTATCGGCATGGAGACGGAGTGGATACGAGAGCCCGAGTCGCGCGAGTGGATCGCGAAGCTGCAGCAAAAATACGCCTTCGACCTTTTCATCGGCTCGGTGCACCACATGCACACGGTGCCCATCGACTTCGACAAGGCCATGTACAGCGAGGCCCGCACGCGCGCCGGGGGCACGGACGAGCGGCTGTTCGAGGACTACTTCGACGCGCAGCTGGAGATGCTGCAGGCGCTGCGCCCGCCAATCGTCGGCCACTTCGACTTGGTGCGGCTGCTGAGCGATGAGCCAAACCGGAAGCTCCGGCAATGGGCAGGAGTCTGGCGCAGGATACAGCGCAATCTGGAATTCATCGCCGCTTACGGCGGCTTGCTGGAATTGAACACGGCCGGGCTGCGCAAGGGCTTGTTGGAGCCGTACCCGACCAGCGAGATCTGCGAGGTACGTGTCAGGCAGGACGTTCATCCAGACGAGTCTAACGTCGCAATCCATGGCAGGTCTTCCTGGGGCTCGGCGGGCGCTTCACTCTGTCGGACGACAGCCACCAGGTTGAGCACGTCGCCACCAACTACGCGCGCATACCCGAGTTCCTCGACGGGGTCGGCATCCGCGAGCTGTTCTTCCTGCAGGCGGGGCGCGAGGGCGCAGATGCGCGGTTCCCGGGCATCTCGCTGGCGAGGGTCAGCGCGGGCGAGCTGGCCGGGCAGCTCGCGCAGGTCGACGCGTGAAGGCGCGGGATTCCACGACAGGCGGCGGGGGTGCAGTGGAGGCCGGGGGCGGTGGGATGCGGCACGCGCAGGGCTTAGCTTCCGCGAGGGTGCTGAACCAGAAGGGGCAAATGTACGGTGGGAGAGCGGTTCTGGACGAATGACAGTGGTGGGCATCCCGGCAGACAGAGGGGGCGAGCACGGCAAGGCCCGCAGCGCCGCCACGCGCACGGTAGGAGCATTTCTAGCGACCGGGCGACCCGGCAATTGGACCAGGCGATGACCCGTACCGCAGCGCTGGGTGGCCCCGAGAGCGGGGTGCTGCGGCAGGTGGGCGCCGCAGAGGTGTGATGGGGCGCGCCGACATGGCGCGCCCCCCGGTGTTGATAAGGCAGGCCAGCCGTGAGCAGAGGCAGCTCCGCCGGCGCTGCGAACGGGGCCCGGTGCCCGCACGTGGGCTGCAAGCGGTGCGCTGGGCGGCGGTCGATCTCGCCCGCAGATCGCAGTGTGGTCGGCGTGTTCTCTCAGGCGGGTGCGCCCTGCGCCGCCATCGCTCCGACGTCTCCAATTGCAGCATCGCTGCGGTTACACAGGCCGCAGCGCCCGCTTTTCGCTCGTCAACCGCGCTTCGCTGAAAAAGCACACTGCTCACCAGTGCTCCGCCTGTCGCCATTCGCAGCCTGCTCTGCGCGCGCCCAGGCCGTAGCCCGCGCTCCCATTCGGCCGCCACGCGAGCGCGGGCACCAGAACTCACGACTCGCCTCTACATACGTGATGGTACCATTGCACGCAGCCTCCTGACGTGATGCTCGACGTCCAATGCCCCAGCCCTCGCCGTGCCCTCCTGCCTGCCCAACGCGCCATTGCCCCAATATAAAAGCCCCCGCCCTCGCCCGCCGCTTCCGGCCTTGCACCAGTCATCAAACCCGACTCCAACCACGACGACCACGCGCCCGTCTCTCACGTCTCTCCCGCACCCTCGTCCGCAGACACCATGACCGTCCAGAAGCAGACCCTGGTGCCCGGCAACGGCGTCGACCGCCCGCGCTCCGGCGACGACGTCACCATCGAGTACACCGGCTACCTCTTCGACGCCGGCGCCGCCGATAACAAGGGCAAGAAGTGAGCTCCGCCACGGCCCTGCGTGCGGCTCACCCAGGCTGATGCCCAGTGCCACCAGGTTCGATTCGTCCATCGGCCGCGGCGACTTCAAAGTCAAGATCGGAATTGGCCGCGTCATCAGAGGTCTGGTCCCGCGGAGCGGCCCCTTTTTCGCCACGAGCACGAAGCTGACTTGGATCCAGGCTGGGACGACGGCATCATCGGCGCGAGCGGCAGCGATGGCATGTCGTTAGGCGAAAAGGCCACCCTGACCATCTCGAGGTACGTTCGTTCCTGGCCCGAGCAAAACGCCTCATGACGCAGGTGGCAGCTAACCAGAGAGCAACCTAAAGTGATTTTGGTTATGGTGCCAACGGCTTCCCGGGTCACATTCCGCCCAACGCCGATCTCATCTTGTACGCTCTCCCCCTCCCCCTCCTGTTCGCCGCTTTAGTCTTGTTCTAACGCCTGGGCAGCGATGTCGAGCTCAAGGCCATCAACGGCAAGCGTGCTTGAGCACTCCTCAGCTCCACACATTTCCCATCCATATCCGTGTCCGCTATCAGGCATTCCAGGAGCTCCGGGTGGAGGCCATAGTCTGCTCTTCGCTTCCCTTTTCCGCTGTCGACAGCAGAGAAGAGAACACGATTGACATTGTAAAAAAAAAAAAAATCATTTACACTACGATTCGCTCCGGCGTCATTGCTGTTCGCGCCAGTTGCGATTCTCAACGCCGTGCCAGTTGCGTGATTTGCAGTCGAGATCTCTGTTTCACTCGCCAGGCTCACGCTTCACTCTAGTCGACTAGGTATATGCGTAGTATCATCTGCACCCATCCATGCACACCGCATCTTTGGACTGACGTCATGGCCGCTCTGGGCCAGGCATTGTGATATGGTTGAAGGAATGCGCCGGATTGCAAGGAGTGGTTAAGGCTCCAGCATGCAGCAACGATGAGGAACGCAGCCCCTAATGGATGCGACGACTCCAAAAAGCTTGTGTTGTCAATCTTTTGCCCGACCAGGCATCACGACACGCCGTCGGGATTGTTCCACGGAAACGTTCCCCGATGCGCTGGACCAGGTACGCCTGGGCCGATCATGGCGGAGTGGCGCCTTGGTGAAACTCACCGGCTGATGCATCTTGACAGCAGCCTGCCCAGTCAAAACGCGAGGACGAAGGTATGGATGTCTGAAGGCACGGAATGGCTCTGCGTCCACACGGGTAGTTCCTCGCTCGGCCCAATGATCCGGTGGAATGCAGGAAAGCTACATGTCGTACAGCGAGAAAAGTCACGCAATCAACCTATCGGTGTGCGGAGGCAACCCGACGTCCCCGAGATTTCCGATTCGCACCATGCATGGACGGCACCTGTTGGCCGTCCCTTTCGATTTTGTTTTTGACTGCTACGCGCTGCAGCCGCAGGAGGAGTCAGGAATGCTGGAACCAGAAGGACCATCCCAGCCGCGGAAGCGGGTTGGTATCGCTTACCAGAGCATAGCACGGCCCGGACTGGGAATAGCTGCCCGCTAGGCCCTTGCCGGACTGAGAGAGCACCCTCGGGCGGCTGGCTGGGCTTTATCACGACTACCCACTCGCAGTTCGCGTCCCCGGCCCTCCGCGGCTATCGAGGGTAAGGAGAAAAGAAAACAAACGCGTGCGAGGAGAGACCTGTCATATCGGGATACGAGGCCGGGAAAAAGCAATGTTTCTTTTTCGTTTCTCTATCCCCCACCGTTCAGACGAGGAATAAAAGTGGACATCCTGAGTCAACTTCCATACGGAATCCCAAGTCAGCCATGGTTGCTTTTCTCGGTATGGCTGCTGTGTTCACTCAAGGGGTCTGGCCGTTTAACTCCACCCTGACCCATCCCGGCCCCGGTAACGGGCTTATACAAATCACTGTCACAGCAGTATAGATTGCACAGACCCAGCCCCGTTCTTACGTACGAGGCGAACAGAACACGGCGCTCGCGGCGGTCTCCTGGAAAAGGGATGGTGCTTCAGGGAGCGTGACAATATTGTCGGCTGGCGGCGCAGTGCCTCGGGTGGGGAACAGTCTGTTGTCTGGGTCGCGTTCTGATGGAGATCGACAAACACTCGCTGCCCGAGATCTTCCCCCCCAACGATAATTGCTGAGCTTGTTCATATTGATGTGTGGTGATGGCCGTGGAAAGTCGCCGCGTACGTTCGGGAGCTCACGCCACTGGGCATCGTCGCACAGCAGCAGCTCAACCCGTGGGGCAAGGCCGTGAAGAAAAGTAAAAGCGACGACATCGGAAGGCGCTGCATGAAATCGTCGCAGGCGCGCGACCGACCGACGACGCGTCCTGGTGCCACAGCATCCCGCACTACGAAATAGTCGATTGTAGGTTCCTGAGACTTGACAGGCCACAAAGGTATCGGTGGGGCACATGTTACACCTGGAGGGGCCAACACCGTCCGCGTGAGACCGTGTCCCTCGCTAGGGGCTGGGGAGGATGGCACGCACTTTGTAGATCGTTGGTGCTCGCATGCGTCGCTGATTCGTATAGTACAGCGCGACACGCATGGCGTTTTTCTCTTTGAAAACGTGATGGGTTGGTTGGTATACTTCCACCCCGTGCGCCCTGTAACGCCAATAGTGCAGTATTAGTGATCGGCCCTCGACATATATGCCTCAGGATCCAAAGTAAAACTAGATTCAATCCAGCATCCTACACGCCATCCCCACCAGCCCGGCAGAGTCGCGTCAAGCCATGCGTTGTTGGGGAATCCTTGATATATTAATCCTACCAGTAAGTAGAAACGTGCTTGGAAGATCCTCGGACTTAGATATGTGGGAGTGGGTGCTCGCGTTCGCTTTGCTACCAAGCCCATGCATGTGCATCTGCACTCTGCACCATGAAGGTCAATCATCACTGCGTCGCATGCGGCGCAAGCCTTCTTGAACTTGTGTTTATTCCTTGGCTACTGTGCAGACTATAAACCCCGAAGCATAAGAGAGACGGCGGGTATGTATCTGAGTTCTTGGTCGGCTCTAATGCTTTTGTTCTTTTTGTCACAGAGCGAAAGATGGTATAAGATGACCGGGGTTACAACGTCGAACTGTCCTCGTTACGGGTTCGTGCGTTTGTGTCCTATCTCACAGCATGAGAGACGAGCGTGACCGACAACAGCTTGAGATGGGTCTCCCAGAACTCCGGTGCTCAGCACTCTGGTCGGCGGTCTGCATGAGGTTGTGATCAGAAAATTGAGTCACATGCGGATCAAGCTTTCACCTTGCAACATATGGGTTTATGCATGCCGTCGTCAACGTGATGGAATGGACAAGAGGCCAGAAGACATGTTGGTTACGCATTCTAAAGGAGGGTGCAAAGTCTATGGCCATGGTCGGTGCAATCCACCGGCACGTCGACAACTTAAGAACATTTTACATGATTCAAATCCGTACAAATTCAGCCAAATATAGGATTTTTGCTAAGTATAAGTGGTATGTCTACATTGTTAATCTCTATATGAATAGAAACGGGACAGTGAAAATGCAGACGGATGTGTCGGTGGATCGCGCCGACTGAGGAGATGGGCTTGGCATTGTGTCCTTGTACGTGGTATCCACGTTTTGCACGATGGTGAGCGGAGAGCATTTAAAAAGCATACTGTAGAGAGATAGCGTGTGTGTTGCCATATGTTGCGGTTCTGAAAGTACGGCACTCGTATATGCATAGGAAACATTGGATTGAACCAAGGAAATACCTGGATTCATACAGACGTGGAGATACGTGTCAAAGAAAAGTGAGATGTTCCTTGAGCATCAAAAAATCAGTTGTTGGTCTCGTCCGTTCGCTGGACTTGTAAGAGCACAGAAACGCTTCAAAGAAATCTTCTCTGGACGACTCAATCAAGAGCACCCTTGGAACGTTTCTACACTAGTTAGTCCACTATGTCATGAAGTCATTCATGCGCTCTGCCAGCCTTTGCCCAGTGTCTCGGCCACTTTGCTGTCGCTCCAGTACCAAAGGTTCTTTTGCAAGTCCTTGTCATATGAGATAGTGCTGGTCTCCTCTTCTTGCGAGACAGGGACAAAATATTTCCCCTTCACGCCCTTGGATACGACATCTGGGCTCGTTGCCAGGTACATGCCGGTAGCTGCGGCATCCTCATGCGTGTGGCCGGCTTGTTGGAAGACATCCTTGGCTGTAGTGCCGACCAGGGTGCCGAACAAGTCTTTCCAGGAATCCCAGGCGTCGGTGGGGATATTTCCCGGGAAAAACGAGTTGACATAGACATTGGAAAGTCCCACGTGGTCAATCCGGCGAGCTAGCTCACGGGTGAATAGGATATTGGCAAGCTTGGAGCGTGCATACCTCCAGAAGCTGTCCAGGGCGGCAGGGGACTTGATAGGAGTGGGGGAGGTGAGCAGCGGCAGGCTAAGCTCCTGGCACGCTAGATGTAGCGAGGATGAAACCGTCAGGATGCGGGCTTGGCCACGCTCGGACGCGGTCTTTTCGACGAGAGGAAACAGCAGGTTGGTCAGGACAAAGTGGCCGAGGTGGTTGCCGGCGAACTGAATCTCGACGCCTTGGGGAGAGAGCTGATAGTCGGCCGACGGAGGAAGGGCGGCTGGGCGGCATTAGTCGCGGTGCGCTGACTGCATGCAAGCAAGCAGAAGAAACAAAAGCAGCAGGTACCGTTCAGGATGAGGACGTCGAGCCGGTCAAGGCGCTGCGACAATTGGCGGGCTGCGCGCTGCACGGCGTCCACGTCAGTCAGGTCGCAGCGAATGAAGTCGACGCGGCGGGCCAGGTCGCTATCGGACAGGGCGTGTTTTTCGGACCACTCGACCCTGGCGTCGGCGAAGCGGGACTCGGAGCGGGCGAGGACATATATCTTGGCGGCGCCGTGCAGAAGCAGCTGGGCGCAGAGCTCGCGGCCGATGCCAGCGGAGCCGCCCGTGACCACGGCGACTCTGCCGGCCAGGTCGGGCGTGTCGGCGAGACTGAAGGCGTGGGACGTCATCCGAAGTATGGCCAGCGGGTGGAGGGTGGGGAGTGGGCGATGGATGAGGCCGCGGCGACATGGTGATGCCTGCCGCGGCGGTGATGTCACCCGTTCACGTGCGGCAGGTAGCCCTGACACCGAGCGCTCCCACCCGCTGCCTCGACGCCATGCATCCCAACACCCGCACCTCCCTCGACGACGTCGCCCGATGCATGTCTCGCGCTGATTGGCAGCCCATACTGCGCGCGTTCCTGGCGGCGCACATGGCTGTTTCGACCACGCTGCCGTGGCATGCGACGACCCGTTCCATGGTCCCTCTGGTCCCGTCGCCGCCACCCATGCGGCTTCTTTTCCCCTCCGGCAGCAGGCCGTGTTTCGCGAGCGTCGGCAGATGGGCGGCGCGCAACAAAGCCCGGGGCTGGGCTCGGGTGCTCCAGCGAGGCCGTCCTGGGGGCGTCATGGACGTTGGTCTGGTCGGGGCATGCCGAACCAAGGACCGCTGAAAAGTCTGCGTTGTTCTCACCGGAGCAGACGACGAATCGGAGCCATGTGCCTGGCAGCAATGGGACGAAGGGATGCGCCGTGCCGTTGGAGCTGCCGCCAGCCCTGGTCGGCTTGTCGTCCGGTGCCGCCAGCCCTGTCGCTCCACCAAAACTCTGTCTCCAGATTTGCAGATGCAGCCGTGGCGACATGCCATGACTGCACTATCGATACCGCTGCCCCACCCATCGCCTTCGAGATGCAGCCTCGTCACGCCCACGCCCGCTCGTTCGCCGCGCCGCAGCTGCGCCGCAGCTGCACCGCAGCCGTCCCGGGCCGATGCCAGCACACGGCTGGCGGCGTCGCACTGCTGGCGCTGACTGCAGTTGGGCTCTCGGGGCCACTGCGCTGTTGCTCAGCTGCGTTCCTGCTTTAGCTGCGCTCTGGCTTTGCTGCGCTGGGGCTCTGCTGCGCTGGGGCTCTGCCGTGCTTTGGCTTTGGCGCGCTCTGGCGCTGCTGCGCCGGCCGCGCGGTGCGAGAGGCCACCTCGCGCTGCTGGGGCGCGGGCCAGCGGTGCCTGTCGATCGTCAGGCTGCGGCGGAGAGCCGTTGCATCTTGGGATGCTGGGCGGGCGCATGGGGCGGGACGATCGCGTGGACGCTGGCCTGGCATACGCACGCATTGCGGCAGCGCAGGCGCCGGCAGCTCTTGGCCTGGTCGAGGCCGCGCAGGCCTTTGCAAAAAAAAAAAGCTGAAATGAGCCGTCCTCACAGACCGGGCGCTTGTCAGGGGGCCCAGTCAGCGTGCAGCTCGATCAAGAAGCCCGAGCGGCGCTCCAGGCACGTATGCGCCCCCATTGGTCCGCGCCAGCCACCAGACCTCCACCCATGGCCGCCGGCGATGCTCAATTTTGAACCTGCCCGCTAGCCCGTGTTATTCGCCGGCGCCGCTCGACCCCTAAGCTAGCGCAAAGACGTCCGCTTCCTTGTTATTTCATAAACCGCGCACCGCCCATCTCCCACTCGGCCCTCACACGTCTCCGCGTTGCTGTCTTTTTGCTCCAAGCTGGGTCTTGCACACACTCCTTTGGCTCTCTAGCTGCTTTCCAAGGCTTCCGGCGCACACTCTCTCAAAGACGCAGCCCTCTTAGCTTTCCATCTTTCATCACTTCAGATCAACACTACAACCTAACCATGCAGACCATCACTGTCTCTGCGGCCCTGCTCGCCGCCCTTCCCTCGGTCATGGCCGTCGGCAAGGCCGTCGTCGTCAACAACTGTGACGAGGCCGTCAACGTCTGGACTGCTGACACTGAGCGTGGCCAGCTCGGCCCCGAGTCCCTCAAGGCCGGTGGTACGTGGTCTGAGGAGTACCACATGGTCGGTGATGGCAGCTCCACCAATGGTGGTGTTTCCATCAAGCTCAGCACCACCGACTCCTGCGAGGGTGCCATCACTCAGTACGAGTACACCTACAGCTCCTCGGGCGACCCCGACCTCTGGTACGACATCTCCAACGTCAACTGCAAGGGCGATGCCTGCCCCTTCTACACTGGCGGCTTCTACCTCGATGCCTCGACTCCGGTCGACTGCGGTCCCCTGACGGCCCTCTGCGACGCCGTCTACAACCTCTGGAACGACGACAAGGCCACGCACGGCACCGAATCCACCAGCGACACGACCCTCTACCTCTGCGGCAAGGACGGCGACTCCTCGTCCATCGAGGTGTCGACCGAGTCGGCTTCGTCGACTGTGTACTCGTCGTCGTACGCCACCAGCATCGCCGTCACCCCCACCTCCAGCTACGTCGCTCCCTCGTCGACGCAGACGCCCACGACTCTTGTGACTTCCACCCCGGCCGCGCAGGTGCAGATTGAGAGCTTCGTCGGCGGCGACGTGAAGGAGGAGGCGGTGGAGGAGGGCGGTAACATTGTCACCGAGATCGTCACCCAGTACGCCACTGCCGTCGTCACCGAGTACGCCAAGCGCACGGCGGCGCCTCACGCGCACCACAGGCGCGAGCACCACCACCACGGCCACCCCCACTACCGCAAGTAGATGCGGAGGGTAATTGGGATGAGTGGCTTAGTTCGATTGCATTTTCTGTGGGATTCAATTCTCGCTCACCCGTCCGGTGCGCGCGGCTAAAGGACCCGGTTCAGGAACACACGGGGCTGATGGAGCAAACCGACCGATTCGCACTTGGCCAACGCGGGACCCGAATCTCGGTGGGCGGGCCGGGCGCGGAGCTTCACTTCTTGTCAATAGCGGCCTTTTAACTGGGTAGAGAGCGTTTCTGGAACAATGGGAGGCGATTTTACTTCATATTCTTCCGTCACGATGCCATGACTGTTCATTCTCTTCGACGCCTGATACACCTCTTCTTTGGGCACGGCGGGGAAGCAATGCGTGCCGGGCTTGGCGGTATATTGAGTAGCTGCAAACAAGATATTGAGTCGACCCCGCGAGCATTTGGTTATCGTGAATCGGCACGCCTATCTGCACGTCTGACCCGACGCGGCCTTCGCACGACGCCGGCTTGGCGGAAGGCAGACGTAGGCTGCTGACGACTGCGCTCCACTGGCATGCTTCTGGCGCCGGCGGCCCCGATGCTGGCTGACCTGGGCTGACCCGGGCTGGGCTGGGCTGGGCTGGGCAGGTCAGCAGGCGGCGATGGAGGCGTTGGTGTTGTGTCTGTCTGCTGCGAGTGGTTGCCCGCGTTTCACGACGCCGGCCGTCGCGAAACACGCAGAGACAAGCCTCGGGGCGGCCAACCTTAACGCGGCGCCGGTGGTGCTTCGCGCCGTCCAACGAGTGCAAATTACTCGGCGGCGATCGTGAAATGGGCGAGTCAGCCGGCAGCATCCCAAAGGGGGCCGCGAGGGGCCCGCGCGGGCTCTATCAATCTCCGCGTCCCAAGCAACATGCTCCGCGCGGCTCAAATCCCACCCAGCGCGCCCGCGTCCAGCTGCTAATTATACACGCCAGGATGCCGTGTGCCGGCCGTCTCCATGCTATGCTGATGAGCTGCGGCGCTCTTTGCGCTGCCTGCGCTGCCTTGCTCTGCCAGCGCTGCGCCCGCACGGCCCCCGCGTCACGCCTTCCCTCTTGGCAGCCGGCGACGTTACGAGGCCACGGGTCGGCGTCGAGTCCGCCCGTCGTCGTCGACCGCCTGAGTTCCGGGCACTCCTTCCCTCCTACTACACTCCTGCCCCGCCACCTCATCAGCGCTGCCGCCCACTCACGGCCGCCCGAGGCCCAGCAACACGCGCGCCTCCTCCGGCAGCAAGCGCCCCCAGCGGCCATGCTGTCCGGCCTGGGGATTGGGTGATGAGGAGCATGGATCCGGGGGCCACGCTATTTAAAGGATGGGCCATGCGCGCGCGCCGCTCCCACGCCTGCGCTGCGCTGCGCTGTGCTGCGCTCGGCACGTCGCCTGATACGCCCTCCTGTATTGTATGTCTTCGAGAAAGGGGACTGCCCTTTTCCCCCGCCAGCCGCGGGCTGCTGGTGACGTCGATCGCTGAACAGGGCTCCTTCTTCGTCGCGGGGTCCCTCCGGCCGAGTTGATCGCAATCCGTCGACCACTCACACGCGGCGCCGCTCAGGGGCTCCATGCGGAGGTGACGCTGGCCATGGTGTTCCCCATCGTCTGACCGCCTGGCTCGGAATCACGCTCCGCACAGCCACAGCGAGCAAGGACTCCCGCCAAGCCGCTCTTCCGCCGTCTTCGACGCCGTCGTGATTCCTGGCTCTCGTTGCTAGTCGTCCCATGCTCTGCCTCCCCCCCTTCGCTGGCTCCCGTGCGACCACAACCCCGCCGGCTTCGACCCGTTTGGACTGACATGCCGGTCAGGCAAGCATCGCATGCGTTTCATGCTGAGGCGACTTCCGTGCTCTGCCTCGCTTCGCGCTGTCGAGACCCGGGCCTGCTGTGCCGCTTTGCCTGCCTCTGCACCTTCACCCAGCGTTACTCCTGTGTCAGAACTCTACTCGATCCTCTTGGCTTGCCGCTACTGCCTGGCCAGGACATCGCCCCTGTGTTCCAGACCCAGTCGAGCCTACCGTCAAGCCTCCGCTTAGGAGAGTGCTCATTTGATGAAGCTTCGTAGGCCTGCCGTCTGGACGGGGACACCCGCTGCACGGCTCCTGGCATGTGTGCGTGCTTCTGAATCTACAATTCAGCTACCTAGCATGTCGGCCTTGGCAAGGCCTCCACTATAGGTGTCCATATGGGCCCACCTCGAATCCTCCCGGCCAGTAAATTACCACGGCCTTGCCGAGTACGAAGACGTAGGCGTGCTGACGTCCCGGGAAAGTCACGGCCTGCCGCGTACGGTGTATGCGTTTCGGTAATCCTGACGGCGGTATCACAGTCTAATCCACTCGATTACCATTTCTCCCCGCTAAACATGACCGAATCTCGTAGCTAGGTCGATCTGTGCTCTCGGAAGGTGCGCTTATTATCACTCGATCGCTTTGCAAATCACCGACAGACATTCGGATCATCAACACAGCCTGAGCAGCATCGAACCCATGCTTCCACATTGTCCGGCATCGAAGTCCCGATGGCATTACGCAAATCTCTGGGGGTGCCATGAGCCTTCCCCCGGATCTGCTAGACGTGCTCCATCCAACCTCGCTTGAAAGCTGCAAATGGTCAGCTTCGACGGCAAAGTACGGAGAGGACATCGAATTACCTCCAGGTTCCAGTGCAGCCGCGTACATCACCAGTGTAATTGGGGCGAGATCCGTGGATGCGTTGGCATTCCCCATCGCCTCTCCCGTCGGCTCGGGCACGATGCCAGCGTCTTCCCAAGCCCCGATGACCCTTTCAGCTTCAGCACCCCAGCCATCTTCATCGAACAGTGCACAACGGATGCCCAGGGCTGTCCCGAACTCTCGAAACGCCAGCCTTCTCCTCAAGCCCGCTTTGAAATAGTCCGAGTCGATAAGCACTTTCAAGTCCCTCTTCGCCCTATCCACGAACCCCGTTGCCCACTGCTCCTTTCCCGCATATTGATGCGCCGTCCACAACGTCATGCCCAGATCCAACGGGTCGCTGCTCGTGTAATTCGCCCACTTGGTCGCAACAATCTTCTCGTAGTCCCTCCTCTCCTCGGCCAGCACCTCCTCCCCGCCCCCTTCAAACTCCGCCAGCAACTTGCACACCACCAACCCATCCACCGGGTCCAAGTTTCCCTCGGACAGCACCAGCGGCCGCTTCAGGTCGACGCTCACCTTCCAGTACATCCTCGGCCGCGCGCCGCCGGCCCTGTCGTACACAAACGCCGGGTGCACCGCCTGCATCAGCCTCACCGCATGCCCGTTCCATCTGCCCGCCTCGGCCTCTCTCCCCTCGCCGCGCCACGCCACGGCCAGCCGGTTGAGCGCGTACATCCACAGCGTGAGGTAGTGATGGTACTGGCCGTCGCCGTCCGGGCCGCCCGCGTCCTCCTTGCCGATCCGCAAGCCGCCGCCCATCGGGTCTGCGTCCGTGGCTCCCGGGAGCCGCGCGGAGCCGTCGCGCGTGCGGCCGAGGACGTCGTGCACGGCTTGCGCGAGCGCGGTGGCGTATGTCAGGTAGGTGGCGGTTTCGTTCTTGCACTCGCCGCCGCCGCCGCCGCCGCCGCTGCTGCTGCTGTCCGGCCTGCGGCTGGCGCGGTGCAGAGTTAGGAAGTTGAGGACGCCAAAGGCGTCGGTCCAGAGGTAGCGGCCGCGGTGGCCTGCCGTGGCTGGAGGGGGGGTCCATGGCTTGGATGGCGCGGCCGCGGTACTGTTGACGGTGGCTGCGTCTGGGACGGGATATCTGTAGACATGTTGCATGGCCGTGGTCATCTTGGCCAGACTGTTGGCGTGGGCCGCTGCGCTCATCGTTTTCATCTTCCCTTTTGCATTGACCGAGTTGCGTCGTGCCGGCTGGAGGAGATGATGCTCGTATTTCACCGGTGCAACTTGATGGTAAGCTTGTGGTCGCCCTTGCGTCACCGTGCGTCAAGTAGACGTCAGGCTGCTCTTTGGTTCGCAAAAACGAAGCCTCGGCGGCAATAATAATGGAGCTCAAGATACGGTTTCAGGAAAGCGGTGGTTCATGGACTGCCTTGAGACCGAGGGATGCATTTCCGGGAGCGCACTGTTTGTGACACCAGGCCCTGCCGTGTTTCTTTCGTTATCCTATCCGTTCGCGGTAATGTAATATCCGAAAGGTCATGCAGACAACGGAAATGTGCGTGAGGAAAGGGAGACATTTGCTCCTAGACGGAATGGTCACCGAAGGCGCACAACGAGGGAGGGTTACTGGATGAGCCACCGAATCCCGATTTGGGCTCATAGCCGAGCGCGACCTGCCTTATTCGGCAAGTGCAAAGTGTCAGGTCGGCTCTAAGAGGCATAGCAGTCATCGCGATCTGAGATTCAACCACCTCATTCACTATAAATACACCATGCACCAAACCCAGCCGAACGTGACCAAAAACTCCAAACCGCAGACCAAATGCAAGAGCGACAGCCGCCGGGTATCATAAGCGCCAGAGGATTGACAATGCCGCACCGACGATCAAGCTGCACGACCTTTGCCCCTCCCCATACTGCTGCCAGTTCGTCGCATCCCGACGCCGCCTATTGAGCTCCCATTACCGTGCCTACTCATCGGCACGCCGCCCATGCCGCTGTCGCTGTTTGCCGCGCTGATAGACACGCCGCTAAGGTCCATGTGCGGCGCAAGCGTGCTGATGCCATTTATCGTGTGATCGTTGCGCATGTTGCTTGGCTGATACTGGTACTCTCTGGCCTGGAGAGGGCCACAGGCTGTGTGCAGAAGCTTCTCATTGATTTCGTCGTTGCCGTCAGAGGGTCGAGCCATGATGACAAAGTCGCTGTCAACCTCTGAATTTGAAAGGCCTGGAGGCGTCGGCGCTGATGCATTTGCCTTGCTGCCAACGTTGGCTGGCAGAATTACAGGAGCAACACTGGCAAACGGGAGAGTGCCAGTCCGTTCGGCGGCCAGGGCAAGATCTGCCAGAGGGTTGTTGCGTGTGGATCCACGAGTTGCATGGTGCGATTGCGTACGCTCCATTTCGGGGGGAGCAGGCGTCGCGACGTCTTCGTCTCCCTCGGCCTCGCCCTCGTTTGCCGTAGCAGTGCCTGAGTCGTCGCCGCCGTCAGTGCCGCCATGGTGGGCGCCATTCGCGCCGTTGGCCGAGCCGTTTTGATTGTTCTGCTCCTGCACCCTGAGCTTGTTGAAGAAGTGCGTCGTAGCAACCGCTGCCGTGTTCATGGTCATGGCGAGTTCCTTGTCCGTGAACAGGCGGTCGATCGAATAAGCTGGAGCGTCGAATTGCGTGTGCATCGTCTTTGCCTTCGCATCGCGGAATGGCGATGCGAAGCCCAGGTCAGGATTGCGTCCGGACGGACCCGGCGAACCACTATCAGCGTCCTCAAAGGCAGCCTTCCTCTTGCGCGACTTTTCGGTTGCCAAGACAGTACCAACCATGTCGTCTGGATCGCCAACACGATGGCGGGTATGCCGAGTCTTGCGGTTGCTAGCGGGGCCTCCGGGAGAAGCAGGGTTTGTGATGCTGAACTGATTGGGGTGCAGCAGCAGGGCGTTGCTGTCGGCGATATCCAGCTGTTCCTTTTCCTTCAGCAGTCTCGCTTGCCGCTGCTTGACGCTTGCGACCAGGCGTTCCCGAAGTGTGTTGGCGAGGTGGCGGTGCTCCTCTTGAGCGAGCCTGACTTTGTACTGGTGGGACTGGTCGAGTTCGCGCATGCTGGCCTGATACTTGCTCTGCGGAAAAGGTCAGCGTTTGCCAAAGGCGGCAAGCGAAAATTGGCCTACCCAGAGCATGGTCAAGGCGATATCGCGCGATTCGAGGGCGTCATTTGCATCGTTGACGAACTTGCTGTAGAAGCGACCAACCTGGGCGACGTAGTCGCCCGTGGCAGTTCCGGGATGGGGCGGCTGGGAGCCGGTTGTGCCTTGAATGGCATCGGCCACCTCGTCCCCGGTGTCGTCTAGCGGCTTATTCTGGTATGGGTCGGCACGCATGATCAGGGCCATGTCAGTCTGCACTGCCTGAATCTGCGCGCGATAGTGCTGGTCACGGTTCTCAGAGAAGGAGGTGACCATGTCGTTGAGCTTTTCCGACAGCATGGTCCGGCGTTTGTCGCGCTTCGAAAGCGGCAGCGGAGGCGGCGAGGTTGCAGAATGGCCAAACGGAATGTCGCCAGGCGGCGAGACGCTGCGGGTTCGTGCCATAGTGCGCTGGCGGTTGTATGGGTTGGCTGTAGAGCTCAGGCGCAAAGGATGTAGTAAGCTGGCTGTGTCCGTTGCCGACCGAGGCCGCAGAGCGTGTTGCACGATAGCTGGCGAAGGACGTGAGGCCGCAGGCTAGCGCGGGAGCAAGGCGGACAGGCTGCAGTCGGGAGGCAACGCAATTGGGACAAGGAGACAAGAGCGGTAGAGGCGGGCTGCACAAGGGCAGAGTGCAGCGGATGGAGATGGAGATGGAGCAGCACGCGGCACGAACCCGCGGAAGATGCCGCATTCGGCGCGGCCGGCCCGACCTTAAGTCCGCGCGAGGCCTAGTACCTACTACTTGGTAGTTACTACTTACGGACGGTGTAGAACACAGAGTCTGGAAAGATTATCTCATAATTCAAAGCTACGTCTCGCGCTCAGAGAAAAGAAATCGCTGTGCCGACCGTTTCAGCCCCGGCCGTGTCTCGTTCTCCAGCAACGCCCCGTCTGTAGTGCTCCCCCACCACCACCCGAACGCCAATTCCAGAGAACCCAGAGCCATGCCTTCCGAAATCGCGTACTCCTACGTCTACTCGCTGTCATCGTCATCAAAGTCGTCCTCGCTAGCTTCCGAGCCATCTTCGTCCTCGTCCTCTTCATCGTCATCCTCAATGACGTACTTCTTGGCAGCCGCAGTCCTGGCCGGACGTCCCTTGGCATACGCCTTTGCAGCCGGACTCAGCGTCTTCGGCTTCTGCGCCGCCTTGGATGCTGCCTTGGGTGCCGCCTTCGTGGCACCCGCCTTCGCCTTCGCCACCGTGTTCTTGTTGCCACGCCCCTTGGCCGCTGGCTTTGCTGGGGGCTCAGCTTCCACATCTATTTCGTCGTCCGACAGGATCGTTTCGTTCGCAGTTCGTGGGATTTGCCTCTGAGGCGACAGCTGCGGCGCGAGAAGCGTGTAGTCCGTCTGAGATTCGTCATGGTCCGAATCTTCAAGGGATGGCCTAGTCCTGCCAACTGCGACAGTGGAAAGGCCAGCGCCCTTGCTCCGCGCCTTCGACGCAGAGAAGAGCTGACGGCCAGACGCTCCGGCCGGTCCCCCAATGCCCTTGACTAAGTTACTAACGTCACCGAGCCCATCGTCGGCCATCTCTTCATCGCTATCCGAGTCCGACAGGACGTATGTAGTCTTCTTTGCCGCTGCGGCACGGGGCTTGCGCGTCGCCTCCGCCTTCGTCTCCTTAGCAACAGCTGCGAAGACGTCCTCATCGTCACTATCATCACTGACCACCTTCTTTGCTTTTGAAGGTGCCTTTGAGCTCGCCGTAGCCTTGGATTTTGGCTTAGTCGGAGCCTCCTCTAGGTCATCATCCTCGCTGTTGTCGCTGACTACCGTCTTCTTAGCCTTTCCGGCATTCCTCACGCTAGTGGAAGACTTGGCCTTTGATTTCGGCGGAGTCTCGTCCAGCTCGTCTCCCTCGTCCTCGCTGAGCACAACCGTCTTCTTGGGCTTGGCGGCAGGCTTGACAGCGGGCTTTGCGGCGGGCTTTGCGGCGGGCTTTGCAGCAGGTTTCGCAGCAGGCTTCGCAGCAGGCTTCGAGGTTTTGGCGACAGGCTGTGATGGAACGTCCTCGAAAACGTCATCTTCGCTATCGTCTTCAGAGAGCTGCGCTGTCTTTGTTTTGGCTGTGGCCTTGGTGCCAGAAGTAGCTTTGTCTTTGGATGCCGCCGAAGCTGTCTGTGACGTTGTGAGCGTCCATTCTCTTGCACTAACGCTGTGTGATGAGTAACGTACCGTTGATTGTTCCTCTGATTTTTCTCCATCTGCAGTGCTTGGGCTATCGTCAATGTCCATGACTGAGTCCAAGTCGTCCTTGTCGTTCAGCTGTCCATGCTTAGCCATGTAGCTCGAAAGAAGGTTCGTCTTCTTCGGCTGCGCTGCCTTCGCTTTCGGCTCTGCAGCCTTTGCCTTCTCCGACTCGTTGTCGTTATCCTTGTTCGTTGCATTGTCATTGTACTTTGAGAAGTAGCTCGTAAGGACGCTGCTCTGCTTCGGTGCAGCCTTCTTCTTGGGCTTGACCTCGAAGTCCTCGTCGCTCATCGCATCACTATCATCGGCCTTGCGTTTCTTAGCACCCTTGCCTGCCCCGCCAATACGGAGCTTAGCCGATGCGCGTCTTCCCTTGGTATTGCGGGCTTTCTTCGCCTCGTTCGCTTCGAATGCAAGGACATTGTCATACTCCTCGACAAAGGCCTCCAAGTCTTCGTTCCAGAGATCTTTGGGTGACTTCTTGATGAGGACATCGATCTCCAGCTCCTTGTCGCCAATTTGCCTGAGGAGTTTCTCAACCCGCTCCTGCGTGAGAGACCAAATAGCCATTCCCAGCAAATAATCGTAATCATTCGCGCCTGGCTCATCAGAATCTTCCTCCTCCAAGAACTCTTCCTCTTCTCCCTGCCGTTTCGCTTCGTTCTTAGGAATTGGCTTGAAACCTAGCTTCTTGAGTTCCGCCACAAGAGCAGCCTTCTTCTTCTTCGCCACCACAAGTTTGCCGTCGATGATCATCTTGATAAATCGCGACTGGTTGCTTAGCTTCTCAAGCTCCTTTTGCATCTCATCGAGCAAGTTCTGCTTGCGCTTCTCATAGTACTTGAGCCGATGAATGTAGAACTCCTCCAGAATGTCCAGCTCGGTGGCATACTTGTGAATACGGCCTTCATGATCGAATGCAACGAGGTTTGAGGTTGCCATGCTCTTGTAAAGTTTGAAACGCTCCTCCAAACCCATCTCAAGAGCCGTAGCCATTGCCTTCTGGTCCGACATTTTGATGATGAATCGAACCTTTGTCAGTGTGTGGTATTCACTGTAGTCCTTGATGAAAGAGGGAGACTTGTCACCCTTGATGATTTCCTCGAGCTTGTCCTTGAAATCTTGGGTCCAGACGCGAATCGGCAGTTCCGATATCTCCACTTCGAGGTCACCCGTCTGCGTGATGTTACCCGTGAACTTGTAGCGGTCACCGCCCATATCCTCGATCACGCCATCCCAACTCTTGAACCAAGGCTTCATGCGAACCATGTCCTCCTTGCCTCCTACCATCCTACGCCTCAGGTTCTCGACAATTTCCTTGGGATTATAGTTGGGAATCGAAGAACTCCAACCGGTACCGATACCGTCTGCACCATTGACAAGGATCATCGGAAGGATCGGTACGTACATGGTCGGCTCGATCGGCTTTCCGTCATCCTGGTCGTGCTCGAGGAGCGGCTCGTCTGCCACATGGAAGATCTTGCGAGCGAGGGGCGAAAGTCTCGTATAAATATAACGAGCACTAGCAGCATCACTGCCACCTTGGATACGAGAGCCGAAGTTGCCGCTAGGCTCCAGAAGGTTGATGTTGTTGGAGCCGACGAAGTTCTGCGCGAGACCGACAATTGTCTGCTGGAGAGAGGCATCGCCGTACGCGTAGTTCGTCAAGCCTCCTACGAAACCAGCAAGTTCGTTGACTTTGATGTCCTTTCTAAGATTTCTCTTAAAACAGGTATACAAGACTTTGCGTTGGCCAGGCTTGAAACCGTCAATGACTGAGGGAATGGATCTGAGATTGTCGACCATGCTGAAGAGAATCAACTCCTTGTTGACGAAGTCATCGTACGAAATCTTCGGGGCTGACATGTCCAGGTAAGTTCCGGGCACGAAGTTCCGCAGCCATTCCTTACGAGCGTCGGCTTTTTTCTTTGAAAAGGCAAGATCGATGAGTTCCGCCTCTTGGTCCTTCATTGTGTGAAATTCCTTCAAGTGTCTATCCAGGTCCTGGAAGTATTCGATAGCATCTTCGGGTTTGCTTGTACCCAAACCCTTGTAGTACTTGTGATCCCAACCTTTCTGATGCGTAGGATCCCTCTTCCACTCTTCGTACTCCGGCATCGTGAAGAAAGACTTGAGTTGTTTTGGATGCTTGGGGTCGCCCTTCCAAACCTTGACGATCGGAGTAATGAACTCCAAGAGGAAGCCTTCGATCTTGAGCAGGCTGGGGAACTGCACCTGCAGGAAATTGATAAGCAAACCCTTGATGTGACTTCCATCATGATCCTGATCGGTCATGATCATGATGTGTCCATAGCGGAGACTCTTCACTTCCGTGTACTCTTTTTTGTGCTGAAGACCGATGAACTTCTTGATATTCTGGATTTCTTGGTTCTTGGAAATCTGGTCAATTGAGGCGTCACGCACGTTGAGCATCTTTCCTCGAAGCGGGAAGACTCCGAACAAGTCCGGGTCGACGGTTGCGCGTCCAGCCAAGGCGAGCAAACTGGCTGAATCACCCTCTGTCAGGATCAGGGTACATTTGTGGCCATCCTTGGTGCCAGCCCTGTTCGCATCCGTCAACTTGGAGTGGTTCATGCGCGTCCTTTTTCCACCATCCGACTTCTTTAGCACTTGATCCGCTTTCTGCTGAGCAAAGTGCAGAATGTTGTTGACAACCTCGGTTTTGGCGATGGCCTTCAAAAAGGTGTCCGAGACCGAACATTTGCTTCCGAATTGGCTAACCTTTGTGGTCATCTGCTCCTTCGTTTGCGAGGTAAAGGCTGGGTTGACAACCTGACAGTTGACGAAGAGAAATATGTGATTTTTCAGGTGTTGGGGCTTCAACTGGAAGCCGCCTTTGTTCTTCTTCTTGATAATGTCCGTGAGCTTGTTGACGATTTGATCCGCAATGTAGCCAACATGGGTACCGCCTGCTGTCGTCGCAATTGAGTTCACGAACGAGACTTGTTGGAACGAACCGTCGGACACAGCGAAGCCAATCTCCCACCTCTCGTCCGGGTTGTCCGTGAGGATGACTTCCTTCTCAGCCTCGCCGCTGGCTCCGCTGGCAATCTGCTCAGACTTGATCGCCTTGGTGTACATCTTCATGTAGTCTTTGAAGGTCCGGATCTTGATACGTTCTCCGTTGAGGTATACCTTGACGCCCTTGCACGTCCCCGCAAGATCGTAAACACGGCGTTTGGAGAGAGCCTCAAAGTCATCGTCCATGCCCTCCATACCAAACTTGGCGAAGTCGGGCTTGAAGGAAACCATGGTGTAGTCATCACCCTTGTGTGATGTGATCTTGGCCTTGCCGCATTTTGCCATGTTTTCCGTCCACGTCTGCTTGTACTTCTTCCCAACACGAGAATCGGCGGTTTCCAGGCTGAACTCTGTGCTGAAAATGTTGCAAAGCTTGGCTCCGTAACCATTCCGGCCTCCGGTGACCTTCTGTTGGTTGTCATCGTAGTTGGATGACGTGAGCAAGTGACCAAAAATCAGCTCTGGGATGTAGATGCCTTCTTTCTGCATGGTGCGTTAGCATATGCGGCACCGTAGCATGTGGGAGATACATACGCTGTGGATCTCGATGGGGATACCCTTGCCGTTGTTCTTGACGCTGATTTCCCCCGAGATGCGGTCAATCTTGACCCTGATCTCGTTCATGTTTTTATCGTTCTGCTTGTTGTCGGCGGCGTTGACGAGGATCTCGTCGAAGATCTTGTAAAGACCGGGCACGAAACTGACTTCGCGCATTTCCATGGACTCGGTTGTCGAGTTGAAGACCCACATGTGTTTCGAGTCCCGCTCAACGGAGCCAATGTAGGTGTCGGGACGCTTGAGGATGTGCTCAAGCTGAGTGAGTCGCTGGTACTTGTCGGTCGCGCTGCCTGGCGCGGCCTTGGCCACCTTCGCAAGCGGTGCTGATGCGTCGCTCATGATGGTATCCTCGTCGTCACGGACAAAACTGTCGTTGTGAACTTGTTGTAGCGGCTCTTTCTTCTTCGCTGCACGTTTCGGGGCTGCAGGTTTCTTAAGGGTTGAAGCTTTCGCAGCTGGCTTCTTCGTGACGGGCTCCGCCTCAAAGTCGGAGCCGTCGGAGACCTCAAAAGCAGACTCGTCTTCGGAGGACATGGTGAGGTGATCAGGAGGGGTATCTGGATAAGAAAGAGAAAGAAAAACGGCCTATGCGATCGCGAGTTGTAGGTGTCGCGGCGCAAATACTCTGGTGTGCTGCCAACCTCACCACGCTGCAGATAAGCGCGAGTAATGGAATGAACGGCGAAGGTGAGGCGAAGCGTATGGCAAGTAAGGCTGGCGCCTGGGCGTTTGCAAAGGTGAGACAATGTGTCGCGACCGGGACACGGCGTGCGAGCTGTTTGTTTACAGGCAGCGGCAGAAACTCACCGCCTATCCTCTACGCGCACCTGTGTGGGTTGGATGCCTGAGGCATGCACATGCGTCACGCGCGATTCGGTGAAATCAAAGCCTCACGGGATTTGTGATGAGAAACAGTTTTTGGCAACGTGTAGTTTTAATAAACAAAAATCCGGTACATATCACGATGTGCCGCTCAAAGCACCTTTGTCAAATGATGTTGCCCGCAGTTTGCTCTATGGCGCATTGAGTGGACTGTCAAGTAACCTCAGTCCTCGATCGTAGCCAACGGCGAATATGCAATCATTGTCTGTTCTTTGATCGAGAGGTAGCTAGATCTAGCGAGCGTGTTCACTACAACAGTCGGAGAGGCGCAAAAATCCACCAGTACAATATCCCTGGTCTCTGGGCTAGGCGTCAGCTGTATGAGGAAACCATGCTTGGACACGTTTCTTTGTGGTCTAGTAAGCACAGGAAATCTACAATTCGAAGGTTCCGATGGCGATCGCCATCGTTGGTCCATTTGTATATTTCGTGGTTAAGTCGCAACATGCATGGACGGGACACAACCGTTTGGGGCCATCTACCCGTGGCTCAGGAAAATTCTTACCAACAAGATGAACAGACAGCCCTCCTAAGAATCTTATGTCATTCGGTGAGATGAGACGCTGCTTATGATTCCCATTTGTCGGCATGAACATGGTCATGAAACGGTTCATGCAGTCGACAATGGGTGACAGGGTGTTGAAATGCCAGCACAGCTAGCGGCGCTTCTCGGACAACCAATGATTCCATCTGCTGCGAGAGATACGTTGTTACCGGAGTTCGAAGTGCGAGTGAGCATCCCCACTACCCGTTTCACTAGAGCTGATATCAAGCATTCGAAGCAGCGGAACACAAACCGCGGGACAAAAACATGGCCGAAGTCCCTTACTCCTGACGTCGCAAGGGATCATAAAGATGTTCAGTCCTCCACAGCATTCAAGGTCTGTGTTGCTCCGTCGCTCAGACGGCCACCAAAAGTCTTTGCGAGCTGAAAGAGTGCTTTGGCCTTGTTCGTGTGTTCTTCTCTATCGGCGTCATCTCTCATCTCGGATTCGTCTTCCGATGGTGTATGACCGTCTATAATCCTTTCGGATTGACGGTTCTGAGCAATGAGGTCACCGATCCAGATGGCAATCATGCCGCGTAGGTGTAGAAGTTCAGGACGCTTGTCAAAATGGGGGGACGACAGCAAATCATCGAGTCGAGCCGCGATTTCTCTGGCACGGCGAAGTTCATCAGTCCTGACTGCCAAGATCCGGACTTCGCGTGCTGAGGTGTGCCTTTTCAGAAATTCGGAGTCTGACGCCACGTCGGATCCAACGTCTTCACCATCTAGCTCAGACCTCCTAGCTGCGGTCATTGCGGCTCGGGAAGCCTGAGATATCTCGTAAAGCCATAGGCTAAACATGGCTGGATAGAAAGTAAGAGCGCTGGTGGCCTTAGGGTTGCTTTGTCGAAATGGGTGGTCAAGGATCAGTCTTTCGTAATAGAGGCGGGCGGCTTTGAAGCCATCCTCCGTGAAGTTTGCATCATCTATAGTCGCGGAGGGCACCTCTGACAGGTTGCCCGCACTGGCCTTCGGGGTGTTCAAGTGCATCTCGGCTGCGAGCCCCCATCTCGCATGTACCCTTTCATCGACTTTCATAGCACCTCGACCAATTTGCAATATCTCCTTCCACACGAGTCCTGCACGGTGGTAGTCACCCTGCAGGAGACACCGATGCATGGTCGCTAGTTTCTCGTGCACCAAGCGATGTCGCCAATGATTGCCGTCGTCCGATTCCAACTCTGGTCGACGGGTCCCAGGCAGACTAGGTCCTCGGGGATGACGTTCGGCACGAGCCTGCGGAAGACGCGCGGCGGCAGAGAGGCGCGGGGTGTACAAGGGCGGCCGGAGCGCTGCTAGCTCGCGCTGTAGTTCGGCGGGCGTGAATTTGTCCTCACGGCATGCGTTCTTGCGCAATGGGCGCTGGTGTTCGCCGTGGCGGGTATGCTTGACCGACACCGGCGCATGCGGGAAGGGCGGTTTCGGGAGGGGAAGTTCGGGGTCATGGCCGGCAGTGCGGAACTGGTGAGCTTGCGCAGCAGTCAGGGTATTGATGGCGGAGGAGAGCGGTCTCGTCGAGGGGGTATCGTGTTCGGCGGAAGAGCTTGCGTGGTCGGAAGCGTCGTCGGGCTCGTCGCCGTCGTCAGCGTCGTCGCGCTTGCGCTTGCGGGTCTGGCCGTGCTGGCGAGCGCGCAGGCTCTGATGGCGGGCGCTCCGCTTGCGCGGGCCAGCGAATGGGGGTGCTTGCGGCATGGCAAAGCGCAGGTCGCAAGAGCGGATTCGTGGGGTGGAGGTGCAGGTGCCAACAGACTTCGTCGCGCGCCCTCGCTACGCCCGGGCCCGGCGGCCACGCTGACGGATCAGCCGGCAGCTGCCACGCGAAGTCATGGCCGACGCGCCTCAGCCCAGCCAGCTAGTCATCACTGCCGCATGCTTGAACCCAGCCAGCTGCGTCTCTCCACGAGCCTTGCCCTCGTTTCCGACACCACCCCGTCCTCCCGTTCCACCACCACCTATCGCCCGCCCGCTTCCTGCGATCGGGCCTCCGCCTCTCCCGCACCACCATGGGCCAGAGCAGTTCGCGCGGCGTGCCCTCTCCCGCCGAGCGGCGGCGGAGCAGCCAGCGCTCACCGACACCGCGCCGTATCTCCCACGCCGTCGACGGCTTTTCGACGCCCGAATCGCAACCCACCTTTCGCTCCTCCGCCCACAGTTTTCTATCGTTCAACCGTCTCCGCTCCGGCCGCCCAGATGCTGGCTCGTCTCAAGCGCCCGAAGCTGCATTCCGCCGCCGCTCCAGGCTGAGCCGCGCTCAGTCGTCGATATCAAGCATTCTCAGCCGTCCGCGCTCGCCCTCGCACGCCCGCGACCGTCCCCAACGCACGAACCCTCGCCGCTTCTCTTCGCCTTTCTGGTCGCCTGCCGAGGCCTTGCCCTCGGCATCGGAGTCTCCGAGCTCGCCACTTCCCCGTTTGCAGATGCCTGAACTTGCCGGTGCTCTGAACTTTGATGACTTAAGCGCCGAGTCCCCCGAGACGGATCCATTGCCGCAGAGTCCATCACAGTCTCGAGATCAGGATGCAGAACCCGGGAATCCGACAAGCCTTCAGCATCCGAACAGCATCCTTGATCGGGTGGCCGGCAGCGTGGTGCCCGAAAGAAGTAGCAGGAGCGTGAGGAACTCGCTGCGGCGGCGGAGGTCCCCTCTCAATCAGAGCGAGGACAATGCTGCCATGCTATCTCGTCTTCTATCCGTAGCTGCAGCCGCTACCGCTGCCACGCTCATGGGCGAAGATCACCGAGCCGGTGCCGAGGCTCGCAACTTCGTGGGTGGGGACGAGGATGGCACGTTCGATGGCTTCCTTCAGTCTCTTCAGAACGGCAGGATAGCCTCTGCCCTCCGCGGCCACACGGCAGGCATGGACGTAGACCCGGACGAATCCAGGCCGCCGGCGCCATTGAACTTTTTCCGCATGTTTAGGTTCGGCTCTTCCACCGGTATGCGGCGTGAAAACACCACAGCGATGTCTCATGGCAGCCAGGATGAATCGGATGAGGTTTCTAGTGCGCAGCGTGCAGATGAGGATGGCTCGGAGAGCCGCATGGTCCCTATCATCATCGTCGGCATTCGCTCTATCAATCCCAGCACTGCTGGGGCTGCTCAGCACGACGACAACATTCCCCCATTCTTAGACGCTCTTTCTAGTTTCCCCACTCCCGTTACTTCCGGCTCTGAGCCCAGCATTGATGGTATCCTGCGACAGCCGCAGAATGGAACTAGGTTCAGCCATCGACGCCGTGCCTCTATGGGAGGTATCAACACCTTTCCCTCTGCCTACGACAACCAGCGGCACCAGCGGGTCTCGCCATCGGAGCGTCCACGTCCGTTTTCGACACTTTCAGATACTACTCTCGGTCCTCGACCCCCGCCATCCACGCCCTCGGGCATGTCTGCTTTTTCATCTGGAACAACGACACCCACGTTCACTCCTCCTCCGGACGCTTCAACGCTGCCCTCGGCAGAATCTTCAAGGCACGGAAGCTTCGTGCGGTCTCCCATCAGAGGAAGCTCTGGGTTGGAGTCTCCCGTCGAGGAACCAAGGTCTCTTCACCAGCTGAGAACCGCTCGACAGCGTCGGCTGAGCGAGTCTGATCACACAAGGTTCGGCGCAGGCTCTGCTCGCCGCAACGGTGTAGTCGAGCCTGATCATGCGCCGGGTGAGGGACCTCGTAGCTGGATCATCTATGTACTCGGCGGCAGTTATCCAGAAAACCATCCTATTCTCACCACGCCGAGTCTCTTCACTGACACCCCTACTTACGAAGACATGATGCTACTTTCAACTCTTCTCGGTCCCGCCAAACCCCCCGTTGCTAGTGAGTCGGACGTTTCGTCTGCAGGTGGTCTCTACATAGTCCGCGAGGCTGCTCAAGCGAACAAAGAACCCGGTGGATTGCTTGCGGCTGCTGTTGAAGGCGAAGAGATCATTGTCATCTCATCAGACCAGCGCTGCCTCGTTTGTCTGAGTGAATATCAAGAAAACGAAGAAGCTCGCAAGTTGATACAATGTGGACACCTCTTTCACCGGGAATGTATTGATCAGGTAAGCGCCCTAAGCTGTACATATCGATACAGTTGCTCATTGCTGATTCAATGAACAGTGGCTCACGACTGGACGAAATTCGTGCCCACTCTGCAGAGGACAGGGTGTTGAGGAGCATGAAAAACGGCCGACCGCCCCAGCGACACCTGAGATGCCTGCAGTCGCATGATCTTCCACTGATTCACTGTACTCGCGCTGAAAAGCATTGAAGAGTCACAGCAGGCGCATTCAACAGGAAGCTGTTGAGGCGTGTTTTATCTCACCCTCCTTGGCGTCTCCTCAGATGTGAGACGACCATCACTTGCTGGACTTAAAATCCAGATATGCTTAATTCTTTTTTAGCGGTTGCAAGGCGCTGCGGGCGTATCCAATGCATGCGTTTATTGATGGAGGCAGTCTTTCCTATTTTCTTTTTCCTCTCTTGATCCCGGTCGTCTGTTTTCTTTCTTTCAGGATTTCTCTCAAGCACGGCGCTTCGGGCATGGTGGTTTGGTCGTCTTAAGGGAACGCTCGTTTATTCTACACAGCAGGCGAAACACAGCGCCCACACAAGGTTAAGCTTAATGATTGTTGGTCACATGTCATAGCGATCTCTCAGGGGTTAGCGCATTCTTCGCATCCAAGAGGGTGCCGTCGTCATTATCACCGCTATCAACGTCACGGTTGGTCTTAGGTCATGGTGTCAGTCGCAGAAATACTCTTTCTGCACCGTTTAACTTCTTTTCACTGTTTCCTTTCTGTGGATGATTTGATGACTTCTCTTGCTTTCTTTGGTTTCTTATCGTCAGATAGGCAGGCAAGGTCAACGAAAAGTCGTAGTGGATGTGCGATCCGAGATTCGCCAGACTCGCACAGCAGAAACTGACTGGGAAAAAAACAAAAGGCTGCAACAGGGAACAGCCGAAATTCGTCTAGATTGATTTGGCGTCGTGGTCTGTTCGTCACACCCGGATGGTTGCTTCAAGTTTTCATTCGGTCCGGGCTATTGTTGCAAGGCTGTATGGGACGCCTTTGCACATAAGAGCTCTCCTTTCCCGCTGAGTACTCCGGGGCAGATCTGTCCATTCTACGATTCACAGCAGCTAGTAGAAAGGAGCAGGGCTTTCCGATAATACATGGACTCCTTGACGTGGGGGAGTATGAACAACGCAAAGACTCTGATCCGAAGTGAAGCTTGATTTTGTGACGTGTACAAATACATGACATCGGCGCCTTGGGCGTGAATCCACCAGGAAGTGAACCTTTCGACAAGGTTGGTGTGTCTTGTATTCACATTACGTCTTATTCCATGGATACAGACTCTCCGGGTTGAAGGCGCGCCACCGGCTCGTATGATGTTGGCCTTCCGTCTTTTATTGCCGGAAGAGGCAACCAGCACAGGCCACAGCGCATGGTACAAGGCACCACTATATATTGATTGTCGGCTGCCTGGAGAGCGGAGGCCGACGAGTCTGGAGTCATTGGTGGCTGGACCAGAATCGATGTCGGGGGCAGTGCTGTTCGAAGGGGCTGAGGATGCTGCACACATCAGACTCATGCCCAGCGACAAGTCATGGCACGAAGGATCACAGCAAGAGTCAGTCAATCAGGTCTTCAGCTGCGCTGACACAGGCCGTCTCCCCATCTCCGACGCGCCGTGGCCCAAACAGGAAAATGAACCGCCACGGATGTCGTCGGAGAGTGAAGGCTCGACGGCTGCATCAGAAATTTTTAGAGTGACCCTGAACTGGGCAGCCATATTGCATCGGCGGGCTCCGCAAGTGGACAAAGGGGCACAACGCTCTTTTCCCGCCATGATGCAATGAGGCTTCGGAGAGAAATTCTTCAGCCTTCTTTCAGCGGGGCTGGGCGATGGCGGGCGACCGGACGCTCCGTTAGCTCATCTCGGAGAATTTGTTTCAGAGTGCGAGGCGGAGTGTGTGGAGGTGCTGCTGAGGGCGCGGCGAGCGAACGGCGGCGGCGGCGCTCCGGAGCCTAAGCAGGGTTGGGGCTGCAAAGGAGGCTGAAGGATGTAGTTGGAGATGGCGTCCGGAGAAAGATGCAGCGCACGCCACCAGCACGATAGCGGACGGAGCCAAGAACGTCATCGCCGGGCCCACGAGTCGGCGGCGAAGGGATGATGCACGCTGCAGGCACGGGAGAGACAGGCCCCGCTGAGGCGCGCTTGATCCCTCCCGACCGGCCGGGACGTGAGAAGGCGCTCGGGCGCGCAGGCTGCTGCGGTGCGGTGCGGTGCGGTGCGGCAGTCATAGAGATCGCCAGCCTCCGGACGGGCTAGGTGGTGCTGCTGATACGTACGCAGCAGTTAGCAGAACGTGATCTCCGATGGCTCGGGGCCCAAGCGTGGCGGGAAGGATGCGACTAAAAAAGGACAGCAGCCATCGGTGCCGGCACTTTCGCCCTGCGTTTGGCTTGCGTGCCCGCGCCAAGCTCGAGCGCGCACGCGCTCTCTCTGTGTGGGGCCCAGATCTTGGTGTAGACCGGAGCCGGACGCTATCAGTCTGACAGCGGCTGGTGAGGCTGTGTGGCTGGCTGGCGGGCGGGCGGCATTGGGCGGGCATGCGGGCATGCGGGTGCAGTTGCTCCCGGATGGCCAACCGCTCGACGGCACACAGAAAAATCTACCTACCAGCCCGCACGGCAACAGCCGCAGGGCCAGTGCTTGCCCCTGTCCGGCGCGATGCTGGAATATTTCTCAACAGCCCCGTTCCTGGCGCCTTGCCCCTTGCGGAAATCGCAGAGTGCCAGTGTGGATTTGCCGCGGCACTGTGGCACCGCGCTTTTTGACTTTTCTGAGTCGCGCGCGTCCGCACACGCCCAGCACGCGCGCGCTTCAGCGACTCACCGCGTTTTATCACGGAGTGCGTTGGTCCGCGGTCCTTCAAGCTTTCGTGCATGCTGGACCCCGGGCACGCAATTTCTTCAGCGTCGTTGCCGCATCCTGGCTGACGGGCGCAGCCTGCGCGGCGGTTGGTCGGCAGCCTGCTGCTGATGACGCGGAAACGACCGGCACGCCGGTTCCTGGGTGCGAATATGATCAGTCCTGAATTGTTGCGCAACACATGACAACATTGCGGCGTGGTCCGTTGCTTCCCCGATCTGGCAAAAGAGGGGGTGGGGGACGCCCGGGGGGCAGCATAAACATCGCAATCTTCGCTGCCCCTGGCCTCCCTCCTCCTCACGATGCCCGGGCCATGCCGCGCAGAAAACCAACAACATGGCAATACTGCGACGGGACGGAAGGGCCAGCACACTCCGAGCGCTGTTGCTGCACGAGCCGCCGCCCGCCGTTCCTGTCACTGTCCGTTGCGCCAGTCAGCGCGCCTGAGGCACACAGCCCGTCGTCGGGCCGGGCGCGGTCTACACGGGCAGCCCAAAGCTGCCGTCGCTGCTTCACATGTGAAAGACGCCTTGGTGCGCGCTATCATTGCCAAAATAATGCACAAGAACGCGGGCGGCCACAAGGCATACGGTCAGGAAGGCGCCTAAGGCAGCTTTGCCGCGCACACCAAGATTTGCGACATTTGATTGCCGTCTGCCGTTGAGAATCTGCCCCGGCCAGGCTTTCCTCCTCCGCGTGTCGGTTGGCTTTCCTCTTTGGGCCCGTGTTTTGCACGATCGCACTGATGAGTCCTCGGCTTCGCTGGCAGTCAGTCCTCTGTCCTGACCCTCCCCGAACCCGAACCCGAAACATCCGACCACGGCCTTGATATACTAAATCCGACTTTCCCGAAAGAAAAAAAGCTTGAAGGGGACCCCATCTCATTTTGCCTCTTTCGGTGGGCGGCCGTGTTGAAAGAGGCTCAGAGGTGGTGGTGGTGGTCCTAGTGACACGTAACGTCGTCCGCATAAAGTTGACTTATATTGATCATCTTTGCGTCCACCCATCCATCCGAGTGCGCAACGCTCTCGTTCCTCTCCCCCCTTTGGCTTGGCTCCCGCCAACTAAGTGCGAAATACGACTTGGACCGGCCGCCAACTCTCCTGACAGCAACTCCAGCAGGCCGATAGACGGTGCGAACCAATCTCGCCGGGCAGAGAGCATCGTGAGGAGTCAATGATCCTCAGGACTTTTGCCGAGCGGTGGTATTACGTCCAGGACCTCGCCGAGCATGGAGCAGTTGTGTCAGTTCTGCAGCGTCGGCCTCAAGCGACACTGAGGCGGGCAGAGATGTGATGCATCTCAATGATGTGCAGGTACACTCGCCTCCCCGTCGCGGGCGTCAATGCGGCGGGAAAGACGTCTGTTTTGACCACCTTTTTCTTCTAGACGAAGCGCAGAGAAATATTTAGAGCAGCACGAGCCAAGTGCAACAGGAAGCAGGGTCGGTGTGGCGGCGGCCAAGGGCCGCAGCGCTGGAGCTTGGCGGGATTGCGGTGGCATGATCGGGGGGATCCTTCAGTGGGGAAGGCAGCAGCAAGCCGTGCAAGCCCGAGGGCGCGCGGACT